GTCCACTTTTATTGGGGCAGGAAGCGCCGGGGCGGGGGACAGACTTCAGCTGGGGTATAAACATGATTTACATGTTCCAGGTGCATGTGTCCAGGCCAAGTTCCAGGTTGCAGCTCCAACTCCCTCATTAAAGAGCTGAGAATACCTCCCTCGCTAAGCTATCTATATTTAGCTTCCCTTGTGGATGCCGGACACATTCCCAGCCTCTCTCAGCCCTAGCTAATCTTCCTCCTGGGAACCTGCAGTCAAAGCAGCTCTTTTGTTTACTGCCCTACATTGACTCGTCATCTTCGATCCCAATGACATTGCAGGCAGACGCATCACGGCAGCCAGGTTATGATGTCACTGGCAGAGGATTATGTCCTCACCAGGAGTGGGAGCCAGTGGAAAGAGAAGAGAAGAGCCAGAGAAGGGAAGATTCCATTGCCCCTGCACATAAAAACTTGGCAGCGTTGCCAAGAGACTGCCTAACTCTCCTGGTGGGACACTGGAAATGCCTTGAAGTGCATATTGTGGGATACTGGGGAGCCATAGGCCCCTTCAGACATCTTGTTTATTCAGCAACTATCCTCATTTGCTGGAACAAATCTTAGGAGGTGGTTAGATTATATCCAGTCTTTGTTGAGCATTTGTTCCGATTTGTTTATGACACAGTGATATGACAATGAGAAATTATCTGGCATTCATCTGGATATGCTTGTGGGGTGTTTATAAGCATTCCTATTAATCATTCATCCATCCCGTTCTTTTTGGTGCATTTAGCCATCACTTTCCAAACGGCACTGTGGGTTAAACCGCAGAGCCTAGGACTTGCTGATCAGAAGGTCGGCGGTTTGAATCCCCGCGACGGGGTAAGCTCCCGTTGCTCGGTCCCTCCTCCTGCCAACCTAGCAGTTCGAAAGCACGTCAAAGTGCAAGTAGATAAATAGGTTCCGCTCTGGCGGGACAGTAAACGGCGTTTCCATGCGCTGCTCTGGTTCGCCAGAAGCAGCTTAGTCATGCTGGCCACATGACCTGGAAGCTGTATGCCAGCTCCCTCAACCAATAAAGCGAGATGAGCGCCGCAACCCCAGAGTCAGCCACGACTGGACCTAATGGTCAGGGGTCCCTTTACCTTTACCTTTTCCAAACTGCAAAAAGTATCTCTCTCTCTCTATATATATAGTGGATTTGTTACAGTAGGGTGACAGAGCTCATTAATGCATTTTTAACTGAGCAAACCTATAGTTCTGCTATGTGCTTATGTGCCTCTTGCAAAATAGTGACAAGTCTGAAGGCATGCTATAGCTGCATCTGCTTCCAGAGCCACCCTCTATTGGGAATTTACTATCTCTCCCTCTTGCCAGCCCCACTTTGGTCAAAACTCTGCTCCCAATCAATAGCTATGCTTGTTTAGGACCTGCAGGGACTGATAAGGTTTAAATCTGAATTGGCTACCACTGTCAGCAGTGGGAACAATGTTTTGTGTCTGATGTACAACATGCTGCTGCAAAAGATGTTTCTGTGCTTTTAATAGCAACCCAGAACAAGAGGGAATTTCAGGAAGTAAAAAATTCTCACCTGTGAGGCAGTGTGATATGAAAAGCTGCTAAATCCCAGCACTTTTCTGTTCTACGCAACTCATAAAGGTACCCCAGGACGAGAGTAATCAGACCTCAGCATAGCTGTCAACCTTCCCTTTTTTTGCACGAAATTCCCTTACTCCAGCGCCGTTTCCTGCTGCTTCCCGCTGCTACCCCGGATTGTTAGATATCCTGTAGACTGTCCCCAGGACAGGTGAGGCTGCTGATCCCTTATTTTCAAATCTGAAAGTTGACAGCTATGGCTTGTCATCTCTACTTCACTTTTTACTACAACCCCAAGATCTACCAGTGTTATAATCAAGTGCAAAGAAAACAGTAAGAATTAAATAACAGGTCTGCCTCTGAGCACATTCTGTGCTTAGGAATTTGTTTCCAGTCCCAGACTTGACCTGGGCTCAAAGTCCCTTAACACCAAATCCACTCCAGATTAGCGGCAGAAGCAGCTGGCATTGTAGGTCAGTGCCACAGAGCCAACCTTCTCCTAACGCTAGCTTGGCGGATCCTTACCAGGGTGGGGCAGTGGCAAGGTGGGGGGCACTGTACTGGCACGAGTACTGGGCTGGCACTATACTCATGCAGCCCTGACCTTGCTGGTGCCCTGCTTCACCCCTGAACCATCCCGGTGTGTGGCAGCAATGCTGGGGTCTGGAAGACAGCTCTAGGGCACGGCCCCAGCGTGCCAGTCGCACCTGCTTAACTGCTTTCTTTTCAGCATCCTGATGTAGGTGGGGGAAGTCATTTAGTTGTTGCTCCTGTGAAATATACTTGGAGTCAAGAGTGGATTTCATGCTCTTTATTCAGCTCATAGTGGTGAGGAGGAATGGAAGTTCCCCCAGAATGTCTGCTTTATATACATTATTTACACAATGGACCCCACGTGATTGGCTAATTCCGGGATTCACCTGTAGGCCAATCAGGTTGCAGGTTCACTTCCACCTGAAGCTGGATTGGGTGGCTCCTGTGGACCAATCAGACTGCTGCATTCTGAATCCTATTGTTCTAGGACCAATCAGACTGCTGCATTCTGAATCCTATTGTTCTAGGACCAATCAGACTGCTGCCTTTTGGATCCTATTCAACTCAGTACATAACATCCTGTGAAACAAATCAGAGTCAAGCCCCCTTTCGTTGATCTTCTTCAAATCTGCCAGAAGACCTGCCAGAAGATCTAGGAGACCTGCCCTCTGGACTAAATGTATACCACAGACTACTGTACGGCCAAATTCCAGTAGACAAGCTGTAGCACTTCCTTGTTGCTGGGGTTATTGTAAGTAGGGAAAGCCCAAGGTGGTGCCCTCCAGATGTTATTGGACTCCAAGTCCCATCAACCCCAGGCAGCATGGGCATTGGTCAGGGATGATGGGAGTTGTAGTCCCGCAACATCAGAAGGGCACCACTTTGGCTACCCCTGCTGCAAATAATGTCAGTCTAGGTGGCTCTTCCTCTTCGTCTGATCTGGCAAGGCATTTCCTATGTTCCTAAGCCAAAGTGCTCAAGATCACTTAACAGAGAGTGGTTCCCGAGTGCACATCCTTCTTTTGTCAATGCAAAATACATTAGTGGGCTGAGTGGTGGAATTCTATTTAAAACTAAAGCGGGTCATGCAGGACCGGGAGTCAGTCTGCCCATCCCTGCTTTATTGCCTCTGGTCATCCCCGAGTCAGAGGAGCCGAGTCAGAAGAGACAAGCTCCCTGGAGCTGGCCCAGGGCTGGCTCCTTTCTCAATGGGATGCTTTCAGAAAGACCCGAGCCTTGGCTTCCCTCGCTGCTTAGGATGAGGTAGAGCCAGGGCTCGCTGGCCCACGTCCCAACCTCCCAGTGCTATTTACAGGCTGCAAAGTTTGGGATTCTTCAGCTGCTCTGGCCCAGCCCATGGATTGGCTGCGGTTTCTCCCACATGCTGTGGGCGAACTGAAGCAAGTTGGATGGACGGCAGGTGAGCTGGCGCTGGAGGCAGAATTCCCGGGCACCTTCAAAAACTGCTTCAATCAGGGCACCTTTAGCCTCCCGAAATGGCAATCTCTCATGTGAAGCAGGAGGCAATGTTTGCCTGTTTCCCCTCCCATTTATAAATTGCTAAAACATAAGGTAGTGGGATTCCAGGGTACTTGGAAGTAGCCCCTATGGATGGGCCAATTGGTCAGTTTGGGTCTCTCTCAGTTTCTCATTTTTCTAAGCTTAAACTCAGGTCTCCACATTTCAGCAGCAACTTGCAATTATTACAGTGGTATCTCGGTTTTTGAACGTAATCTGTTCCAGAAGACCGTTCGAGTTCTGAAATATTCGAAAACCGAAAACACAATACTGAAGCCTCAATACAGAAACCTCAATACAGTACGGAAAACTCAGTGCAGAAGCTATGTGGCACGTTCGACTTCCGAAGCATGTTCGAAAACCGAAGCATTTACTTCTGGGTTTACAGTGCTCAAAAACCGAAATGTTTGTCAATGGAGACGTTCGAAAACCGAGGTACCACTGTATTTGTAACTTTTCATTAAACTTCATCGGTGTCTTAATGTGAATTTCTCATACCACCCATATTTCCAGAGCTGTTGCAAAGATTATAGAGACTGCGTCTACAAGCACGGCAGAACGAAACGGAAGGGTCGACTATGCCACTTCAGGCTGCAAGTGGCAGGAATCAAAATTTTGAATGCTTCCCTACACAAAAAGAAAGAGACTCTGTGTAAGCAGAAAACTAACACTGGAAGAGGTACATTAGAACCTTTCTTTCTGATGCATTCGGTTTTAAGCTAGCCCTCTTCCTGACACGTTAGTTTTCTACTTGCGAGGAGTTTTTACATGGAGCATTCAAAAATAGCATGCACCAACACACACCGCACACAGTCTTTAGTGGTACAGTTCATTTTACTAGCTCATTCTGCTGCAACTATATACATAATAGGCCAAAGATCAGGTAGGTAAGATGCCTGGGACACTTGAACGGCGCTGTAAGCAGTGTATTAAAAGAGGGTTAGCTGTGCCACGGGCATCATATGGTCATTACTTTTGTTTAATTAAACAGAGGAGATGCGCTTCCCATTGTTAAACAACAGCAGCACATTGTTCTATAGCTAAAGAGAAAAGTGGCGCATAAAATTGGTAGGAGATTACTGTAGACCAGGAGTGGAGAACCAAGATGTTGCTGGATCATAACTCCCATCATCCCAGACCAATGACCATGCTGATGGTAGCTGTAGTATAACAACCTCTGAAAGACCACAGGTTCCCTTCCCTGGTGTAAAGGAAGTTTTAGCCTTGCGTGGATTCCCCATACCCTATTTTTAAAAGGCTACATGATCACTCCTATGACTGCTTTTAAATGTTATCAGAACCTAAGTGTGGTTGTGATGCGAGAGCCAGTGATGACACAGGCACTGGCCAATAGGGGCTTTTCAAGGCTGTAATGTGTAATACAATGTAAGCCAGCAACCAGGAACCAACAGGAGAAACCAGGAGGCAAGGTCAGAAATTAGGTCAGAACCAGAGAACAAGCCAGGGTTGAAGACCAGGAGTACGCTAGAGTTCAAGAAGCCCTTGTTGCTCAAGCAAATTCAGCTGGCACAGGGCTCGTGGACATACAATGAAGCTGAACGCTAGGAGATTCAGGAGAACAGATTTAAAAAAGTACAAGCAGTGAACATTTTGCACGTGTTCGATTGGAAGGGTGGCAAACTGAACGAAGCCAACGAGAGACATCTGTCAGGAGCTGGAGTCAGGCGTAAGTAGCAATAAAACACTCAGAGTCAGTTAACTATTCAAAGAAACCAAAACAGCACAGGCCGAGTGATCCCAGCAACTCTTCCCAGCAGGTCTTGCCCCAATGAGGCAGCTGAATGAGGCACTGAAGGTCCCTGCCTTCCCACGTCTGCCTGTCCCCTCCTCTCCAGGGTCTCCCCCAAGCATCCACAAACTGTGCCTGCCCTGCGCACAATTAATCTCTGCTCTGCTCTGCTCTGCTCTGTGTGTTCTAGGAGACCGGGGAGAGGGGAGCTGGTCCCAGCAGGAGTGGGAGACTTCTTCAGCAGCCTGCCTGGTCTCTGCCTGTTGTCCCTCCTCCTCTCCAGTCTCTGCTTCTGCCTCCGATTTTAGACTGCTCTCTGCTCCAGAGTCTTCCCACTCACTAAACCCTGTTGCCTCTTCTGCTTCTGACACCTCCTCCCCCCAGTCTGCTCCCTCTTCTCCCTCGGACCACTCATTGTCACCCCACCACCGCTCCCTGATCTCTGAGCCTTCTTCTCTTGGGGGGTTCCCCAACTGCTGCCTCCCACTGGCAGTGGGTGCGGATCCCGCTGCTCGCTGGCAAGAATCAGCCTTTGGAAGAGAGGCTGCTCATGCTGTTTCCTCCATGGAGAACTGACGCTGTTTGAGAGACTAGCATTGTCTGCCAGGGTGACTCCCTGCAGCTGAGCTTGCAAGCTTGTAAATGAACAGATCGCACCCAAAATGTTATGTCTCAATATACCCTCCTCGCTGGGGTGGGGAACCCACTGCAAAAGGCTTTTCCTGGAATGGCCTTTGAATGCGCTCTGCGCATGGTCAGAGGCATTCTCCTCTTCATCTCAATCTGTTCCAGGCCAGCCTGAGCCCTGGAGAAGCCTTGCTTAGCACGGTGGCTGTGCATTGCACCCGCCTTCAACAGGCAAACATACTGTAAACATTTCTTTCCCTGTCATTGCCAGCAACAAAGAGAACGTCTCCTGCTGTCAGGCAAACAGCGAGTGCAAGGCTTTCTCTCATTCTGACTTCAAAGGCGGCGTTTCAAGCATGGAGGAATTCCAGCCATGCTGAGCAGGAGACCCACAAGGTCCTTGTGGGAGAGTGTGCGAGAACTCAAGAGTGCAGTTCACAGTTCCAAGTCATCTTTCTGAAACGGCAATCGTCCCCTCTTACATTAGCGCCAGCGGTCAAACTCTCTCCACCTCAGGACCCTCTGTACCAGGACTGGGCAAGATCTGGTTTTCAACAACACGATATAACACCAGCTAAACATTGTGATATACAGTGGAACCTCAGTTTTCGAAAGTAATCCGTTCCAGAAGACCGTTCGACTTCCAAAACGTTCGAAAACTGAAAGCGGAAGCCTCAATACAATATACATTACAATATACATTACAGGAATATAGGAAACTCAAAACAGAAGCTGCGTAGCACGTTCGGCTTCTGGAAATCATTTGAAAACCGGAGCAGTTACTTCCAGGTTTTCGGGATTCGGGAACCGAAACATACAACAACAGAGGCATTCAACAACCCAGGTTCTACTTTACCAATATATCATGATGTCTGAAATAAGGATGGAACTATGTGGAAGCGAACAGTAGGGCTTGACGATATCTGGTTTTCAACATTGTGATCTATCACCAACTAAATATTGTGATGCACTGATACATCATGATGCCTGAAATAAGGATGGAGCTATGTAGAGGCATTGGCTGGCTTCACGGTTTTTCCCACACTGTGATTTTTGCACACACACACATCAAGACTTGCAATATATTGCCATGTCAGAAATTATGAAACCGATATCACGATATGGACTTCAAACTGGTTTTGGACAAAACATTCATATATCTCCCAACCATGCTCTGTACTTCAAACCATCACACAATTCTCTCTCTCTCTCTCTCTACACTCATTGGCCCTAAGTTCAGGGAAAAGTAGACTCAGCTAGGAGGACTTAAACTGGGACACAGAGGATTAGGGATGCCTTGGTGTGTGTCCCGTACTCTAACCGCTACACCACACTGAATCTCTTGTGATCTGGAAACCAACTGCAACAATCTGAAAGGCGCTACCAGCTAGGACAACTCTTCCTGGGATGAGAAAGGCCCAAATACTTCTGCCTGGAACTCCTGGGGAGCCGTGTTTAGGAGGACACCCAGATGCCAATTAACAATTGAGGGGGCACATGAGGACCGAAGCAATTAATGTCACATGCCGTTAGGCCTGCCGTATCACTTGCAGCTATAAATACCAATATAAAAGGGACAGGCTTTTGCTCAGTGGCAGAGCATCTGCTTCACATGCAAATGCTCCCAGATATATAATCCCCAGCGTCTCCTGATATGGCTACGAAAACCCTTAAATGCCTGGAAACCCATTACCAGTCAGCACAGATCGTTCTTCCCCAAATTGGGCCCTTCAAGATGCTTTAGACTACAACCCCCCATCAGCTCCAGCCAGCACAGGGCCAGAGTTAGGTACCAGATGAACCAATGCAGGGATGGGGTCAAGGATCAGCACAGTTGCCTGGGCTTGCTGCAGGGCAATGGCGTAGCGTGGGGGTGCAGGGGGGGCCGGGTGCACCGGGCGCAACATCTGGGGGGGCGCGCTCGAGACTCAAGTGCTAAAATCCATGGGTTAGGGGGTGCAAATTACTTGCCTTAACCCGGGTGCTGACAACCCACGCTACGCCACTGCTGCAAGGAGGAAGATTTAGGGAGGAAGGGGACTCCATAGAGTCAATGTTGGATCTGCAGGGTCCGGCAACTTCCCATAATGTTTAGAACCAGCGCCCCTGTGTTCCTAGTGGTCCAACTCTGTATAAGGCAGTTTCATACAGTCCTCTGTAAACCTGCCAACCAAACCTGTGATTAAAATAAGACTTAAAAGTTGGCTTGCAGAGTATGCTCGATACTTCCCGGCAGGGACAGCTCACCTCTGGCTCTCCAGATGTGGCTGGACTTCAGACCCCATCATTGTCCCTGACTACTGGGCCATGCTGGTGGGAGATGGAATCCAAAAAGATCTGGAGGGCCGCAGCTTGTCCGCTCCTGCCTTAGGAGAAGATTTCCTAAGCGATCCAGCAATCATAAAAACACCAGCAGGAGGAATGCTATTGTATCCCTTACCTGAGCCCAACATGTGGATGAAATCCAGAGAGCGGGGGTATAAGAACCGGTCACATGAAGATGCAGATCTGGGAAAGGTCAGAGGTCACCAGCGGAGGAAAGCTCAAGGAGATCCAGATGCCACAAGAGAGATAGGAGCCAAAAACCCCAGCGGACGTCCTGCAGGGTCTGCCACCATCAGAGCTGGTCAGAAGGAGCCACTAGGAGGAGATCCATCATGCAAAGCGACCTCACATGGCAACCCACTGTGGGAGATGTCTCGGGAGGCGGGTTACAAGGAGAAGGAGCCGCGCGGGGGGGAAGCTGATCCCACCGGGGTGCGTCCCAGTTTGCTTGCCAAAGCCACCACAGCATGACACAATGGGGCCGCTCTGTCTCACTGCATCTCTCATCAAAGGCAGAGCGAGAAGGCAAAGACGACAGCAAAGAGAGGACTTGAAAGGCGGCGCGCGGACGTCAAGGCTTCACCAGTCCCTTTTGCAGAGGGAGGCGGAAGGCAGGCAGACCCCCGGAGCCCAAAGGAGGCCTGGACGGGGCGTGGGGACCGGTGTCTCCCTTGCTCAGCTTAGCCACAAGCTCTCCCTTTGGCCGTGCAAGCAGCTGACGCGGGCGCTGGGAATTCCTCTCCTTGCTGAGCCAACAAGTTCTGGGAGCTGGTCCCGAGAGGAGGCAGGACAGTTTGCACAGCTGGGAAGTGGTGTTGGCTTTCACCCGCCGGGAGAGGTGGAAGTGAGCCACCGTGGGGGCCCTTTTAAAAAGCAGCAGAGGGGCAGCAGGTCTTACCCAGTGCAGGACCAACATTGGGAAGCCTTGAACTTACACACACACACACACACACACACACACACACCAATCACAGTCACCCGAAAAGGACCGCAGTCTCTTGGGGTTGCCACCTTCTGTGCCTGCCTTCGCTGCTATGACCTGAGTAGTGGGCTTCCCTCCCCAATTATCTTCCTGTCGAGGGAAGCTTTATCAGATCAAGTATGTCTCTTCTTTCACTGTCCGGGTGTCACAAAATTGAAGGAAGCCTGCCACAGTTGGAGGCAGCGATGCTTCTGAACCCCAGTTGCTGGAAACCGCAAGATCAGAGAGTGCTCTTGCAGCGGCGTAGCGTGGGTTGTCAGCACCCGGGGCAAGGCAAGTAATTTGCGCCCCCTAACCCGGGGCAAGGCAAGTAATTTGCACCCCCTAACCCGGGGCAAGGCAAGTAATTTGCGCCCCTAACCCCTAACCTGCCGCCGCTGCCAGCTTCTTCTTGCTGCTGCCTGGTCTGGTCTGGTGTGGTTCTCTCCCGCGCTCAGCGCTGCGCTGGGCGGCCGCTGCACTGTCCCTCCCCCAGATAGTCCCTTGCTCTCTCTCCGCACCGCAAGGGGGTTGGACTAGATGATCCTCAGTAAAGGTAAAGGGACCCCTGACCGTTAAGTCCAGCCACAGACATCTCTGGGGTTGCAGTGCTCATCTTATTTTATTGGCTGAGGGAGCCGGCGTTTGTCCTCAGACAATTTTTCTGGGTCATGTGGCCAGCATGACTAAGCCGCTTCTGGCAAACCAAAGCAGCGCACGGAAACGCCGTTTACCTTCCCACTGGAGTGGTACCTATTTATCTACTTGCACTTTTGATGTGCTTTTGAACTGCTAGGTTGGCAGGAGGATGGACCAAGCAACGGGAGCTCACCCCGTCACGGGGATTCGAACTGCCGACCTTCTGATCGGCAAGCCCTAGGCTCTGTGGTTTAGACCACAGTGCCACCCATGATCCTCAAGGTCCCTTCCAATTCTACAGTTCTACAATTCTATGGCAAACAATAAGGAGGGGCTGCTATTTTCATGACCTGCTTGCGGACTTCCCAGAAGCAGCTGGCTAGCCACTACAGAATAAAGAAAGATGGATTGGATGACCCTGCAGTGCCCCTTCTTATGCTGTAATAACCTTTAAAGGAGACATCATGTGCATGTATACAGCTTTGATGGTTGATGGCCAGAAAGTTAAAATGTAGCACTGGGATTTCTCCCCCCTGAAAACCTTGCAGGACCCCTCTAAGAAAAAGCTGTGGCCCATAAAGAGCAGGCCAAGGATATCAGTAGCACTTAGTTAAAACAACAGCAGCAGCAGCTTATAGGGGCAGGTGGAGGGGTTGTGGGGTTCAAGGTGTATTTTTAATGAGACACTGCCCTCTCGTGGTTGTCCTCTGCTATTGCACAGAGGTTATATATCCTATGCTCAAGAAAACAGGAAACCTTTGCCAAGCTTGTTCTTTATAGCAAAGAGATGCTCACATATGACCACCTTAGAGTGCAGTGAAGTCTTCCCACCCCCACCCCCCACCCCAGATGCGTTTCACAGCTCTCAGCCTCCTCTCAAGCTGTTCACATCAGCAAAGCTTCATTAATGTCAGATTTGTTTGTTTGTGTACACACCAAGGAAGGGAGTGTTGAAAAGGCGGGAATGACTTTACCCTACATAAAGATGTCCGCACCTTGGCTGGAGCAGAAAACTGGAACAATGCATCAAACAGCAATACAGTGGTACCTCGGGTTAAGAACTTAATTTGTTCCAGAGGTCCCTTCTTAACCCGAAACTGTTCTTAACCTGAGGCACCACTTTAGCTAATGGGGCCTCCCGCTGCCGCCACACGATTTCTGTTCTCATCCTGAAGCAAAGTTCTTAACCCAAGGTACTATTTCTGGGTTAGCGGAGTCTGTAACTTGAAGCGTCTGTAACCTGGAGCTTCTGTAACCCGAGGTACCACTGTATTTTATAACATATGCATTTTGGATAGCACCATGGGTTCGTGGACTAAAAGCCCTGCCCTGGAAACACAGTGACTGCACAGTAAACAAGAGTGTGAACTAAGCCCAGTTCTGACCACTGGCCCACCTAGCTACACAACAACTCTTCAGGGTTTCAGGCAGGACAGGATACTTCCCTCCAGGGCTGTCTCAAGATGCCAGGGACTGAACCTGGGAACTCCTCAATGCATAGCATGGAAGTATATCTGGTTGGAGGAAGGCTTCATTGGAGTAAGTGTTTGCCATGACTCAGCCTCATAGAATCATAGAGTTGGAAGGGACCGCCAGCCCAACCCCCTGCAATCCAGGAATCTCAACTAAAGCATCTGAAGTGAAGGACATGAGGCAGGAGTTGGTAACGCAGGTGAGCTGCACACAGGTGAGCTGCAAGCAAGCTGCCGTCCAGCTCTGTGGAGGCTCCTTTTATTGACACAATATGCAAACCCAGGCAGATACATTTTGGGCTGTGACCTTTACATGCCTTCCAGTCCCGAGCTATTTTGGCACCTGTTTCCACCGTGTCATTTTCCCCTTGCACAGTGTATGACGAAGGAGACAAAGGTCTCAGAGACAAAGGTCACAGACACGACACCGCAGACTACTGAGATCACAAAAGGTTAGACAGAGGGCAAGATGTTCAGACAGCTGTGGCTTTATCTGTGAGGGGGAATGTGCCCCGCACCCCAAAGTCATGCGTGCAGGCGGCTGAGGCTGCCCATGGGCGGGGAGTGTGCTGTGCAGCCAGTGATCATCCCTACAGCATGCATGGCAGATGGACAGCCAACCTCTGCTTAAAAACCACCAAGGAAAGAGTGTCCACAAGCTCCCAAGAGAGTGCGTTCCAATGTCGAACAGCTCTTGCTGTCAAAAAGTTATTCTTAATGCTTAGTCAGAATCTCATAGCTTGAAGCCATTGGTTTGAGCCCTACCCTGCAGAGCAGGAGAAAACAAACTTGCTCCACCTTCAACGTGACAGCCCTTGAGATTATAACAAGCATTCAGTCCCCAAATGCGTGTTTGGGTTAAAGGTGGGTCCCTGGTCTGCAGTGCTGACTGGTCGCGTGGAAGGCAGAGGCACCAACAGCAGGTGGAGCCAATGACAGGCAGAGCCAAGTAAGTCTCATTTTTGTCCCCATCCTCCTCCCATGCTGAGTTCTACAAGGGCAACACTGAGACTTGCAGCTATGCATACCCTCCAACATTTCGCTAATAAAATTAAAGATCTCCAGTGTTATTTTTCTAGAAAAAGAGGTGCTGGAACTCACCATGAACACCTCCCTCACTCTCTTAGCAATGGCGCCCACCTGAGAGGTGCCGGAACTGAGATCTGGTGAGTTCCAGCTGGAAAAAAGTCCTGGGGATATCCTATTCCATACCCTCCAACATTTCTTCAATAAAAATAGGGATGTCCTAAGGAGAAAGCAGAGACATCACCTTGCCAACAAAGGTCCGTATAGTTAAAGCTGTGGTTTTCCCAGTAGTGATGTATGGAAGTGAGAGCTGGACCATAAAGAAGGCTGATGGCCAAAGAATGGATGCTTTTGAATTCTGGTGCTGGAGGAGACTCTTGAGAGTCCCATGGACTGCAAGAAGATCAAACGTATCCATTCTTAAGGAAATCAGCCCTGAGTGCTCACTGGAAGGACAGATCCTGAAGCTGAGGCTCTAATACTTTGGCCACCTCATGAGACAAGGAGACTCCCTGGAAAAGACCCTGATGTTGGGAAAGATGGAGGGTACAAGGAGAAGGGGACGACAGAGGACGAGATGGTGGGACAGTGATCTCAAAGCTACCAGCATGAGTTTGACCAAACTGTGGGAGGCAGTGGAAGACAGGAGTGCCTGGCGTGCTCTGGTCCATGGGGTCACAAAGAGTCGGACACGACTAAACGACTAAACAACAACAAAGGAAAAGCGGGACATTCCAGGATCAAATCAGAAACCAGGACAGCTTCTGTAAATCCGGGACTCTCCCTGGAAAATAGAGACACTTGGAAGGTCTCTGTATACGCACTGTATCTTTAAAGCACATTTGAATTGCATTTCCTCCTCAAAGAGGAGCACTGCAGTTTAAGGGTTACTGGGAATTTCAACATTGCGAGGGGTAAACTACAGTGCCCAGAATTCTTTGAGGGGGAAATGTGCTTTTAAAGGTATAGTATGTGTGTAGCCTGTGGGGGAGTAAGAAGACGGGTAGGTAAAGGACCAAGGGGGAGGCAGCCCCCTATTTTGCCCTAATGGACTCACCTCCATTGCTTAGTCTGAAAACACTGTGGTCTAACAACCTGGATCAGCTTGGTCCTTTCCAGCTTTCCACACTCATGGCTATATCCACTAGACTGGAAGCCAGACCGGGAATCAATATTTGGGAGCTAAAGCTGGATGGATTCCTTTCTTTTTCTTTCTTTCTGTTTTTGAAAACAAGGCACCAATGGTCTTTTAGCAGAAAAGCCTGGGCAGGCTGCCTAGGGAGAAAGATGGATTTCCCTTCACTTACAATCCCCCAATTAAGATTTGATAACCCGTCTAAGAGAGACACTTTAGCCAAGCACAAGAAAACGAGCTTAATGTAAAAATGATAAGTGGAGGGAATTAAGTCCCTTGCCAGCTCTGGAGTGCAGCAAGTGCCTTGATGTCTGCCATAGATCTGACACACCGGTCCCATTTGACACAGTGGCCCTTAAGCGTTTTGACATGGAAGATCAAACTCCCTCCCTCCTGCCAGATTCCAGGAGTTTTGGCTTGCTAGGCCTTCTTCATGCACCCCATAGTCTGAGACTTGGGGGAGGGGGCAAAGCTTGGGGGGCCAGGGGGCGGTGGCCCCCGGGCGCAAAATTCTGAGAGGGGCGCAACCAGGTGCCCCTGTTATGTACTGAGTTGAATAGGATTCAGAATGCAGCAGTCTGGTTGGTCCTAGAACAATAGGATCCAGAATGCAGCAGTTTGATTGGTCCACAGGAGCCACCCAATCCAGCTCCAGGTGGATGTGAATCCGCAACCTGATTGGCCTACAGGTGAATCCCGGAATTAGCCAATCACGTGGGGCCCATTGTGTAAATAATGTACAGTGGTACCTCGGGTTAAGTACTTAATTCGTTCCGGAGGTCTGTACTTAACCTGAAACTGTTCTTAACTTTAGCTAATGGGACCTCCTGCTGCTGCCACGCCGCCAGAGCACGATTTCTGTTCTCATCCTGAAGCAAAGTTCTTAACCTGAAGCACTATTTCTGGGTTAACGGAGTCTGTAACCTGAAGCGTATGTAACCGGAAGTACCACTGTATATAAAGCAGACATTCTGGGGGAACTTCCATTCCTCCTCACCACTATGAGCTGAATAAAGAGCATGAAATCCACTCTCGACTCCGAGTGTATTTCACTGGCGAAGAAGGTGGGATTCGAACCCATGCGGTGTTATGTACTGAGCTGAATAGGATTCAGAATGCAGCAGTCTGATTGGTCCTAGAACAATAGGATTCAGAATGCTTTTCAACTCAGTACATAACAGCCCCCCTGACAAGCTACCTGCTGTGCTCCTGCTGCCTTCCAGAGCCGCGGGGAGGCAAGCTGCACCCAGACTGGGCCTTCGACTTTTACGGCTGGGAAGGTGCCTCCATCTCCTTGCATGCCCTGCTCTTGGGCTGGCTGAGAGGCAAGGGCCTGCCCAGCCTGTGAGGCAGAGATGGATGGAGGTGGCAAGGCCTAGGGAACTCTGAGCACTGGTGGCCAAGGCCTAGGCCGGGGAGGAAGAGTCTGTTCCTGTGGAGGGGGGAAGAGGAGGCTGTGGCAGAGGCCGAGCCAAGGTTGCTGCAGTCAAAATGCTGGCACCTCCCCGCAGCACTCCTGGCGCTGGCCCCACCAGTATGTGCCCCCAACCCCGTGCCTCACCACCGCCACCTGCATGCTGAGAGAAAGAGAGGGAGAGGGCACCAGGGCCACCCACTGAGGAGGGAGGCAAGAAAACGCCCAAGGGGGAAGCCCCCCTGAATGCGCCTTCTGCCCAGTCCACCAGGGGGTGCAACACTTGCCCCACCCCAGGCACTGGCAACCCACACTATGCCACTGCTTGTGGAGCAGGGTATCTTCCTCTTCTTCTTTGGCAATCCCTCATAGCCAAGTAAGATTGCCTTCCATAAACACGGTTTTAACAATGAGTCCATAAGTGACTGTGGAGGCCAATTCTGGATCCACACGTGGGGGCATTGGTTTCCAGGCGGGAGTTGATCACGGTGTGGATTTGCCAAGCGTGCCTTCCTCTTAGCACGTTTCTCCCTTGCTTCCTGAGTTCGAGTGTCTTCAAAGCCCATGACACCTTTGGTAAAGGCTGTTCTCCAACTGGAGTACTCGCAGGCCAGTGTTTCCCAGTTGTCAAGTGTTTATACTACATTTTTTTAGATTTGCCTTGAGACAGTCTTTAAACCTCTTTTGTTGACCACCAGCATTATGCTTTCCATTTTTAAGTTCGGAATAGAGTAGTTGCTTTGGAAGGCGATCATCAGGCATCCGCACAACATGACCAGTCCAACGAAGTTGATGTTGAAGAATCATTGCTTCAACACTGGTGATCTTTGCTTCTTCTAGTACACTGATGTTAGTTCGCCTGTCTTCCCAAGTGATGTGTAAAATTTTTCGGAGACACCGTTGAAGGAATCTTTCAAGGAGTTGGAGATGGCGCTTATAAGTGGTCCATGCTTCACAAGCATATAGTAAGGTTGGTAGTACAATAGCTTTGTAAACAAGCATTTTGGTTTCCCTGCGAATTGGTTACCCTTGTGGAGCAGGGTATATGGGGCTGCCAGCTCTTAAGAGACTAAAATGTTACGCTTAGGCAAGGCCCACAGATGTGCCACAGCAGTAACAGTACACTGGTACCTTGGTTCTCAAACGCCTTGGTTCCCGAAAACCCGGAAGTAAGTGCTCTGGTTTTCGCATGTTCAATGCGGCTGTCGGCTATTGTTTCTGGGGCACTGGCACCAATCAGAAGCTGTGCCTTGGTTTTCAAACATTTCAGAAGTGAAACGGACTTCCGGAACTGATTAAGTTCGAGAATCAAGGTACCACTGTATTTGGCGCTTTTGTTTTTGCTATTTATTTTGCGTTTTCGTTTTTGAGGCTCTTTTGGTTAATTTGTTTTTGTGACTGTGTGGAACCCAGTTCATAGAATCATAGAATCATAGAATCATAGAGTTGGAAGAGACCACAAGGGCCATCGAGTCCAACCCCCTGCCAAGCAGGAAACACCATCAGAGCACTCCTGACATATGGTTGTCAAGCCTCTGCTTAAAGACCTCCAAAGAAGGAGACTCCACCACACTCCTTGGCAGCAAATTCCACTGTCAAACAGCTCTTACTGTCAGGAAGTTCTTCCTAATGTTTAGGTGGAATCTTCTTTCTTGTAGTTTGGATACATTGCTCTGTGTCCACCTCTCTGGAGCAGCAGAAAACAACCTTTCTCCCTAGTTCAGCTATTGATTGATTGATTGATTGTGTGACTGCGGAAATGGATAAAAGCCCCCCATCCAAACAATGACTATCATCAGTGCAGGTAAGAAATTTTTTTAATTTTAATTTTTATCATCTACAATACTGTCTTATTTATTTTATAGTACAGTACATTGATTATTGCTTTCATTTTATGGATCAATGGTCTCGTTAGTAAAATTCATGTTAAATTGCTGTTTTAGGGGTTGTTTTTAAAAGTCTAGAATGGATTAATCCATTTTGGAAAGTGCGCCTTGGTTTTGGAACTCTTTGGTTTTGGAACGGACTTCCAGAACGGATTAAGATTGAGAACCAAGGTACCACTTTATAGAGATATGAATGGCCAGAAAAATGGAAAAATTCAGAAGAGGGGCAATAGAGCTTGGAGATGCAGCATTGGGACTTCCGGGTTAGCGCCACCGGCAATGGCGGGCTTCCTCTGATCTGGAGGAACCCACTCCGTGAAAATTAGGGTCTGAACCGCCACGGCAAGGTGGAGACCCATCAAAAACCACAGGCGGGAGAAGCCTGTGGACCTGGGATTCGGCTGACACCTTCAGCGCCTCCCCTACTCGCAGGGAAACCCGGTTACGGGGATCCAGAGCGACGTGGGGTGAGTGGCGCGGTGCTTCGAATCAATTGCTCTTTTCACGGAGTGAAGCCGCATTGCTGTTGTCGGAGAGCGCTGACTTTTTTCCTGTGGACAATTGGACTCTAAACAAGTACCCGTGAGTAGAACGGAAAATTGGATTACTAAACTTCGTAATTTGGCACCGGAGCGGGAAGGTCTAAACAGGAAGTCCGCCTTCCGCTTTTGTAAACAGTTTGAAGCAAAGACATCGTAAGCTAAAAGTCTGGAAAGTTATCTCTAAAGGACTAAATTTCCATAGGTTTAAACTACAAACCCCCCTTGGAAGCAGGAGAAGAGGGGGAAATTTTAAATTGTTCAAGCCTGCAGGAGAGGGAGTAAAGAAAGATAAATTTCTATCGTCTTGAACCTGGGAATGGGCTGTCAAAGATAGACGTTTGGGGAAAGTTCATTGACTGTGAATAATAACGCATGTTGACAGATAGCTAAATAAGAGAAACATATTGACTCCAATGTTTCCTTTTGCACTAAAAAGGAACAAAGATTTGAAAAACGAAAGCAATTTTGTTGCTGGATCTGCCTGTAAAAGGATGGATACAAATAGAAATTGTTTCCTCTAGAGGGAGCTTTTGAACTGTTGTTGGAGTGGACCTGGGTAACTTTACAGCTGTAGAAAATTAGAGAGAGTGAGAAACAGGCTCTGACCTTGGATAAGAATGTTGACACAGGAAATCTTAGTGTCTGCTTTGTGCAGGACAAGTGTTTTGTTGGAGCAGCTGCATGTGAAGATGGATTTGATGACTACTGCAATTGAAAACTTTGGTCAAACAGTGACCACTGATATAGAACCTGCTCAACAACTGACCCAGGAATCTGACCTGACAGGGCAAGTTGCGGAGAAGACAAAGGAGGAGGTTGTTGTTGAACCTCAAGTAATACAAGTTGAAAGAGATGCGGCCCTGCAGGAGCATAAGCTGTCGTTTTTGAGGACTGAATCTGGAGTGAGACAGACTTGGAGAGACGGAGTCCTGTCGAGACTGGAGATGGCAAGTTGGTCAGACCCCCCTATGCAGGGATGCTTTGACCTTTGAGATTTGGTTTTGGGTCAGGAAGAGATTGGAATGGTCGAGGCACTCAACTTTGGAGGGGCACGGAAGTATGTTATGGAACATTTCTTGGATTTTAGTGCTAACTATGGAGAATGGGCTGACCGGCTGAGAAGGGATAAAGACACTCTTAGGTTGTTCCCCCGAGATCTACTCCTCAGAGACAAAGGAAGGAAATTAAGAACAGGACCAGCAGAAGATAAAGTAAAGTGCAGGTACAATTATGAAGAAGATTTGCAGAAGGGACATGGAAAAGAGTTAAGAGCCTCGGACATAAGATCACCAGGTTGATGGACTAGATGAAATAGATAGAAAGGACTGACAGAACCCAAGACCAGGAAGAAGAGACGGTGGATGAAGACTGGCAGAAAGTTTAAAAATTTATTTAGAGAAATATTGCAAAATTAATGATTGCTAGGAAAATCTTGGAATGAAACTATTAGACTTTAGTAGAAATGTTATAAGGAGTTATGTATAAATAAGCTTTTAAGTTCTAGGGTTTTTTTATGGTAAGATAAGGCTAAAATAAATTAAGACAATTAAAGGACAGAATATAGTGAAAGATGGAAAGGATTTGCTGAGATAATTAATTAGAATTAAAAAAAGGGAGGTGTGAGGAGGTCGAGGAAACAAGTTAATGAAGATAAGTGTATGGGAATATTGGATTTGTTTTTAAATTTATTTTTGTTGTTTTCATTTTTGATTTTGGTGTATTGTATGTTTGGTATTTTTTGTTTTCTTTCTATTGATTTGTATTGATTAATCTCTTTTTTTATTCACTATTTTTTCTTTTCTCTTTTCTGTAACCTTAAATTCCCAATAAATATCATAAAAAAAAAAGGAGATGCATCATTGGGGGAAAATGGATGTGGGAGTGGGGATGAAGGGGTACCTTTTATGTAATATTTCTTGTTAGACCGTTGTTAGACCGTTCCATCACATGCTGGTAAATTCAGGCTCTTCTTATTTTACCTTAAAATGTGTATTTTATACTGTATTTTATGCTGTTTTTGTTGCATTAATTAAGTGTCTTAAATTTGTTGTTAGCTGCCCTGAGCCCGGTTTTCTGAACCGGGAAGGGCGGGGTATAAATAAAAATTTAATAAAAATAATAATAATTTGCTGTGACCTGAAGTGGCTCTCTGCACCAGTGCTAGCAACGCTTTAATTAATTTCCCTCCTTGGAACGAGTTATCTTCAACCCCAGCATTTAAATCAATTATTTAATGGGAGGGTTTCATTATGCCATTTACTTGGCATGTATGAGGCAGTTGATGTGTGTATGAAAACTGCATGTGAGCGCAAGTGCACCATATTGCAAATACTTTTTAAAAACAGGCTGAGGTTGTTTGGCAGAGCCCTATTTGCCCTTATGGACCAGCCTTAATGCCTGGGAGCTGTCTTTTAAAATGCAGCAAGAGGTTTGGTGCAAAGGAGAAGAATTTTCCTTGCCCCCAGGCTTCTCAGACTTGCTTGGAACTCAGGAAGCAGGTGGAGATTGCGTTGCTCAGAAGGAAAAAAAATCTCACTTTTCCTGAAAAGCAGCATAACATCTCATTCCACAGCCTACTAATACAGATTACTATCTCAAAGAATCATAGAATCACAAAACGGTAGTTGGCCGTCCAATTTCTGCTTAAAATCCACCAAGGAAGGAGAGTCCACAACCTCCCTAGGGAAACCATTCAACTGTCAAACATCTCTTACTGTCAGAAGGTTTTTCTTGATGTTGAGTTGGAATCTCCTTTCTTGTAACTTGAAGTCATGGGTTCGAGTCCTACCCTCCCAAGCAAGAGAAAACAAGCTTGTTCCACCTTCCATGTGACAGCCCTTGAGATATTTGAAGGTGGTTATCATATCTCCTTTCAGTCTCCTCTTTTCCAGGCTAAACATATCCAGCTCCTTCAAGCTTTCCTGATAAGGCCTGGTTTCCAGACCCTTGATCATCTTGACTGCTCTCTTCTGCACAATTTCCAGCTTGTCACCAAGCTAGATCTCACCAAGTTCGTCAATGTGTAGCAGGCTTGCCATCTCGTGGACCTCCAACCTCAAAGCATGAAAGGAGGAGGGGGGTATTTTATCACTTTTGTGGGTACAGACAACTGAGCAAATTTGTGGCAGATAATATTCCAACTAGATGAGCTAGTTGTCTGCACTGGGCCTTACATTCATGATATCAAGTAATAATATTATATTATTACTTTTTTTATTAATTATAATATTAATAATAATAATAGGCTTCTCATCCTAGTCTGAACCAATGTTTACACTGAGGTGTCCAGCACAATGCAGTTGATGCAGCCTGATGACAGGGCAAGGTTCTCGTGGCAACGCAGCCTACAACATGTCCCCTTGATCCTTGCCCCTCTTGGCTCACTAAAACTTCCCAAGGGGATATGGCTGGGTGGATACTGGGTGGGGTCAAGACATCCTTGCAGGAGGGAGTGGTCCTGGCCGTCTTAAAAGAGGTGGTGATTTGACAGTTGCTGAAATCCTCCATTGGATCCATTGACTGGTGACAACTATCACCTTACCACAAATAACCTCTTTCAGAGAGGATTGAGGTAGGATAGCTCTATTCTTGGAGGAAACCAATTACCTTGACCCATTTCAACATGGGCTCTGGCCTGTTTATAGGATTGGATCAGCCTCGGTTGTCCTGGTGGATGACTTTTATCTGCAGAAGGGCAGAGGGAGTGTGACTCTGTTTTTCCTTACTTGATCTCTCAGCAGCTTTTGATAGCCCTGATTCTCTGATATGGCACTGGGAGCTCTGTTTTACAGTGATTATGGTCCTATCTCCAGGGTCGATTTCATTGGGTGATTATCTCTCAACTGTCCCCCTCCCTTCACAGCAATTATGTGGTACCTCGGGTTAAGAACTTAATTCGTTCTGGAGGTCCGTTCTTAACCTGAAACTGATCTTAACCTGAAGCACCACTTTAGCTAATGGGGCCTCCTGCTGCCGCCGCGCCGCAATTTCTGTTCTCATCCTGAAGCAAAGTTCTTAACCCGAGGTACTATTTCTGGGTTAGCGGAGTCTGTAACCTGAAGCGTCTGTAACCCGAGGTACCACTGTACCATCTTGTCTACAATGCTATCTGATATCTGCATGGCTCCTAGGCAGAACATGTACTCTTTCTTCATTGTACTACATGTTCTCTCTTTGATCACAGACATTTGTGAAATCGTGCCACCTCCAGGACCAGCCCAGGGCATTTTGCCACCAGAACCAAAGCTGAAAATGGCATCACGATGTCTTGCTGCTACAAAAGCAAACAAGGTTTCATGACAACACACAATCTGTGCAAATAGTACCATAAGCTCTTCAAAATTCAGGAGTACACTCTGAAGAATCCCTCTGTCCCAGTCAACCAAAACTTGGCACTATGCCTATGTTACAAAGTCCACACATAAGTAAGGTAACTGATTGTCAGGGAACTGCCATCGGAGCTAGAGGCGGAGGGAAGGCTCCAGAGGGATGCCGGAGAGGGTCCCAGTAGGGAGAGAGGCAGCCCGTCCGCTGGGGAAGGAAATCAGCGTAACACCAGTGTAGAAGGGGGGCAGATGGGTGAATCGGAGAGGAGGCTCCAAGACTCCTCGCCGGAAACCAGCGGAGAGAGTACGGGTCCTCCACTGCCCACACCCTCCCTGCGCAGAAGGCCTCCGCTCAGGGAGACTAGGCAGAGACTAGGCGTCAAAGAACTTTTGTGCTGGAAGAAGTTCAAGAAACGCCCACTGACGGATTCTGCCAGCGACTGAGACAGCCACGAAGCTAGAGGCTGTCCGGTCAGAAAGGGTTCAACCAGGTAAGCTAGCCAGGAGTGGCGGCAACTTACGCACGAGCAACCCCTAAACCCATTACACTGGTGTATTTAAAACTTGCTTTCTTTTTATTGCTAAGCCAATCAAAGAAACAAAGATAGCTGCTTTACACTACTCTAAAACTGGATGGTTATAATTACCATATTTTTCGCTCTATAAGACGCACCAGACCACAAGACGCACCTAGTTTTTGGAGGAGGAAAACAAGAAAAAAATATTCTGAATCTCAGAAGCCAGAAGAGCAAGAGGGATCGCTGTGCAGTGAAAGCAGCAATTCCTCTTGCTGTTCTGGCTTCTGGGATACCTGCACAGCCTGCATTCGCTCCATAAGACGCACACAAATTTCCCCTTACTTTTTAGGAGGGAAAAAGTGAGTCTTATAGAGCAAAAAATACGATACATATATATCTCAGAATCCCTAATGCAGCCATGTCTCTGAGAGGCCTAATAGTTGGATTTCATTTGTTGGCTGTCCTCAGAAGCGCCTAAACACATTTGCAGGAGAAAAGTCCTGGGCCAAATAGGTTCACACTATGGCAAGTGCAACTAATGGAAGAAAATACAGTTCACAAAAGCTTTGGTCCAAAAGGAATTTCCAATCCTAATAATGATGATGATGATAAAAAACCCTCCAAAATATAAGATCCTGCCATCATCAGCCCTGCTTTTCAACATGAATCAACTGACAAAATTTCTTTTCACAATACTGTTTTAGAAAAATTTGCCTCTCGAAACTGTTGACCACGCACAACTTTATCATAGTCATAAACAACCACATTGCCAGCAGCGTCTGCTGAGCCTCCACTCTGTCCATCCGGCTTCCACTGGCGCTGGCATCAACCACTACCAGCCAGAGCAAGGCACACATGCCACCACCTTAGATTATCTGGTAACACTGTGCAAGGACAGCCAGCATGCCAAAGAATAGTTTGTGCAAGCACACATGGGGGGGGGGGGGAGCCAGCGATATCCTATTGCACATGCGCTTACTCACCTAAACCTTTCCTGGCGATCCATATTCCATTGCTTTTTATATTCCAGATTATTTCTGGGTCCTAGTGTTTGCCCCGTTATGTTTTATATGTGCAAATTCTACAAAGCAAACTGTAGCATCTTGAAGAGGCTTTATGTTGGCAGGAGGAGTTTTCATGAATGCTGAGCTAGGACTCTGATCGAAATCAGCCACTCTTCCCATTCTGCCTCTGAAGCAACTGCCCCAGTTCTTTGCTTCCAGCTAGAGCAGGGGTAGGCAACTTAAAGCCCAGGGGCCAGAAGCAGCCCAATCGTCTTCTAAATCAGCGTGTTTTTACATGAGTAGAATGTATCCTTTTATTTAAAATGCATCTCTAGATTATTTGTGGGGCCTGCCTGGTGTTTTTACATGAGGAGAAAGTGTGCTATTATTTTAAATGCATCTCTGGGTTATTTGTGGGGCATAGAAATTTGTTCATTATTTTTTTTCAAAATATAGTCCGGCCCACCACATGGTCTGAGCGACGGTGGACCAGCCCATGGCTGGAAAAGGTTGCTGACCCCTGATGTAGAGCTCTCGGTTTTGGTAGGTTCTGCATGGCCTTGTGGGGTGGTCGAACTTTTAAGAATTCCCAGGACTTCTATGGGGTCTTGCCTTCCTTCCACAGTTTGCATTCTCTGCTCTGTTGCTTCAGCTGTTTTGCCAATTGTGAGTGCCTTTCAAATGTGAGCTCATGATCCTGCAGCAGTGTAAGCATCAAAATTCAGCATTTCCTAAGGAGCGCCAGCCTATAAGATAGATATGGATTGTAGTTCACATCGTGTGCAACATCGTTTCCCACACCAGCAGTGAGAACATGGTGGATGCAGAGTACACGTCGCTGCGTGTTCACAGCCTCATTTGAGTCTCCATAACTGCATGTTTTGCTTGCTGTTGTTGTTTGGTCGTTTAGTTGTGTCTGACTCTTCATGACCCCATGGACCAGAGCATGCCAGGCACTCCTGTCTTCCACTGCCTCCCGCAGTTTGGGCAAACTCATGCTGGTAGCGTATGTAACCCGAGGTACCACTGTAGAAATCTTTTGTGACTGCTGTCACCATCTGCAGTGATCATGGAGCCGAAGAAAGTAAAACCTCTCTTTGCCTCCATTTCTTCCCCTTCTATTTGCCAGGAGGTGATGGGCCCAGTGGCCATGATCTTAGTTTTTTTGATGTTGAGCTTCAGCCCATATTTTGCGCTCTCCTCTTTCACCCTCATTAAAAGGTTCTTTAATTCCTCCTCACTTTCTGCCATCAAGGTTGTGTCATCTGCATATCTGAGGTTGTTGATATTTCTTCCGGCAATCTTAATTCTGGTTTGGCAATCATCCGGCCCAGCCTTTCGCATGATGAATTCTGCATATAAGTTAAATAAGCAGGGAGACAATATACAGCCTTGTCGTACTCTTTTCCCAATTTTGAACCAATCAGTTGTTCCATATCCAGTTCTAACTGTAGCTTCTTGTCCCACATAGAGATTTCTCAGGAGACAGATGAGGTGATCAGGCACTCCCATTTCTTTAAGAACTTGCCATAGTCGACACAGTCAAAGGCTTTTGCATAGTCAATGAAGCAGAAGTACAGTGGTACCTCAGGTTAAATGCTTAATTCGTTCCAGAGGTCCGTTCTTAACCTGAAACTGTTCTTAACCTGAAGCACCACTTTAGCTAATGGGGCCTCCTGCTGCCACTGCGCCGCCAGAGCCAGATTTCTGTTCTTATCCTGAAGCAAAGTTCTTAACCTGAAGCACTATTTCTGGGTTAACAGAGTGTGTAACCTGAAGCGTATGTAACCTGAAGCATATGTAACCCGAGGTACCACTGTAGATATCTTTCTGGAACTCTCTAGTTCTCCATAATCCAGCGCATGTTTGCAATTTGGTCTCTGGTTCCTCTGCCCCTTCGAAATCCAGCTTGCACTTCTGGGAGTTCTCGGTCCACATACTGCTTGAGCCTGCCTTGTAGAATTTTAAGCATAACCTTGCTAGCATGTGAAATGAGTGAAATTGTGCGGTAGTTGGAGCATTCTTTGGCACATGTTTTGCTTAGCAGCCTGAGATCAGCCACAAAAGCCGCAACAGTTTCACTCATATATGTTACGGCCTCCGTGTTGTTGTTTTTTTTGCGGAAATCCCTCCCCACTTATCTTCACGGCACGATGACCTCACGCACGTTTACTTAAACGAAACTGCACCCATTGCAGCCAGGCTGACTCCAGCGTTAAACTTTCAAAACCCCTTCCCACTCTCCTCCCTCTCTTGTTTTTCTCCCCGGGCTAGAAATGGGCGGCCCTTGGCTGCGCTTGCCTCTCCATAAATTTTGACTGCAAAGAGTTCCGGATTTCCACTAGTGCTCAGCGGAGAATCAGCGGGGAAGAGCTGCGAGTTGCCGCGAGCTGTTCCACCTGCTTTTCGGGAAGCGCTCCAAGGTACAGTACTTGTTTGCAGTGTCGCGGTGGAGTTATAGGGGCAGGGAGGAGGCAGAGCTCAGTGGACCCCCCCAAAGTCTCGAGAACAGGCAAGTGCAAGACGGTGAATCGGCGAGGCCGTCAATTCGCTGGGAAGTTGCTCGGGCCGACCTCGAAAAGGTTGCTGCTACGATTGGCATCTACTGGCCCCTGAAGTGAGTTCACACTGGGCTTGCTTGCAAGGTTCGCGAGTACGTATAGGATCTCAGGGTTGCATCTCTGCTGTTCGGGCTGTGTTCACATTAGACCTTTAAAGCGCATGGTTCCCCCCCCAAAGAGTTATTGCAGTTTTGCTAAGGGTTCTTGGCAGTGCTTTCCAAACTTGGGTCTGCTTTTTCTTTTTTTTTGGACTACAACTCCCATCATCTCTAGCTAGCATGACTAGTGGTCAGGGATGATGGGAATAGTAGTCCCAAAACAGCTGGAGACCCAAGTTTGGAAAGCACTGCTTCCTGGGAATGGCAACTCTGTGCCAGGTGAACTACAGGGTGCAGAATTTATTTTTTTTGGGGGGGAATGTGATTTAAAGGTAAAGTGTACACACATAAAGTGGCTTCCGGGTTTTTTTATGGGTGCAGTAGCCCTGTGCTTGTTGCTGAACTATGGACCTTCTGAAATCTAATCTGCTAGCCAGTCGTATAGGTCAAGGGTGTGTTTACAAAGATGTTTATACTTGCTGCGTTTGCTGGGTTTTTCACCCGTTTAATACTGGGTGGCGCTGTGGTCTAAACCACAGAGCCTAGGGCTTGCTGATCGGAAAGTCGGTGGTTCAAATCCCCGTGACGGGGTGAGCTCCCGTTGCTAAGTCCCAACTCCTGCCCACCTAGCAGTTCGAAAGCACGTCAAGGTGCAAGTAGATAAATAGGTACCGCTCCGGCGGGAAGGTAAACGGCGTTTCCGTGTGCTGCTCTGGTTCGCCGGAAGCGGCTTACTCATGCTGACCACATGACCCGGAAGCTGTACGCCGGCTCCCTCGGCCAATAAAGCGAGATGAGCACCGCAACCCCGGAGTCGTCCGCGACTGGACCTAGTAGTCAGGGGTACCTATACCTCTTTGTTGTTGTTGTTTAGTTGTTTAGTCGTGTCCAGCTCTTCGTGCCTCCCTGGACCAGAGCACGCCAGGCACTCCTGTCTTCCACTGCCTCCCGCAGTTTGGTCAGACTCATGCTGGTAGCTTCGAGAACCTTTACCTCTACCAACTGTAAATGCATACATATCCAGTATTTTGTTACAAACCACCACTGTCTGAGGCATTGCTTCTGGAACCAGCTTCACACAGATTGCAGTCCAAAGCCACACCCAATTTGTCTCTAGCCAAGGTTGTACACTAACAGAAACATCTCTGGGGGACTGAGGGAGCTGGGAAAACAGTTTCACGTCTCTGCACCACAAGAGGCCTCCTTTCAGAATAATTGCATTTGTTTTACCTTCACAACAACCTAATGAGAAAAATTAAGACTGAAGGTGTGTACACTTTACCAGCTTAAACTTTTTGTGTGTGTGCCTCTCATCTGTCCATGCCAGCGGGCAGAGAGGAAGTGGGGATCTCTGATTCAGATTGCCTGACTGGTTTCCCTGGCCCAAACCCTTTTCCTGAAGCGTTCTTCCTTCCAACCATGCCACCCCAGAAATGGCCTTTAAGTGACTCATCTTTCAAGTACAGTGGTACCTCAGGATGTGAATGGGATCCGTTCCAGAGTCCTGTTCACATCCCGAAGCGAACGCAACCCACATCTGTGTGTGTGCGGGTCACGATTTGCCGTTCCACGCATGCGCATGACGTCATTTTGACTGTCTGCGCATGCGTGAGCGGCGAAACCCGGAAGTAACGCGGAGCACAACCCGAAAGCGCTCAACCTGAAGCAACTTCAACCCAAGATATGACTGTAGTTGCGAAAGTGCAAGATACCCGTTTGACAGTGGAACCCTAGGCACAATTCGCTGAGCTCAATAGGGCTTATACTCAAGGAATAGGACTTACGCCTGAGTAGATATGGATAGGATTGTGTTGCAAGGTGCTAAAAAACTCACTGTTCTCTGCACTACAGGGTAGTCCTAGAATGCTGTTGAGAAAAGCATGTTTTACACAAGCACAGAGAGGGAGATGGACAGGGCGAGAATATAAAAGGCCCAACATAAGATGAAATGAAATGGAGAGGCTAGGGTTCAAGGAAAGAGGATTTGCTAGAAGGAGGAGACTTGAATAGGTTGAGATTGCCAGGTACAGCTTCAGCCAGCAGGAGCTGTGACTGGCTCCCAGTGAAGGGCAGTGGGACTGCGCCACTAGCCAGCATGGCAACCAGTTGGGTCCCTCTTCCTGCCCACATCAGAGAAGCAAGCAAGGAGGGTACAAAGTAAAAAAAGGGTGCACCCACTGCTGATGTGAGACATGTAAAGGTAAAGGGACCCCTGACCATTAGGTCCAGTCGTGACTGACTCTGGGGTTGTGGCGCTCATCTCGCTTTATTGGCCGAGGGAGCCAGTGTACAGCTTCCAGGTCATGTGGCCAGCATGACTAAGCCGCTTCTGGCGAACCAGAGCAGCGCACGGAAACGCCATTTACCTTCCCGCTGGAGCAGTACCTATTTATCTACTTGCACTTTGACGTGCTTTCGAACTGCTAGGTTGGCAGGAGCAGGGACTGAGCAACGGGAGCTCACCCCGTCACGGGGATTCGAACCGCCGACCTTCTGATTGGCAAGTCCTAGGCTCTGTGGTTTAACCCACAGCGCCACCCGTGTCCCTTGTGAGACATGTAGGACCTTCTCAATCTGAATGAACTCTCAAGAAACAGCTGCTATCATTTCACCTCCCTGCAAACAAATGAGGACAAATGCTCAATAATCAGGTTATCCAGAAGCAATCCATTCACAAAATAGCTACAATCTGGAAGCATCCTGAGAGCTTAATGAGACTTGCATCTCAGTAGAGATATATAGGATAACATGGTGTAGTGGACAGAAATTTCAAGGAGCAAGGAGTGATGGTTACTACGAAAAACAGTGTTCCATTATGAGATGGAAAGACATGCTATTTGGTTGCCACTGGTAAATATTTGAACTAGCATTCTTGAACTAGCTCACAGTACTATCCCTGACCTAATTGGGGGAAAGTGCTTTGGCAGAGTTGTTGCTTTGCATTTCAAATGGAGAACTGTGTCTTTGAAACAGCCCTTGCTCTGCTTGGCCAGTAACAGGCAAACAAAGCTTTTGAGCTGGCATAATGTAGTTGTCAGACTTGTCAGAGTAGGGCTGAGGGTGATCAGGGTTCAATTACTGACTTTGCCACATAGCTTTAAAGTGGCCTTGGGCCAATCAATTGTCCCTCAACCTCTTAAAGTCATTGTGAGATTAAAATTATGCAGGTGAGGAGAGGAACCAGTTATGCTGCCTTGATCTCCTTGCAAGAAAGGTGGGAAATCAATGCAGCAGTAGTTCACATTTTGAAATCCTTACAAAAAAACTGTAAATAGTATGTGTTAGCATATCAGATGATGAAAGTGGCAGACCAAATTTTACCTAACAAATTCTAGGGCTAGGCGATAGCATATCTTACCAGCTAAATACGTAGTACCTCGGGTTAAGTACTTAATTCGTTCCGGAGGTCCGTTCTTAACCTGAAACTGTTCTTAACCTGAAGCACCACTTTAGCTAATGGGGCCTCCCGCTGCCTCAGTGTCGCCAGAGCACGATTTCTGTTCTCATCCTGAAGCAAAGTTCTTAACCCGAGGTACTATTTCTGGGTTAGCGGAGTCTGTAACCTGAAGCATATGTACCCCCAGGTACCACTGTATTGCAAGCGGGGCTTTTTCCAGCCGGAACTCACCAGAACTGAGTTCCTGCACCTTTGTAGCGTTGCAGTGCTATTCCCTGGCATGGCGCTCGTGGCAGAGGAAGTGGGTGGCACGGCGATTGGGGCAACGAGGCAGAGGTTGGTGGCATAAGGCGGCAGATTGTATTTTCGCTGCACCGGTGCATACAACTTTGGATGTGTGCTTCCCCCTCCTTTTCTAGAAAAAAAAAGCCCTGATGGTATACTATTAAGTGCAATACAGTACTACAGTTGTACCTTGGAACTCGTACAATTTGGCTCCCAAATGATCGAAAACTGGAAGTGAGTGATCCAGTTTTCAAACAATTTTTGGAAGCCAAATGTCCGGTGCGGCTTCCGATTGGCTGCAGGGCACACCTGAAGCCTACCAGAAGCCGTGTTTTGGTTTTCGAACAGTTCCGGAATTCAAACGGACTCCCAGAACGCATTCTGTTCAAAAACCAAGGTACGACTGTATTCTGATACCTTACGAGGTCTGAAATAAGGATGGAGCTACGTATTGGCTGGCTTCACGGTTTTTCCTGCATCGTGAGTTTTGCATATCACACACGCATCATTATTCACGATATATTGCCAGGTCAAAAATTATGAAACCGATAACACGATAGCTTCAAACTGGTTTTGGATGATATATTGATATAGCGCCCAGCCCTAGCGAGTTCATGGCAGGGGGAAGATTCAGCCTGAGGGTTTTGCATCTGTAGCTCTGTCTCCTACGCCAGCTCTTTGAGAGATGAGGAAGAGCCACAGAGCAGTGGTAAACCATAGTAAAGGTAAAGGGACCCCTGACCATTAGGTCCAGTCGTGACCGACTCTGGGGTTGCGGCGCTCATCTCGCTTTATTGGCTGAGGGAGCGGGTGTACAGCTTCCGGGTCATGTGTCCAGCTTGACTAAGCTGCTTCTGGCAAACCAGAGCTGCGCACGGAAACGCCGTTTACCTTCCCGCCGGAGCGGTACCTATTTATCTACTTGCACTTTGACGTGCTTTCAAACTGCTAGGTTGGCAGGAGCAGGGATCAAGCAATGGGCGCTCACCCCGTCGCGGGGATTCGAACCGCCGACCTTCTGATCAGCAAGTCCTAGGCCCTGTGGTTTAACCCACAGCGCCACCCGCGTCCCGTGGTAAAACATACAGCTTGGGAAATGAAGCCTGTCCAAAATCCTGGAAAGCCTCTGCCAGTCAGTGCAGACAATACTGACCTAGATGGACCCAGTGGTCTGACTCCGTATAAGGTGGCTTCCTATGTTTCCCCTACTACCACCACTGCCTACAATAAACCAATATTTGATAAACCACCTTCTTCCTTTCCAGCTGCAGCAGTCTTTGGCCATGTGGCTCTATGTGGCAGCTCTGCTGGGTCTTTATTTCCTTTTCCGACGGTACCGTGAGCAGCAAATCTTGGGCAACCTGATAGAGAAGTATGTTTTCATCACTGGCTGTGATTCCGGGTTTGGAAACTTGTTGGCCAGGAAACTGGACGCTCGGGGAATCCGTGTCCTGGCAGCTTGCCTCACGCAGCAGGGGGCAGAAAAGCTGAAGGAAGCCACATCGGAACGGCTGCAGACCACCCTCTTGGACGTGACCCAAACGGAAAGCGTGGCCCGAGCAGCAAAATGGGCAAAAGGCATTGTGGGAGACAAAGGTTAGGGCAAGGCGCTCTGAATCTGCAGCAGCATAATTTGGTGTTGTTTCTGGAAAGTGTTATCATCCTTGCGGGGTGGATTAGGCTGGGAGATGGAGACTGTGGCCCAAGATTTGCCCACCTGCCCAGGGTCTCTGTTGTTGTTTTTTAACCTCACTCTTCCAGATCCAAGTCCATCTCTCTTATCTATAATGCCACACACCTGGCAGTCTGCACTTGTTGAGCAATGTGATAGATGTGCTCCCCCTGCCCCAGTTCCTTACTGTGCCTTCACAGGCTGGCTCAGACTTCATGGCCCAATCATTAGTGCTGCCAAAAACAGCTCTAAGTCAGGGGTGGAGGATCTTGGAGCTGGGGCCCAAAGTTGGCCTTCCAGCCTTCTCTAACTATCCCTTGGGACCCACCCCAAGCTGGGTGCGCTGGGCCCTCACCTCAAAAGGAAAAAAACTTGTTGGAAATTTATCTCAGGTGTGTTGGTCAGAGGCAGTCTTAACTATGATTTGATTGAAATGAGCCCAGTTCAAACCACAGGTGGGGAAGCTGGCTTGTTTCAATGGCCAGTAAAGATTAACCATTCAATGGCCATTCAATGGCCAGTAAAATTAACCATTGTTTAGGGTTTGAACATGGCTCACTATGTACCGTATTTTTCACTCTATAAGACGCACCAGACCACAAGACGCACCTAGTTTTTGGAGGAGGAAAACAAGAAAAAAAAATTCTGAATCTCAGATGCCAGAACAGCAAGAGGGATCGCTGCGCAGTGAAAGCAGCAATCCCTCTTGCTGTTCTGGCTTCTGGGATAGCTGCACAGCCTGCATTCGCTCCATAAGACGCATCCCCTAACTTTTTAGGAGGGAAAAAGTGAGTCTTATAGAGCAAAAAATACAGTATTTTCTTCATAGCATTCTAACAGCCCACAGATGTAATTTCAGTATTTCTGTTTTAAAGTTTTGCTCAATGTTTTACTGGATTCTTATTTTATTTTGATACCATGTACTGACTTTTTGCTTGTGATTTCTAAATTGAGTGAACCGTTTATAGCGATTTTATTATATTAAGCAGTATATATGTTATTAAAATGAATGGATGAACTCAGTGCTGAATTCAAGCACCGCATTGGGCAGAGAAAGCAGCTTAAGATTCTCCTTTTGCAGCTGCAGCTTGCAGTTTCAAATGGAGAGTCATCCTCTGCAATCCCAGCTTTAAATAAAGCTGGGCCTGGAAAGGATGGCTAGGATGTTTTCTTTGCATGTAGACCTGATCCTTCCTTTGAAGCGTGATGCCTTTCTGTCAGAAATGATGTGTTACATGATGTTGGGTGAGTGGGGCTTTGGTAAAAGGGCCTTGCGGGTCAATTTGGAACAGGGCTTATTAGGCAAGCAGGCCGGAGGGTCACCAGCTGTGGTTTAGGTTGAGAGACGATAACTAGACTATCTGGTGACCCTAATGGTTTGAAGCTTCATCTGATCAGTGGCAGCACCCATGGAGACAGTGGATTCTCTTCAGGGTGACACCTACACCGTACATTTGAAACCCATGGATTTCCCCCAAAGAATCCTGGGCGCTACAGTTTGCTAAGGGTGCTGTGAGTTGTGCAGGAGAACTACAGTTCCCACAATTCTCTGTGTTTTCCGTGTGCTTTTAAATGTATGGTGTGGACGAACCCATCTCTGCTTTGTATTCAGAGTCTGTATTGGTCAGGTTGTGCTTTGCAGAGAGTAAGAGAAGGTGCTCAAGAGGTGTGTCCCTATGGATGGGGCTCTGTTCTGTACCTGATCTCCTGTTTCTTTTTTGCCCCCTTCAGGCCTTTGGGGATTGGTGAACAATGCTGGCGTTTCAGTGCCAACTGCCCCCAATGAGTGGCTGACGAAGGAGGACTTCAAGAAGATCATAGACATAAACTTGCTTGGCGTGGTTGATGTAACCATCCACATGTTACCTTTGATAAGAAGAGCCAAAGGGAGGATTGTCAATGTTGCCAGCGTAATGGGGAGGATATCCTTGTTCGGTGGTGGCTACTGTCCATCGAAATATGGGGTGGAGGCTTTCTCTGACAGCCTCAGGTAACTGCTGCAGGTTGATGTATTTTCTCGTAGCATTGGCTGCAACTCCTTGTTAGTCCAAGGAGACATTTTCTGCTTAAGGGGGGGGGTGACATTGTGCAAACCAGCCTGTGCCAGAAAATGTTTTTTTAAAAAAAACAAAAACCGGAACTGACATACGTTTGCAGAATTCAGCTTCCGTCACTCAGTGTTTGCGGAACTCAACAGATCTGGTACTTGCAGAGGAGCAAGCTAGCCTGTTTTCACAATGGTTGCCTTCAGATGATCAAATCTTGGCTTAATAAGACAACATACAAATGAGCCTCTGTCTGGAGCAAAAACGGGGCCTACAGTCTTGGCTTGCTAGCCAGTCTGCAGTTTTTGCTTGATTCCTGGTCTCCACCACTTTCTGGCATGTGTGAAAAGCAGGCTTTTGCAAAGCCCTCCCAGGTCTGATGGGAGAGTCTGGTGAGGACAAGTCAGGGAGGATTTAAAGAAGCCCCTCCAATCTTTTTTTGACCTGGGCACATGCAACTACTGTTGTGAACCAGGCATGCATGCATTTGAGCACTCCTTCCCCTTGACATGCTGCTACCAGTCAGCACAGACAATATTAAGTTAGATGGAGCAATAATCTCATTCAAAATAAGGCCACTTCTCCCATGATCTTGTCAATAGCCCTTTCCTTTGCCTTCTAAAGTAGTTGTTTTCTTAATCGTCCTATATAACAATAGTGAGTTCTGTTCTCCCAGAGTGATCTCTGTGTAGCCAAAAGAACTGTCAAAAGGGGTCATCATCAGCGTATCTGCCAAACTAGTGACAGGAGTTGCTGTGTGCCGTCCTCAGATGAAATTCACTGGCCACTGTTGGGAAAACAGGATGCAGGAGCAGATGGACCATTTGCCTGATCTAAAAGGGCTTTCCTATCTATCATGTTCTTATCCTCTTCCCATCTCTATCCCATGGGCTACTGGTACAGAAGGCAACTATTCCTTCCCTTTTCCCTTCTCCAGGCTCGAGCTTGACGCCTTTGGAGTAAAGGTCTGTATAATAGAACCAGGCTACTTTCGAACGGCTATCACAAATGAGAAGCTATTGTCAGACAACTTCCAAAGCCTCTGGAAGCAAGTCCCAGAGGAGACCAAGAAAGCCTATGGGGAGCCTTACTTAAATCATAGTGAGTACTACCTTCCTGTTGTCTTGAATTTGATTCTGCTTAACAAATAGGCTTCTAGATGTGCTAATCTGTATTTGATAGCTTAGCTGTGGGTGTATGGCATGAACAGGGACTGGGCAATTTGTATTCCGGAGGAAGGAGTGTGTGTAAGCATAGGGTTGTGGTGGAATTAGTCCACACTAATGGTATTCAAAGGTGATTGACCAGCTTCTGGTCTCTTTCTCTTGTTCCAATAGTGCTTGATTCAACCATTAAGATGCAAAAAGACTGCAACCCCAACCTCTCTCTGGTTACCGACTGCATGGAGCATGCTTTGACATCTGTGTACCCCCGTACTCGCTATTCAGCCGGCTGGGATGCCAAGCTGTTTTTTCTCCCTATGAGCTACATGCCAACATGGCTGCCTCACTGGATAGTGACCCGCACTTACCCCAAACCAGCACAGAGCTTTTAGAGTGATTGTTAAGTGTGGGAGGGGCTGGAAAGTAGAACCTCTTTTTCAGTAAAAAATAAAAATGTTTACTAGACTCCTTTTATTATTGTTTGTGAGATGCCTCCTTCTCTTGCTGCAATGAAGACTTGTTTCAGAACTATATCCAAAGCCAGGTGACACCTAGTTTTCTTTCCCAGTTAGCAGGGGAGGGGGGGTGCCGGACCATACCTCCTAGTGCTTCCTTAGCCACTGTCTGTTACCTCTCCCCATCTTTTCTAACAGGTACAGGTGTGGTGGTAGTATTCTGGGCTTTGTCTCTCAAGAAAACCTATCCTTGGGCCAAGTCAAACAATTTCTCTAGCTTTAAGGCCCCTGGCAAATGTCCCCTTTTAAGTCTTTGTAGCTTGAGAGAGTGGGTTGAAAAGGGACAGCGAAAATGCACTGAAGAGTGTGGGATGACAAATGACTAATAAGGTGATGTGTAAACACCCCACAAAAAAAGCAGAACAGGATGAATGGTGAATCAATGGGTTGCTGGAGGAGCTCTCAATCTGCTGTTCTGTCTAAAATCCTTTGGTGCAAGCTTCCTATTGAAACCATTTCTACCTTTGTAGCTTATTGACTGGTTCTTTAAAGGCAAGTAATTTAACCACGCTTAAATGGCGGTCACGCTGGGTCTGTCCTCCACAGTGTGATTCCAGCTTCGCATCATGCGTTCACACACACTTGTGAGTGGTTAACGTGCACTACAACTGGTCACTGTGCACGTTCACCAGGCCTCATGGACAATGTGCTTGTGCACAATTCTGGATATACATATAAAATTCCAACTGCCTGTGGGACAATCTGCTAAGGTTGACTGCATTGTGTACATTGAGCAATAGGAACATTATCTTATCAGTATCCATAGTCTGAAATTAGCATGCCTTTCCTTGCCTGAGTCTGCAATTTATAGTCCTTGGGCTAATTGTTGCCCATAGCCTAACCTTATGTGGCCTACAGCATACTGGTCCATGGATCCGTCAAACAGCAGGAAAGGGAACTACAGTACAGATAAATATCAACTTCTTATGCAATTCAGTTCCCATTTCACCTCTCTCAACTGTTCCCCAGTCAGCAGAACCGCACGAGGGAGCTTACAAGGACAGTTTTAAACCTTCCTTTCCCTCTCTCTCTCCCACAAGAGCACATATTTTGCAATTGAGAGTGCAATCCACTAAGGGTTTTTCTTAAGGCATCTGAAGGCAGCCCTGTTCAGGGAAGTTTTTAATATTTACTGCTGTACTGTTTTTAAGACTTGATTGGGAGCCGCCCAGAGTGGCTGGGGAAACTCAGCCAGATGGGTGGGGTATAAATAAATTATTATTAATAATCAATCACAATCACAAATGAAACTCCCAGTTGAAATGAGTATCAAGTACGTAGTATGAGTATCAAGTATGTAGCATCTAAAACATGACTTGGTTAGGAACCAGGGAGTGAGGCCCCTTATCATATGTTCTTGGCCTAACACGCATTCAGAGCCTTATTGCAGGTACTACCCAGAGGCGCTAAGAGGATCATTATACGCCTTTATTATACACCTTTAGACGCCAGGCAAAAACGTTCCTCTTTAACCAGGCATTTGGTTGATTTACATCCTCTGCCCTTTTAAAATATGTTTTTTTTTTGTGGGGGGGTGGTGGTACTGGGTTACTGTTTTTATTTTTATTAGGTATTTTGTAGTTTTATATCTTGATTTTATTCTGTGAACCGCCCTGAGACCCCTGGGTATAGGGCGGTATATAAATTCTAATAATTAATTTTTAAAAAATTAGGATCCCTACTGACCCACTGGCACCTGACAGAAGAAGACTCACGTTTCATGTAGCCAGGAAGACATGTTGCAAACTGAAAAGTTTGAGTCCTGCTCTTGTATCACTAGAAGACAGGCAAGGAAAGGCTGCAGAGGCCAAAATATGGTTCAGCTGAAGGATTTGAGGCCTACTCCTGCAGCAGTCTCTTTGCAGGCCAGGAAGACATTTGCCTCCAAGTCTTTCTTTCCTCCTGTCTGGGTAACCTTCCCCAGCTGTTAAATCTGCAAGTCCCATGGTGCTTGACCACTTACTGCTATTAAGCTTTTTCCTATGCTCATATAGGAGGCAAGGTTCCATCAGACCCGTGAGATGGGGAAGAAAGATTCGAAACTTTCCCTGCCCTTGTACTGTTCAGCAGACCTGGCAACAGCTGAGAATGGTGAGAAGGAGGATGAAATGCAGGAAAAAGTTTGTCTTTTATCATTAATTGCTCAAATTATCTTCCCTTTAACGTATATAGCTCCAATCCCCATCCAGTTTCACCCAATCAAGGCAAAAGTATGAATCAAGCAGCACAAGCACACAATGGGAATCTGCACTGAGGTATATCATTCCCAGGCTGGTGAGAGGATTCAAACAGCAGTTCACTTTGGATCCAATCAAAATGATGTTCTTGTTGATGATGATTGGAAAAGGAAACTCCAAAATGTTGCAGCTGCTTTAAATCAGTGTTACAATTGAAATGTTGCAGAATAAATAATAGAACACAATGTAAACTCAGCTGTTTGGAGTTAGAAGATTTAAAATACATAACTTTATTTAATGGGGGAATATTGCAGCTACCTGCACATGCTCTGGCAGCTTCTGTGCAAGGTTTGGTGAGAACCTACAAATGCTTGGAGTTGAGCTATTGGACACATTTAACCCTGGAAGCTTGTTTAATGTTCTTCTGGGTCTTTACTGTCTAGATTATTGAAGCTGATCTTCAGGGTCTATTAGCAAAATAAAAGCACATCTAGTATCATTCCAAGTTGGGGATTCAAAAAACTGCTCACTTTGGATGAATTCAAGATGGTGGTGGAGATTTTAAAAAAGCTATGTACTTCATTGGTTGTGATTACTTTCTGTTACTAATAAATCAGAAGCGCAGAGGTATTTTGAAGGTTGACATTTGGTCTGATGAAACACAGTGTGTAGAAAGGAGTTTCAGAGAGCTGTTCACACTCCAAGAGAAGCTCCTGGCCACACCTTTAAGAAAACAGATTTGAGGTTGTTGTTTTTAAAAGCATTCCCAGATTTTGTAGGTCACGTTCTGGGAACCTGATGCTCCCCAGATGTTGCCGGACTGCAGCTCCCTGTTATCAACATCTGGAGGGCCACAGGTTCCCCTCTAGCCCAGGGCCTAAGTAAAGAGACTTTAAATTAGGCAAAAACGGCATTTCATTTCACTGGTGTGTTTTCCTGGTGCTCACTCTATGTTCTCCAGTTAAATAAGAGGTAAGGCTTCTAAAGAAGAGAGGAGGAGTGGCCATTTCTGAAGAGGTCAGTTGTAGCACAGGGACCATTTGTCATTGGCACCTATGCCAAATGGGGAAACTGGCATGTGTTATTGATTATTGAAAGCTTTCAGATAGCTGCCCCTGAGGTGGGATGTGAGAGACCAAGAATATTGAAGCTGCCAGCGAGTCAGATCTTCAGTCACAAATTCCCACTTCCAAAGGCCCCCAGGAGTCCATTGTAGTTCCCTCTGGACAGGCAGTATCCTTCTGTCCAGATTCTCCTCAGTGGACTAACACCTCCATTCGATGGCTGCCTTTCTTTCTGCAGACGGGCGCTGCCCCCTGCTTCTCAGCTGTCTCTACCACCTTGACAGTGATGCTGCTTTGCTTGAACTTCACCAGGAACCTGTAGATGACCAAGGAATCTCATGTTAAAAGATACACCTGCTCACTCCAACTTAGCAGTAGCACTTGAGCGTGTTTATTAGGCTTTCAGACACCAAACCAAATTAATCAGAAATGGCTAAGAAAGGAGGAAATTCGAAGACATTGCAGCAAGGTTAAACCAGTTTGAAAACAAAAGTGTTGCAGAAAAATCACAGTGGAACCTTAGCCACTGTATTTGGAGTTATGTGGTTTTAAACAAATTTATAAATACATTTATGTAAAAAAAATTAATGGAGAAAAACATTGCTGCAACTTGCATGAACAAGTAAGTCCTTGAGGGTTTGTACTACAAGTCCCATCAGCCACAGCTATCAGATGATACATTTAAGCATGTGACTCCCTGCAAAGGATAGTGGGAACTGTGGTTTGCCCCTCACAAAGGTTTGATTTCCAGCACCCTTAACAAACTACAGTTCCCAGGATTCTCTGGTGGAAGTAGGATTATTTGGTAGAAACAAGGCCAGATTATCAGGGGTACAACTGGAGCACTCACTCCAGAGCTGATGCCTGTAAGGGAAGAGGGAGCAGGCTCTGAGCTTTCATTTAAAAAAAATAGTCTCTAACCTTCCTGGAAGAAAAGTTATAAATGAAGATGGAGATGGTTTCACCACTACCAAATAGATATATAGTGGTACCTCGGGTTAAGTACTTAATTCGTTCTCATCCTGAAGCAAAGTTCTTAACCCGAGGTACTATTTCTGGGTTAGCGGAGTCTGTAACCTGAAGTGTATGTAACCCAAGGTACCACTGTATATTTTCTCTGCCTTTGGCTGCCTTTGATTTTGGTATATCGCCAGCACAGATTCCAGTTAAACCCATTGGTAGATCTATGTTTCTGTGGATCGACACAGTATTTCAGCATTCTTCCCATTCCCCCCTGCAGAAAAAGAATAATCCCTCACAGCCTGTCAAATAACATGGTGGTTCTCTCTGGAAAAGGAAGATGAATTTGCGGCAGGGCATCTGCTTTGCATGCAGAAGGTCCCAGGTTCAGTTCCCAGCACCTCCTGATGAGGTTGGGAATGTCCCCTGCATGAAACCTGGAAAGCTGCTATCAGTCAATGTAGACAGTACTGAACTAGATTGACTAATGGTCTGATTCGGGATAAGGCAGCTTCCCATGTCCTTATGATGCTTTGGACAAACTCCCAAACAAGAGCACCAGTGCTTGGTCCAAATCTCCCCCTCCCCTTCCCGCCTACTGCTAACTCTCTAATCTTACTCATCAGCCACTTGGAGCTTCAGTTTTTGCTTTGTAGCTTCCAGCACGGTCTGGTGGAGCCGGGTGACCAGTTCGATCAAGTGGTCACTTATAAGCAGGAAGTCCCCTTTGGTACCCGCTGTGGAGGTCTGCAAAAGGAAGAGACATTGAAACCTGATGGAGGCACCATCCTAGTCCTTACTCTAGCTAACAAGCTTTAGCACTTGCTTCCATTATGTTACCTAACCACTGGCCACCTTATGAACCAGCCCAGCATTTCTAAAATACCTCTGCAGAACCCTGGGGTTCTGTGAAGTAGTCCATGAGGTTCTGGTGGGGAAAGTGTTGCAATAACAGATAAGCACACACAAATCGTGATTTCCACTGCACTGCAGCCATGGAGATTAATAATAACAATAATAATATTAATTTTTATTTATACCCCGCCCTCCTCAGCCAAGGCCAGGCTCAGGGCGGCTAACAAGCAATAATAAAAACAAGTTGAATGAATACAACTTAAAAACAAGATTAAAATATTAAAATGCAGCCTCATCACAGGAGGAGAAAGGAAAAAGGAAAAAGAAAGTGGGGGAGGGAATCAAATTGGCTCCAAGCCAAAGGCCAGGCAGAACTCCTCTGTCTTACAGGCCCTGCGGAAAGAAATCAGATCCTGCAGGGCCCTGGTCTCATGAGGCAGAGCGTTCCACCAGGCTGGAGCCAGTGTTGAAAAGGCCCTGGCTCTGGTTGAAGCTAATCTAACTTCCTTAGGGCCCGGGACCACTAGGGTATTGCTATTTATGGACCTTGAGGCTCTCCGTGGGGCATACCGGGAGAGGCGGTCTCGTAGGTACGAGGGTCCTAGGCACCACTCAAGCAATTGTCGTCCTTCCTTCCCTCATTGCACTTTCCAAGGGTTAAATCAGTAGCAGCTAGCTGGTGGCGTAGGCAGGGCAGTGTTGTGCCAGTTGCCAAGAGTCAGAAGAGCAAGGCAGCAGTGAGACTGGTGTGCTGTGGGCACAACACTCCCCACTGCCTTGCCCCTCCCCTTTGTAGGGACTGGCAGTGACACGTGGCGTTGGGAAGCCAGGTCAACAATGCTTCCCTGCTACTGGGTTTTGCCACTGCAAAAAAATTCAGAACCATTGAACTAGCCCATCATACGCCTCTGCCTCCATAATAGCTACTTACTGTCAATGGAATGGAAAACAAGCCCATCCGCAGGACATTGGCCAAGGATGTCTGCCCACACTCAACTTTCATTTCCTTTGTGGTGCTTGATAACTGGGACTTTTGGTTCTTTCTGTATACAGGGAGTGGCTTATTCCCCCAAGTGGTCTTGGGAAACCCAGCAATCTTAGCTAAAAGGGAAGGTGGTTTAGGAGCTAGGGATTTTTATGGGATGAACTATTCTCCAATCCTGATCCTTGCAAGTTAGGCCAGTATGGAGGAAAGAAAGGTTAGCTATGATTGCAGAAGACCTTTCTAATGGCAGGTGGCTATAAAGCTGGTGGTGTGATTTCAGGACAGGTAGTGATGGGTGGGAGTGGGGTGGCAAATCCTGCTGCTGCTGATTGCTTTTCTCTTAAATCAGGCTCTGACACCGCAAACAACCCTAGTAAGAAGAGGGCAGGGTTGGGGGGGCAGGCAACAGGCTGAAGGAGTCCCTACAATTCACTGATGAATCTGTTTAAAAGACAGGGCAATCCATGTTAACTCGGAAGAAAGTTCCACTGTGCTCAGTGGGATTTCCTCTCAGTTAGGTGCATATACAGGACTAAAGTCTAAGAATTCTCTAACTGTTTGAAAAGTGTCTCAGCAGCGTTTTCTTTCATTAAAGTGTTCTTCAATGCGATTTGAAAAAGCTACATTTGAAAACTACACATTCAGAGCTCACATTTCCAGACTTGTGTGACATTTCAATTCAGCTTTGGCAGGATGGTGTTAACACCTTAAAAAAAAAAAATTGCATTTTCATATTCCCTAACCCTGCCATGGGGGTTTCAGAGGGAGTCACGAAGTAGCAAATTGGTGCTAGGATCTTCCTGGCCATTAAATTGTGTTGGTAGCTGTCAGGCCACCGCCGCCACCACCTTCCCAGTACCTCTTTAATGTGCAGAACAAAGAAGCCATCTGCATAGCGGCTGACGGAGACACCGTTGATGTCACTCAGGGTGATCACTGTTTTTGGCTGGGCAGCCTTGGGGTCTGCCAGGATGATGTGGCTCTTGGTGAGAAGGAAGATTCGAGGAGAGGCCTGGAACAGAGAGAGGAGGAAGGAAAATTGCCACCTTGAATCCCTCATGGCAGGCTCTTAAGGACAGAAGAAAAACAACCCTGCTAATTCATGCCAAACGTTCACCTAGTACCATATCCTGCTTCGACACTGGTCAGCTCATTGTGTGCAGGCCGGCCATGAAAGCACCAGCACCCCCCCTGTCATTCATCCCAAGCCCCTGTCAACAGAGGATCTTGCTCACGTAGCTGACATATTGAGGGGTGGATGGGTGAGTTTCAGGCAGGAGTTGCCAATGAGTCACTGGTGGGCGCATTGGCACCCTTGAGGTCTTCTCTGGCATCCACAAAGCCTCTGAGCCTCCTCCCCCAAACTCAGTGCCCTTGGTCTTGAGGTGGTGAGGGTGCTTACTTTAGGAAGTACACAGAGCTGACAGAGAAAGTTGGAAGTGGGATGCTCTGTTCCACAACCTATTTCAGCTTTACGTGCTTTTCAGGGCTCAGATTCACCCTAGCAGATCTGATTTTCATGACGATTCCTTGGAAAACTGAATTGCCAGAAAATAAAAGGCTCTCTTGTGACACAGTTTTTAATCGGGATCCGCCATTATGAGACAGACTATGTTGCGAGATTAATAGTCAGAGGGGGAGGCGAGCCATTGCTCTGTTGTCATGATTGTATTCTAAGTTTGACTTGGCAAATCCTTCCCTGGAAAGACTGATTTATGGTGCAACCTGTCTGGGAAAATTAATGAGCAGACACTTAGATTTTATTTCATCGGAATTGAGAAAGATGGCACCTGCCGCCCGAGCAAGATTTTTGGATCAGCGTGTGAAGATTTACTGCAAACAAAAGACTTACCAGCTTTAAAAAAAGGGAGAGCCTTACAAAGTTCACACAGAAGCATAACAATGCTTACTTTAACTCGCCTGTGGAAACAACTCAGAGGCTATTAAGAAGAAAAAGGATAACAACAGGAAGATCGAAAGATGGGATTGGTGAACACTAAAAGCAGCAGAAATATGAGATGACTGGACCCTTACTGAACTCGAAGCATGGGAACCCCCAACAAAAATTTATAATTTGGCAAAATATTTGGAGTTTATGATATGTATTGGTATAATTTGGAATAATTAATGTGATATGATTGGATTGTTAAATGGAAAACTTAATAAAAATTATTTTTTTAAAAAAGGAAAACTGAATTGCCTGTGTGTGTGTGTGTGTGTGTGTGTGTGTGTATCTGTCTTTTTCTGGGCAAGGAGAGGCAGGTGCTTTCAGTTACTAAAAAAAAATCCTAAAAATGGGCCTAAAAAGGTTGGTGACCCTCTGCTTTGAGGTGCAAGAGACTAGATAAAGGTGCTTTCAGACAGGGGCTTAATCCTGCAAACAGGCCGTGCAGGTATTGCAAATAGGTCACTGGCAATGGGGCTTCATTTCATTTGAACTGAAATTGGAAGACAGGTGAAAGAAATATTTAAATATGGCAACCCTAGAATAGTGAGAAAACACACACAGGGTTCCTTGCTCTTCCTTTTGTTCTTGTTCCTTTAGGTGCCAGAGAGGTAGGGCAGGATGTTTCTCACCTTTCCATCACCTCGGTTGACCTTCCTCACGCTGTCAGCCATGACCATCTTGCCATCAGCTGTGGCTTGGAGCTTACGATACTTGGAGTTCTCCTTTAGACCCAGGTGATCGCCTCTGAAAGGTTGTGGGAGGCTAAAAGACACAAACCACAGGTTTTCATTAGGGAGGGAGGGAGGTAAATTCAGTTTGTATGTAAAGGTAAACCTATTTAATGCACACATTCCCAGAAAATATGCAAACTGAAACGCAGCCATCCATTTGAAATCTGCATTTCTCTGAATTTTACAACGTTGTTCTCTAGCCAAGTAATGTGTGCAAAAATGTATTGTTGTTGGGTAAAGTGTGCATAGGAAAATATATATTCAGGAAAATAGCATACAAAGATGCCTTTAAAATGCCTTTAAAATGTATAAAAGTGCCTTCTAAAATGCAAATTAGGAGCAATTCACACACAAAAATGCTGATGGATTTTCATTAGTACCCTCAAACTGATGTGGAAAAGTGGAGAACTAAAGGGAAGCACTGTATTTTTCGCTCTATAAGACGCACCAACCATAAGACGCACCTAGTTTTTAGAGGAAGAAAACAAGAAACAAGAAAGCAACGCAAAGCCTCTTGAGCAAAGAGGGAGGAGCGCTCCGGCTGCACTCAAGAGGCTTTGCGTGGCTATCTCTGAAGCCAGAAGAGCAAGAGGGATTGGTGCGCACTGATCCCGCTTGCTCTCCTGGCTTCAGCAATAGCTGCGCAGCCTGCATTCACTCCGTAAGACGCACACACATTTCCCCTTACTTTTTAGGAAGGGAAAAGTGCGTCTTATAGAGCGAAAAATACGGTAATAGTTCTGTTCTATTCTGCCTTGGTCAGGCCCCACCTGTGTCCAGTTCTGGGCACCACAGTTTAAGGATATTGACAAGTTGGAAGATGTAGAGAGGAGGGCAACCATGACGATAAAAAGGTATGGAAACAGCTTTACAAGGAACAGTTGAAGGAGTTTGGTGTTTTGCCTAGGAAAGAGAAGACTGAGAGGTGATACAATAGCCTTCTTCAAAGGGCTGCCACATGGAAGATGGAGCAAGCTTGTTTTCTGCTGCTTCAGTGGGTAGGACGCGAGGCAGTGGATCCAAATTACAAGAAAGGAGAGTCAAATTGAACATTAGGAAGAACTTTCTAACAGTAAGAGCTGTTCAACAGCGTAACAGATTCTATCAGAAGGTGGTAGACTCTCCTTCACTGGAGGTTTAAAAACAGAGGTTGGATGGCCATATGCCAGGAATTTCTTAGCTCCGACTTCTGCATTACAGGAGTTTGGACCAGTTGATCACAGAGATCCCTCCCAACTCTACAGTTCTATGATTCTATAAACTTAAGGTTGGAAAGATGAGAAACACAGAGAGGTAGAAATTATTAGATACACTAATCCCTAATAGTAATCCACAGCAATCCTAATGGGTCAATTCCGGCTCGACTGGGGTGGCGCTAGCTCCTGTCTTTGCACTCACCTTTTAGGGTACAAACTCTTCTTGCCCCGGAAAAGTTCACTGGCACACAACTTGTCCTGGAGGGCTACTTTTCTCTGGGGTGGCAGCTGATCTCGATATTTCTTGCACTGCACCAGGAAAGCAGAGAGCAAAGGTGGGTGCAGATAAGAAGCAAAAGGAGAGTCAACATTGCAAACTCCAAAACATACCCTATTTACTTTAGCAAGGAAGAAACACACGCAAATTTACTTCAGTCACATTTGCTTCCAAAAAAAAGAAAGTTTCAAATTCATATTCTTCTGCTTTGATTGCTTTTGTTTCTTTAAAAGCACTCCCAAATATGAATGTTCTTGCACTGAGGAGTACTTCCCCACCCCTCTATTTTTTTTGTTGAATCTGGCAAGCAAGAACATGATTCTGCTTTCTGCTGTCTTGTACTCGAAGGGCAGGAAGAGAATCCAGGCTCAGGTCCATGTCCATTGGTGGCTGCATCATTCTACCTAACAGTAGGGCTGGCCCTGATTTTGTGGCTTGTGCTTGGCAGAAGGAAAACAACGCTAGGTCTCCCCAAGCTTCAAGTGACATGGGCCAGGAAAGCCTGTGATGACTGAGCGAAAGTGATCAACATCAAGTTGACTGCTGGGGCCACTTCAGTCATCTCTAAAGCACCATGTGGTGACAGTGCCCTATATTGAGATTGTTGGGCTGTAAAAATATAGCCACACTGTGCACTGTAACGATGGGAGAGGAGGTAGACACTGGATGCATGTCTGGAAGGCATGGGATCCTCTGCTATGTTGTGATTAGCCCTGCACAGCTGTGTCTTGAAAAGGCAAGGATTCGGTAGCTGTAGGCAGATGAAAATGATGGACTACATGGAATTAGCGGAAATGACTGGCAGAATCCGAGACCAGGGAGAAGAGTCGGTGGAAGAAGATTGGAAGAAATGTAAAGACTACTTACAGAAATATTGTAAAATTAATGAATGTTAGAATGATGTCGGATTGAAGTTAAGTGGTTTCTAGCTGTAATGGTATAAAAGAATATGGAAAAATTGATCTTTAATACGTAAAAATTTAATGTTATAATATATCAAGATTAAAGATCAGGATTAAAAAGGAGGGAAAGGAATTGCTGGACTAACAAATTGAATTGGAATACAAAAGAGGGTGGTATGAGGAGGTCCGGGAAACAAGTAAATGTAAGAGAAGTGATGAAAAGATGGAATTGTTTTTAACTGTTTTTTTTCCTTTTTTGTATTTTGTATTTTGTATTTTTCCCTTTTATTGTTAATTTTCTTATTAATGTAATCTCTTTCTTTTTTTTTGAAATTTTAATAAATATCATTTAAAAAAAAAAAAGGATTTGGTAGCTGTAGCAGCAACGGTTCTACTTATGTGCAGCACCCACATGCCCTGTGGTGGGATGGGTCCAAATAAAACCTAACATTGTTTGCCTGGAAATTTATCCACAAAATGAAACATTAATTTAAAAAGAAAACTCAGTTCAACTTGCCCAAGTAAGCAAAAGCTCACTCCACACCCACACTGTCACTTTGAACCTTGCTTGGTCTTGCAGAGACAACTCTGGTGCCTCAGCAAAGTGTGTTGGATGTGGAAGCAGCTGTTCTATGATTCCTGTCAACAACGTGGGCGGCTCACATAGTATCAGAGGCACAATGAGAGGACAGATGAGGAAGAAATTTGTTTCCGTTTGCATTTAAAGGAGACGCTGTCAAATTTGCACTTTCTGAAACACTACGAGGACTGAAACAGCCATCCTTCAAAATTTGTGCCCATTCAAATTTTGCAAGGCAGTTCTCCATCCAATCAGTGTTTACTATAATGCATATATTAGGGGAAAGTATACATAAAAATGAACATACTTCTTCAAAAATAACGTACAAAGGTGCCTTCTGTTAAGGAAAACTGCTTGTAAAAACATGCATATTAGTTAAAACTGCATATAAAAGTGTGTTTAATTAGGAGAATTTTGCACTAAAATGCTGATGAACTTCTGCAGAAATGAACGTAAGATTGGGAAAATGAGAAATTAATTAATAATAATAATAATAATAATAATAATAATATCTTTATTGTCATTGCCCCCTTCGGGGACAATGAAATTACTTGACTGCTCCATAAAAACACTAATTAATCAATACAGTAATTGAGAACCAGGATTGACAGATTCTTCCATTCGTAACTGAGGAGGGAAATGAAGAGGCAAATTGGGGGTGGGGGTGGGGAGTTGCCTCCTTTCCTGTTTTCCACTCTTCCATCCTACCACTGTTTAATGGAGCCCCTCTCCCACGCAAATATAATTTGCAAAGTATCTCCAGGGCCACCGTATTTGTTGGCCCAGTAATTATATACACAGAATACCTGCTACCAGTAGTCTCAAAATTGAGGGCACTTCCAGACATCCTGTTTATTGCACATTCATCCTGATGCATTTGAGATGGGATTAGCTGCCGCTGCATCAAAGGCAGGGTTATCGCACACTGCATTTCCCTCAACAATTTCCTTATCACAAAACATTTAATCATTTGTGGAAGCAGGTTTGCTGTGCAACGCTTCCATATCGACTATAATTTAAGGTCCACAAATGACAACACCTTGGAGGTCCCAAGTCTCAAGGTGGTTAGATTGGTCTCAACTAGGGCCAGGGCCTTTTCAGTACTGGCCCCGACTCTGTCACAAGAGACTAGGGCCCTGCGGAACTTGACATCTTTCTGCAGGGCCTACATGACAGAGCTGTTCCGCCTGGCCTTTGGTTTGGACTCAGTCTGACCCTTATGTTTCCCTCCCCTTATGATTTTGATCTATGGGCTACTGTTAAAATGAGGCTGCATTTTAAATTGTATTTTAACCTGTATTTTAAATGGGTTTATTATTATTATTATTGTAATTTTACTGGTGTTAGCCCCCCTGAGCCCGGCTTTGGCCGGGGAGGGTGGGGTATAAATAAATTATTATTATTATTATTATTATTATTATTATTATTATTATTATTATTATATTGTGCAACCTGAATTTGTCAGAATGTGATTGAATCCCAGACGAGAGCAGTGACAGTCTGGAAGCACCCTCAGTTTCACTCTGAAAGAATTACGCATAGAAATGAGCCATAATCCCGCTCTAACCCTCCAATGGTGGAAGATCTTCTTCAGTTCTTCATTGGGGCCTGTGAGAAACTTGTATGGAGCTGGCGGCCAAGCCTGGTCAGTCACTGTCATGGAAGGGAGGTTGTTCTTCAAACCCAGGAGGAATTTTTGCACCTATAAGAAGGGAGATAGAGAGCACATAAAACCTCAAGGCAATGTTTCCCTAAGTGGGCAATACTGTACCCTAGAGAGTGCTGGAACAATCTAGCGGGTAGTAGCAGCATTGGGTTCATTGAATAAAAATAAGGGGGCAGTGGAAGCATAAAGAAAGAAGAGATTTTGGAGGGGAAATGTGCATGTTTCATCTGTTGTGTAATGACGCTTACTGCCAGGTCAGCCGCCTTTGCAGGATGGTGACAACCCCTTGCCTGGATCTGGCGGTCGTGCTGCAGGCGAGGGGGTTTCCTGCTGTTACGGAAATAAGGGGGGATGACCCATCTTTAAAGTTATTAAATGTTACAAATATTATGCCTGAATGTATCTTTTCGACTTGACAGCTCAGCTTTCAAGCTTTAAAAATCATGTAAAATCAACTCCTTTGCCAGTTTACTCCATTCCAACGCTATTTTGCCCTTGGAAAAAAGGACTCTTTCCCCTGCCACCTCCCCAAGCCTGAAGACATGTATACACACCTCCTACCCCAGGACATGCCCAGAGGTGACAATTGCTGGGCTCATTGTTAGCCAAGGGAAGCCAAATCTCATCACTGGACTTGCCTCAGGCTCCAGACATGCAAAGGAAGTTCTATTGTACTTTGGGTGGTGGGTACTTAAGACATGGGACGCGGGTGGTGCTGTGGGTAAAACCTCAGTGCCTAGGGCTTGCCGATCGCATGGTGAGCTCCCCGCGGCGGGGTGAGCTCCCGTCTTTCGGTCCCAGCTCCTGCTCACCTAGCAGTTCGAAAGCACCCTTAAGTACAAGTAGATAAATTGGTACCGCTTTATAGTGGGAAGGTAAACAGCGTTTCCGTGTGCTGCGCTGGTGCTGGCTCGCCAGAGCAGCTTCGTCACGCTGGCCACGTGACCTGGAAGTGTCTCCGGACAGCGCTGGCCCCCGGCCTCTTAAGTGAGATGGGCGCACAACCCTAGAGTCGGACATGACTGGCCCGTACGGGCATGGGTACCTTTACCTTTACTTTACTTAAGACATGTTTGCCTGTGCTAATCTTGTACAGTGGTACCTCAGGTTACATACGCTTCAGGTTACATATGCTTCAGGTTACAGACTCCGCTAACCCAGAAATAGTACCTCGGGTTAAGAACTTTGCTTCAGGATGAGAACAGAAATTGTGTTCCGGCGGCGTGGCAGCAGCAGGAGGCCCCATTAGCTAAAGTGGTGCTTCAGGTTAAGAACAGTTTCAGGTTAAGAATGGACCTCTGGAATGAATTAAGTACGTAACCAGAGGTACCACTGTACTTGGGTGTTGCCCTGACATATCTGTCTATGCTAATCTTGTGTAACGCTCCCCTTTTGTGACACGTTAGTGATGCAACAATGATGTATTGATGATGCTGTGTGAACTGTATTCTGGGATATGGTGGCAAAGTTTTAAAAGTGAATGTCGCCCCATGCTCAGGGTTCTTACTGCTGTTTGAACCTGTTGCGCAACAATAAAGGATCTAAGTCTACTGACTGCTGTTTTGCTCCAAATTACTTGGCTGGAATTTCATTCTTTTACTGACCGCATGGACCTGCGGGGGACTTGTACCCGACGAGCTTGGCGTTGAGTAGTCTCTCAACCCAGAATTTTCTTTAACACTGGGCTTGGGTGAACCCCTTTCAGCTTCACCCAGGCCTGGGAAATGGATTGCAGCTTGCCTGCCTATTTAGTCATTGGCAAATTTACTATGTTGTAGGACATAGGTAGAAATATAGATACACAAAAGAACACCTATTTGTTACTCAATTTTCTGTTTGTTCATTTAAAGAAAGTAGTTTTCCAGGGGGGCTCTGAGTTTTGTTTTGTTTTCTGAAAAGGGGGTGGTAGGCCAAATAAGTTTGGGAACCTCTGCCTCAAGGCATCTAAAAGGGTTGCGTGCACATTATAGTGTGAAGGAGCATTGCTTTTATGGCAAACAAACAACTACTGCTACCACCTCCTCTAGCCTGAAAGATGGAAAGGCCAAGGATTGCAGCTGAGACCTTTTGCATGTAAAGTCATGTGATTTACCACTGGGCTGAGACTCTTGCCCTGAATAAGCACTGTGGTTAACTCTTCCTTACACAGCACATCCATTGCCTGCCTGCATTGATGCTAACAACAGCAACACTTAACATTTAAATTTATTGAGTTCCGCTATCCCTCTGAGTAGGGACATGGGTGGCGCTGTGGGTTAAACCACAGAGCCTAGGACTTGCCGATCAGAAGGTTGGTGGTTCAAATCCCCACGACGGGGTGAGCTCCCGTTGCTTGGTCCCTGCTCCTGCCAACCTAGCAGTTCGAAAGCACTTCAGAGTGCAAGTAGATAAATAGGTACCGCTCCGGCGGGAAGGTAAACGGCGTTTCCATGCGCTGCTCTGGTTCACCAGTCACTAGTCATGCTGGCCACATGACCTGGAAGCTGTATGCCGGCTCCCTCAGCCAATAAAGTGAGATGAGCGCCACAACCCTAGAGTCAGCCACAACTGGACCTAATTGTCAGGGGTCCCTTTACCTTTACCTTTTACCCCTCTGAGCTCAGTGGGATAGTACCAATGTCACAGTAAAAGGCGGGGGGGACGCCTGCTGACAATCATCACTTTCATTCAAAGATTTAAAAGCCCTTTCCCTTTTCTTGCTATGTTATTTCTTGGATATAATTTTAGAAATGGGACAGGAGGAACATACTCACCAGACCCGTGTAGATAAACTTAGTGATACGCTGAGAAGCCCCAGAGCGGAAATACTTCTTGTATTCCTTCCGTGTCTGCAAACAGACAAAAGCCCTGCTCGGTGAGCGTGCTGAAGTCTAAATAACATCTGAAGAAAAGAAGCTGCTGTGTACCAAATAAGGCCATCCCACTTTGCCTATTATTGTCTACTCTGACCGGCAGTGCTCTCCCAAGCATCAAGAAGAGATCTTTCCCTACCTGGTTCACAAGGCCTCTTTTTAACTGGAGATGCCAAAGGTTGAACCCAATACCTCATGCATGTAAAAAAAAAAAGTGTGTTCTACTGAGCCAGTGGCATATTTGTTACCTGATAACCTCTCCAGTAAGCAGTAATGATGGTGGCAGCATGATTGCGGCTCTTTTGTTGCTTCAGCTGCCGTAGGAGTTTACGAGACTGTGGAGGAAGGGAGCGGATAGGTAAGAACCCCAAAGGGTCCCAGAAAAAAGGGGGAGGGGGACAGAGAGCAGCTTTACTAAGACCTACAATTTTCTTGGTCATTACTAATAACATCTCAGACAACATTGGACATCATACATAGTTATGCCCTGAAATTTTTCCAGTTTGGCACGCACACATGTGCAGCAGGTGCGTGTATGCGCAAGGATTTGAAATGGCAAGGTAACAAAATCTGGGCAACGGTGTACAAACTTATCATTTCAGCCTCATCTGTCTACTTAGCATCTGAGCCCGTTAGCAGCTCCTAAGTTGTCTGCAACTGACAAAAAATTCCAGGCTACTGAAGAATACGTGAGATTTTGTTGCATAAAATGAGCATTGAATATATAACGTCAGAACATTAATATTTTAAAATAAAAATTCTTGCATATTATTTAATTACTTTGACTATATAAGTAACTGAACCCTAGAACCTTTAAAGGCCCGGCCGCAACCATATTCTGGATGTCACCTGCCTCACCTTCCATCCTCGGACATAGGCCTGGATAAGAAGAGCTGACATTTTCATCTTCCCATATTTCTTCTTTTGCTGCAAAATAAAACACTCACTTTAGTAGACAGACAGGCCATGAACAAACAGGGAGTCATCAGTGGTAATTCCCACCCCTTTTGACTGGTAGGGTAGAAGGCCAGGAGGCCAACAGTAGATGGCGCCAGAGCCAATGGCAGACAGGGCCAACTAATTCTAGTTTTGCACACACACACACACACACACACACACACACACACACACACCCTCTTCTGACCGCTGTTAAGGCAATACTGAGACTAAGGAGGAGGAAACTGACAGCCAGATCCACCCGCTTGACTGGTTGTAAGAAGGCAGCCTTGTGAGGGCTGCCACCCCGCCCCGCCCTGTACGACCCTATTGACATATCAAGGCAGGTTGGAACTCGTCTTGGTGTGATTTTCACCTCTTGCTTTCAATAACTAGGACAAATATGGAATGCAAATATTTCTTCAAACTGCATTGCAAATGCCCTTGTTAAACTGGAGCCAAGTATCACTCTGTCTAACAGCCTTCCCAGTTCTCATGGATGCAAGCAAGACGATGATTTAATACTGGCCCATTACTGTTGATTTTGCAAAACACAGAGGACAGTGAGGTCTGCAAGTTAAAAAGCACCAAAGTCTGTAAAATCATATGTGTATCACTCTCTGCATCTTACCGCTTGGCCCCGGTACCAGGCAGAGATGACGATTTGGCTCTTGCGCATCTCTAGAAAGTTCTTGCGGCATTTCCAGGCCCGGAAGGTTGCTTGGATCAGTGCAACCAGCTCCTGTATCCGCTGCTGGCGTCTCTCCTCCAAATAAAAAAGCTGTGAGGGAAAAGGTTGAAAAGCACCAATACAGGGTTCAGACCATGGAAGAAATTACAGCCTGATCTGCATTAACTTTGATGTTAGCTTTGATGTTCCTTCATGCTCCTACCAGACAAATCCTCAGGGCCTAAAAGGTTAAGATTACCAGCTTCTGCTCCTTGTAGATTTCCTATCCTCAGGTTCCCACATCAACCAAGGGCATTTTGCACGCATAGGTTTGTGTTTTTAAATGGGTTTCGTAAATGCAACTGCAGTGAAGGCTACAGTGGCCAGGCCGCACGTTCAGTTGATCTTCTGCAGTCTGTCCTACTTTCCCAGCAGACATGTGTGCCACAATCTGTGAGTGAGAGGAAGATCACTTCCAGAAAGAGTTGGGGTAGAAATTAAACTCAGTTCACATTTAAAAGCAAATCAAATTTGCACTTTCTGAAAAAATATGAGGGCCAAAACACAGACATCCTTTGAAATTCACACTTATCCAAATTTTGTGATGAAGTTCTCTACGAAAGCGCGTAATAATAAATACATGAAAATAACATAGACAAAAGGATTATATTATGGGAAACTGGTTGCAAAAATGTGTTGATTTATTGAGCATTCATCCTGATTTGTTTTTACACGTTTTCCCATTAATCATTTGCTTATCCCACACTTTTCATTGTGTTTTCCATGTCAGTTTCCCAACAGCAAAAAGTCCATTTTAGTTGCCCCCCCCCCAGTGGATTTGTTGCGCTAAGGTGATGGATAACTTTGAGCACACCTAAATTTCCGGTATGCAGTTGAATCCCTTCCCACAAAATATTGAAAGTCTGGAGGCATCTATAGACGAATATGGTTGGCTATGCAGTGTGGTGACATATATTTTGTCCTATCTTTCATTTTGTAACGCATACGCCTTAAGTGAAAAATATTTGGTGCAACCCTAGGAGCAACATTCATTCCTCCCACTAACTCCAGAAGAGCTGGTAACCATTGACCTCCCCTCTTGGTCCTAACATCAGTTGCTCACCGTGCGTGGCGTGCGGATGAAGATCTTGGTGTGCCCGTATGCCAGTTCTTTGGAGTCAATGGGCAGACTGCTCAAAAGGGCTTGAACACCATCCCTGCACCAGAAAGGGGAATGTAAGAGATCAGAGATTGCCTAGCCACCACCTGGGCTCACTCTTAATTGGTTGGGACGGGTGTGTGTGGGAGGGGTGTTACTGCCCATGTGCCTAATGCCAAGCTGCACTGCAGGTCTCCACCACAGACCAGGTCACCCAGCTGGCACAAGCCTGGAACATCCAAAATGCTTATGCCTAGGGGAGCCTGTGCATGTACACACAGTGGGAAGCTGCAAAGTAGGGTGTCAGGAGCCAGAGTCAAGGGTAGGTCAGCAATGAAAACACAGTGTCAATGAAGTTAACTCTTTATTCAAAGAAACTAAAACAGTGCAGGCAAGTAATCCCAACTCCAAAAAGACAGTTGCAAGGACCAAAGATCCTCACCTTCCACTGCTTCCTAAGTTCCCTCCTCTACAGGGTTTTTGCCAAGCAATCGTAGACTGTGTCCGTGCACAATCAACCTCTGCTCTGCTCTTTTCATTTCTCTGCATGTTCCAAGAGACCAGGGTGGAGAAGGGAGCTGGTCGCAGCAGGAGGGGGAGACTCTACTCCATACCTGCCTCTTGGCCCCCCTCCTCTCCAGCCTCTGAGCCTGGTCTCTCTGCCCCAGCCTCTCCCTGCCCACTAAACCCTGCTTCCAGCACCACCTCCTCCCAGTCTCCTCCCTCTTCTCCCTCTAACCAGTCATCGTTGTCCCACCACCAATCCCCTGGCTTTGAGCTTTCTTCTCTTGGGAGTTCCCCCAGCTAGTGCCTCCCACCACTCCTCTGCAGCCAGCCAGTCCATGATGTGGGATGACCCTCCAAAACCACCTGCATCTGTCCCCATCACCACACAAATGTGCTACATGCTTCCTTTCCAAGCAAAGCCTAGCCCAGTGGTCAGGGATCTCACCCCCAGCAACCAAATGCAGCCCTCCAAGTTTCTCTCTCTAGCCCTGTATCAGCATTATTAAATCCTTGGATGAGTCCACTATATGGGTATTCTGCTGACCCCTTCATGTAACCACCAGGCTCTGATGGCAACCTCTCCAGCACATCGCAGTTTCTGTGTCCTACCTGGCGCTGCCTTTCCACTTTGGCCAAGTCTCCTTGGAGAGCATCTTGTAGCGCTCCAAACATGGGTCATAGAGCTGCCGATAGGCATAACCAGCCCGCCGAACACGCACGTTCTCCAACAGGCCAAGGTAGCGCACCTGTGTCCGAACCAGATCATCTGTGAACACAGCAGCCTTTTTGGTGTCATTGGGCTTGATGCACCTGCAGCAAAGAGGACATCCTTATTGAGTGAGATTACTCTCCCATCTCTGTCAGCAAACAGGCTGGGTCCAAAGATAAGTCTAGTAGCAGCCTCATACCTAGAAATGCTTGGGAATTCTGAGACATAAAAAAATCAGTGCAGCCTTTAAAGGTTCAGTTCATCTTTAGTCAAAATGGTGCTGAATTATATCTAAACATAGATGAAAGCCTGCTCCTTGATCCTAGGAACCATCACACAAAGTTTTGTTATGCGATCTTAAGAAGTGTCCGAATGCACAGAGAACAATCAGCTTTCCAAAATAAATAGATGTCTATCCACAGTTTCTCTCTTACACACACACACATACACACACAAATTACCTGATGTAATTAGGGTTCTTAGAATAGAGATTCTTCATGAGGGTGGCCACAGAGGCTTTGAACTGTGAACCAGCAGTGGGTGGACGCTTGAGTGAGGCTTTCTGGGGGTCCCCTTCAGGGAAGAGGCTGCGCAGGAGAACGTGTTTGGCCTTCCACATGGCTTGTGACAGGTCTCTAAAGAGCAGGTCGTTGTTCTTCTCTATGAATCCGATCACATTGTAGGTCACCTGAGGTGGAGAAGACTCAGTGCCTAAGTAGTTCTCAGATACATTCCTAGTGAACACAGTGCATCACCCATTAATGGAGGCACATAGAAGGGAAGACTTCAAGTTGAAGATGAGAGAAGAGACACATTCAGATGGAAACAAAGTGCTCTGGCCCACAACCCAACTCCCACTCTGTCGTGGTTCCCAAGGGCCTCCCAACCTTTCTGTCCGTGCTAAAGTCCTTCTTAGAGGGTCAAGTTTCTCCTAGGACTGTCCAATTCTCCTTTTACTCAAGGGAAATCCACCACTACACCTTGCAGTATATTTTGCCCACCTGGGACTAAGGTAGTAAGCATATCTTTGGTCTGCACCACCTCAGACTACAAGTGGGGGCTCACATACAAAAATAGAATAAAAATTAAAATTACATATTTATCCACAAAATAACCTAGCACGTTCAAGAGAAGGTTAGGTTGAAAGCCTTCTCCCTACTTATATCTAGTCTTAATCCCAGGGTTGTGGGTCCGAGCCCCACATTGGGCAAAAGATTCCTGCATTGCAGGGGGTTGGACCAGGGGGTTGGTTGCTTCCAACTCTGCAATTCTATGTTTCTATGGTTCTATAAGACCTGGTGGGTCTTCGCGAGGGATTTCACATGGAGGGAGCTCTACAGTTCAGAAACACTTCTCTGCGTTTACGCAGCAGTAATTTCCTTCACCTCACATGCTCCCCGCCACATTTCCCAAACCATTCCAAGGGATTCAGGCACTTCAGCTTTAGGAAACTATATTTTAACCCAGGGGTGGTAGCTAACCTTTTCCAGCTCAAGATTCACCACCTTTCCAAGGGCTACATGCCAGCACTGCAGGGGAGCTACCCCTGTTCTAACCTCCTGCGCTCCCCAAACGGACCCGTTTTTGAGAAAGACTCCTAGCGCCAATTACCTTGCCAGCATAGTGGTGAATACGGAAGCAGTTCGCATGCAAGCTGTTGTCCATGATACGCTTGTCATTCTGTGTGACCCTGCTCTCGTAGCGTTGGTGTCCCTTGTAGACTTGGTTGAGCTTGTTCAGGAATGTGGCTTCATTCACCTCGCCCGGGCGAAGGCACTCCTCATCCAGCATGGCCAGGATCCCACCTTTGCCCTACGGAAAGAAGGAACACTTAGAACACTGCAGGGGAGGCTGGTCCACTAGGGCAAATGGGGCACTACGCCGCCAACCTCAGTCAGCCAACGCGATTTCTCATACATTTAACTGATGCAATGCATTTAACTGAAACGTTTCTTTGATGTGTCTAGAAGATCTTGTCTAGATCATTGTCTTCTCCACTGTGGTGAGAAGTGTACAGTCATACCTTGGGTTACAGACGCTTCAGGTTGCATTTTTTCGGGTTACGGACCCGCCGAAACCCGGAAGTACCAGAATGGGTTACTTCCAGGTTTCGGGTGTCGCGCATGCGCAGAACGTTCCGCTGCGGGTTGCAAACATGCATCCCGCACGGATCACGTTTGCAACCCAAGTGTCCACTGTAACTTCATGTCCACTTTAATTTTAGTTAGTATTTTCCAGATTGGCATCTATATACACTAACAAGCAAATCCACATTTTATGCAAATCTGCCTCTTCCTTTGCCCTCTGTTTGGCTGATGCATAAGTGGCTATGATAACACTTCACAGTGAGTAAGGCCCACTGAACTCAGTGGAGCTTACTTCTGAGCAAGCAGGCATGGGGTGTCTTCAGCTCTTTCAAATGCCTGCTCTTCTCTTTGCCTGCTCCTTGTAGATGCAGTTAAAAAAACAACAACAGATCGTGGTTGCTGGCCTTTCCAATTCCTCGTCCATGGCCCTTCTTTCTGCTTGTTAGCCTGTCTCCTCTGTGGATTGTTTTTCTTTTCTTTTCTTAAAAAAAAATAAGCCATCTGTTTGTGAAGTACTCAGCCCACGGAAGGGAAAGACAGGAACCTAGAGCAGTTTTCTTTTGTAAAAGGCAAAGCTGTGTTCTTTGGCCTCCTTCTCCACCACTCCACTTCCACACACACACACACACACGGCTGAAGATAGATTAATGCAGGGCTGAGTCTTGACCCTTGCTGGCACTCATAAAACACTGGACAAAAATGAGTGCAGAGAAGGCCAGATTATCTACGGCGAAAATGCCAGAGTGTGCCGGAGTTGTGAAAGAAAAAGGAGGCATTGGATGAAGGGAGGCAGTGGTGGGAAAGGAAGAGTGGAATTTGCTGGGCAAGAGACTGAGTGGTGGCTGTTCTGGTCACAGTAACCTAGCAAAAGACAGCTTTTCATTACAGTGGTACCTCGGGTTACATACACTTCAGGTTACATACGCTTCAGATTACAGACTCCGCTAACCCAGAAATAGTACCTCGGGTTAAGAACTTTGCTTCAGGATGAGTACAGAAATCGTCCAGCCGCGGAGCGGCGGCAGCGGGAGGCCCCATTAGCTAAAGTGGTGTTTCAGGTTAAGAACAGTTTCAGGTTAAGAACAGACCTCCAGAACGAATTAAGTACTTAACCCGAGGTACTACTGTATTGAAAACCAAGAGGTGTGAGGACTTAGCCCTGCATGGAAACATTGCCAACCACTCTGTTAAGTTTTTATTGTGTATGCTGGGGCAGGGACCAACTGCAGTGGCAAAGTGAGAAGGCATTCTGCACATACTCAGAGGCACTTTTCCCACTTGAGACAATGGTAGACTACTGAAACCTGCCACAAGCTGGGAAGCCGCTTCTCATCCTCCTCAGCACTGCCCCCCCCCCCATGGGAACATCTCTGATTACATCTATCCCGTGCAGTCTCACCTCCTGGCCCTGAGCACACCCGCACCTGCTAAGATTAAGGAAAGGGTTTGCATCACATGCAACTAACGCCATGGGGTTATGCAGCCTCCTTGTCCACCTTGTTCTACCTGTCTTATGCCTAGTTTTTAATTTGTTCTGCCACTTTCCCTGGGGAAACCTGCTGTTTACCTCTGAATCAGAACAAAAGTCAATCCGCAGAAAAACTTATTGATGTTTGCTCCGATTCAGTGGTGGCAGCAGGACAAGCGGAAGTGTGGATGAGCCCTTAGAGCAGGGGTAGGCAACCTAAGACCCGGGGGCTGGATGCGGCCCAATTGCCTTCTCAATCCAGCCTGCGGACAGTCCAGGAATCAGTGTGTTTTTACATGAGTAGAATGTGACCTTTAATTTAAAATGCATCTCTGGGTTATTTGTGGGGCCCGTTTGGTGTTTTTACAGGAGTAGAATGTGTGCTTTTATTTAAAATGCATCTCTGGGTTATTTGTGGGGCATAGGAATTTGTTCATTTCCCCCCCCCAAAAAAAAATAGTCCAGCCCCCCACAAGGTCTGAGGGGCGGTGGACCAGCCCACAGCTGAAAAAGGTTGCTGACCCCTGCCTTAGAGACACAACATGAGCACTGGAAGCGAAGAAAAGCTCTGAAAGGGATGAGGTCTTGGATTTATGGGATTACAAGTCTTCTTTCTCTCCCCACTTTATTCACCATTGCTCCTGAAACAACTTACATCCTCTATCAAGTTGCAGATTATGCTGTTATCGAAAAAGTCCACAGGAGTCCAAGCAATACCCTGGGGGGGGGGAGAGAAAGCATGTTATTAGCAGGGAAAGGGAGGCCCACAATCACTAGGTAAAGGTAAAGGGACCCCTGACCATTAGGTCCAGTCGTGACTGACTCTGGGCTCATCTCGCTTTATTGGCTGAGGGAGATGGCATACAGCTTCCGGGTCATGGGGCCAGCATGACTAAGCCGCTTCCTGCGAACCAGAGCAGCGCACGGAAACACCGTTTACCTTCACACCGGAGCGGTACCTATTTATCTACTTGCACTTTGAAGTGCTTTTGAACTGCTAGGTTGGCAGGAGCAGGGACTGAGTAATGGGAGCTCACCCTGACGCGGGGATTCAAACCGCCAACCTTCTGATCAGCAAGTCCTAGGCTCTATGGTTTAATCCACAGTGCCACCCGCGTCCCCTGGCTTTCATCACTACTGCTTACCAAAGTGCTACAGGAGCGTGGCAGGGTGAAGAAGAAGAAGAAGTTTGGACTTGATATCCCGCCTTTCACTCCCCTTAAGGAGTCTCAAAGCGGCTAACAATCTCCTTTCCCTTCCTCCCCCACAACAAACACTCTGTGAGGTGAGTGGGGCTGAGAGACTTCAAAGAAGTGTGACTGGCCCAAGGTCACCCAGCAGCTGCATGTGGAGGAGCAGGGAAGCAAACCCGGTTCCCCAGATTATGAATCCACCGCTCTTAACCACTACACCACGCTGGCTGGGTGGCTGCAGAGCTCCACAGCCACCCTGGCAGGAGTGCCAGATTGGCTCCACCACTGCAGCTCCAAACTCACTGCCCCATCCCATCAAGTGGTAGGGAGGTAGCACCACCCCACCGCTCCTGATGTGAGTTGTAGTAGTCTAACAGCATCTAGGCAGGGCCCAGAACACAGGTTCTCAGCTCCTCACCCTGTCTAGTTAAGCATCCTGGCTCCCACTTTGCCCAACCAGATGCTTGAGAAGCCCACAGACAGGACATTAGCACAAAAACGCTCTCCCCTTTAGTTGTTCCCTAGCAAATGGTATTCAGAGGCTTGCAGCCTCTGCCCTGGAAGTAGAATATAGTCATCATGATGACTAGTAGCCACTGACAGCTCCTCCTCTTGCAAACAGGAAAAGGGCTTCCACATAACAATGGTTCAATCTGCACAGGAAACCTGTTCTGTTGTAACAAATGGACAGGACCATCCCAACTACCCCACACACACCAACATTATACACCCCCACCTCTTTTTTACATACTATACTATATTTATATTTTCCTATAAAATACAATTGCTTCTCTGATCTTATGGTGAATCCTAGAGGTTATTGGCACCTGTACATTTAAAGTTATTTGTTTAATAGACTATTGTAATTTAATATTCTGTTGGAAGCCGCCCAGAGTGCCTGGGGAAACCCAGCCAGATGGGCGGGGTATAAATAGTATATTATTATTATTATTATTATTATTATTATTATTCCTGCACTGTTTGTTTGTGTATACACACACACACACACACACACACACACATATATATATATATACATACATACATACACACACACACACACACACACACACACCTATTCTATTAATACCCTTGCCCTTGCCCCTTGCCTATGAACCAGGCCTGGCTCTGGAAAAATTGTCTACCTCCCGAATGTACTCCTCTTGCTCCTCCTTCAGGGTCAGCAGGATGAAGATTTGCTGCAGCTTCTCGTTGCAGTAATTGATAATGAACTGCTCAAAGCTGTTGTCCTACATAGAGGAGTGGGAGAAAAAATAGCAACTTTGAAAGCAAAAGAGCCCCAGGTAAAGGATGGGTGCATCCTAGATCGACTCCCACATATAAAACCCTGACCATATCCCCTAAGCCTGACTCTCAGCCCTGAAGTCTCCACGCAACATACTGTAAATCCAGTTCATGTTTGTGCTCCTCCGTTTAATATACATAACAAGACATGGAAAGATAGAGAGGTAGCAATGCGCACATAACACATGAACATGAATTCAGAGAGAGCACCTTCTCATATCTGAAGGCACCAGCCTGCCCCAGAGTCAAACCCACTTGCCAAGACCCTGACCAAATATCTGCCTTTAGAAGCCAGAACCAGGAATATCCACTACTCACCTGAAAAATCTCAAAGCCATAAATATCCAGGACACCCATGACTTTCTTGTGCTCAGTTGTTGCCACCTAGAAGAAGAAGAGGAAGAAGAAGAAGAAGCAGAAGGTGTCCTGAAAGCATTCATACTTCCCATTCTCCCCATGTCATTTAATTGGGGATAGTTACCATCTTGTTTCTGTCTTCCTAATCATGAATACATATTTTTTTCCCAAAATTTTTTTTGTCAGTGCCTATATGAAAATGTATGGGACGCGGGTGGTGCTGTGGGTTAAACCACTGAGCCTAGGACTTGCCGATCAGAAGGTCAGTGGTTCGAATCCCCACGACGGGGTGAGCTCCCGTTGCTCGGTCCCTGCTCCTGCCAACCTAGCAGTTCGAAAGCACGTCAAAGTGCAAGTAGATAAATAGGTACCGCTCCAGCAGGAAGATAAACTGTGTTTCCATGCGCTGCTCTGGTTCACCAGAAGCGGCTTAGTCATGCTGGCCACATGACCCGGAAGCTGTACGCCGGCTCCCTCGGCCAATAAAGCGAGATGAGCGCCGCAACCCCAGAGTTGGCCACGACTGGACCTAATGGTCAGGGGTCCCTTTACCTTTAAACCACTGCTTTAATACATTGGATGGTAAACTCATTTTCTCTGTTTTAAGTCAGGTGGATCATATCCACTGCGCACACTCACTTTGATGCTCTCGTTGATCCTGTTGACGAGCCAGTTAAATAGCCGGTTATAAACGTTCTTTGCTAGGGCATCCCGCACATAGTAACCCTAGGAAGCAAGACAGAGATTGTTAGACCATGAAACACACAGCCCGTTCAGGAAGCTGAGAACCGTGGGTCAGAGTGATAGCCACTCCCTTGGGAAGAACTCAGCCCTAAAGCTCCCAGGTCAGAACCATCCTGGATTACAGCTATCTGATGGGGGCATGCTTTAGACATCCTAAGTATTCTGGTCCGAAACCAGTCTTAGAATCATCACTGTAACTTGTAAAATTATGATTTACGGCTGCTGTACAGAACTGCCATTTCTAGAATTGTTTGAAAGAAGAAGGTATGACGGGGGAGTATACTACATTCATAGGATGTTTTGTTCCCTACAACAGCCTGGCTTTCAACTAGGGGTGTCAGAGAGTTCCGTCAAAAATGGAAATTTGAACAGAAATGGCCACAATTTGCGTGTTCGACCACTGTCAAGAACTGAAATCATACAAGTGAATATGTGTGCTATTCACTATGATTGATTTTTCAGTCAGCAAATGTTACATCAATAATTATATCATATTGGCCTGAATATAAGCCTTACTTTCCCCCCAAATTCTGACCATGAAAAGTTAAAGTTCGGCTTAAATTCGCGACCTTACAAAATTAGCTTTTACAATATCGCTTCTGAAAGACTTACGGTAAAACACGACAGGTGTGAGTGCCTGCAGAATTTTAAGGGAACGGCTTATATTCGGGTATTATCTTTTTTTCCTCCCCCCCCCACCCGCCTTGAATTTTAGAGGTGTGGCTTATATTCGGGTGCGGCTTATATTTGGGCCAATACGGTATTATTTTCCGCCTTGTTTTTGATGTTTCCCTTCTGTCACAATGCCCTGAAGTTAATTGCAAAATTAACAACTTAATTAATTGCGTTACTTTTGACCATAACTGCTAGCGACACAAATAATGTAGGATTGGCTGGAAGCCGAACTGCAGTGGAACAGAAACAGTGCTGATTGCAACAATCACAGGATGGGACAGAAATCACTGCATCCTTACACCCCTAATTTCAACATCTGCTGAAAGGCTCAATATTGTCCACACTGATAGGCAACAACACTCCAGGATTTAATGCAGAGGTCTCTCCCAGCCCTACCTGGGAGTTTGGGATTTGAACCTGGACCCAAAAAATGGTCTAACACTGAGCTGTGGCTCTTCCCTCTTCCATAAAGAGAGTGCCACCTGCAAGAAGGCCCTGCTCCCTGTAGCTATCAGGCTAACTTCAGACTCCTGCATCTTGGCATTTGTATACTGGAGAAAATGAGTTAGCACATCAGTGCTGATAGGTCTGCAGTGAGATGCAAAACACAGATTCTAGCATGCAGCAGAATATGTACGGTACATAAATGACCTGCCACAGTATGAAGTGGCTGGTAAGAAAAACATGAGCAAGACGGTTATTGAGACCTCCACCCATTGAACTGGTTGAGAGGACAGGCTTGAGTCTCTGTGAAACAGGTTTTTAAAAAAAAAAAAAATGGAATGGAAATGCAGCAGAACCAACATTTTTGCACGGGAACTAGTGACCTAATGGAAATCTGCATGCACCTCAGCTCCACACTCACCTGTGAAACTGTTAGTGTTGTCACCACCTTCTCCTGATGGGCTTCCACTGTGCGAGAGCACAAAGCCTGCTCCAGGGCAGTTTCACTCAACTGGATGAGCTGACAGATCTCCCGGACCACTGCAAAAGCAAAGCGGGAAGTGAGTTCCTCACCCTGGTACTGGAGACACATTGCAATGCAGAGAAATCAAGGCAGGGAGGCTCAGCGGGGATCGAGGCAGGAGTTTCCCAAGCTCAGGCTGTCTTCTACCAATTACTGTTCCATTCATTCTAGTGGGCAGGGATGGACAAACTTGCCCATTTCAGCTGTTCTCAGTCTTGTTCTCCACATTTCTACATCAGTCTGGATTACTTTCCCCCCAGTCCTTGTAAAAAAATTGCCAGCATTTTAGTGCACATTTATCCTAATATAGGGATGCAGGTGGCACTGTGGGTTGAACCACAGAGCCTAGGACTTGCTGATCAGAAGATTGGCAGTTTGAATCCCTGCCACACGGTGAGCTCCCGTTGCTCGGTCCCTGCTCCTGCCAACCTCGCAGTTCAAAAGCATGTCAAAGTGCAAGTAGATAAATAGGTAAAGCTCCAGCAGGAAGGTAAATGGCATTTCTGTGCGCTGCTCTGGTTCACCAGAAGCGGCTTAGTCATGCTGGCCACATGACCCGGAAGCTGTATGCCAGCTCCCTCGGCCAATAAAGCGAGATGAGCGCTGCAACCCCAGAGTCGGTCACGACTGGACCTAATGGTCAGGAGTCCCTTTACCTTTACCTTATCCTAATATAGGCATTTTGTCTACAACCTTCTATAATTTTTGTGGTGAGCAATTTCCCCTAAAATAACACATTCTTGAAAAAAACTGTTTTCACAAATATGTGCTTTCTTATGCACACTTTCCCCCAATTTGTGCATTTGTTAGCAGCACCAAAGCGACCTCTCTGGGGCACAAGCCTGGGCAACGTGTATGGAAGTCCTGAGCTGCCCAGATGATGAGACCCTGCTCTTGGCCTCGCTGATGTCGTCCGAAGGAAGGCAGAGCAATCGGTTTGGCACCAGCTTGGATGCAGGAGTTGTCAGAAGGAGGCATACAAGGCTCCATCCAACCACCTTAGGGACTTCACTTTGGATTTGTGTAGAGCAGCCTTCCTCAAACTCGGCCCTCCAGATGTTTTTGGCCTACAACTCCCATGATCCCTAGCTAGCAGGACCAGTGGTCAAGGATGATGGGAATTGTAGTCTCAAAACATCTGGAGGGACAAGTTTGAGGAAGCTTGGTGTAGAGTTTACTCCTTAGCCTTTTCTTCTCCCAAAGATATCCCACAATGCAGCAGAGGTTTGGAATCAGAGTCTTCCTTCACCTCAGTTAGATCAGTAACAGCAGACAACTTTTCCCTAAAAGGTTGTTTGCCTGCTATTATTTTTATTCCTGCCACATGCAGTAGGTTGTGGAGGGAACTCGCAAAGTGGTGATGTCCCATTGGATTACTAAATGTTGCTAAATCGTATAAGGCAGTTGATGTTCCAACTGTATTTAGGAACACCCTTTTAATTCTAAACCCATTATGGCACCCTGGCCACCGGGTGTATCACACCACGGAACTGAGACTATTAAGCAAATGGCACACAGGCTGCAAGCACCCACATAACACCTGGGGAAAGATCTGGTTCTCAAAATCGTGAGCTACTATGGGGCAATCAGCCCTGGGCCAAACTCTGCATGGTAATCCTGGAGATGACCCATCCTGCCCTGCTGACCTTTGTCATCCTCGATTCCACAAGCTTCTGCTCCACTGGCCTGAAATTGCTGCCCCAGCTTTATGTTGCCAAGTTTGAGGACGACAGCAGCCACCTCCAGCACCGCTGTGATCTCTGATGGGGAGAAGCCAATGGCTCGCATAGCATCCTTCAAGAAAAGCAGCATTAGGGAACAGGGTTAAACACAGGAAAGCCCTCAGGTGAGCTCCCTATGGGCCACAACAAAGCCTTCTGTGCATGAGCGTGTTGAGATCCAAGGCAAAACCCAATTATACTTTCAGGGCCAAAAATGGATGTGTAAATGGCGCTGTGGGTTAAACCATAGAGCCTAGGACTTGCCAATCAGAAGGTCAGCGGTTCGAATCCCTGCGACGAGGTGAGCTCCCGCTGCTCGGTCCCTGCTCCTGCCAACCTAGCAGTTCGAAAGCACGTCAAAGTGCAAGTAGATAAATAGGTACCACTCTGGTGGGAAGGTAAACGGCGTTTCCGTGCGCTGCTCTGGTTCGCCAGAAGTGGCTTAGTCATGCTGGTCACATGACCCGGAAGCTGTACGCCGGCTCCCTCAGCCAATAAAGCGGGATGAGCGCCACAACCCCAGAGTCGGCCACGACTGGACCTAATGGTCAGGGGTCCCTTTACCTTTACCTAAGGGTGCTCCCAGGCAGGTGTTTAATATGATATCAGTGCTCCTTATCTGTCCACAAGACTTTCCTGGGTTCAAAATGCCAGTCCATACTCTCTACCCCAATCTAATCCTGGTTTTCCCTTTCTGGGGGAAATTCAACAAAACTGCCACCAACTTCCTATTTGCAATATCTCAACGACCCATTTGCAACATTAAGCCCCTGTCTCTGAAAGCACTCTGATTAACTAGAGAGAAGGATAATATGCCATAGGGCAGGTCTGTGGATTCGCAGGAATATACAAGTGGGACCTGCAACAGAATGCTGCTATGTGGCGTGCGTGCTTCTGCTCAGGGTTCCAGTCACCCATGCCCCTTTCCAGGATACCCCCCACACACACATACACACATTTCCCCCCACACACATTTCCCCTCCCCAGTTTTACACACATACACCAACAGTCAGTGAGGATTTCATAGCTACTGAACATGCTCATACCCAAGAGGCAAGGTGAGGCGACTGCCTCAGGCAGCAGGATCCCCAAGGGGCATCCAATCCCAATGTCGATCTTTATCCCCCCTCCCTATTCTTGATTTAGATCTTCTCTCACCCCTATTTCCCTGGTAGGGGAGAACACCATTTTGTGGTTTGCCTCAGGTGAGAGAATGTCTTGAGCCGGCCCTGCTCATACTTCATGTTGTGGTGTTCTCTATGTCTCTCATTTGTACTTCTATAAACCTGGGGTTCCCCTAAGAGCTAGTCCACACTTCTGCTTATTCCCATGCCCAGAAAGCATGGGTCCAGCAGTTGTCCTATCCTATGTTTTCCAGGCAAGGGTCTGAGCAGTTCTGCCTCTGCCCTGTTGCTTTACCCCAGAAAACCTGCTCTTTAGCGCTGAATTGGAACAAATGGCAATATGTGGAAACCCCAATTGCCATTTGTTCAGTGCTAAAACGCAAGTTTTCCTGGGGGAATAATGATGGAGCAAATGGAAGTGTGAATGAGCCCTAAGTCCAGACCTTTCAAGTGCCCCTATTTTCCCAAGGCTGTCCCAGATGCACAGAAGCCATCCTGGTTTCTGATTTGATCCCAGAATGTCCCACTTTTCCATAGGACGACCCTATGGAGAGCCAGTGTGGTGTAGTGGTTAAGAGCGGTAGACTCGTAATCTGGTGAACTGGGATCGATTCCCCGCTTCTCCACATGCAGCTGCTGGTTGACCTTGGGCTAGTCACACTTCTCTGAAGTCTCTCAGCCCCACTCATCTCACAGAGTGTTTGTTGTGGGGGAGGAAGGGAAAGGAGATTGTTAGCCGCTTTGAGACTCCTTAGGGTAGTGATAAAGCAGGATATCAAATCCAAACTCCTCCTCTTCTTCTTCTTCTATTTTCATCAGAGAAATTTTGCAGGGTATGGAGTTATGCGACCCCCCGAGCCATGGAGATAAGTAACTATACAATCTTTAGAAGACACCTAAAGGCAGCCCTGTGTAGGGAAAGTGTGTTTTTTTTAAAATGTTTAATATTTTATTATGTTTTTATACAGTGGTACCTCAGGTTAAGAACTTAATTCGTTCTGGAGGTCCATTCTTAACCTGAAACTGTTCTTAACCTGAAGCACCACTTTAGCTATTGGGGCCTCCCGCTGCCACCACACCACCGGAGCACGATTTCTGTTCTAATCCTGAAGCAAAGTTCTTAACCCGAGGTACTATTTCTGAGTTAGCGGAGTCTGTAACCTGAAGCATATGTAACCTGAAGCGTATGTAACCCGAGGTACCACTGTATGTTGAAAGCCGCCCAGAGTGGCTGGGGCAACCCAGTCAGATGGGAACAGGACACCCCTATTTTCATCTGAGAAATGTTGGAGGGTATGTAAGTCTTCAGAAAACTCCATCCTGTTCATGGCTGCATGCATATAGGTTACATGAGGACAAATATCATCACCATTACTACCACTACTACATCTTCTGCCACTCACAGACCAGTACAGTTTATACCCCAGACCCCACTATGACACACAGCACAACTCATACCTGAACAGCTCTGAAATTGGCGGCATCATCCATACCGCGCAGGCTTGAGGCCTCTCTGTTGAGGTAACCATAAAGGCGGCAGTCTCGTTGCAGCTTCAGCTGTCCTGTTGAAGAGGAGGAATCATTGTCGTGGCGTCTGTGGTTCTCACCACTCCTTTATTCACAAAGCCCCCCACCCCTGTGTTAAGGGAGGCCATATTCTGATGCTATGATGCGTCCCCCCACTTGCAAGACTCAGCCACCCCCACTCAGAAGTAAATGGCCAGAGCTCTCTTCCCTAATGGGGCCACACACACTTGGCCTAGAATGCAGCCCTCTAACTCGGCCATTGTGTGCTTTAGGCCCCGTCATAGCTGTCAACTTACAGATTTGAAAATAAGGGACCAGCAGCCTCAAAAATAAGGGATCAGCAGCCAAAATAAGGGATTTTCAGAGCACAGGTATGTTCAACTTCTGAGCCCCTCTGAGCCAAAGGCAGAAAGCCCAGCCAGCAGCCAAACAAAGCCTCAAGCGGTGGTTCCCACAGCGCAGCAACCCGGCAAAGGGGATGCAGCAAGGGAAACTACTGTCACCTCTCTGCTGGGAAGTGCTGAGCAAAGGCGAGTCCCCAGGCAACACAGCCGATTTGATCGGCACAAGGCATGCAAGCTCAACCCGCCCCCCCCCCAGTCTAAGAACGACTCCTTCTTGGGTGAGCAACACAGCCAAGCAACACAGTTGGAGCCTCCCTCCTCCCTGGCTGGCAGGGAGGGAGGAAGAAGAGCTGCTTCCTTTGAAACCCGGGAAAGTTAAGGGACATCATCAATAAGGGACAGCAGCGGGACACGGCGCTGGGATAAGGGACTTTCCCGCCAAATAAGGGACGGTTGACAGCTATGGGCCCTGTGCATGAAAGACGTACTGAGCAGCTCGTCAGAGCCTCCAGACAACAGCTGGTAGAAGATGTGGAAATTCCTCTCGCCCTTGACATGATGAACCACCCGGGATTTCTCTAGCAGGTCTGAGAATAAATGGAAGGAGGAAATGAAAGAGGTAAGTGTTGGACGGGCACCATCAAGGCCAATCTACAATCTGTAGCATCTCTGGATATTCCTAGGCTCCTGAAAAAAGTTGTAGCCTGGCAGTGTGCCTCTGAGGATAAACAGAAGCACAGAACCTGCTGCCTTGAAGATGTTGCTGGACAGGGAAGCCAATGGGATGTCCAACTCTCCTCAGCCCCATCTAGCATGGCCAATTGCCAGAGCTGGTGGGAACTGTGGTCCAAAACATCTGGAGAGCACACATTCTAGGGTTGCCATATGTCCTCTTTTCCCAGGACATGTCCTCTTTTTCATGGGTAGAGTTGTCATAGTGATCCATAGTAAAAAGTAGAAGTTGGCAAATGTGTCCTCTTTTTTGCAATATGGCAACCCTAACGTTGACTAGATACTAGAATGTAGGTGTGAGTCTTAAGGTTGGGGAACCTACGGCTCTCCAATGTTGTTGGACTCCACCACCCATCAGCCCCAGACAGTATGGCCAATTGTCAGGTGTGGTGGGAGTTGCAGCCTCCGGTTCCAGCAACTGGCCAAGAGGATGAAATCCCATTTCTGCATAATAATAATAATAATAATAATAATAATAACAACAATAATAAATTTTATTTATACCCCGCCCTCCCTGGCCAGAGCCAGGCTCAGGGCAGCTAACACCAGTAAAATTACAATAAAAATATAATGGGGGGGGAATCCCAATTTAAAATACAGGTTAAAATGCAATTTAAAATGCAGCCTCATTTTAAAAGTAGCCCATAGATGAAAACCATAAAGGGAGGGAAACATACGGGGAGAGTGAGTCCAAACCAAAGGCCAGGAGGAACAGCTCTGTCTTGCAGGCCCTGCAGAAAGATATCAAGTCCCGCAGGGCCCTAGTCTCTTGTGACAGAGCGTTCCACCAAGTCGGGGCCAGTACTGAAAAGGCCCTGGCCCTAGTTGAGACCAATCTAATCACCTTGAGACTTGGGACCTCCAAAGTGTTGTCATTTGTGGACCTTAAGGTCCTCCGCGGGGCACACCAGGAGACGCGGTCCCGTAGGTACGTGGGTCCTAGGCTGCATAAATTCTGACAAACTTTATCAGGGTCTGGTATCTCATACTCACAATTGCTGATGACACCACCCAAAGGATCGCCCTTGAAGTCAAACTCAATATCCATGTATTTGCCCTAAGGAGAAGAAGGGAATGTGGAAAGCTGTTGAAGCAAAATGAGCTGCCTGTAACCCCTGAAGGATGTGATACTAAGTCCACCCACCTTTGGGACTTGAGTTCCTATTATTTAACTCATTTTTGCTTCAGAGTAGCCCAATTTACAGTGCAGATATGGGGACTTGGTGATTTAAAATTGACAGATAGCAACGGTCAAACTACACGAGACATGTTTACTTTCCCCAGTGGAGCAAGGAGCAGTTTCAGTGGGGATCTAGATCAGGAAAATGGCATTCAGGGGTTTCCCTCTCCCCCACAGTGCAAATGTCTCAAGCAAAACTATGGCCTCTCCTCCAAAACAGCAGCATTTCTCATTTTAAAAACAACAGTCTTCTTGCCCTGACAGATGCATTTGTACCCCCCAACCAACCACATCAAGCAAGATTTCTTCAAGTCGGAAAGCAAGGCTGCACAACGTTTTCTCATTTCCATGAAGAGTAGAATAACAACAAATGATGCGAAACAGGCGAATATTACCTGGACATTTGATTAACACCATTTATGCAGGTCACGTCAATCATCTTTTCTTGGCGTACTATTTGAGTTGTAGAACTTTGATGTAGTTGCAGATCTGAGTCCATAATTCTTACTCTCTCTTCCCACCCCACCCTCTCAAGTGGCTCCACTTAATTCTTGCTGTGACACAAACTCTCCCGAAACATTCATTCCTCAGCAAATACTTACAAATCGTGAGGAGTTGTCATTGCGAATGGTTTTGGCGTTTCCAAAGGCTGCAATAGGGGATGAAGAGGGTTATTAAAAGGGTTGCACGTTTACCCAGGAAAGCGTTGCCCACCCCTCCATGTGGTGGAGAGCCAGTGTGGTGTAGTGGTTCAGAGCCTTGTAATCTGGTGAACCGGGTTCGCGTCTCCGCTCCTCCACATGCAGTTGCTGGGTGACCTTGGGCTAGTCACACTTCTTTGAAGTCTCTCAGCCCCACTCACCTCACTGAGTGTTTGTTGTGGGGGAGGAAGGGAAAGGAGAATGTTAGCCACTTTGAGACTCCTTAGGGTAGTGATAAAGCGGGATATCAAATCCAAACGCCTCCTCCTCCATGACGTTAAGAGGTCTTCTGGACTAGATTGTAGAGGCAACGTATCATGGCAGGAGTGGACCAAACAGGTACAGAATAGTATAGAATTCAAGGACTTGCTAGACTACAGATTGTGAAAACTCAAAGGTTCTCAAAAGCTCAAGGCCAAGACAAGTTGGTATCACTAATGCCACGGGCACTGTCCAAAATGTGGCTGTAACATTTGCACAACTACAACAAATGCAAATAAATACAACAGAAGCTTTGGCTTCAGTGGGGACATCTGGATCCCTCACAAGTAATGAGCAACAACTGCGTACAATTAGCATCCTTATCAAAAGTGCAAAAGAGCCTTGATACTTTGCTGTCCCAGAACACAGCCCTCTCTATTCCATTCACAGAGAAGAAATCAGCATGTACATACCTTCCAGTACTGGGTTCGACTGAAGTAATTGTTCCTTGACACGATTCACCTGTTCCCCTTTCCCACATACAGCTGCCACGTATGACATCATCAGCTTGCTGGCCTCTGAGGGTACAGGAAAAGTGGAAGGAGCAATGACTGGGGCATGTATGAGAAGTACTGAGGTGGGGAGCTTAATGAGACTAGAGGTAAGAGATCCATTCTTTAAGAGTCAAAAGCAGTATTTCCACCAACCTCAGTGCTGATCTTAGTACTGTAGTGTTTAGATTAGAGATCCCATAGACTTTAAGTGTCCTGCCGCAGGTATCATTCAATGTTAGATGACTAGCACGTGGATATGGTTTGCCCAAAGTGGCTTTGCAGGTCCAATGGAGAGGATTGGCAGTCCTAATTAAGCCTTAGGGCCAGAGGTTCCTGCTTCTGGATTATACTGTTGTTGGGAGATGTGTGCATAATTGTTTGCATAAGCACGTAGTCGGATTTCATGCAAGGCAGGAGGGCATTTTCAGCTGTGAACAGCCTATTTATATCTGTCTATGTCATTGTTTCCCAAACTTGGGTCTCCAGTTGTTTTTGGACTACGACTCCCACCATTCCTAACTAGCAAGACCAGTGTTCAGTGATGATGGGAATTGTAGTCCAAAAACAGCAGGAGACCCAAAATGGGGAAACACTGCTCTATGTGAACAAGGAGACTGGGGGGTGAGGGAACCACGTGGAACACAGGCTGTGGTAATTTTTGGATAGTGTCAAGGGCACTTCCCAGTGAAAGAATGCACATGGCACAGAGTTAACTGTTGTCAAAGATATCACAGTCACTTCTACAGCTCTCAAGAACTATGCACACCCGCTTGGTGTCTAGGCAGCTGTTCCAATGTCCATGCCCTATGGAGCAGTTTCAGCAACTGGGAACCATTCCCCCTCCACCAGTTTATGTACCTTCCCCCGATGGGCTGCGTGCACACAGCTGGAGACTGCACCTGCATGGAAACTTCCTCTGCTCATCCCTCTTCAGTCCCCTCCTGGTTCTGGGAGACAGTGGTTCAGCAGAGGGTGGGGAGCACCCAGACCTTCACTTGCCTGGCCTGCCTCTTCCTCCAGCTCAGAAGCTTCCCCTGCCTCCGATTCCTGCTTCTTGGCTGGTACAGGTCCCCACAGACCACTGGCCCCCTCTCCCAAGTCAGACTCCAGCCCCCACTTCCCCTGGTGCTCACTCTTCAGCATCCTGCCATCCCCTGACAGTAGCATGTTACATGATATGAAGCCGTATCAGTCTCTTTAGTGCACACTTCCTCTGTTGCCCTTCAGATGTTGTTGGACTCCAACCTCAGTCAGCCCCAGGCAGCATGACTAGTGATCAGTTGGACATCAGTTTGGGGAAGGCTGGCCACAAACTACATAGGACTCAGCTACATTAGGGGAAAAGTACTGTATTTTTCCGTGTATAAGACTAGGTCATTTTACTTTAAAATTATGGGGTCTGTGGGTCATCTTATACATGGGGCAATCTCCCCCCTATTTTCTTAAATTGGAGTCCCTAAAAATAGGGGGCTTCTTATATGGGGGGGCGTCTTATACAAGGAAAAATACGGTAGTTATGAATGTGTTTTAACACTGTGACACCAGATGGCACTGTAGAGCTGAAATCGGAACTTATGAAATTTTCCATTGTGAGCTTTAAGACGGGTTTTTCCCCAGGGTGTTTTTTATAGCTGCGTAGATGCAGCCAAACAGAAACACGCCAACATTACTATATAAACCCACCACTCTGCTAAGGCCTGCCATGTGTTGCTAGACTACAACTCCCATCATCCCTAACCATTGGCCATGCTCGCTGGGGGCTGATGGGAATTGTAGTTCAGCAACATCCAGAAGCTCACACATGTCTCCCACCCCTGTTTTATGATGTTCTCCTCCCTCCCTTGAATAACCCTTTCTCACTCACCTGTTTTGCCAGCCCCGCTCTCTCCAGTGATAAGAATGCATTGGTCTTTGTCCTGGTCTCTCAGTGAGCGATAGGCATCATCTGCTATGGCATAGCTATGTAGGCACAGTGAAGAAGCATTAGAATAAGGTTACCAGATTTTTTTCAATGAATCCAGGGACATGTTTCAACTTCAATTGATTTTGTATGGGGACTGATTTGTAAATCCAGGGACTGTCCCCAGGAAACGGGGACGTCTGGTAACCTTACATTAGAAGGGCAGGCTGGCTGGCTTGCTACCAGCATCCCATTCCTCAAAGCTGTCACATACACACACACCCCAAACTCCCTTGGGGGTCTCACTTACATGTGGGGTTTTACCGCAAAGAAGTTACAGTTCTTATACTCCTCCACTATTTCTTCCGTGTAAATGGGCAGCTGCTCGTACGGGTTCACGGAGATCACCACATTCCCGATGTATGTCTGTCAAGGCAGGAATGTTGCTATTACGAACAGCAAGATGCTTTCAGTGCTCAAAATTGGGGTGAAAGAGTAGGGTGTCCTTAATAAACACCCACAAGCAGTGGCGTAGCGTGGGTTGTCAGCACCCAGGGCAAGGCAAGTAATTTGCGCCCCCTAACCCGTGAGAGAGAGTGAGTGAGCCAGGTAGGGGCAGAGAGCTGCGAGTGCGAGCGCGCGCCCCCCAGATGTTGCGCCCGGTGCGGCCGGCCCCCCCTGCACCCCCCATGCTACGCCACTGCCCACAAGTCCAGCTCCTGAGTCCTCTCCCAGCTTCAGACACATCATGCTCCCTTGTCACTTCTGAAAAAAGTAGCTAAGCTGGCCAGTACAAAAAGGTAAGGAGGTCAGGGCCTTTTCTGCCTCCCCATAACTCAGGTATTGAATTAACCAGAGACAGTATGGTGTAGTGGTTAGCATAATAGACTAGGACCTGAGAAACCAGTGTTCAAATCCTCAATGGGCTGAAGCTGAGTAAATGAATGAGTCAGTTCCTGCTGACCCCTCAGCTGACTTTCCTCCAGCTTGTTTTCCCTCGGCCCCTGCTTCTGTTACCACAGCGCCACCTCTCTTTCTCCATCCCCTGGGATGAGGATTGCCAAATGATCAGGGGAGGAAACGCTGCTTTGGTCTGTATTGCTGCTGTGCCTTTAAACCCCAGCTTCTTTTTCAGGAATCTACAGGAGAAGCTTTTCACGGCACAAACTTGATAATGTATGTGCATCGTCACTCACTGTGAAAGGCACAGCTACAGAAGCCTGTTGGAAAGTTGGCATGCTTCGTCCTGCACAGCCAGTCAGCTGTGTCTCTGGACAGGAGCTGCAATGGTTGTTGCCTATTTCTCTATACAAAAATACACCTAGGCTGCAAAGCTATACATGTTCTCTAGGGAGCTGACGGGAGAAAATATGCATACGATTGGACTGTGCATGTCATACTGCACAGTGCCTCATGTTTCCCATTCTGAAGTTAAAAATAGGGATGGAGGACAAAACCAGTATGTATATAATGCCTAATATGTCAAATTTTCATTTTCCAAAGCAATACGAGAACTGAAATACAGCCATCCTTTCAAATTCACACGTATCCAAATTTTGCGTTGCAGTTCTCCAACGAAACCATGTTTACAAAAAACGCATTATATTAGGGGAATTTGCTTGCAAAAATGTGTATATGTTTGGTGAAACTGCATATAAAAATGAGTTCGGAGAAATGTTCGGAGTCCAAATGAATTTTCATGAGGATTAAAAGGGGGGGGAGAGAAAATTGGCTTCCAGGTGGAAAAATCAAAATTAGAAACCGAACTGTTAGAACCCAAAACTAAGACTTTATCAAAGATGTATAACTTGCTGTTGAAATGGAATACTCAGGATGAAACGGTGAAATCTGCTATGATTAAATGGGCACAAGATGTTGGACATAACATAATGATGGCTGATTGGGAACAGTTATGGACCACAGGTATGAAGTTTACGGCATGTAATGCATTAAGAGAGAATATTATGAAAATGGTACATGACTCCAGTCAAGCTTGCAAAAATCTACCATTTGCCCGATAACAAATGTTGGAAATGTAAAGAAACTGAAGGTACATTCTTCCACCTTTGGTGGACATGCCCAAGGATTAAGGCTTTCTGGGAGATGATCTACAATGAATTGAAAAAGTATTTAAATATACCTTCTTGAAGAAACCAGAGGCCTTTCTCCTGGGCATAGTCGGCCAACTGGTGCCAAAGAAGGATAGAACTTTTTTTATGTATGCCACAACAGCAGCAAGAATACTCATTGCAAAGTATTGGAAGACACAAGATCTACCCACTCTGGAAGAATGGCAGATGAAGGTGATTGACTATATGGAACTGGCGGAAATGACTGGCAGAATCCGAGACCAGGGAGAAGAGTCGGTGGAAGAAGATTGGAAGAAATTTAAAGACTATTTACAGAAATATTGTAAAATTAATGAATGTTAGAATGATGTTGGATAGAAATTAAATGGTTTTTAGCTGAAATATTATAAGGGAATATGAAAAATGGATTACTAACAGGTAAAAATTTAATGTTACAATACTTTAAGATTAAAGATTAGGATAAACAAAGAGGGGAAGGATTTGCTGAACCAACAAACTGAACTGGAATACAAAAAAGGGAGGCGTGAGGAGGTCCGGGAAACAAGCTAATGAAAAATAAGTAATGGAAAGATTGACTTGTTTTTAACTAATTTTATTTTGTATTTTTCTTTTTTCTATTTTTACTTTGTAATATTTTGAAAACTTTAATAAATATCTTATTAAAAAAAATAATAAAAGGGAGGGGGGAGAACCATAAATTGCTGCAAAGTGCATAGAAATGTAATTAAGATTTGAAAAATGAGAAACGGAGAGCACCAAAATTGACAGATCCTTCCACCCCAGTTAGAAAGGCTGCCACCCAGTTCAGTTACCACCACCCCCAATCGCTGCCGCTCTTACATAGATTTCCTTATGTTGGAAGCGCTTCTCCAGATTCTGGATTAACGTATCTTCTGTCAATGGGTCCAGAAGCACCAGATCTCCTACCCTACTGGTGTCAATTGCAGTATCGGCCTCCATGGCTGTGGGAGAGACAGGAATTCCAGACACGAATGCCCACCTGCAAGGCAATGGAACAGCTAGGTGAGATCCGGATAATGCTGCCACAGAACCGGAAAGACCTCTCCTTAGTGACATGTGAAAAGCTGCCACAGACTCTTGGCTCATACAAAGCCAGTGACAATGCAGCAGGGTTGGTGAGTCTGCAAACCTCCAGATGTTATTGCACTACAGCATAGCTCACCATCCTTGGCCTTGCTGACTGGGGCTGATGGAATCTGGATTCCGACAACATCTGGAGGACTCTGGATTCCTTGCCCTTGCTGTAGATGGGTACAGTGGTACCTCGGGTTACATTACCTTCGGGTAATGTATACTTTAATGTATACCTCCGGGTTTTGCCGCACGCGCATGCGCAGAAGCGCTCTATCGTGCCGTGTGCATGCGCAGAAGTGGCGCCTCCAGATACAGACTTTTCGGGGTAAGTACGGACCCCCTGGACAAATTAAGTTCGTATGCAGAGGGTCTACTGTATTATGCAAGAGACACGTGTGTGTGTGTGTGTGTGTGTGTGTGTGTGTGTTGCTTTCAAGAGAAACTGTGTACATAAGACCATCTGCATTGCAGGGAGTTGGACTTTATGATCCTTGGGGTCTCTTCCAACTATGATTCTATGATCTATGCTAGATGGCGGTTGATGCGAGTTGGAGTCCGACAACATCTAGAAAGCCGCAGGTCAGTCACAGTTGCTCTTAGATATTTTGGGGGGGAAATATCTAATTATTGAGAAAATAAACAGAGGTGAAATCCACAATGTGTGCTACAGTTTAAGTAAATATCTCAAAGACCCTGCTTCTGTTTTTATGTTCCATTATCTTGTTTCAGATGAACTGAAAGCACCCTCCCTGTTACGATGTAGTGAGATTACTGCCTGATTAGTGTGAGTCGGTCTATTACGACGGTTTTACGAGAAGTGGCTCCAGATGGGATTTGACACAAGAGAACAGCTAAAATGTTCTTTAATGGCTATGTATGTTCATTTCCAGAATGGGCCACTCACTCCCAGAGTTGAGATTCAAGACCAGTGTCTGTTTGGCAGATTGTATTTGAGAAACAGCAGCTTTTGGCAGCTGGCATAAGCAGGGAAATAGAGTCCTATTGGTTGGGTGAAGATGAGGAATGGCAAGGCCTGGACAGAGTATCTTTCTCTCTTTCTTACTGCTTCCAGGCGTCTTGCTTATTGAGCATTCAACCTAGAATCATAGAATCTTAGAGTTGGAAGGGACCCAAGGGTCACCTAGTCTAACCCCCTGATCTGTTTGCAGGGAGATTATGCGACATTGGATTGTTTACAGGGAGTACAGGGAGGTTAGACAGCATTGCTTTGAAGAAAGTGCTGCCCCACACTTTCCATCACTTTCTTCCACCCAAAAAAACAGTGACAGTCTGAAAGCACCCTCTTTTTTTTTTGGTAGGTCTGATATAGGACTCAGCTACATAAACAAAGACACAGCTATTTGAATGTGCTATAAACATGCAACACCAGATGGCGCCAGAGAGCAAAAAATTTTAAAACAAAATTTTCCATATATATATTTTTCTTTCGTTATAACTATCACATTTCTGACTTATTTATAGCGTTTTTCCCCTATGTGTAGATCCACCCATAGACTAAAAGACCAGCTGTTTTACATGAGTGCCCCTTTACTTCTACTTAAGCTTCTCCGTTTGCAACAAAGCAATAAATAGTCAGGGGTCCAGGCTCTCTATTTCCCTTATTCAGTGAATGCACATGTGGCAGGACGCAGCACCACAGTGCTACAATTCCCAGAGTTCCATGAGAAGAGGCATTGGCTGTCAAACTACTCAGGGAATTGCAGCTCTGGGAGAGGAACACAGCTCCCTTTTGCGGGGAGGGAGTAGCCATGATTGCTTAAAGTGGTATCACGGGGTTCAGAATGAAAGCTGTGAATGTAGCCTCTGTGTTACTTCAATTAAACACAAAAACAAAGCATGACTCTGAATATCCAGTCTGTGCTGCTCCATAATGAAGGGAAGCAGCAACAATAAGGGAAGCACATGCAGGGAAGGCTAAAAGGTTGCCAGCTCATAAGTGCTTTGTGAGGAGATGCTGAGTGCCTTCCCGACCACCCCCACCCCCACCCTTCCATCCTGCCGGGTGCCATTGATTCCTAGGCCAGCTGACAGCTGTTGGCGGCCCAACTTCCTGCTCTGAGTCACTGGTGTCCTTGCAAGCCTGGGGTGGTTCTTCCCAGTGGTATTAACCTCTTCATGGCTAGTTCCAAAGTCTAACCTAGAAGAGAGTACTTCCCTCCCCGCAAGCCAAACTCACGACTGCAGTTAAGTTGGCAATCCTATGCTTCATTTACTCGAAAGTAAGTCCCATTAAAAACCAGTGGGACTTCTAAGTAAACATGGCTAAGAGCAAGCTGCACAAATGTGACTTGTTTCAGAACCCAAACTTTGCACCACCGCTGCCTCGGCGCTGGTGCAAATGTCCATGGATTTGTCTAATCTTTTTAAAAAGTCATGCAAGCTAGCAGCAAAGGGCAGACCGTGTTAAGGAATTGTAGCTTTGTGAGGAGTAAACCACAGTTCCCAAGAATCTTTAGGGGGAATAATGAGCTTTAAATGGGCTTTAAATGCAGGCATGTCTTTGTGTCCTGCTGCCCTTCTTTTATGGGGCTCCAAGGTGCAGTTTTACCTTAGAGATAAGTTCACCTGAGATGCAGGGACTTATAAGAGATGGCGTAGCTTAGGAGCTATGATTCTGAGCTATGATTCAGAAAACCCCTGGTTCAAAACTTGCTGCTTCTTTCTTTCTTTCTTTCTTTCTTTCTTTCTTTCTTTCTTTCTTTCTTTCTTTCTCCACCCCCCCAACTCAACTTTAATTGTACAACCTGAATTTGCTGTTATGGAATTGAATCTCACCTGAAGATTGCAAAAGTCTGGAAATGGTACATGTATGTGTGTGATGAGAAGGAGAAAAAGAAGGGGGAGATTTTCAACGTGAAAATGGTGCCTGGGAATAGGGTTAAAGAGTCTCTCTCTTCCTGTCCCAGTCTTCCACTTAAACCTACAATCTCAGTGGTTGCATTGTATTAACAAAAAGCCAACAACCCCAAATTGGATTGCATAGCCTCCAACATTTCTCCAATGAAAATAGGGACGTCCCATTCCATAAAAATAATTTTACTATTTAGACACCACCCATCTGACGGGGTTGCTCCAGCCATTCTGGGTGGCTTCCAACATATATAAAAACATAATAAAACATTAAACGTTCAAAAAAAGAAAATTCCATATACTGGGTTGCCTTCAGGCAGCTCGGGGGTCAGAAAACTCCGTAAAGGTAAAGGGACCCCTGACCATTAGGTCCAGTCGTGACCGACTCTGGGGTTGCGGTGCTCATCTTGCTTTATTGGCCGAGGGAGCTGGCATACATACATGTGGCCAGCATGACTAAACTGCTTTTGGTGAACCAGAGCAGTGCATGGAAATGCCGTTTACCTTCCCGCTGGAGCGGTACCTATTTATCTGCCTGCAGTTTGACATGCTTTTGAACTGCTAGGTTGGCAGGAGCAGGGACCGAGCAACGGGAGCTCACCCCATCGTGGGGATTCGAACCACCAACCTTCTGATCGGCAAGCCCTAGGCTCTGTGGTTTAACCCACAGCGCCACCTGCGTCCCTTAGATAACTCCATACCCTGCAATGTTTATTCAGCGAAAATAGGGACATCCTAAGGAAAAGTGGGATATTTTTAGGATCAAATCAGAAACTGGGGTGCCTTCTGTAAATCCAGGACTGTCCCTGGGGGAAAAAGGACACTTGGAGCATTTGGATTGCAGAGCCACACATAAAGTCTTAGCAGTGCTGTGCGTCTGCTAGTCATGCTTCTGGCTGAGGGTGAAGCTGGGAAGCCAGCGAAGACTCTTTCCTGGCACTGGCCAACAATCCCTTAGCAAAGCATTCTGTTGTTGTCTGAGTTACTAAATTGCTGTTTACCCCCAGAGTAGACTCAGCAAGAAAATTCAATGAAGCTGCATCAGCAGCACTAATCGAGGAGTTCCTGTGAGCGGCACGATCGTTAGCCTGACTATAAAAGAACTTTATGGCCGGGAAGGAGTTGAACAGCCTGGATGCTGTACTTTCTCCTTTGTATCTCCCAGGTGAGAGCAGAAGGCCCAACTGCGATAGCATCTCATCCTAACGTAGGCGGGTAAATAAACAGAGGCATATGGCCAGTGGTTAGTATTCAGTCCATTTACGGGGAGCCAAACTCGGAACAGAAGCTGGGATAGATGCATTGAGAGCCAGAGCTCTTGGGTTGTCCAGGTGTACTTGATTCTCGCCTTAACAGTCATTGTGGTGCAATGGTTAGTCTAGTTTGTTGTCTTAAGGGTCTCTCTTCTGCTTTTCTTGTTTATTGTGGGCTGCCATGGTTTCTTATGGCTGCCACATGGGAGGACACCAATGTTAACTATGTGGCTACTGACTAGAGAAACTGTAAGCTCACACTAGGGAGAAACTGGGGGTTTATCTGAAGTCCTCATGTGAGGAGACCCGCCGGATCAGGCCAAAAGCCCATATAGTCCAGCATCCTGTTCTCACAGTGACCAACCACATGGCCATCAGAAGCTCCAAGGCCAGACCCAAGTGCAACAGCGTCCGATTTAGATATTAGCTATGTATCAAGGGCGGTCGGATGAAGGGGTTTATACTTCCAATAAGATTTGTTTTGTTTACCAGATTTATATCCCCCTTTCCCACGAGAACTTCCCCAAGACACACAAGTAATAATATGGGATGGTAGCCAACACTCACAGATCCCATTGATTTCAATGTCTATACTCTGAGTATGGCAAATGTTGGCTATTACCTGTCAGGGAACTGACATTGGAGCGAGAGGCGAAGGGGAGGCTCCTAGATGATGCTGGCGAAGGACCCAGCAGCAGGGGGAGAAACAGCTCAGTAGAGGGGGAAGCAAATCAGCGCAACACCAGGGATCCCCGGGGGCAGCTGGGGCAATCGGAGAGAGGGCTCCAGGACTCTTCACTGGAACTCAGTGAGGAGGGGACAGGTCCTCCGCTACCCACGCCCTCCCTGCGCAGAAGACTCCCGCGCAGTGAGAGGAGGAGGAGACTGGGTGTCAAACAACTTTTATGTTGGAAGAGGTTCAAGAGACGCCCACTGACGGATTCTGCCAGCGACTGAGGCAGTCACGATGAGAAAGGGCTGTGCAGTCAGAAAGGTTTAACAAGGCAAATTAGCCTAGAGAGGCACCCGTTTACGCACGAGTAACTCATACTCATTACATTACCCATTGTTTCTTGTAAGACCACAGGGATTCAAACCCAGGCCTCCCTTGTGTAAGTAAAATACACCAACCCAAGGCTAGGGAACGTTTGGCCCTTCAGATGTCGTTGCACTACAGTTCCCATCATGCCTGACCACTGGCCGTGCTGGCTGGGGCTAATGGGAGTCCAATAACATCTGGAGGGATAGAGCTTCCCCAGCCCTGCTGTGTTTGGAGGAAAATAATATACATAACAACCATGCAGGAGCGGCGAATGTGGTGCTCTCCAGCTCCAGATGTTGTTGGGGTTGGTGGGGTGGTGGTTTCCAATTCTGATTGAAGCTGGTTTGGAAGAAAAGACGTCAGAACATAGAACTTCATAAAAAGTGACAGAGCAGGTGTGGGTTGCGGTCTGTGATGTGTGTGGACCCCATTTCTCAAACCAGCGGTGGGAACACACCAGATGCAGAGTCAACGGGAATGTGTGCACAGCCCAAATGTCCTCATTGGTCACAAATTGCTAAATGTTTGGGGAGTGGGTAAGAGGGACACTGGGTGATGGAATGGAGTATCCTGGAGAAGATGGAACACTAAACAGTGCTGCAACATTTTGTTGCAGATCCCACTTGATAACAAGTACAGTGGTTCCTCGGGTTAAGTACAGTGGTGCCTCGCAAGACGAAATTAATCCGTTCCACGAGTGTCTTCGTCTAGCGGTTTTTTCGTCTTGCGAAGCAACCCTATTAGCGGCTTAACGGATTAGCGCTATTAGCGGTTTAGCGGCTATTAAAGGCTTAAAGGCTTAGCGGATTAGCTGCTAAAAGGCTATTAAAGGCTTAGCAGCTTAGATAAAGGGGGGGGAAAGTGAAAAAAAATCTCAAGACTCGCAAGACATTTTCGTCTTGCGAAGCAAGCCCATAGGGGAATTCGTCCTGCGAAGCAACTCCAAAACGGAAAACCCTTTCGTCTAGCGGTTTTTCCGTCTTGCAAGGCATTCGTCTTGCGGGGCACCACTGTACTTAATTCGTTCTGGAGGTCTGTTCTTAACCTGAAACTGTTCTTAACCTGAGGTACCACTTTAGCTAATGGGGCCTCCCGCTACCGCCGGAGCAGGATTTCTTTTCTCATCCTGAAGCAAAGTTCTCAACCTGAGGTACTATTTCTGGGTTAGCGGAGTCTGTAACCTGAAGCGTCTGTAACCAGAGGTACCACTGTATTAATTTTTAAACTATTCTTTTGGTAATGAGGGACTCAAATACACTGAAACAATGTCGCATTTGTAAGAAGTTCCACAAAAATCTATCTTGACATTTGTATTTCCACTTCACAAGGGTTACCTTGGATAAGAAGAGAACTACTTTCCTCACAAATTTGTGTCAGTGTGTGCTGCTCATGTTGTTTGCCCCCAAGTATCCTGTTAGCTGTTTCATTCAGCCTATTTATAACATATCATCTAAGGGTGAAAACCAGAACTTCCTCCGGCAACTTGTCCCAATTCCCAGGTATTCTTATGGGTAGGAAATCTTGTCTTCCTTTAATTTAAGCCCATCTTTGCTTTGCCCTCAGTGTTGACAGAAAACAATTAGTGGTTGTGCTTCAGACTGCAGCAGCCTACACTATTGGAAAAGTTAACTCCTTTCCCAGATGGTGGAACACTATCTGTCCCTTCTGAATTTTCCAGCGGCTTTTGCATTCCAAACAATTACTGCGCTTGGTTGTCCTCCTCTGAACCCATCTGATATATCTTGAATGTTAGTATCAAAAAGTACATGCAGTATTACTCTGTTTTTCTTTTCTTTTTTTACTCACAGAGCTTAATTTGTGATATGAGAGGTGGCATGGGAGAAGAAGAACGCCTATTGAGAAGGAGTGGTTTATTAATTTATTTAGCTGTACAAAGTACAGTGGGTATGTGTGTGTATACACACACCATATTTTTCGGTGTACAAGACGCCCCCATGTATAAGATGCCCCCTATTTGGGGGGACTCCAAATTAAGAAAACACCCCTCAGCACGACCTGTGTATAAGAAGAGTCCCAATTTTAAACTTAATTTTTTGGTTAAAAAAAACCCTAGTCTTATACACGGAAAAATACGGTATGTATGTTTGTTCTGACCTAAAGAACTTGTTTTCCCTGGGGAAAGAGTGGGCCAAGGGGGAAATGGCTTGAACCTGTGCCTAGAAAGTGCGGGTCAAGCAGAAAACCGCTTGGACCCATGCTTTCTAAGCATGAGTCAAGTGCAAGTGTGGACAAGCCCTGAATCAGACCGTTGATCTCCCATGAAGCCCAGTTTACAACTAAAAAGTGCTCTGGAGTAGCTCAAGCAGGGATCTTTCCCAGCCTGAGATCCATTTAGCTGGAGATTTCAGGGACTGAACCTGGGACTTTCAGCATGAAAAGCCCGTGCTCAGCTGCTGATCTCTGCCCCCTTCCATCAACCTCAGCAGAAGGAAGCATGCGCATAATGGAAAATGCATGAGTCAAGAATGGCACAAGGGCACTGAGAGACAAACTGTGTGTAAATGACACAGGGTACCACTTCACAAAACCCCTAGGTGGAAAGCAGCTCTGTGCAAGATGTAGCGTGCAACCCACCTGCTGATCATCACACATGAAAACTGCATAGGTGTGTTCGTGCTATGTACATTCAGTGTGAAGCCACAGGCAATAAGGGCAGCAAACTTTGCCCATGCACGATCCATGAACCTCTACTCTAGTAACTTCTACACTACAGTGCTTTCCCTCTGAGAATGGGGCATAGTATTTAAATGTGCCTAATAAATTAGTAATTGCTCTGAAGCACCATTATCTTGGTTACACTAACTCTATTTGGATTTGCACCAAATCTTGCATCTGTATATAATAGTTCCCTCTTGTTAAAGCCCCCCCCCCCCGTCATTAAGATCAGGAGATCAGTAGAACATCAGCTTCTTTTTAAAAAATAAAATTAAACACCACCAACATTTATTGCACTTTATAAAACACCCAACCTTCACCTTTGATTTATAAGGCTGCCCATGGACTCTGCACCACCACCATAAAATCTCAATATCCTTATCAGTCCTGCTTGAATAAAGTTCATATCTGAAGCGAGTAGTTTTATGTTCACTCTGTTGGTATACTGTATTAAGGTTGGTTCAAAAGAGGATACAAATGACGACTTGGGTGATAAGGTAGCCATCTGTACCCAATTTGCAACAGAAATGCTTGCACCTTTGCAAGTTATGTTATGCTACGATTTATCTGGCTCAAAGGACCCCCCAAAGCAGGAAATACGAACACAACAGAAAGACACAATAAAAATGCAATAAATAAACGGGAAGTTAAACAATAAAGGTAAAGGGACCCCTGACCATTAGGTCCAGTTGTGGCCAACTCTGGGGTTGCAGCGCTCATCTCGCTTTACTGGCCGAGGGAGCCGGTGTACAGCTTCCGGGTCATGTGGCCAGCATGACTAAGCTGCTTCTGGCGAACCAGAGCAGCGCACGGAAACGCCATATACCTTCCCACCAGAGCAGTACCTATTTATCTACTTGCACTTTGACGTGCTTTAGAACTGCTAGGTTGGCAGGTGCTGGGACTGAGCAACGGGAGCTCACCCCGTCGTGGAGATTCAAACCACCAACCTTCTGATCGGCAAATCACAAAATACACTGTTTTTGCCTTGATGAGCTGCTTCTATGCTCTCATCACCATCACAGACAGAGCTCCCCAGCATTGCACTTGCAAGGCAGGTTAACTACATCCCCACCAATCTCTCACCTAGGAGCAAGCCCATCAGCAGCCAATAGCCCCTAGAGGATACCCCTTGCCTTTGTCACACCCTCGGTCACTCCTGTGGGGTTGCCCCACTAAGGCTGGCCTGCCAGCAGCAACCAACCACCAATGGCGGCACCTAAATAAATAGGCTTTTCTCCTTGGAAACAAGCTACAGCTGTGGCAACATTCTTTCCTCTTCACACTCTTTCCTGCTCTCACTGGCTGCTGTTCTCCAGATGCTGCAAGAAATAGCCATGCTACTGCTATCTGCCTCCTCTCACAGCTGAACTGCACCAAACCTTTAAAAGTTGAAGATACTTATGAACCAACCCGGACCCTGTGACCACAACCTGAGGCCCTTCTTTGGGTGCCTCCCCCACAATAGGTCCGGAGGGTGGCAACATGGGTACGGGCCCTTTCTGTGGTGGCTCCTCGTTTGTGGAATGCACTCGCCCCAAGTAGGTTAGCTTGGCACCTTCATCACATATATTTAGGTGCCAGGTGAAAACAGTTCTCTTCAACCAGGCATTTGACTGATTAACATCCTATTGCCTTTTAAATGTGTCTGTGGGAGGGGAAGTTTTTGTTTTGTTTTGTTTTATTATGTATTTTGTGGTTTCATTTTGTGTTTGTATGTTGTGAGTCACCCTGTGATCTTCAGATGAAGGGTGGTATACAAATTAAAATAATAGTAGTAATAGTAGTAATTATTATTATTATTATTATTAATACAAGGCATTAGCTGGTGCAACTTTACAGGCACGCCACAGTACACATGCAGAGGTAAAGGTAAAAAAGGTAAATGACCCCTGAACCATTAAGTCCAGTCAAAGATGACTATGAGGTGTGGCACTCATCTCGCTTCAGGCCAAGGGAGCCGACATTTGTCCACAGACAGCGTTCTGGGTCATGTGGCCAGCATGACTAAACCGCTTCTGGCACAATGGGGCAACGGGACACCCTGACGGAAGTCAGAGCGCATGGAAACGCCGTTTTCCTTCCTGCAACCTATTTATCTACTTGCACTGGTGTGCTTTCGAACTGCTAGGTTGGCAGAAGCTGGGACAGAGCAACGGAACACATGCAGAACCCTCACCTTCCTCCATGAAACCCAGGAAGCGGGCTGAATCAGGCATACTACATATGAAGTTGCATTATACCAGGCATGTCCAACAGGTAGATCACGGGGGTGTTCCTGGTAGTTCCTAGTAGATCTCTGGCCCCTCAGCAGTAATCTCCTTCAAAACAACTGTGGCTTATAGCCTTTATAAAATAAAATAAAAAGCACCCTGGCTTCCTAAAAAAAGCTCAACAAGTTTAGCTTCTTAAAAAAAGGTCAACAGATCACTGCCAGCTTTCTTCTACTGTGAGTAGATCACAGTCTATTGGGAGTTGGACGTCCCTGCATTATATCAAGTCAGATCGTTGCCTCCGTCTAGTTCAGTGGGGTCTACTTGAGAGGTGGAAGACTTGCAGCCCTCCATGTTGCTGGACTCCCAACTCCCACCATCCCTGACCTTTAGCCACTCTGGCTGAGGGCTGATGGGTCCTGGAGTCCAACAACAGCTGGAAGACCACAGGTTCCCCATCCCTGGTTTACTCTGACTCATGACTGTACTCTAGGTTTTCCAGATGGTAACCTTTCCCCACCCCTTGTACTTCGGACCGTGTGCTACGGTGCCTCCCACACTTTTCCCAGTCCTACCATATGAGATCCCTTAATGGGAGGTGGCATGAGGACCTCCTGCATGCACAGCACATGCTGTACCACTGAACTATGATCTCTTCAGCTCCTAGCCAAGTTTGTGTCAAATGTCTACTGCCTGGGCCCCGGGCCAATCCTACCATTAGGCAGAATGATGAGAGCGCCACGGATGGCATATTCTGGGAGGCGGTGGAGCCCCTCAGCTCTTCCTCCTGTGCTCATTTCCCTGTCTTCAAGCGTGAGATTTAGAGTGGTCTGGAACGGGGAGGTGGCAAAAGCCTTTTGTCTAGCCCCAGGTTAGGTCAGAGCCAAGGGAAAGGTGTGGGGTTTGTTTAGGCAGCTAGAGCAAGGATGGAGTACCAGATACAGTGGTACCTCAGGTTACATACGCTTCAGGTTACATACGCTTCAGGTTACAGACTCCGCTAACCCAGAAATAGTGCTTCAGGTTAAGAACTTTGCTTCAGGATGAGAACAAAAATCGTGCTCCGGCCGCGCGGCGGCGGCAGCAGGAGGCCCCATTAGCTAAAGTGGTGCTTCAGGTTAAGAACAGTTTCAGGTTAAGTGTGGAGCTCCAGAACGAATTAAGTACTTAACCTGAGGTACCACTGTATTGCTAGACTTCACCTCCTGTCAACCCCTAGCCAGCATGGGCAGGAATGATGGGAGTTGGAATTCAGGAAGGCGCACTGACAATCTCCGCCAGGCCAGGGTTGCTCACACTCTTAGCAACCCACAGTCACAGTGATCTCCAAGAGTCACAGAAGCCAAGTGCATGTTTAGCAGGTTGCAGACAATGGGTGCCAGGGGAATCTAAATATTTGACAAGGGACTGGGATGGGGGCGGGGAGAAGGATTTCCTGCTCGAAGAAATGGAGTGGCTTATGGGAAGTCAACAAAGATAAACATTCATTCATTGGTGGGTGAATTTACCCCTGCTACTATTTTAACAAGTCATTTGCCTCCAGATGGTTGGTATCACCTTTCCCCCGTGATTGTTTCCGTTCACAAATACAGTATCACCACTGTGCCAAATTGGCAGGGATGGGGAAAGAAATTTAATTGAGTTTGCATCTATAGGTGAACCTACCTAATTTGCATTTACTGAAGCAATATGTGAACTCAAACACAGCCACAATTCAAAATTTGCACTTCTCCAAATTTTGCAGCCTAGTTCTCCAGCCAAGAAATGCACACACCAGGGTAAACTGTGCATATATTAGAGAAAGGAACATACAGCAATGAATTACATTGGGGGGAATGTTTTTGCAAAAATGTGCATATAGTGCAAAGTTGCATAAAAAAATCACACTAGGAGAAACTCACTCTAAAATGCTGATGAATTTTCATAAGGACTTTAGAAAGAATTCAAACTGATGTGGAAATGTGGAGAAAGGAACCTAGGATTGGAAAAGTGAGAAATCAAGAAAAACTGGATTTGACATCTTTGCCCATTCCTACAAATTGGAGATAGTATTGCTGTTATTGGGCCCTGAATCTGTAGAATGCTTTGCTTCATCTTTTTAAGCCTACATGAGAAGCCACTGTTGTTCCCACTGCATTCAGTGGAACCTAAAGGTGAAAATTAGTTACAGTGGTACCTCAGGTTACAGACGCTTCAGGTTACAGACTCTGCTAACCCAGAAATAGTACCTCAAGTTAAGAACTTTGCTTCAGGATGAGAACAGAAATTGCGTGGCAGCGGCACAGCAGCAGCGGGAGGCCCCATTAGCTAAAGCGGTACCTCAGGTTAAGAACAGTTTCAGGTTAAGAACAGACCTCCAGAACGAATTAAGTTCTTAACCCGAGGTACCACTGTACTTGCAAAAATCCCCCCCCCCCCTGCAACTGACTTACCTTCCAGACAACCTGTTTATTGAGCATTCATCCTGATTTGTTTACAGGGAGATCAGAGGACCTTGGCTATTTACTGAGCATTTATTCTGATCTGTTTGCAGGGAGGTTAGGCAACATTGTGTCAAGCAATGCTTTTCTGTGCGTTTTACTGTCACTTTCCTTATTGCAAAAAGCCCAACCTTCTAGGGCAGCGGGTTTGTTGCACAAGAGCTCCAAATTAGCTTTAATTATACAAGCTGATATTGCTGGTTTATGACTGGATCTCACCCAAATCAAGGGTCTGGAAACACCCTGAGTCCAGTGCAAAGGGCTCCTAAAAAACAATTCAGATTTCTTCCCTCCCTTCACTGGGTCACACCTTCTTCCAACAGTAGAGGTGGGAAAGCACTACTTTCTGTGTTCAGCTGGCAGTACCTAGTGCTGGAGTATAAGGTTTGCCAGCACTCAGCCCCAGAATCCGTTTTCAGTGCCAAAGCTGATTCCAGGAGTATGTGAATAAGTCTTGCACATTCTCCAATAGGCAAAGTTCCAGGGATATTGCTGCTTCAGTTTAAGGTTGGGGGGGGGATGTTATGAGAGAGCGCTAGAGATTTCTGGCATTTTTGTAATATTTGCCTCATGTACAAGTATACAAGCAGAACACATGTGGAGACAAACATTATGAGTAGGTATGTCTTGAAGGCGGAAGATACACTACCCACATCGGATTCCAAGAGAGAGACTCTGCAACTCAACATGCCTTCAGCCAAATCACAGCATGCTCTCTCTTGTTCTCTCTCTTTCTAATCTGCAATCTGCAACACATGCATATTTGCCCCCTCCCCTCAGGTTCAGGGGTATCACCTTCTCCAAGAGGTCTCCAGCTGCCAGGGGACCCTGTCCAGTCCCCTGAACATCCTGGACTCTTAGTCATCTGCCTAAGAAATTAATCTTCATCCAGTAGCCATAAAAATAATAATGTGTCTCTGGGAACATGCAGAGTGCTTTTACCATGCCCCCCATGCAACTGCACCCTGTAAAGGTAAAGGTAAAGGGACCCCTGACCATTAGGTCCAGTCGTGACCGACTCTGGGGTTGCGGCGCTCATCTCGCTTTATTAGCCGAGGGAGCTGGCATACAGCTTCCGGGTCATGTGGCCAGCATGACTAAGCCGCTTCTAGCTAACCAGAGCAGCGCACAGAAACGCCGTTTACCTTTCCGCCAAAGCGGTACCTATTTATCTACTTGCACTTTGACGTGCTTTCAAACTGCTAGGTTGGTAGGAGCAGGGACCGAGCCACGGGAGCTCACCCCATTGTGGGGATCTGAACCGCCAAGCTTCTGATCAGCAAGTCCTAGGCTCTGTGGTTTAACCCACAGCGGCACCCGCGTCCCACATAAAATGTGTCTCTGGGAACATGCAGAGTGCTTTTACCATGCCCCCCATGCAACGGCGGCCTGTACCTATGCAATAAAAATTAAAGAGCAGAGTTTCAGGCAAGCTTGAACCTCAAACCCCCTCTTTGGGGTAAATGAAACACAGTCCATTTCTAAGAGCTGCCCTGTGTGTCCCCACCCACCTCCTTTCTCACTCTGCCAACTCTTGTTTTGTTTTTCTTTGAAACTTCCGTGTCCGCAAACAAAGAAGAAAATGTCTTTGTCTTGGCATTGCCTCCCAAGAAGCATTGGAGATTGGGTAAAGGGTGGGGATTAGAATAAGTTTTTCGGCACGTTTCCTCTCCAAATCAGGAACAAGGCAGATTTTACAGGGGGATTTCCTACAGACAGAAGCTGTCTCCCTGAAGGGGAGAGGGCTGCTTTTTGTAATAACACAGAGAGGATGCCTGCCCAGAAAACAAACAATGTTTCAAGGATGTAGATTTCCTATTTAACTAGCCAGCGGGGGGTGGGGGGGGGAGGTATCAGGCCCTGGTGTGCAAAGCCCTGAGAAAGCCGCAGAGTCTCCTACTTTGTAAGCAAGAATGAAGTTGGCTATGCACTGTGAAGAGAATGCCAAGGCAGGTTCCTACTCACCCCCTGAACAGGGAGACGTCCCACAGCTCTGCAGTCGCACACCCAAGCCTTTTCTCCAACGTAGCCCAGGGTTAGAACAAAAAGAGCAAGGAGGTTGATCCAGCTCAGCAGGAGCTGTCCATGGTTTGTGTCTTCTGCACCGTCCTGCTTGCCGCTCAGCAGTTTCTGACTGCCACACCTACTTCCTCCCCGCACTGCCTGCCACCAAAGGATCTCCTCCTCCTCTTCTCAGATCACAGGGCTGCAAAGTCAACAGGGTTAATCATTAGGTTGCTAGCAAAGTGCCCATCAATTTGATGGATGGAAGGAGTGTGTGTGTGTGCGTGCGTGCGTGCGTGTGTGTGTGTAAAGAGAGATTTGCAAAGAACTCCTGCATATTTCAAAAGCCTGTGCACTCTGTGCCTATAGAGCAGTGCTTCCCAACCTTTGGTTCTCCAGCTGTTTTTGAACTACAATTCCCATCATCTCTGACCACTGGTCCTGCTAGCTTGGGATGGTGGGAGTTGTAGTCCAAAAACAGCTGGAGACCCAAGTTTGGGAAACACTTCTTTAGAGACACAGTGGACACTCATCCCACCAAGGCCTCTGTCACACTACCTAGTGTGAGTGACTGAGAGCAGGTTTGGGCCTTAACACGGTTCTGAGTGCTTTACTTCTCCCCGCAGTGGAGAATGGCAGTCACTCATTTACAGTGGTTCCTCGGGTTAAGTACTTAATTCGTTCTGGAGGTCCGTTCTTAACCTGAAACTGTTCTTAACCTGAAGCACCACTTTAGCTAATGGGGCCTCCTGCTGCTGCCACTGTGCCGCCGGAGCACGATTTCTGTTCTCATCCTAAAGCAAAGTTCTTAACCCAAAGCACTATTTCTGGATTAGCGGAGTCTGTAACCTGAAGCGTATGTAACATGAAGCATATGTAACCCGAGGTACCACTGTATATGAAAAGAAATGAAATGGTGCACTTGAAGATTCCATATAGTGGGGCTATGGCCCTCCACAGGCTCTCCATCCCTGATCTAGAGGACAGACGACCGACTGGTGACCCTTGAGCTAAGTCATAATGTTGTCCATCTTTTGCTAGTTCCACCACATTGTAAAAAAAAGCAAAAAAAAAAGCTGCTTTTTATTAACGCGCAGTGTCAATTGAGAGGAAAATAAGTAATGAATTGCTGCACATAATAAATATATGTTTTGTAGTATTCCCAGTTTTGCACACAGAGAGAAGGACCTGCTTGAGTTGATCTTTTAGGAATTTCAGCATCCTCCATAACAAATGTTCTCCATAGTAGTTAATCCAGGCCCGGGCCTCCTCATGTGGCAGGGTGAGGCACCCACCTCACTTCTGGCGAGAATTCTCCGGAAGCTGCTGCCAGCACTTTGTGGGTGCTGCTGTGCAACGCAGGCACCAGCAGTGGGGTGGCAATGAGGAGGAGGCATGTTCCTGCATCACCTCAAGTGGCGCAGCAGGGCGCACCACCCCTGAGTGAATCAGCTACTGCTAGTTCAGGGTGGTCCAACATGCAGCCCGTAGGCTGCAAGTGGCCCTCAAAGCCTTATTTGGCGGCCCTCAGCGACGATGTCCATACCTACTGTGATAGGAATTTTGAGGTCTTAGATATATGTTAAATGTTCATAAGTGTACCAACCAAGCACGTACATAGACAGACCTGAAACCATTTTTGATCCCAAACTGACCAAATGTTTTCTCTGCAAGGTCAAAGAAAAATGGAAAAGCCTCCCCATAGTCTTTTCCTTCACAAATCCTGTATTAAGGGCACATTTAAGATATGAATAGGGTGTGAGCCTGTGACCTGGCTCAGGAACTAAGTATTTATCATTACAAAAGACTGGCCACGCTCCCCAGGCAGTCCAATCAAGTGACCATTAAACAGGTAACCTGGCAGACAGGAGGTAAACAAAGCACTCAGATTTCTGCTGTAGACCACCCTTTCTGTGATGTAGGTATGATGTATCTGGGGGGTGGGTCTTGAGCTACACCCCTTCTGTGATGTATGTATGATGTTTCTGGGGGTGGTCTTGGACTCCAGGGAGGGAATTTAAAATGTCTATACAGTATAAGGGCAGGCACACTTTTGTTCTGGGTTCCTCCTCCCTCCTGCGTGTGGTGAGTGAGGACCCTGTTGCAACAGATCGATAAAGATCAGGCTTACTAGCTGCTTTGATTCTCAATGTTCTCTGGTTGGCCTCTGTTATTTTCTCCTACCAATAGGGAGCCTACGTAAGGACTCTATATGGGCTCTTGGATACCCCATAAGGGAAAAGGGCAGATTTTTGTTTACAACACCCACCTCCACACAGCAGCCCCACAATCCCGTCCCAGCTAGGTCTGGATTTTGAAAGCTCCGCAGCAGGCAGCAATCAGGGGCTTCAGGGCCACATGGCAGTACACAGGGCCCCCATAGGCAGAGCCACCATATGTCATCAGCACAGACTGCTGTGCAAGAGAAGAGAGATTGACAGGGTGAGGGGTGACTAGGCTTGGGGGAGAGGCTGAGGAAAAAAGTGAAGGGGAAAGAGAGCATGACCTATAAAAATTGTTATGTACTGAAGTTCTCACCCTGGGCCAGCAGGGGGATACTGTAGATAGTTTTCACTCAGGTCCACATATGCAAATAAGGATTGAAAGTGACGTTCAGTGATTGGATAGTTACAGAAGGTTGTTACAGTTGCGTTGTACTGGAGCTCTATATAAGCAGGCTGGCTGAACCCTTCAGTTCAGTTCTTTTTCTGGCCTGTGAATAAACAAGAGCTGTTTGAAGAATCGCTGTGTCGTCTGATATGTTCACCCACAACTTAACAAATATAACTGTGTATAAATAGGGGTGAAGGCTGCAGTTAGAAAGAAAAAAGGAATGAGTGACCCAAGAGATGTGGAGGCAAAAACAAGTGAAGCGGGAAATGCTGAGGTAAAAAGCCAAGGGGAGGAATGGGCTAAAAACAAGGGAGGCTGCAGCTGAGGGGAAATGGTGTGAGGGGACAGGCTGAGGTTAATAAAAGTGTTTGAAAGAAGTGCAAGAGTGTAAAAATGGGAGATACTGTGAGCTGCGCCCCTCACTGATGCCGTATCACATCCTCATTGAGCCACCTAAGGTCAAATCTATGAAATTTCTGAAACAATATGAGAACCGAAACGAAAACCGTACTTTTAAATTCACATTCATCCAAACTGTGTCACCAGTTTTGTGTAAACATGCAATGTTTACACAAATGCATATATTAGGGGGAAATGTAATCTCCAATTCATATATCAGTGAGGGTAACGTATAGAAGTACAATATATGTGGGGGAATTGCTTGCAAAATGAGAAACAGAGAGAAGTGTACTGGGCAGATCCTGCCATCCCTAAGTGGGATTGTGTTGGGTGCAGAGTGTGTACACAGCCATGGTGTGTGTCTGGGCCTTGCCAGGGTCTTGTGACACCTAGAAAGCTAACAAATTGATGGCAGCATGAGCTTTGTTGAACTGGTGTCCATCAGATGCACAACGTTGGCAGAGCTGCTGGTATACGATATACGATATCTTTATTGTCATTGTCCCATACAGAACAATGAAATTGCGAAACTACATAAAACATTCAAAAACCCCTAAAAACTCTGAAACCCCATTTTAAAATACACTATACTATACTATAAAATACACTATACTATAGAGACCCCTTATGCTGCGTTTAGAACCAGAATTGCATTTGCGCAGAAACTGTTTCTCAGGCGGCTAGTCCTGGCCTTTATAACCCTATACCTTCTTCCAGAAGGCAGAAGCTGAAAGAGATCATTTCCGGGGTGTGTACTATCCTGCGCTATCTCTGCCGCTTTCTTATGGCACCTGGCAGCATAGATTTGATCTAAGGTGGGAAGAGTGCACCCAGTTATTCTCTCTACATGCATATGATGGGCCCTGCAGGGGTGGAGATGATAAACAGAAATCCTACAAGGTCTGAGGAAAAGAAATGCAGAAATGACGAACACTGACAGTGACCCTTCTTAACTGGCACCCTTCACAAAGCAGGGCAGGTGGTAACACAAAGTTCCCTGGCTTTGTAGCAATGAAAAGAGGGGTAGCCATGTGACAAAAGTCTCTCGCAGCAAACACAACAAAAGAGTTTTGGGGCACCATCAAGTCTTGTAAGACATTACCTTGGCATTGGCCAGCTAATTAACACACATGTGGAGAGATGGAAGGAGAAACTAGCCCAAGATATTTTGCTGCCTGAGGTAAAGAGCAAGATGGCGCCCCCCCATCCCAGTTACAAAAGCTGTCTAATTGAATCTAATTGAATCTTTTGTTGGAGTTTACCATCTGCTGTATTATGTATCTTAGATTCAATAGAGTTGCTGTTTTCAAAAGGTTCTAAACTCTTTGTGTGGAAACTCACTAACCTATTTAGTACTAACCTATTTTGTATTTAACTTGCCTTTCTGTTGTAACCTGCATGAATCTAAATAAAACTAAATAAATAAATCTGACGGCGGCACTGTCAGCTTCTGGCACCTGAGGGCAGCAACCTAGCTTAGGCTGCGCGTTCCCGCCCTGCAAGCTCTGTCTACTCATTGTCCCTCAGCATCTACCGCCTGAGGCAGTTGCCTCACTTTGCCACATGGCAGAGCCAGCCCTGGCAGGTCTGTCACATGCTTCATCAATGTCCATTCAGTGATGTTATAATTAGGCCTCGTTCTCTCTGACACACTTTATAAGGTACATTTTCCCACCCAAAATTGTGGGAACTGCTGTTGGTTAACATGCTGGGAACTGTAGCTGTGTGAGGGGGGAAACTACAGTTCCCATGATTCTTTGGGGGGTGGGAATGTGCTTTATGAGGTAAAATGGATTAGATACAAAGACAGATTTCAAGATGACATTGCTGGTTGGGGGATTACGACTATTCATCCCCACCACAATAAATGATCTTTGGCATCTTCTCTTATTTAAATTCTGAAACAATGGTTTGAGCTCCTCAATGACATTTGAATCACCACCAACTTTTGGAAAAGTATCAGTTGAAGGGAAATATATCTAGAATATACATGATCTTAATGGGAATGAAGGCAAAAAGAGATGGATAACTTTTTTCAGTGAGAGAAGAAATGAAGTGTTAAATTAGATGATAAGTGTTAGAATATTTTTTTTGAGAGAATGGCTGCTGTTTTCAACTTGTGTTAGTACAAGAGACGCATGTTTTAAGCTAATTGCCAGATGGAGCACTGCCCCTTGGCAACAGAAAAGAATTACTCATCAAGGCTAAGGCTCCCAGTGGGGAAAATGTAGTTTTAAAAGTACGTATTTTATTCAATTTTATCTGATTTGTGTGTTGTGTGTTTTTTAATTACGCCGCTTAACAGAATTAAAAACAGTAAAAAGTTAAAAGAGAAGTAACAATCATCATAAAAAAAAATGAACATAAGTCAGCACCAGCCTGAAATCAAATTGGAACCAACAAATTTAAAAGCCAGGAACAATAAGTGAGAAAAACTCAAGAGCCAGAGGCTTGCCGAAGCAAGATGTCTTTTCAATGACTGTCAAAACGCTTAAATGGATGTTAAAAATTCTCAGTGGCAAGAGAAGGGGATTCCACAGTCTTGGTGCCACCACTGAAAAGGCCTCAGCATTTGATCCTGCCCATCTGATATCCTGTAAGGGCAGGAACACCTCAGTTGTTGATCTTAACTACTGGCATGCTTATATTGGGAGTAGACATAAGGTTGGATTACCCTAAACTTTCATTTTTCTGGCATGATATATTAAATGTAATTACTACAACAACTACTTACATATTACATTTGAAGAAGAGGGTGATAGCCAGTGCCACTTAAAGTAGATCTACTGTACTGAAATAAATGGATTTAAGTCCATGGATTTCAATGAATCTACTCTATAACTTAATGATATACCACCCAGAGGCTATTCTGAGTGGGACTATAAGAAAATCACTATAAATTACTTTTAGAACTACTGATGGCTCCTAGGACATTTACTGCATGGATACAGAAAGAATCAATAGTTCCCAGTGTTTCTGCAGTTGAAAAATATATGGGACCTGGAATTACAAGAACTGTTCACACAAGGAAATAAAGTGTAAAAATTCACCAGAGTAAAAAACACTATTTTATTTTAGAATGGTCATCACTACACCATGTTTATTTTCTTTTGGAATAATCATGATCACGAGTATGCATCAAAATATGGGTGCAGAAAACAAAAACATTTGATACGACGCAATTTATGTCAGACTTTTCATTAGTTTTGTAATACCTTTGGAGTGACAACGCATAGTTGGTCAACTTTCCGAAACTATTATTTATAAAACCCTCTGATAAAATAAAATACTAGGGGGCAGTATTCGACTAAATACAGTGGTACCTTGGTTCTCAAACTTAATCCGTTCCGGAAGTCCATTCCAAAACCAAAGCGGTCCAAAACCAAGGCGCGCTTTCCCATAGAAAGTAATGCAAAATGGATTAATCCATTCCAGACTTTAAAAAACAACCCCTAAAACAGCAATTTAACATGAATTTTACTATCTAACGAGACCATTGATCCATAAAAATGAAAGCAATAAACAGTGTACTGCAGTCACACAATCAATCAATCAATCAGTAGCTGAACTGGGTTCCACACAGTCACAAAAACAAAACAAAAAGAGCCACAAAAATGCAAAATAAATAACAAAAACAGATAGACCTCAGCGTAACACTCAAAATGGAAGTGTGGCACTCAAATCAGTAGCGTAACACTCAAAACGGAGCATGTTCGGCTTCCGAAAAAAGTTTGCAAACCGGAACACTTACTTCCAGGTTTGCAGTGTTTGGGTTCCAAGTTGTTTGAGTACCAAGGTGTTTGAGAACCAAGGTACCACTGTAAATGCCAAAGTGAGGGACTTCTGCTTGTGCAATGGACTTTCCCCCTGCTCTCCTCCCTCCAAATTTGCTCTGGAGCATTGTGGGCTGACCTAGGACAGATGGGGGGGTTGGAGAGGCGGGAAGTCTCATTGCACAAGTGGATGTTGATCCACTTGCACAAAGCTCTACTTTGACCTACACTGAATACAACCCAGAGTGACATGCATTGTTAATCATAACCAGAGTAGACTTATTGAAATGAATGAACTTTTTAAAAGCAGGAACAAAGACAAAACCCCTCTTCCTCCAAGAGCACAGAGAATTCTACTTACGTACATGTATCAAAGACTGAATTTTGCATTATTGCTATTATTAATTCCACTTCTATCCTAGCATTCCTCCAAAGAACTCAAGATGGCCTACATGGTTCTCCATCCCCACTGCATGCGCACAACAACCCTGTGAGGTAGGTTAGGCAGAGAGAGAGAGAGAGAGAGAGAGAGAGAGACTGACCCCATGAAGTGAGCTTCATGGTTTAGTGGGGATTCGAATCTTGGTCTCCCCAGTCATACTGTACTCTGATAATTAATTTCCTCCCCCATTCGCAAGCAGTGCTGTTTATTATAAAACAATGTCTAAGCCTGAGGATTTTTTCAAAGTTATATTCAAAGAATGACACACACACATCCACCGAAGACAGGAAAATGTTTGACTGAAAACATGACATAACATTATATATTTGGATACCAACGCAAACTGCACTATTATAGATATGAGCTAGCTTTTAACACAGAAGAATCCACAGACTTCCGTAAACAAAGAACCAGGAAATAGCAGCAAAAGACACAGAGGAATAGGCACAACTTCACTCTGTGGACTTAAGAGACCTGTGGGGAGAGTCATGCGCTTTAAATGTGCTTTAGATCTATGGTGTGAATGCAGCTTAGGTGTGATGGCAAACAGCCATGGGGTAGTTTTAAAAAGTCCTACCATTACGCAGCAAGTGTCAGGATGCTATTCTGGGGTTGTCATGAAAGGGTAGCAAATTCTTATCTATTTAATTGATCATCAACCATTGCCTGTATAAAAACAGCTAACATCAATAATGGTAAAGGGACCCCTGACCATTAGGTCCAGTCATGACCGACTCTGGGGTTGCGGCGCTCATCTCGCTTTATTGGCTATACAGCTTTCGAGTCATGTGGCCAGCATGACTAAGCCGCTTCCGGCGAACCAGAGCAGCGCACGGAAATGCCGTTTACCTTCCCGCCAGAGCGGTACCTATTTATCTACTTGCACTTTGATGTGCTTTCGAACTGCTAGGTTGGCAGGAGCTGGGACCGAGCAACGGGAGCTCACCCCATTGCGGGGATTCAAACCGCCGACCTTCTGATCGGCAAGTCCTAGGCTCTGTGGTTTAACCCACAGCGCCACCCGCGCCCCTAACATCTATAATGGGAGTGCTTTGATGAAGATAGCAGGGGCAGAATGCGGAAGACGGGATGGCGGAAAGCGAGAAAACGGTCTTCGCTGTCAGCATGTGCAACCAGCAAGAAACCTCTGCTCCTCCAGATGTAGTTGGACTCCAACTCCAATCAGCCCCCAGCCAACATGCCAATGGCCAATAGCCCAACAAATCTGGAGGGGACACAGACTCCCCATCCCTGCTGTCATACATCCCTTAAGATAACTGCATAAACCAGTTGTTGTCTATCCACAGTGAAATACATTTAAACATAACTGAACGGCTAAAAGTATGGGCTGGCTTTCTGGAGCCCAGGCTCTGGACTGTGGCAACACATTCTCCTCCTCTGTAGATTGGTACAGAAAACATGAGCTCCTCTGCTGCAGTCAGTCACCCTTTATCGCCAGTATTTCAGTAGTGAGTTGAGACTCACAAGCCAAACACTTACATACGTATTTGTACCTCACTCTTCATAAAGAAAAAAATAAACTTTTCCAGTAGAACTAAGCTTATGCAGCTCTGTGCAACCCTCAGTTCATATGAATCTGTGTCCCAAAGTATAAAAGGTACCTTTCTATATAGAAATCCTTGATCCACAAAAGAAATAATATTTTGACTATATTGTGGTTTTATTGCCACCTAGTGGTCAAAAGGTCAGAAGGCAGCTTGATATTGCTAGGCCGGTTGTGAACTCAGAACAAATCAAAACCTTCCTGCTTTGCCTTTTAGCTTCATCATTGTACAGTGGTACCTCGGGTTAAGTACTTAATTCGTTCCGGAGGTCCGTTCTTAACCTGAAGCACCACTTTAGCTAATGGGGCCTCCCGCTGCCGGCACGCTGCCAGAGCACGATTTCTGTTCTCATCCTGAAGCAAAGTTCTTAACCTGAGGTACTATTTCTGGGTTAGCGGAGGGTATAACCTGAAGCGTATGTAACCTGAAGCGTATGTAACCCGAGGTACCACTGTATAGCTTCTCCCATACGCTGAGGATGCTTCTAACTGATTTTAATATTGCATTTCTACTTTGCTGTAATTTGCAGAAGGACTTTATGGTGAAGACTGCTCTTTAGCAAGGGCAAAATGGCCAGAACCGCCCCTGACACATCAGCTGTAACTTTAAGAATTCCTGCTTGTGCTTGCTTTTCCCTCCTCCCTCCCCATTGCTTTTTCCTCATGTGCCATGTCTTTTTAGATCATGAACTCGAGGATAGTGATTGTCGTAGAATTCAATTTTGTATGCTGCTCTGAGAGCCCTTTAAGCTAAAGAGGGGGTGGGGTGGTATAATTAATGCTGTAAATGAACAATACACATACGCAGTGGCGTAGCGTGGGGGTGCGGGGGGGCCGGCCGCACCAGGCGCAACATCGGGGGGGGCGCTAATCTAGTGGAAGAGACTCGAGTGCTAAAATCCACTGGTTAGGGGGCGCAAATTACTTGCCTTGCCCCGGGTGCTGACAACCCACGCTACGCCACTGCACATACGTGTACATTCTAAAATTTCCCCCAGCTCCAAAGAATAAGGGCAGCAGATCAACATGCTTTAAATGTGTGTTGACTGTGCGTTTAATGTATGGTGTGGACCTGCCCTAAATGTGCCTCTTAATTTAATTTTAAAAATCTTTAATTTAATTTGGGGTGCGTGGGTGAAAGAGCACCTTCGATATCAGAAGCCACGGAAACATGTCTCTCTTAAGAACCCACCAACTCTCGGTCTGAGTGCAGAGGTCTGGCTGTGTGACACCAAGTGCTTCAAGCCTGATAAGGCTTTATCTTATCACCGCACTAATGATTTGCAATTTCAGATGAGGACTTTACTCCCCTCCGGCCAGTGAGTCATCTGACCAGCTGGCCGGACTGCGGAATTGAAATCGAACCATTGGGGCTCAAAATTCAGTCCTAACATGGAGCCTAGGGAGTTGGGCACCGAAAACCTGAGGCGAAGGAGATCCCAGGAGAAGGCCCAAAAGGAAGAAGAAGCGCCACAACAAGTACCAAATGGTGAGGAGCAGGGCTTTTGTTTTCCCCAAGGGGAAGTCACAATAACTCAGTTCTGGCACCTCTCAAGTGGGCACCATTGCCATTCTAAAAGAAAGAGGGAGGTGTTCTTGGTGAGTTCCAGCACCTCTTTTTCTAGAAAAATAGCATTTCAGGGAAAGTTCTGGGGCATGATGCTGCAAAGGAATGCTAAGAAAGCTTTGCTGAAAATGACTGGGATTGCATGGGGACCCATAGGAAAAGCTAAGGGATGGGCTTTTGAGCCGATGGCTTTTGTTGCAGCCGCTGACTCAAAGGAACCTCCCTTACTTTACATGTGTCCCCTTTTTTTAAACTCAGAAACTGCGGTGGAAGGAAGGCAGAGCATCCCCGGAGAGTGGTAGTGCTGAGAGGTCCCCTCAGGCCTGGAGAGTGACATGGGTTGGTTAGCAATGATAGTCTGTTATCACCTGCTGTTCATTAAGGAAGTGGTGGCATTGGGAGGAAGGCATAGAGAGTTCAGCAGTGGCAGACTGGCTGAGCTATGGAAATGGGTGAACAGTTTGCTAGGTATTGTCCAGAAACAGGGGGTGCTTCCAGTCAGTTACCATTTTGGGGTGGGACAGGCAAATTTTGGTTCTGCAATAACAGTTGATTTGGCACGCTTGAACAACAGACCTGATCCTACCCAAGCCACCCCCCAAATTTGACTTTTTACAATAAGGAAAGTGACATGAAAATGCTTGGTGTAAGATCGTCTAACCCCCCCCCCCCATTTTTTAAAAAAAGTTTTGTTAATTTCCCACTAGGAACACAACTGTTAATATTACATGAACTTCAAACAGAGTTGTCTTCCTTCCATAACCATGTCAATAAATATTAAGTTCCCATCATTGGTAGTGTTACTAAAAGTTTCATATTAACATATAGTTTCTTGCCTTTTTCTTACATCGGCTACAACTTGATATATTTGGCTATATTTGGTCCAATTTTACTAGACCAATTTTAATTGTTAACAGGTTAAAGGCACATCTTTGACTATTCCAACTTTTCATACTTTCAACACTGAATTTTAGTCGTGTAATAAAATGAGATGATGTATTTAATGAATGCAGCCTAGCTCTTCCTTTTTGGTGGTCTTTTGAGACAAGCACATTTTCCTTGCTGGTTTTATACGCTGATTCATGGCATTTGTTAGAGGTGTTAACCAATGCAAGCTGCCCTCTTCCATTATCTGAAAATGGGGAAAATGTCAAGCAGATAACTGGGTATGTTAACACCCCACAAACAAGTTCAGCTGCTTCTCTCAGTAAGTTAAACAAAAACAAATTATGTTGCAGTTCTATGCACACTTACCTAGAAATAAGTTCCATTGCACTCAGTGGGGCTACTTCTGCATAGACATTCATAGGACCCTGCTGTTAGCCATTAATCCTTTCACAGCTCTGAAAAGAAATTGGAATTGCCAGCTATTAGAAATAGTCTGATTCTCACCATCCTACAACTTTACCACCTGTGTTATCAAGCATTCCTTGGCACTATTGCTGAATTCTACTACAGTAACCAATCTAACTTTGGCCACATGCAAACCCTGCAGTCGGAGGGTGGTACCTGACTATGATTCCAGCAGTGAGCTATCAAGTGTCCATCGGACCACAACCATCCTGAGCATCTTCTCTTGCCATCTCTAATTATCTAGGGGACGCCAAACACCTGGACATCATCACTGCTCATATCCAGTGGAAGAGACACATGGAGGTAACAACAGTTGCTTTCAGAAGCATTGCCTGGGATGGAAAGGGCCCTGAGTGAGGCAGATAATCTCCTAGCCGTTTTGCATGGGGAGGAGAGCAGTCAGTCAGGTAAGGCCAGGGACGGGGAACCTGTGGCTCTCCAGTAGACTGTAATCTCAAACTTCCCTTACCTGTTAACCATGCTGGCTGATGCTGATGGGAACTGAAGCACAGTAACATCTGGAGGGCCATAGGTGTCTCACCTCTGCTGTAAGGCCATGAACCAACCATTAGGATGTCGCTCAGAGCCAGAGTGTCATTCAGTAACTAACTTGTGGGAATTCAATGGTGGTTAGGCCCTCAAAGCTTTCCCAAGAGGTGGCGTTATCGTTTACATCCATATCATAATATTGGTTTCATATTTTTTGACCTGGCAATATATTGCAATTAATGGGGTGTGTGGGGTGTGGGTGTGGGTGTGGGTGTACTATGCAAAAATCACAATGTGGGGAATACTGTGAAGCCAGCCAATGCCTCTACATAGCTCCATTCTTATTTCAGACATCGTGATATATTGGTATATCATGATTTTTAGCTGGTGATATACAGTCGTACCTTGGAAGTCGAACAGAATCCATTCCGGAAGTCCGTTTGACTTCCAAAACGTTTGGAAACCAAGGCACAGCTTCCGACTGGCTGCAGGAAGCTCCTGTAGCCAATTGGAAGCTGCGTTGGATGTTTGGGTTCCAAAGAACGTTCGTGAACTGGAACACTCACTTCCAGGTTTGCGGCGTTCAGGATCCAAAGCATTCGAGTCACAAGGTGTTCATCAACCAAGGTACAACTGTATTGCAATGTTGAAAACCAGGTATCACCCAGTCCTCAACATAAGTCCATAATTTAAATTTAAATTAATTGCATTTAAAAGCAGTGAGCAAGAGTGTGAGCAGGTGACCTGCGTACTTGGTCATTCTGCTGTCTGGGTGATGCTAACTGTTAACAAGCAAATTCAGGGGCCTGCTCCTTGCTCTCCCTTCCTGCAGCTGTTTATCCTTAAGCAAGGTTTGGACAGGACTTCATACAGAGTACTTCTTCAAACAAAGGATCATCCTCTGTCAAGCAGAACTTATCACCACCTGAAAGAAGGCAAAAACTCCCAGAGGATAACAGAGAAGGGGATGAGGAAAAAGCCCTGGGGTTGTAGGGTGGGTCTTTCCTAGGTAGTAAAAAGGTAAAGGACCCCTGACAGTTAAGTCCAGTCACGGACGACTCTGGGGTTGCGGCGCTCATCTCGCTTTACAGGCCGAGGGATCCAGCGTTTGTCCGCAGACAGTTTTTCCAGGTCATGTGGCCAGCATGACTGAGCCGCTTCTGGCGCAACGGAACACCGAAACCAGAGCAGCACATTTACCTTCCTGCCGGAGCAGTACCTATTTATCTACTTGCACTTTTTGGCATGCTTTCGAACTGCTAGGTTGGCAGGAGCTGGGACTGAGCAACGGGAACTCACCCCGTTGCGGGGATTCGAACCGCTGACCTTCCAATCGGCAAGTCCTAGACTCAGTGGTTTAGACCACAGGGCCTTTTCCTAGGTAGTAGGACCCCAATTAAGGTGAGAGTGGAGGGTGGCGTGAGAAGAACTTGTCTTTTACGTCTGTGCATTCTGGGAAGCTCCAGGGCGAGGGTGGGCAAGGGAGATGGCTAATCTCCTGGTGTTTTCTTGGCAGGCGATGAAGTCAGAGCTCCTGGAACAGGTCCACACTCAGCTCAGCAAGCTGCTGGACAAAGCATTGGAAGAAGCCGCATACTCCTTTCCCCCTCGTTTGAGGCACGGCTTAGCAAAGCAAGCAAACAGGTAACCAGGCTTTTTAACAGCCAGCTCCACTTCGACCTCTGCTTTCCCAACAACAAGCAAATACAGGTGCAAAGTCTAAGCAAACCAGGGGTGCTTTCGGACTTCCGCTATTTTCAGGCGAGATTCAAACACATATTTGGCAAATTCAGGTTCTGCACTCACAGTTGATTGGGAGGTATCATTTTACAAACCCGCTTCCATGAAAAGATCAGACTTTTTTTAGCGATAATGGGGAAATGCACGGGTTAACAATATCATCTAATCTCCCTTAAAACAAATCAGCGTTGAATGCTCACCCAGCAAGTCCTCTGGAAACACTCAGCAGCTGAAACCCACAATAATGTCAGGGAAAAACAAAGTGGCTACAAACAATTCAACCTTCATTCAAATGAGTAGCTAAAACAAAACAAAAAAGGTCATATGCCACTCCTTGAAAGGTGACAAAGTGGAAGGTGCCTGAAGGCCAAGTTGTTGTGAAGGTGAATGAGATAATGAAATGCTATTATCTAATCTCAGGAACTGTTAAACTGCAAACTAAATGGATGGAAAGATACCCCCAGGATTTCAAGTTGCTCCTAAGAGATTAATAATAATAATAATAATAATAATAATAATAATAATAATATATTTATATCCCGCCCATCTGGCGGCTTCCAACACAATATTAAAATACAGTAATGCATCAAACATTAAAAGCTTCCCTAAACATTTTAAAGCACTGAAAATGTGTACTGAGTGTTTTAAAACAGCATCATGATGTTCCTGACATCAGGCATATAATATGTAAGGCACAACATAAAAGGAAAAGGGGATGGGGAAGAAAGAAGAAAACTAGCAAATTCCAGCAACAAATTCTTAAAGTTACACAGCTACTCTAATAAAGATCAGTTTGAAAAGGAGAGGAAGGGCCAAATGGCAACTAGAGTAGGCCCACCTGTCCAGCTTATTTGACTGTGTAGTATACTCTCCCATATGCACTCCCACTGCTGGTTTGGGAAACGGTGTACATATATGACATTAGCCACGACCTCTGTCTGTCATGCCATTTCTTATGAAACACTGCATTTTTGATGTGTTCTCCCTCAAACCACTTTTGATCCGAATTGAGAACATGAACAACCTGGCTGCTTTTTGAGCCAGCAATGTGTATGCAGCCTTTGTCTATGGCAGGCAAGTTGGATGGTTGTGTTATATGAATTCTAAGGTCTCAAATACAGAATAAATATTCATAAACACACACATATGTGCGGGAGAGCAATCCTGAAGCTAGTTTAACTCCCCCAATGACCTCAAATATTCCTCTGCAGTAAGGGAGGCAAATGGGAAAAGCCTTCCCATTGTCTTTTTGCTTACAAATCCTGTCTTAAGGGCGTACTTGTGTATGAATAGGGTGAGCCTGTGACCTGGATTCAGGAACTAAAGTACATTACAAAATAATGGCCAGGCTGCCCAGGTAACACAATCAGCAGACATTATCAGGTATCCTGGCAGACAGGATGTCTGCTGTAGACCGCCTCCTATGATGTATGTAGGGTGATTGCGGGTGGTGGTCTTTGGCTAAGGGGGTTTGGCAATGTCAAAAGTCTTTAAAGGTTGCTGCACACTTTTGTTCAGGGTCTTTCCCTCCTTGGAAGGCGGGGAGGGGACTCTGTAGCAACAGAAATATAAATATCTGCCTTGTTTTCCACTGGATCCTGCCTCCATCCATTCTTCTCTGACTGATCAGGGACTTAGGAGACTCAGAGTCCCATGGGGAGCTGGGCATCAAAAGCCAAACCCCAATTTTAACATCAGTTGCTAATGCATATAAGATGAGGGAGAGGGGGGTGGGGGTGGGGGTGGTAAAGGGACCCCTGACCATTAGGTCCAATCGTGGCCGACTGTGGGGTTGCGGCGCTCATCTCGCTTTATTGGCCGAGGGAGCCAGCATACAGCTTCCGGGTCATGTGGCCAGCATGACTAAGCCGCTTCTGGCGAACCAGAGCAGCGCACAGAAACGCCGTTTACCTTCCCGCTAGAGGGGTACCTATTTATCTACTTGCACTTTGACATGCTTTCGAACTGCTAGGTTGGCAGGAGCAGGGACTGAGCAACAGGAGCTCACCCCGCTGTGGGGATTCAAACCGGCAACCTTCTGATCGGCAAGCCCTAGGCTCTGTGGTTTAACCCACAGCGCCACCCACGTCCCTCCACAGCACCACCCTCTGCAGCAATTAAGTAATGTTCTTTTTCTGCTGCTCCCAATTCTTTGCCCAGAAACAACTGAGGTCTAAGAGATCATGCTAACCATTCCCTGCCTTGGAACCTTACAGGGAGAAAAGCTTACAGCAGGAGAAGCAGAAAGTGTTTGTTGAACGGCAGTCGTTGCTTGAGTAAGTATGTCCTGCTTTCTTGCTTGCTCTTGAAATAAAAAGAGTACTACTAAGAGGGAGGCCCTCTTGTGCCAAATATGTAACTTCCCAGTAAGTCCTTGGAAGAGCTACTGGTGACTCAATAATATGAGGCAAAGCAGGCATGGCAAATGTGTGGCCTTCTTTTTTTTTTTTTTTAAATAATTTTTATTAAAGTTTTAAACAACAAAGAAGCAACACACACAAAAAGCAATACAAAACTCAACAATAAAAGACAAAAAAGTAACAATTAAAAACAAACTCTCTTTTCCTTTTCCATTTTTAGATTACTTATTTTCTGGACTTCCTCATACCTCCCTCTTTTGTATTCCAATCCAAATTATTTGTCCAGCAGTTTCTTTTCCACTTTTTTAGTCCCAATCTTTAATTTAATAAAATATTAAAATATATAACTTCAACTTCTTTAAACCTAATCCTTAATCTTAGTATCATATAACGTTAAAATTTTCCCTTTTAATATCAAATTTCCATTTCTTTAAACATCTTTAATCTTGATCTTTAATCTTAGTCTATCATTAACTTTAACCTGTGCAGCTGGAAACCACTTATTTTCAGTCCAACATCACTCTAACATTCCTTAATTTTGCAGTGTTTCTGAAGATAGTCTTTGAATTTCTTCCAGTCTTCCTCCATCGACTCTTCTCCCTGGTCACGGATTCTACCAGTCATTTCCGCCAATTCCATATAGTCCATAAGTTTCATCTGCCATTCCTCCAGCGTGGGAAGTTCTTGTGTCTTCCAATACTTTGCGATAAGTATTCTTGCTGCTGTTGTTGCATACATAAAGAAAGTTCTATCCTTTTTTACCACCATTTGGCCGACTATGCCCAGGAGGAAGGCCTCTGGTTTCTTAGGGAAGGTATACTTAAATACCTTTTTTAATTCATTATATATCATTTCCCAGAAAGCCTTAATCTTTGGGCACGTCCACCAAAGGTGAAAGAATGTACCTTCGGTTTCTTTACATTTCCAACATTTGTTATCGGGCAAATGGTAGATTTTTGCAAGCTTGACTGGGGTTATGTACCACCTGTATATCATTTTCATAATATTCTCTCTTAAGGCATTACATGCCGTAAATTTCATACCTGTGGTCCACAACTGTTCCCAGTCAGCAAACATGATATTATGTCCAATGTCCTGTGCCCATTTAATCATAGCCGATTTTACCGTTTCATCCTGAGTATTCCATTTCAGCAGCAAGTTATACATTCTTGACAAATTCTTAGTTTTGGGTTCTAACAGTTCTGTTTCTAATTTTGATCTTTCCACCTGGAAGCCAATTTTCCTGTCCAATTTAAATACCTCCATTATCTGATAATAATGAAGCCAGTCTCGCACTTTGTTTTTTAGTTTTTCATAACTCTGCAATTTCAGCCTATCTCCGTCTTGTTCCAAAATTTCCCAATATTTCGGCCATTTGACCTCCATATTGACCTTTTTCAAGGCTTTCGCTTCCATTGGTGACAGCCACCTTGGGGTTTTGTTTTCTAACAGATCCTTATATCTTAACCAAACATTAAATAGCGCTTTCCTGACAATGTGGTTTCTAAACGCTTTATGTGCTTTGACCTTATCATACCATAAATATGCATGCCATCCAAATACATTATTGAAACCTTCCAAGTCCAAAATGTCAGTGTTTTCAAGAAGTAGCCATTCTTTCAACCAGCAAAAAGCTGCTGATTCATAGTAAAGTTTCAGGTCTGGCAGGGCAAATCCACCTCTTTCCTTTGCATCCGTTAAAATTTTAAATTTTATTCTGGGCTTCTTGCCCTGCCAGACAAATTTAGAAATATCTTTCTGCCACCTCTTGAAACAATCCATTTTGTCCACAATCTGCAAAGTTTGAAACAAAAACAACATTCTAGGCAATACATTCATTTTTATCGCAACAATACGGCCCAGCAGTGAAAGCTTCAAATTTGACCAAATTTCTAAATCTTTTTTCACTTCAGACCAGCATTTTTCATAGTTGTCTTTAAATAAGTTTCCGTTTTTTGCTGTCATGTTAATCCCCAAATATTTAACTTTCTTAACCACTGTTAAACCTGTCTCATGGCAAATGTGTGGCCTTCTAGATGCTGATAATCAAAGAGTGAACTGGCAGTAGATCACACCGTTCAAAGTTGGAGTGAAGTCTTGATTAGCAAAAAGCACAGTCTTCACAGACGCGCCTGAGTGTCAGGCCAAATGAGCACAGCAGCTCATCAAGTTGCCTCCCCACAGCTATCTAAGTCCCCTCCCTGCCAGGGCTTTCCCCAAGCAATCAGAGACTGTGCCTGTGTGCAATCTGCTGCTGCTCCGCCCTCTTCAGCCCTCTTCTAGTTCTGGGAGTTGGAGAAGAGGGGAGCTTGTTGCAGCAGGAAGGGGTGACACCCATGACTCTTCACCGGCCTGATTCACCTCTGCCTCACAGCCTCCCTCCTCCCACTCGCCGGCTTCGGCTTCCGATTCTGGATTTCTCTCCGCCACAGAGAGACTTAGCTCACCAAGTCCTGTTACCTCTTCAAATTCCGACACCACCTCTTCCCAGTCTTCTCCCTCTGACTACTCATCATTGTCCCTCCACAACTGCACAGCCTCTGAGCCTTCTTCCTTTGGTAGGTCCCCAGCTGGTGCCTGCCACACCGTTCCTCTGTGTCCAACCAGTCCATGACACTGATGAACTGCAACTCCCATCACTCCTGACTATTGGCCATCATGGCTGGGGCTGATGGGAGCAACATCTGGAGAGCTATGGGTTCCCCACATTGAATGCAGAACACTGCATGCCCAGGTCATGTTAGATACCTCTGGGGCAAAGTCCTTTTTCTGAAAACAAGAGGCACCTGCTAGGAAAGAAGTAGGATCCCTATCATAGTACTTCAGACCCTGGCTGCATATGCATGCATTCCATTAACCCACCACCACCACTGCCTTAGAGCTCACGCTTTGGCAAACCGGTTCCCCTTTTCTTTTGCAGTGAGCTGCTGGATGTAGAGCACTTCCGCACCATCTACCACATGTTTGTGGCCATGCTCTGCGTCTTCGCTGTCAGCACCGTTGTTGTGGATTTCATTGATGAAGGACGGTATGGTTCAGCAATGGGGCTGGGGACAGGCGGGGCAACATAGGGAGACTTGCATGGTAGAACAGTGGAGGGCAGGGAGGAGGACTTGCAGCAAAATGCAACCCTCCCGGTCTCTGTATCAGGTCCATGGAGCTCTTCCCACACTTTCTGAGCCGTGCCCTGCCTTTTGCCCTCTCTGGGTGTTTCTGCCTGGCTGGAATTTGTCCTTGAACTGTGACAATGCCTCTTGCACACCGGGAATAACCAAGGGTCATCCAACCCCCTGCAGTGCAGCCATCTCAGCTAAACCATCCATGAAAGATGGCCATCCATCCATCTGGAGGGAGGACAGAGACGGGTGTGTGCATGTGTGTGCAAAAACTATCCCACTGAACAGAGGTAAACATCTGGGCTTGCTGTTCTGCTCACTTTTGACTCGCCTGCTACTGGCAGGTGGCCCCTGAAAAGTTGCCCAAAAGGGAAAGGCGGCCCTCAGGCTGGAAAACGTTCCCCACCCCTGTCCAACGGAAGGGTTTGTGTGCTGTGATTTCCATTGCCCCTGGCTTGAGTCCCCCCTCTTTAATTGGAACCTGTTGTCGCTTACCCGCTTGAATGACTCCCAATGTTGGTTGCTGTGTCCTCAGTGGCTGCCTTTCCATCTTTCACAGCCTTGTCCTGGACTTCGAGCTCTTCATCTTTGCTTTCGGAAAGCTGCACGTGGCGCTCTTTGCCTGGCTTTGCATGTTCCTCTACACCCTAGTGGTCCCCTACAAGGCCCTGCAGATCTGGACTAGCTGCTTAAGGACTGTCCGGTTCCCCAAACTCTTCACGGCGGCTGTGGTTGCGGCGCTGCTGCTCTGCCACGCTGCTGCCCTGGGCTTCTATCCCATCCATACTGTAGTCAGCTACAAACTGGGGCCTGCCTCTCGTTTCATTGTCATCCTGGAGCAGGTGCAGTACTGTGACATCGTCATCACGAAGGGAGATAAACTCCCAAGCAGTCTGGTGGGTGGAGCGGGTGGCGCATCAGGCTAATTCAAAGGAGAGAGGGGGGCATTGTAGGGGGGAGGTTAAGGGCGGTGGTGGCTTTTCCCCCATTGGTACTGGTAGGTCTGAAGGCAAGGAGACCAACAGTAAGTGGAGCCAGAGAGCCAATGACAAACAGAGCCAAGTAAAGCTAGTTTTGATCCCCATTATCTTCCCGGCTGGATTTTCCAAGCGCAGTGAGTTTTAGGAGCAGAAAGTTGCCACTGGCTGTGCCGCCTCCTGGACTGGTTGCAAGTAATAATAATAATAACAATAATTTATTATTTGCACCCCACCCATCTGGCTGGGTTTCCCCAGCCACTCTGGGCAGCTTCCACAAAGACCAAAAATACACTAATATGTCACACATTAAAAACTTCCCTGAACAGGGCTGCCTTAAGATGTCTTCTGAATGTCAGGTAGTTATTTTTCTCTTTGACATCTGATGGGAGGGTGTTCCACAGGGCGGGTGCCACTACCGAGAAGGCCCTCTGCCTGGTTCCCTGTAGCTTTGCTTCTTGCAATGAGGGAACCACCAGAAGGCCCTCGGTGCTGGACCTCAGGGTCCGGGCAGAACAATGGGGGTGGAGATTAAGAAGGGAGGCAGATGGAGGCAGGCTAAAGGTGGACTGAGGTTGGCAGGACACTGCCCCATTCACCTTAGTATATCAGCCTCCATTGCTTAAGGGAAAACCAAACAGTGTCATTGGGGTTGAAATGGTACATCCACATGCCCAAAGCAGAGGTTCCAGGCATGTGAACAGGCAGTGAAGAATATAAACACCTGCAGTGGTACAGATGTATATTTCTATATATGGGCTGGAGGTGTGCCACACATCTGACATCTGGCCATGGAACAATCTCGCTCTTGGTTTAAAGGCATACGCATCTGCTGGGGCCGGCCCTCCTATTAGGCAGAGGTAATCGCCTCAGGCAGCTGATTTTGAGTGGCAGCAATTTTTTTTTTGCTGCTATCACCATTATCAGTAACACATAACCGCAACGGCACATTTCTTATTTATTAAAAGCCTTTCTAAGCAACCTGATATTTTACAGTTGGCCTCAAGTTCAATTCTGGGCGGGACCTCAGTCAGTGTGGACAGTTCTGAGAGCTAGATGGGCAAGCGGTCTGACTCTGCATAAGGGGCAGCTTCCTATGTTGTGGGAAGGCGGTGTGGTCAGCAGCCTGGAGGCAAGCAAAGCAGGCAATTGAGATGGAAAGTTAGCAAGTGGTCAAGATGATACATAGCCAAGTGGTGACTGGGGGCCAGTCATCCAAGGGCAGCTCAGTCTGTGCCAGTCCAATAAGCTGCTCAGAATGAAGATCCAGACCACGGCAAGGAGTTTTGTAGCATCAGCACAACTTTATTGGCCCTCTGGGTCACGGGGCAGTAAGTTGGTAAGCTGTAGTGCCACTCTCTGGCTATCTCGGTGGTGGTGCAGGAAAAAGCAGACCTGCTGTTCCCTCCTCTGGCAAGCTACCGGGGCAGCAAGAGAAGGGTGCCATTCTGGGTCCTGCCACAGTCCCCCATTCAAGGCAGCCACCCACCCAGCACCTACTCAATTGTTCCCCCTGTTTCAGTGCTTGCTTCCCCCACCTGCTTAGATCCGGTTCCTCATGAAGAGCCATGCGTTCCTGCGAGAATCTGTGCCTCCTATCCTCTGCGCTGTGTCCCAGGATGGTGAGTTTGATTGCGGGGTGGTGGCATCTATGCCAGCCCTTCCATCAAGAGTGGTGGGACTTCAGGACCAGAAGAGTCAAATGCCAGAGGGTGTTACTACAAATACCTCCCTCTGCCTGCTACTGCAAAGCAAACGAAATCCCTGCTCAGTGCAAAGCTAAACAAGAGCTCTCTGTTTCCACCATTGAGTGCATAATCTCCCCTATCCACCCCCCCCAATCATTGCATAGGCTATCTTATTCAGCAATTTCTATGACTAATTGGCATTGACCTCACACTTCAAAGCATATCTTTGTGATCATGAGAGCTAGAAACTTTGCTTTTTGCACTCAGTTCAATGATTCTACAGTTACATCCTTCACAGTATACACAAAGCCCTGGGTAAGTAAAGGTAACGGGACCCCTGACCATTAGGTCCAGTCGTGACCGACTCTGGGGTTGCGGTGCTCATCTCGCTTTATTGGCCAAGGGAGCCGGCGTACAGCTTCCGGGTCATGTGGCCAGCATGACTAAGCCGCTTCTGGCGAACCAGAGCAGCACACGGAAGCGCTGTTTACCTTCCCTCCGGAGCGGTACCTATTTATCTACTTGCACTTTGACGTGCTTTCGAACTGCTAGGTTGGCAGGAGCAGGGACCGAGCAACGGGAGCTCACCCCGTCACGGGGATTCGAACCGCCGACCTTCTGATCGGCAAGTCCTAGGCTCTGTGGTTTGACCCACAGCGTCACCTGCGTCCCTCAAAGCCCTGGGTATTTTATGCTAAAATGGCATTGCAGAAAATGGAAGGATCTGTGCTTAGTGTACCATGCCAGAGCAAGTTCTACTAAGTTATCCCCTTTCTCATTGTACAATACAACCCCACACCTCTTTGCTTCACAGTGCCCTCAGCTGCTCCTCTCACTTTTTCCTTTCCAGGAAAAGGGTGCCCACCTGAATTCTCAACATACCTGTATTTCCTCTTCTGCCCCACTTTGATCTACAGAGAGAGCTACCCAAGGCGAGTCCTCTTCTCTCCATCCTCCTATTTTACTCTTTAAAGGCTTCCAGGGTCTCTAATTCCGGTACAAGGACACCCTGGGTCAGAAAGGGAGGAAAACTGGCAGAGCTTCAGAATCCATGATGCTTTTAAAGTATCCCAAAGTAAAGCAGGAGTGTGCTGTTGCTGGTCACAGTTTTCAAAGAATTCCTTCGTATCTTTTTTCTGTTCTTTCTGTTGTTAGCGAGTCCTTAAGAAGTGCTGAGTTTAAGCAGCAAATTGGTGCTTCGGGGTTATTAAAATGTAGTTGTTCCTTGGCTGTTATAGGGGTGTGATCTGATATCGCTGTAAGTCCAGTATCTGCTCTTGTTAGACTTCCCTTTAAAGTACCAGAAATCCTAATGCAATCCATTCTAGTATAGGTTTTCTGGTGTGGTCTTTATTAGGGGTTTTAAATTTTAATTCCATCCGATCAGGAGGAGAGCTTCATGCTAGAAGGCTATGGTCGCTCAGTGATGACACCACTCCCCCCTCAGATTCCATGGTGTTTCCCACACGTGTCTTGGGGAGTAGTATATCCATCATTCTTCCCAAAGAGAGGGAACGGTACTCCTGTAAGGAGGAAACCTCCACACAGTGCCTTCTCTTTTCCTTGTAGGACACCTTATGTGCGCTGGAGGTACGTCATCAATAACTTAGCTAAGGTGAGAGACGCAAAACAATAATTCCATTGGCTGGTCATTATATCTGGCCTCTCTGTGGATGAAGAGGGTTCTTAGGGTCACGGGATAGCCCCATGAACCTAAGATGAATGGTTCCAAGTTTCAGGAATCCTGGGTACAGGTCCCTTTCGTGGGTGGCCCCACATGGGCTTACCTAGCAGTGGTGGCACAGGCAGCAGCAACACTCCAAGCTGGATGGCTGAAGGCTGCCAATTTAATGTCCCACAATGCCTCAGGGCAGTGCTATGTTGGGAGCATTGTGGGAAATTAAAATGGCAAGGAGATCCAGCCACTTAGAGCAAGTCCTGAAGGAGATGTTGACACCAGCTCTGAGCCTAAGACACACCCACTGCAGTGGGACGGAACTTTCCCCTTTCTGTTCTGCAGGTTCTTGGGTGCTTGTTTTACGGGTACTTCATCCTGGAGCGCCTCTGCATCCCTGTCTTCAACAACATGAGCAAGCAGCCCTTCAGCACCAAAACCCTGGTGCTCTCCATCTTCAACGCAACGTTACCAGGTAGGTGAGCAGAGCAGCAGCTCTGGTTTGCATGGGGGATGGAGGTCCGCCAGAAAATAAAATGGTGGGAAGCAGTGAAATAATCTTGAGTTGCTGTTGGGTGGGAAACCTGGTGACCTGTGGGATCGTCTTCATTATCCCCCACCCAGCTGACGCCTCTTAATCCCTCTCATTAACCACCCACATTGCCTCAGCCTTCTCCCTTCTCCATTGCCACATTCCGAGAGTGACCAGTAATGTCCTTCTCCTGTTTGTTCCTAACTTCCAGTAGTCAGAGGTTTATGTGTGTCAGTAACATCAGCACGCCAGGGGGGGCATGATGATGTCACACACACATGCCCTGCCCCGGTGAAGGCGCACAGCCCCAGGCACCCACAGCCATGGGGGCAAGCCAGAACCGCTGGTCAGGAGAACCCCCAGAACTGCACACAGGGTGAAGATTGAATGGATTGTTCTACCTTGCAAGCTGAAATGCTTGTGCTGGTGGAACAATTGCCATAGCACTATGCTGAGTTCCTCTTCTCCTTCGCTGTATGGATTTATTATTTATTACTCATGCTTTTAGATTCCAAGGAGCTCAAAGTGGCCCATATGGTCCTCCCTCTTCTTATTTAATCCCCACAACAACCCTGTGAGGTAGGTTAGGCTGAGAAGCTATGGCCGGCCCAAGGTCACCCAGTGAGCTTCATGGCTTAGTGGGCATTTGAACCCTAGTTCATCACTATAACCGCTACACAACACTGTCTCTAATAATGGTAGGTCATGCCCCTACTGAAGAGCCAAAGATTAAAATTGCAAGTGCTTCATATACTCCGTTGTGGTCAAAACTGATCCAATGCAGCCTAAACATGTAGTGATTGTACTGCAATCTTACACATCCCTTGCATGATTCTTGTCCCCCCCCCCATCTGTACACTCATTTCCTCCTCCATATGTCTCTCCTCACAGGGACCTTTCTGCTGCTTTTGGCATTTTTTGCTTTCCTGCACTGCTGGCTGAATGCCTTTGCTGAGATGCTGCGCTTTGCTGACCGGATGTTCTACAAGGTGATTGGCAGGGGAAGGGCAGGAAGGAGGTTGGACTGCTTATATTCCATCCCATCAGACACACTTGGTGGGTCATTTGGCTTCCTGGGAATGTCAGCTTTCAAATTTTGCCTTCATAGTTACAAGCAGTGCTGTTTTTCCAGAAAAAGAGGTGCCGGAACTCACCACGAACTCCTTCCTTGTTCTCTTATAATGGCAATGGCATCCGCCTGAGACATACGGGAACTGAGTTCCGGCTGGGGAAAAAAGCCCTGGTTACAAGCAAACAAAAAGCCAAAGTAGCTACACATGCAAAGGCAGAGACTGCCTAAGGCGTTGAAATTAAAGGCAAGGTAAAGGTAAAGGTACCCCTGACCATTAGGTCCAGTCGCGGACGACTCTGGGGTCGCGGCGCTCATCTCGCTTTACTGGCCGAGGGAGCCGGTGTTTGTCCGCATGTGGCCAGCATGACTAAGCTGCTTCTGGTGAACCAGAGCAGCGCACGGCAAAGTCCTGCGCTCAGTCACTAGTAGCGACATCACACTGAACAGGCTTGTTTAGCTTCTGAAAAATCGAGCTGCCAATTATACCTGAACTACTTATCAACTGACACAGCACAACTAGCATTCTGGCTGCAAAACAGTTTTGAATAATCCATTCCAAACAGCCGTTTTGTTGAGGGCAAGAGTTGGATTCTCACGGCATCAAAGACCGCCATCTGTGGCAGTGGTGCTAGCAGAGAAATGTGAGGAGAGGCAGTCTGGAGCAGAAATGCCAGGATATGGCTTTGCAAGAGGGCATCTGTACAGGGAGTTGCTGCTGAGGCACTGCAGCATAGAATGGGTAGGGGGACACAAAGAAGTGACCAGCAGCCACAGAAGCCCTTGTCTGTAGCCCCCCCAAAATGTGGAGACAGGCTGTGGCTGCTAGACTGTGGCAAACTGCATTCTGCGCAGCAGACACAGGGAACCTTTGTTCCTCTAGGTGTTGCTGAACTACAACTCCCATCAACCCTGGTGAAATATACGCGGAGTCGAGAGTGGATTTCATGCTCTTTATTCAGCTCATTGTGGTGAGGAGGAATGAATGTTCCCCCAAAATATCTGCTTTATATACATTATTTACACAATGGGCTGCACGGGATTGGCTAATTCTGGGATTCTCCTGTAGGCCAATCAGGTTGTGGATTCATTTCCACCTGGAGCTGGATTGGGTGGCTCCTGCGGACCAATCAGACTGCTGCATTGTTCTAGGACCAATCAGACTGCTGCATTCTGAATCCTATTGTTCTAGGACCAATCAGACTGCTGCATTTTGGATCCTATTTAACTCAGTACATAACACCTGGCAAGCATAGCCAACGGCGGGATGGCGATGGGAGTTGTAGTTCAACAACATCTGGAAGGGCAAAGATTTCCTAGGCCTGCTGTACATGCTCAGGTAAACTCTTTTTTCTATTACTATTTCATGTACAGTCACATTCAGTGCCAGTATCCAACTTAGGTCTTATGGCTGACCACGGCACAGAATCAACTCTATTGAGCAGGCAAAGTTAAGCATTTGTCAAAGGAACTGGGCGCACTGGCCAGGGAGCACCTTCTGTCCTGCAGGCTGCCTGAACATGTGTGGCCCAAAATCTTTCGGTGGGAGATGATGCACAGTGTGGCACACATAGCTATCCAGATTCAAGACTGCACCTCCCTCTTTCTGTCCTAGGACTGGTGGAATTCCACATCATTCTCTACATATTACCGGACGTGGAATGTGGTTGTACATGACTGGCTCTACTATTACATCTATCAAGAACTTGTGTGGGTAGGTAAGGCTTTTGGGGGAGGAAACAAGTGTGTTGCACTGTTCGCTTCCTTTGGGCTTGGGAGCTCAATCCGCTGTTTCTTTGCCCCTCTTCCACCCCAGGGCTTTCTTTACTGCCCCATACTATACAGGCTTCATTCTCCAGGATCTCCCTAAAGGACCCCTGTTATGTACTGAAGTTCTCACCCTGGGCCAGTAGGGGGATACTGTAGATAGTTTTCACTCAGGTCCGCATATGCAAATAAGGAATTGAAAGTGACGTTCACGGATTGGATAGTTACAGAAATTTGTTACTGTTGTTTTGTAGTTGAGCTCTATATGAGCAGGTTGGCTGAACCCTTCAGTGCAGTTCTGTTCTGGCCTGTGAATAAACAAGAGCGGTCTGAAGAATTGCTGTGTCATCTGATATGTTCACCCACAACTTAACAACCCCTCTGCCAGGCTGCTCCCCCCCCCCCCCGGCAACATGCCGTTGGTGCAGTAAGAGTGCATTCGTGGTGGATTTATAGTGGACCGTCCACACATCGGTTCACATTATTAGTTATTCTGTGATGCTTCCTCCATATTACTGCACAAGTGTCACCTGCAAGGTCACTCTCCACTTGAAAAAAAAAAAGGTTTGTTGGGGGGGGGGTGTCTTCAACAGGTGCCCAATGAACCAGGGGGTGTTTTCAGGGTGTGAGACTGAGGAAAGGGAAAACTTCCCAAGTGGGAGCTAGAAACACTCACTTATTTGAATGTGGATTGAAGACTAGGGTATAATTAGTGAAATATACTCGGAGTCGAGAGTGGATTTCATGCTCTTTATTCAGCTCATAGTAGTGAGGAGGAATGGAAGTTCCCCCGAAATGTCTGCTTTATATACATTATTTACACAATGGGCCCGACGTGATTGGCTAATTCTGGGATTCTCCTGTAGGCCAATCAGGTTGCGGATTCACTTCCACCTGGAGCTGGATTGGGTGGCTCCTGCGGACCAATCAGACTGCTGCATTCTGGATCCTATTGTTCTAGGACAAATCAGACTGTTGCATTCTGAATCCGATTGTTCTAGGACCAATCAGATTGCTGCATTCTGAATCCTATTGTTCTAGGACCAATCAGACTGCTGCAAATTGGATCCTATTCAACTCAGTACATAACAATTAGAATAATTTTTTCTTCCTTTGCCTTCCTCTCTTTTGTCCTTTCTTTCTTTCTTTCTTTCTTTCTTTCTTTCTTTCTTTCTGAATTCATTTGTTCTAGATATAATTTTATCGCATTGTGAAAACTTTAATAAAAAATTATGAAACAAGAAACAGGTGCCCAAAGGACAATAGGGAGGGTGTTTGCCTGATACGTCTTTTTTTACCGCACATGCCCAAGACCAGGATCTTTTGCATATAAAGAAAACTACAAAATGAAGGTTCCAGATGCACCTTTGTGGACGGGGGTTTTGCAAGTTAGTGGATGCTACTCCTTGCCCCCATACAATAACTTCTGGGAGGGAAGTACAGTATTTTTCGCTCTAAAAGATGCACCAGACCACAAGATGCACCTAGTTTTTGGAGGAGGAAAACAAGGAAAAAAATATTCTGAATCTCAGAAGCCAGAACAGCAAGAGGGATCGCTGCACAGCGAAAGCAGCAATCCCTCTTGCTGTTCTGGCGCCTGGGATAGCTGCGCAGCCTGCATTTGCTCCATAAGACGCACACACATTTCCCCTTACTTTTTAGGAAGGAAAAAGTGAGTCTTATAGAGCAAAAAATACGGTACTTCCAAAGTGTAAGTAAGGGTGAAGTACTTGCTGTAACTGCTCTGTGTCTTTCCTCACCTGGAGCAGTTTGCCAAAAGGGGCAGACGTGGCATGCTAGCTTCCCACCAGGTGCGTCTCCGTTGCTTACCAGGAGGGAGAAGTGGAGGGGCGAGGCGGTGCAAATGCCAATCTGCCATTCCTGCTGATGCATTTGCACCATGACAACTTCCCTGCTGCCTCACTCCTCTCCCAGTAAGCAACAACAGCACACCCGTCAGGAAGTTAAGTGTCGCGGCTCCACCCCACCTGGCAAGCTGTTTCCGTTCTTCACTTTTCACTAGAGAGTGAACACAACATGGGCTGTTTCATGTACAAAACCTGCAACTGACCTGTGCACTTTGCTCCTTCCAGCTCCTCAGAGGAAGGGCCCGGGTTGGGGCAATGCTGTTTGCCTTCATCGTCTCAGCAGTCGTCCACGAATACGTCTTCACCGTGTGCTTTGGCTTCTTCTACCCTGTCATGTTCACCCTCTTTGCCTTCTTTGGAGGTCAGTACTGCCTCAGAAATCCATCTGAGCAGAAACCACACCACCCCAGATTCGAGCACCGTCAAACTCTTGCAGTACGAAAGAGAAAAGACATTGTTTTCTTACGTTCTTAAACGGCCCCGTATGGTGCAAGGGAGCTTTTTAACCTCATGCACACATTACATGCACCAGTCTTCCCCTCCAAGATTCATCCCATAGGCTGTTATTTCGCCCTCCCACCCCCTGCTCACACTCCAGGTACCCCTCCAGGCAGTTTCAGATGGTTAAAAAAATTGCTTTTCATTTTCACTTACTCATTGGACCTCCAGTGTACAGTGGTACCTCGGGTTAAGTACTTAATTCGTTCCGGAGGTCCGTACTTAACCTGAAACTGTTCTTAACCTGAAGCACCACTTTAGCTAATGGGGCCTGCTGCTGCTGCCGTGCATGATTTCTGTTCCCATCCTGAAGCAAAGTTCTTAACCTGAAGCACTATTTCTGGGTTAAGGTAAAGGTAAAGGGACCCCTGACCATTAGGTCTGGTCGCGGACGACTCTTGGGTTGCGGCGCTCATCTCGCTTTATTGGCCGAGGGAGCCGGCGTACAGCTTCCAGGTCATGTGGCCAGCATGACTAAGCCACTTCTGGCAAACCAGAGCAGCGCACGGAAACGCCGTTTACCTTCCCGCTGGAGTGGTACCTATTTATCTACTTGCACTTTGACGTGCTTTCGAACTGCTAGGTTGGCAGGAGCAGGGACCCAGCAACGGGAGCTCACCCCGTCGCGGGGATTCGAACCGCCGGCCTTCTGATCGGCAAGTCCTAGGCTCTGTGGTTTAACCCACAGCGCCACCTGCGTCCCATATTTCTGGGTTAGCAGAGTCTGTAACCTGAAGCGTATGTAACCTGAAGCGTATATAACCCGAGGTACCACTGTATGCAGAAGTTTGTATTTCGAAACCATGGCCATACATTTTGGGTGGCCCCGTTTCACTTCCAAATGTGACAATGCGCTCAAGCATTCAAGTTCACTATTGAACTAAGGATAGTGCAACCTGGAGTGCTCCTGTTCAGAGTCGCAGTCAGTGATGCCATGCACTTTTTCCAGGACACTCCATTCCATTCCCCTTCCTTCCCAGGTTTTTCACATCCACCTACAAGACACACAATGTTTGCAGCCACTGAGCATGCTCAGTGCTATCCTCATTGGGCTGGTGTTTAGCGTGGGGGGGGGTAACCCCAAAGCTCCCCCCCCCCCCGAAAATATTTTTTCCTGCTTCTTCAAACTTTGGCCTTCCCCTGAGCCTGCTGATACCTCCCTCGTGCTTGGGCAGGAGCCATCTGAGTTGCAAAGCTGCCATAACTCAACACCAGAGCTTGTTATTTATATATAATGACACATCTGAATGCCTGCAAGTTAGAATAATAGGATATGTTCCCAAATTAGTTTCAGCTCTGCATGAAGTGGGAACTGATATTCCTCCAAGTTCTAGGAATGAAGGGTGGGATAAGGGCCATAGTTCAGTGGTTTGGAGCATCTCCTATGCCTGCAAAAAGCCCCAGTTTCAGTTCCCAGCATCTCCAGGGAATGCCCCATCTGAAGCCCTGAAGAGCTGCTGCCAATCAGTGTTGGTAGTATGGAGCTAAATGGACCAAAAATCTGGTTCACATTCCTATGTCACTATGGACCAGGGCGTTGCTCTGTCGCAGAGGTTCCCAGAAACTGGCAGGTGAGAAATACCTTTGGTCCAGTGTGGTCTAGACTGTGCCAACTAACCTTTTCTCCGGGTCTTCTTCGCAGTGATCTTTAACTTCATCCTCAATGATAAGAGAACAAGCCCCGTTTGGAACGTCATCATGTGGACATTCCTGTATGTGGGCCAAGGAATCCAGGTCTGCCTGTACTGCCAAGAGTGGTATGCCCAAATCCACTGCCCGCTCAAAGAAGTGAGTATGCAGACTGGCTTGTGGGTGTAGAACAAGCCCTCAGTTCCTCCCATGTGGCAACTTGCAGAAGGCATAGCCAAAGGCATTTTGCTGCCTGAAGAACTCCCAGTTCTGTCCACTTCCTGTACCTCCCCATCTGCTGTCTGAGGCAACTGCCTCACAGCAGGGCCAGCCCTGCTATCAGGGATCAAAAGTCCCCAAGCCTGATTAGCACCGATTAGCACACATAAAGGCTCCACAATCCTGTGCAGTTCTGCCATATTATCAATAACATGGTTTCCAAGCACATCAGTAAATGGCAAAATCCACACAGAATCTTGTAGCATCTTGAATAATAAGTGTGCTTGCAGGCAGGTGTTTCTTGTGGGATTGGTGCTCCTCCTGCATGCATCTTTTTTTGCGGTGTCCACACAATGTTGTTGCCATAAAAATGCTGGCCTGCATTCACACCCAGTCAATTTGGATTTACAGTGGTACCTTGGGTTTGAGGAGATTTCACCCCTCCCATATCCAAGAATCTCCTGAGGAGTCTGCTGATTCTCCAGAAAGGAGGAGGCGTGTTCTGCTCTCTACTTATTCTGCTCCAGCACCAAGTCAGTCAGTCAGTCAGTGTCAGAGAGAGAGAGAGAGAGAGAGACTGAGTGTTAGAGATCGTGTGTAGAGATAAGGTTGCTGCTAAGAGCAGCTGCAGACACTCAGTGCAGTGCAGCATTCATTTATGCTTAGACCTATTTAGCTCTGTATATAGTTGTATAATAGTTGTAGATAGAAATAAAGAAGATATTCTACAGAGCTGCCCTCCGAGTCGTTTATATACTCTGCTAGAGTCTGCTGTACTCTGCTGTACGACTGTCTTCTTGTTGGAGTGAATCCGGTGCTCACAACACTAAGCTGTGAGTCCACAGCACTTTGACCTGTTCCTGTGTAGAAGGTGGTCTCTGGAAGTGCTACCCCAGCTCGCCTGGCCGACTCGGGGCTGAAGTGGATGAGTCCAGTTGGTGGCACTGGCTCAAGGGCAATGCTGACAGGGTTAAGTACTTAATTCGTTCCGGAGGTCCGTTCTTAACCTGAAACTGTTCTTAACCTGAAGCACCACTTTAGCTAATGGGGCCTCCCACTGCCGCTGTGCTGCCGGAGCACGATTTCTGTTCTCATCCTGAAGCAACGTTCTTAACCCGAGGTACTATTTCTGGGTTAGCGGAGTCTGTAACCTGAAGCGTATGTAACCTGAAGCGTCTGTAACCCGAGGTACCACTGTACTCTTCCCAGGAGAAATACTGTAACTCCCCCCCCCCCCGCCCCGTTCTGCTCCAATTAAACCTTCTCTACCCGAGACCCTGGGGAAACCCTTTGAGTCAAAGTAAACAATATAGGCTATTTCACAGGTGGTCAGACCTTGAGACAGCTCAATGACCTGCTTTCAGTACTAAAACCCTGCCTGGAAACTCCCTGCCAAATTTATTACGATGTATGTAAGTGTTCCTGGGCTAGAGCCCATTTCATTATATTATGCCAAAATGCTCATAATAGAATGAAATGGGCTTATAAAGTGTGACTCCGTGCACTAGCATAAATTGCCACCATACTGCCCTAGATCTAACCACCAGTGAAAGGCATGACTTCGTGTATACCTTTTTGTCTTGTCGAAGTCCTTTCCTTTTCTGATTCTGGCCCTTAGTGATGTTTGTTGTTGTTTTCTGCCTTTCAGAGGACCTTCTGGGGGATAGTGACTCCACGTTCGTGGTCCTGCCGCTCCTAGGTCAATGCCAACTACCTTTGAGAACCCACCTTCCCCATCCCTTTGCTCCAAACAGATCTTCCTGGACTCACACTCTGACCATTAGAGGAGTCGAAGCCCAACATCTTCAGAGGAGGGTTAGGTTGTCCATACTTGCTGCTGACTCAAATTCAAGTTCCCAGCATTGACTGACTAATCCTTTCCCCAGCATAGCAAGAAGGTGATTTACCTGTCCACTGTTGTTGCTTGATTCCAGCATCTATGTAATACTTCAAAGTTTGCCTAGCATCTACCTACTCAGTTTATTCATGGCTGTTTTCTACTTTAAAAAATAAAATTCTGTGCACACAAGTAATTCGGATTCTGCTCTCAGAAATGTGGAGTTCTGCATCATTCATATATTATGTGAATTACTACCTTTTGTTTTTTGTTTCGGTTATGCTTTTGCAGCTAAAGATATACAGCAAAAGATATAACCAAAAAGGTTATGCCTTTGCAGCTAAAGATATACAGCATTTCCAGACATCCTGCTAAAATTACATGATTGTGTAGTCATTTTTTAAAAGAACCCGTGCTCTGGCTATCAGCTGTTTTCTGGGAAATGTGGCCTGGAATGGGCTGCCACAGCTGCTTGGGGCTCAGTTGGCTGAGCTGAAACTGGCTGATCCGAGGCTGGTGTAAGTTCAAAAAGGGGTCCTTCCTGTTCAGCTCAGCTACCTTACCTGGCAATCCAGTGTAGAACACTATTTTAAAGGCTGGTTTTCCCTTGGCAAGGGACATGGGTGGCGCTGTGGGTTAAACCACAGAGCCTAGGACTTGCCGATCAGAAGGTTGGCAGTTTGAATCCCTGTGATGGGGTGAGCTCCCGTTGTTCGGTCCCTGCTCCTGCCCACCTAGCAGTTCGAAAGCACATCAAAGTGCAAGTAGATAAATAGGTACCGCTCCAGCGGGAAGGTAAACGGCGTTTCCGTGCGCTGCTCTTGTTCACCAGAAGTGGTTTAGTCATGCTGGCCACATGACCCGGAAGCTGTATGCCGGCTCCCTCAGCCAATAAAGCGAGATGAGCGCCGCAACCCCAGAGTTGGCCACGACTGGACCTAATGGTCAGGGGTCCCTTTACCTTTACCTTTCCCTCCGCCAGGCTTAGAGAGGGATGCTGCTGAACACACTTTGGATCTGATGTAACATTACTTGAACTGTCATTCAAGTGGTATGTGTGTGTTTTGTGATTATGTGGGCTGGGGCTGACCTGCCCTCCACCCCCAATATTTTATTCAAGTTGGCACCCCTTGCGAGTCCAGACTGAGGTCACTCCCCGCCCTAGCGGGAGATGCGCCGGGCATTCAACTTGGTACGTTTTGAGCGCAAAGGGCGCAAATTGCAGCCCTCCCCCGCAATTCTTTTCCGCTCCAGAACTGGAGCTCGCCTGCAGATCCTTAGACACAAACGGCTTTCTTGATTTCAGCAGCCCAATCTATGGAGGGGAGGGGGGTGCTTTTACTTGTTGCTGCTCAAGACGCTGATGAAGAGCTGGGGGGAAAAGTCTCTGTTGATCATCTACCACTACAAATCATCCGGAGATCATCCCCATCTACTTTCCGCCCATACCTGAAAAAAATCCACCCTAGTCCGCTCCCCTGAAAAAAAAAAAGGAAAAAAAACTCCCACCCCCGCAGCCTTGGCACCGCCCCGCCCCAACTTCCTGGACTAACGGCTGCATCTCCCGTTCCACCGAATCGAAAGCGGCCGCTGCGCGGAAGCAGCAGCGCTGTTGCAGCCCGCCTTTCCGCGCGCCCTCTGCTGCTCACGTCACTAGGAAGGGGATTTCCCGCGCGGTCCTTTGTCTTGGAGAAGTGTGTTTGTGTGTGTGTGTGTTTTATCTGGACTGGGCACCCGCTCTTTCCATGGCGGCTGCGAGAGAGCGGTTGCTGCAGATCCTCGACGATCTGACAGACGAAGAGCTCCGCAAATTCGTTTTCTACCTGGAATCCATCCCGGACCGATCTGTCCGAATCCCTCGACGGAAGCTAGAGAAAGTCTCGCCGGTCGAGCTAGCCGAGCTGTTTGCGCGCTATTTTCCCGGGGAAGAATTAGAAGTCGCCGCCTACGTGCTGGGAAAGATACCCAGGAAGGATCTTCTGCGGAACCTCCTACGCGACGTAGCAGGGGGCGATCGCCCGAGCGGAAGGGGGACCCCTGCCATGGAAGCCCCAGTAGACCTCGTGGAAGCAGCTCCCGGTCAGTACTGTACAGGTGGGCACAGCCCGAACCCACAGGGAGAGCTCGGAGCAGGGAGGGAGTAGAGGTTTTGCTGTCTAGGACAGGGGTGCCAACTTGAATAAAATATTGGGGAGGGCGGGTTAGGCCGCCCCGCCCCACCGCACCCCACATAATCGATCATATGACATGGTGCACACTATTTGAATGTGCTTCAACTTTGAGAGGGCCCGGCCCCCTCAAATGTTTTATTGGGGGGAGTTGGCTCCTATGGTCCAGGACTCCCATTTTGTCTAGGGCAGGGGAAGAGAAACTGTTGGCCTCCCCATGTTTGTGGGACTGTTGCTCTCTTGATGCCTGATCGTTGGCTATGCTGGGTGGGGCAGATGGGAGTTGAAGTCCAGCAACATCTGCACAAGGAACTTCCAGGAAACGTTCAGAGTATGCTTCACAGCAAGCAAAACTACTCATACACATACAGAGGCAGACACTGCTCCAGTGTGGACCTAGCCAGGTAACAATTTTGCACTGGATTTTCTTCCCTTATCAAATTATTCCTGGATCTGGCAGGAATTGCAGGTTGCTGCTTAGATAAAGTGATTGTTGTGTAGATGTAAATAAATAGAGACCCAAGTAGAATCATATCCACATTAAACTCCTGTGCAGATGAGCCCATTCCCTCTCTACTGGGATCTTGGTTTCCAACTGGGCAGGAAGTGGAAGGGTGAGGAGGGAAAGGATAGTCCATCAGGAGAAGGTTTTGAGGTGTGTGCTTTGCCTGTACCCCTCATCTCTTCCTGGAACGTTCCTCAAATGCCCTGGGCGCACCCTTGTTCCAGCACCCATATAGATAAAAAAAAATTTCTGGCGTCCAACTTACCGTATTTTTCGCCCCGTAGGGCGCACCGGCCCATATGGCACACCTAGTTTTTTGGGGGGGAGGGAATAAAGAAAAAAGATTATTTCCCCGACCCCAGCCCCCAGAACAGGCTGCTATCTGCAAGCCCAGGCTTGCAGATATCTGCCCGAAGCCCGGGGCGTGCTGCTCAGCGCATCCCAGGCTTCGGGATGCAGGCGGCTATCCGCAAGCCTGGGGAGACCGACGTGACTTCCCATCGGTCTCCCCAGGCTTGCGGATATCTGCCCAAAGCCTGGGGCGCGCTCCGTTGCGCTCCCCAGGTTTCGGGCTGCAGGCTACTGTCCGCAAGCCTTGGGAGCCCGGCGGGAACTCCTGCCGGGCTCCCAAGGCTTGCAGATAGCTTCCTGAAGCCTGGAGAGCGAGAGGGGCATTGCGCACCGACCCCTCTCGCTCTCCAGGCTTCAACGAAAGCCTGCATTCGCCCCATAGGACGCACACACATTTCCCCTTCATTTTTGGAGGGGAAAAAGTGCGTCCTATAGGGCGAAAAATACGGTAAATCTAGGACTCAGCCCCAGACCAGGATGAGTGGGTGAGCTTCCACAACAGGTCTGAACCCTTACTAGAAATTCCAGCTCATATTATCAGGCAGGGATCCTGTACCTTTAATATCTGCACAACAAGCAGGAATTCACATGGGATAACTTTTCTGACATGGGAAGAACTTCATGGGTTGATTTCGGCTCGTGGTGCAGCTTTTAAAGCAGGAGGGGGCCCTTTCAGATGGTGCTGGAGTTCATTTCCCATCAGCGCCAGGCAGCATTGCACAATGGTCAGGGTGTTGGGAGTTGCAGCCTAACAATAATCTGAAGGGCAGCAGATACCGTATTTTTCGCTCCATAAGACGCACCTGACCATAAGATGCATCTAGTATTTAGAGGGTGAGTGCAAGGGGGGGGGATTCTTTAAAGGGAGCACTGAGCAGAGCCTGTAAGCTTCCCAGGCTCTGCTCAGCGCTCCCTTTCATAAGCCATGCGAAGCGTGTGTGCGGCGCTTGCAGGCTTTTCCCCAAGGAGGGAGAAGGGCAGCCCATCACTGACGGGTTGCCCTTCTCTTTCCTCGGGGAAAAGTCCACAAGAGCCGCACACATGCTCCGCGCAGCTCTTTAAAGGGAGCGCGGCTCTTGCTGGCTTTTGCGGGAGGTGGGGGAAGGGACAGAGCGCGGCTAAGCCAGAAGCTAGAACAGTGAGAGGGAGTGATGCGCTGCAATCTCTCTCGCTGTTCTGGCTTCTGGGATAGCTGCGCAGCCTGCATTCGCTTCATTAGACGCACACACATTTCCCCTTACTTTTTAGGAGGGAAAAAGTGTGTCTTATAGAGCGAAAAATACGGTACCTTTTCCTTATCTTAAAGGCTCATAAAGCGTTTTCCTTGCCTAGCCACTGCCTTGTATCTTGCTTGTTACTTGTTTTGTTATAAACATCTAACTACCCAGAGGAATACACAATATTAAGCAAAGAATAAAAAGGAGGCATTGTTAAAAGCCGCAGCAAAAATCTCAGTTGGGAAGCTTTCCTGTTTGGTTGCCTGGATCTCATCCTCAGGCAAATCATTTTTAGCAAGCTTGCGAGGAGTCCCATCTTGCCAATGAAGCGAACATAAAGCACCATGTTAGCTCTGCTCTTCTGCCTCTCATAATCTTCCTTCCTTCTCGCTATTTTGCAGAGCAACCCAGTCAGGTTTCGCAGCAGCAGCTCATGAAGCTAGCCAGGAAGTTGGGCAGGAAATGGAAGACGATTGCCATCGAGTTCCTGGGGGTGGAAAATTCACGCCTGGAGCAGATCGAAGAGGAGAATCACAAGGACATGGTCATGCAAGCTTTCTACATGCTTTGGGACTGGAGGAACCGTGAGGGAGGGAAGGCCACTGCAGCCAATTTATACCTTATTCTCAACCAAGATGGAGTGAATCTTGACTATGACGCATATGCGTTCCTGAGAGAGAGTGCCTGAAAGAGTTCTTGAAAGGCAGAAGACCACCTAACAGTCTTTTCCAGCAGCTCAGGCTCTCCAGATACCTTTCTCAATGCAAGTGAACACAGATTATAATGATTTATTTTGACCGATGTTTACGCTCATATGACTGAGCTGCATGGGGTGTGGGGTGGGTGTTCGAAATCAGCCAAGTGCCCAGCGCATTTTGCACCTGACTATTGGCCACGTGCAGGGACGCGGGTGGCACTGTGGTCTAAACCACAGAGCCTAGGGCTTGCCGATTGGAAGCTCGGCGGTTCGAATCCCCACGACGGGGTGAGCTCCCGTTTTTCAGTCCCAGCTCCTGCCCACCTAAGCAGTTTGAAAGTACGCCAAGTGCAAGTAGATAAATAGGTACCACTCTGGCGGGAAGGTAAACGGCGTTTCCGTGCGCTGCTCTGGTTCGCCAGAAGCGGTTTAGTCATGCTGGCCACATGACCAGCATGTCTGCGGACAAACGCCAGGTTCCTCAGCCTATAGAGCAAGATGAGCGCGCAACTCCAGAGTCGTCCGCGACTGGACCTAACAGTCAGAGGTACCTTTACCTATTGGCCACTTGCAACCGAGTGGAGATACCTGGGCGCCAGGATGGCACCTGACATCACCACCTGAAGGTGCATGCCTGGGGATCATTGGATCTTGACTGTTTTCACATACTAATACCCCATCCTGTAGAATTCTATCAGTTATATTTTATCTGCTCATTCCGTATTAATTCCAGGAACCAAAATACTTTCCCCATACAGCCTGAGCAGTGAACAACTTTACAGCTAACTGTTGTAACTTGTCTTCACTTACCCTGTCCCACTGCCCTGGTCACAGTTGTGAAGAATATTTTTACGTTTTGAATGGCCCCTGTCACCATTGAGAAAAAGAGGTCGGAATAGGCCAATATATATGTGGACTGTCCCTGGATCAAGTGACTTTTCTTCCTTAAGGTCTCAAAGCTCTTAACCTAGCTCAAGGTTGTCATCTGAACCAGCCAGATGCTTAACTGATAATCAATCATAGTCAGTGCATCCTTTGAAAAATAAGACTTCAGAGCTGTCTTGCCCCAAAAATGGCAACTAGACATTCTCTTTTGGCAACTCTAACCCTGGTTTAAGGAGCCACTTGGCGCCTAGCTTATATATTTGAGTTTTTAACACTGGTTCTCGTGCACAATAGTGGTAGACACCTTGCCGAGTGAGCTCTGCTGCCAAGCCAGCTTGGGGTGGGGGGTGAGATTCCCACAGAACTGAACAACCACCCCCCTTTTTTCAACAAAGATGGACTCAGGCTCAGTTTCAAGAAGCAGGGATTGCATAGACTGAGGGACTTCTCTAAGAATGGAACCCCTCTGGAAGGCAGTTCCATTATAATACTTCTGAAAGTGCCACAAACACCCTGGCTGCCATTATGCCAGGTCATCCTTATGAAGGAGCTTATTCTTACTCTGTTTTAGTATGTGCTGGATGCCACCCAGAGTGGCTAGGGCATGGGTAGGCAAGCTAAGGCCCAGGGGCCGGATCCGGCCCAATCACCTTCTAAATCTGGTCCGCGGACAGACCGGGAATCAGCATGTTTTTACATGAGTAGAATGTGTCCTTTTATTTAAAATGCATCACTGGGTTATTTGTGGGGCCTGCCTGGTGTTTTCACATGAGTAGAATGTGTGCTTTTATTTAAAATGCATCTCTGGGTTATTTGTGGGGCACAGGAATTCGTTCATTCCCCCCCCCAAAAAATATAGTCCGGCCCCCCACAAGGTCTGAGGGACAGTGGACTGGCCCCCTGCTGAAAAGGCTTGCTGACCCCTGGGCTAGGGAAACCCAGCGAGATGAGCAGGGTAGAAATAATAAAATTATTATCATTATCACAGAGCAATCAAACAGATCTTTAACTGAGCCAGTGTGGATAGTGGTTAGAGTGTCAGAGTAGGGCCTGGGAGACCAGAGTTCGAATTTCCACTCAGCCACGAAGCTCACCTTGGGCCAGTCACTGCCCCTCAGCCTAACCTACCTCACAGGGTTGTTGTGGGGCTTAAATGAGATGGGAGGGAGAACCATGTACATCACTTTGAGCTCCTTGGAGAAAAAATGTGGCTATAAATGCAATAAACTCAGCTTGAGGGGCTGGTGTTGCTATCTGAGAGCTCTTCTAAGGGCCTAGTCTTGCAAATTTGTTATTCTCAATGCCAGGTCTACTGACCTGCTTCAGATAATGATGGCCTGAGAACATGGTACGAGTACAGAACCAGGAGAATAAGCCATGGCAGGGCAACCATCTTCACACCAAGGATACAGGAAAACAGCCTCAATATGGTGTTTGCTGGCGCTCCAATTTTTATGGGACGGGGCTCTAAACTGTGTGGGTTCTGTGACCCCTCTGGTAGAAACATTTTGGGTCTCTGTATTGTATGAAAACTATTTTCTTTTTCGGATGCGAAGACAACAGTTATGAGTTGCAACAAGATATATCGCCACCTGAGTTAGGTGTCTTCCTTTTAGTTGTTTCTCCTTTTTTCTTTTGCAATGGAATATTCACAAGCCGACATTGTTATGCTATTGATAAATACGTAAATAAAAAAGACTGAGCTACTTACCTTTCCTCCCAAACCTTCCTCTGCTCTATCCCTCTCCATGTCTGACAATGTTGACCTCATTAACCCTGTTAACATACAGCCTTGGCTGCTATCTCTGTGATGTTTTTGCCCTTTTTTGCTTCCAAACTGCTCAGTGCTCTCATGCAGTGTTAATGCTCCTCCACACCTCAGAACACGACAAAACATTTATCATCACACCCACAATTATTCAACACGCGACCGTGACTCCTAGTGGCTCAAGAAGTTGGTACAGTGGTACCTTGGGTTAAGTACAGTGGTGCCTCGCAAGACGAAATTAATCCGTTCCGCGAGTCTCTTCGTCTTGCGGTTTTTTCGTCTTGCGAAGCACGGCTATTAGCGGCTTAGCGGCTATTAACGGCTTAGCGGCTTTAAGAAAAAGGAAACAAACTCGCAAGAACTCGCAAGACTTTTCGTCTTGCGAAGCAAGGCCACAGGGAAATTCGTCTTGCGGAACGACTCAAAAAACGGAAAACTCCCTCGTCTTGCGCGTTTTTTGTCTTGCGAGGCATTCATCTTGCGGGGCACCACTGTACTTAATTCATTCCAGAGGTCCGTACTTAACCTGAAACTGTTCTTAACCTGAAGCACCACTTTAGCTAATGGGGCCTCGCGCTGCCGGAGCACGATTTCTGTTCTCATCCTGAAGCAAAGTTCTTAACCTGAAGCACTATTTCTGGGTTAGTGGAGTCTGTAACCTGAAGTGTATGTAACTTGAGGTACCACTGTATTGAGCATTCTGGAAGGCCAGCAGGTTGTTAGCTTTCTACAAAACTTGGCACAAAACGTGGGCACTGGACTCACGAAGATACAATAGTGTTGGTTGTTCTGAGTGTTGATGGGCAGTTTTGGAAGAGAATATAAGGAGAGAAATAGCACTAACGTGGCTATTTAATAAACAGGGAGCCACTAATTAACCAATCCTGTTCAAAACTGAATGTTCAAGTGAACAAACTGCTGCCCTATAATGAAAGAAATGGCAGCTGCATCCAAAAAAATTCGGAAGCATTCCAGGAAAGCAGGGCACCCGAGAGCCTTCGCTGACTCCTGGCCTTGAAAGTGGGCAAAAGGGGTGAGGAAGTTGCATTATACCAAAGGTCAAGACTGTGTTTAAATTAATGGATCTTCCGAACATATCCAGAATACTGCTGTCTCTAGCAGTGTCTGAGCGGAAATCAGTGTTTGGGCAGAAATCTAGATGTATGATCCAGATGCCCATGTATGGTAGTGCCAAAAAAGCTCAACAACTTTTCTGTCCGGATTTTCACTGTTTGAAATACGGCACCCCTAATCTATGGAAGTCACATTCATTAATTTCAATTTGTGAGTATGGACTCAGCTACATTAGTCAAAAAATGTGTTATAAACATGCAACACCAGGTGGCGCTGGAGAGCAAAAAAAATCTGCGGATTTTTACATAGCGTTTCTTTTTCTTTTGTTATAACGATTTAATTTCTACTTATAACATTTTTTCCTGTGCGTAGATGCACCCTATGACTAAGGTTGGACCCAACCCTGCCTGATCATCTAGCCTGGCAATATCTACTGTGGGTGGCTGTGGCTCGCTTCAGAGTCTCAGGCAGACAGCCTCTCACTCTCCGCCCCCCCCCCCCCCGCACCACTTCCTGGTTCTGTTTTTAAACAGGAGACACCAGGGACATTCTGCAGGCCAAGCGGAATTTGTCCTGGGCCTCAAGCTCAATTTTTGGCATCTGTTGATTTCTTAGTGTTTGATAAGTTTCCCAGCTTGTTTCTTACGTGCATCAGACCCAAATGCAACATTGAGTTTAGGCTGGAAGCTCCTTGGAGGCAGGGATCTTTCTGTTTTTCTTTATCAAACTCTACAAGGTCACCAAGGGTGCTCCATGAAGCAAAGCAAAAAAGCATTGCTTTGTGGTTGGGGTTTTTTTATTTAAAAAAACACTAGAAAAAGAGAGGGATGAAAACAGATTTTTAATCAAATTCTCATTTTAAAAGAGAAAGCAAGGTTTGTGCAAGCAGGCCAGAGAACGGGTCTTTGGGGTCTTTTTGTTCTTCTGCAGTGGGCTTTGGATGCTGACTGTTGCTTCCTCCTCCATGTCTCACCTTCCACTTCCATAAGCTCCTTGCAGCAGCCTCGGCTGTTCCCCTTTCTGAAGAAGGAAGGCCCGGTGGCGTTCCAGATATCATTGATGTTTATGTGAAGAGGGATGAGGTGAGAATGGGGGGAAGCGAGCTGGAGGCCCTGGCGAGTTGCAGCTTCTGCTGCTTCTTGTAAGGTTTGCAGAGGGAAGCGGTGGAGAAAGAAAACCGAAGGCTCCTGGATTTCAGGTGTAAAGTCCCACCCGCATTGCCAAAGGGTCCAGAGAAGTGGGCAGAGCTGCTACAGGTCTCTTCCAAGCCTCTCAATCTCGTCAAGGAAGAAGTCCAAGTCCTCTCGGGTGACTGCAGGGTTCGTCACCACCTGGCGGAAGAAGTTGACTCTGTTGCCGAGGGGCTGGTAGCTCACCATCATGGACCCTTTCTTCATCATCCGCTCCTTGATCATAGGAGCTACCTAAACCCGGGCAAAGAAGGAACCCAGTCTCAGAGTTTGGTTGGACACTGGGACGCAGCACCCACCCACCCCAGTTTAGAAGAATGAGCACATGCACAATGAGCAATATCCACGGCCTCCTGTCGGAGTGGACCATTTCCTTTACAGCAGCGGTTCTCAACCTGTGGGTCCCCAGATGTTGTTGGACTACAACTCCCATCATCCCTGGGCACTGGCCTTGCTATCTAGGGGTGATGGGAGTTGTAGTTCAGCAACCTCTGGGGACCCACAGGTTGAGAAAAGCTGCACAGGATTCTCAACACTCCCAGTACATTTCCGAGCACAATTCAAAGTGTTGATGCTGACCTTTAAAGTCCTAAATGGCCTCGGCCCAGTATACCTGAAGGAGTGTCTCCACCCCTATCGTTCAGCCCGAACATCGAGCTCCAGCACCAAGGGCCTTCTGGCAGTACCCTCATTGCAAGAAGTGAGGTTACAGGGAACCAGGCAGAGGGCCTTCTCGGTAGTGGCACCCACCCTGTGGAGCGCCCTCGCATCAGATGTCAAGGAAATAAAGAGCTATCTGACTTTTAGAAGACATCTGAAGGCAGCCCTGTTTAGGGAAGATTTAAATGTTTGATGTTTTATCGTGTTTTTAATATTCTGTTGGGAGCCGCCCAAAGTGGCTGGGGAAACCCAGCCAGATAGGCGGGGTATAAATAATAAATTATTATTATTATTACCTTGCCCAATCTCAGACAGTAATCTGTGCATCCCTCCTTCCCGCGTAGGCTGGGAGGCACGTACCAAAAGCACAGATTGGTGAATTCCGGCTAAAAGAAAAGAGGGACAAGAAATCTTAAGGGAAGTGTTCAGGACTCTATTTCTCCTACACACCCATCCCCTGTGAAGTGCGAAGTTCTGGGGGCCTTGATCTATATTTCAATAGCATACACCCCCTATCTGCAATAGTGCATCTTTATCCTGTCAATCATCAGGTGCCTTGAGAGTTCAAGCCAGGCTCAGGGTGACCTCGGATCTTACTGCTGCAAAGCGCAAAAATTATAGATAGAAGTGACCTGTTTTATAAGGTTTAGATCTCCGTGCTTGGTGGCACAGGATGCCTGGTGTCTGGCGGATGGGCATGTTTCACCCAAAACACCAAAGAAAGATGCCAAAGCTCAAATTTGTTCAGCAGCTTTGGTGGTTGATTGCAGGTGAGGAATCAGCCTGCAGCTCCGAGTGAAGAGTGCATGCGGAGTGATCTGAGTTCAGTTCCTGCCTTCTCCAAAATAACCTCAATGAGGACTAGTAAAGGTCCCCCCACAAAGACAGTTGCACTGCTTAAGGGCTTGAGGAATCATTGGTCCAACATTATAAACGACACCTTCATAGGTGTTGTCGTTGTTTAGTCGTTTAGTCATCTCCGACTCTTTGTGACCCCATGGACCAGAGCACCCCAGGCACTTCTGTCTTCCACTGCCTCCCGCGGTTTGGTCAAACTCGTGTTCGTAGGTTCGAGAACACTGCCCAACCATCTCATCCTCTGTCGTCCCCTTCTCCTTGTGCCCTCAATCTTTCCCAACACCAGGGTCTTTTCCAGGGAGTCTTCTCTTCTCATGAGGTGGCCAAAGTATTGGAGCCTCAGCTTCAGGATCTGTCCTTCCAGTGAGCACTCAGGGCTGATTTCCTTCAGAATGGATAGGCTTGATCTTCTTGCAGTCCATGGGACTCTCAAGAGTCTCCTCCAGCACCATAATTCAAAAGCATCAATTCTTCGGCGATCAGCCTTCTTTATGGCCCAGCTCTCACTTCCATACATCGCTACCGGGAAAACCATAGCTTGAACTATACGGACCTTTGTTGGCAAGGTGATGTCTCTGCTTTTTAAGATGCTGTCTAGGTTTGTCATTGCTTCATAGGGGTAAGACTAGTCAAAGAATAGTGAAAGTCTCAGCAAGCCTAGGGGCGCCCTAGTGTGTCCTAGGGTTGAGCCCTACCACCGAATACAGATTCTGAGACTGAGGCCTGTCGAGTCCTGGAGCTCAGGCACTTCTTACCTCTATCACCAGCTGAAAGCCTTCTCTCTTCTTGATCTCATCAGCCAGGTACCTAGCGGAGGGAAGGAGGAGAAGGCCAGGAAACTGGGATGAGCTCTGTAACATTCATCTGCTGGCAACTAGGCAATGGAGGTGTCATCCCGAGTCTCTCGGCTTTGAGAAAGGGAGACCACCCACCCCGCTCCCACCCTTACCCCGCAAGGCACACCTGGTCATGGCGAAGGCCCTGTCGACTCTCTGCTCTAATCCCCTGGTGCCATTGGCCTTCCACATCAGCCACAGCTTGAAGCAGTCGACTTTGCGGCCACACTGGATGGTCTGGTCCCCCCTGTCGTAAGTCCTGTTGTAGAACTTGTCCGTCTGGAATAGGTAAGTGGCTTCAGCGCAGTGGCATCTCTGCAGCAGGCCCTGCCAGGGGGGAGAAGCCAAAACAGAATTTTAAAAAAAAACATGTTCCTACGTTCTACAGTGGTGCCTCGCAAGACGAAATTAATCCGTTCCGCGAGTATCTTCGTCTAGCGGTTTTTTCGTCTTGCGAAGCAACCCTATTAACGGCTTAGCGGATTAGCGCTATTAGCGGTTTAGCGGCTATTAAAGGCTTAGCGGCTTAGCGGCTTAGCTGCTAAAAGGCTATTAAAGGCTTAGCGGCTTAGAAAAAGGGGGGGGGAAGCGAAAAAAAATCTCAAGACTCGCAAGACATTTTTGTCTTGCGAAGCAAGCCCATAGGGAAATCCGTCCTGCGAAGCGCATTGAAAAACGGAAAACCCTTTCGTCTAGCGGGTTTTCCGTCTTACGAGGCATTCATCTTGCGGGGCACCACTGTATTGTAATACATTCCTGCCTTCCCCTGCCCGGTCCATTAAAATGGCTTTTGATCATTCTCTAGAGGCCCTTCTTCGCATGTCTCTTCCATGAGAGGCCCAGAAGGCATCAACACGAGAGCGGGGACTTTCCCGTGTTGGCACCCTGCTTGTGGAATGCTCTCCCCAGGGAGGCTTGCCTGGTGCCTTCATTACATATCTTTAGCTGCTAGTCAAAAACATTCCTCTTCTCTCAGGCCCTTGGGTACTTAAATAGTCTAGGGTCTTTTAAATTGTTTTTGTTCATTATTATGCTATGTCATTTGTGTTTCTATATTGTAAACTGCCCTGTAATCTTCGGATGAAGGGCGGGATTGAAATTTAATCAATCAATCAATCAATCAATCAATAGTTAGCGTGGCTTTCAACCACAGTTAAGAAATACACACGATAAAACCACAAGATTAAAAAAAAAAAAGATCAGGAGACTCAATAACTTTTGGGACTTTAGAACTGGAGCAAGACCAGGCTTCCACAGGGAAAAACAACAACAACCACAATATAGGACACACTTCCACAACCTTGGGCATTCCAGATGTTTTGGACTCCAAATCCCATCATCCACAGTCAGCATCATGTTTTGGAGTACAGTTCCCATCAGCCCTAGCCAGTATCATGTGGATGATGGGAATCGTAGTCCAAAACACCTGGAGGCCACCGGGTTGGGGAAAGCTGGTTGATGGAGACAGCTGTTTCTCCACATCCCAGCTAGGTGCAGTTCAAAAGTGGGCAGGACACAAAGGGAAGTGTCTCCACTGCAGATCTCAAGGTCTACCTCATCGCTTATGAGCTGGGCTACTCTTAATAATAATAATACAGTGGTGCCTCGCAAAGCGAATGCCTGCAAGATTGAAACTCGCTAGACGAAAGGGTTTTGTTTTTGAGCTGCTTGCAAGACTATTTTCGCCTATGCGGCTTGGTGTCGGAAAGTCTTGGAAAAGTCTTGCAAATATCACCAAAGTCTTTAAAAACCGTCAATACAGGCTGCCACACTTGATCTATGAGTTGCTCCTCATAGGTCACAGTGTAGCAACTGTATTGACGGTGTTAAGAAAACTTTGGTGATAAACTTGCAAGACGTTTCCGTCTTAAAGCTTTCCGACACCATGGAAAATCGTCATGACGAAGCAACTCACAAAACAAAAAACCCTTTCGTCTAACGAGTTTTTTGTCTTGCGAGGCATTCGTCTTGCGAGGTACCACTGTAATAATAATAATTTTTTATTTGTATCCCGCCATCCCAAGCCGAGGCCGGGCTCAGAGTGGCTAACATCATAAAAACAACACAATATGCATAAAAACAGACATCAATTAATTCTCTTTGAGAAGTCCTGGTCTTGAGGTGGAAGTGGGACCTTGCAAATCTGAGAGACAAACATCCACCCTGCATGGGCCAATGAGAGCTCACTGATAGGGTAGGACTAGGGCCATGTGTAGTCAAGAATTCCACTCCCCCCCCCAAAAAAAAATCTGTCTGAATCTAAGCTCCAATTTATTTTTTAAGTGTCTATCCCTTATGAATATTCTATGATTAATGATTAGGATATACAAAGAGGGGAGGGATTTGCTGAACTAACAACTGAACTGGAATACAAAAAAGGGAGGTGTGAGGAGGTCCTGAAAACTAAGCAAATGAAGGATAAGTAATGGAAGGAAGGAATTGTTTTTAACCATTTTTACTTTGTATTTTTTCTTTTTTCTTTTTTTTGCTTTGTAATATTCTGAAAATCCTAATAAATATCTTATAAAATATATATATATATATATATCCCTTATGATTGCAAATGGTTGTTTCAGAGTCAGGGGGCAGCTGGGGACTGTTTGCCTTACTCAGAGGGCGGGGGCTTTGGGATTCTTCTGCATAGCTCCCCCCTTGCAATAGCTAGCGGAAACACAATAAATTCTGCACAACCAATAAGCAAATATATGCAAATCTGTATATATCTTTGGCACAGCGTACATACACACAGACCTTACCTTGACTTTTGGGTGGACAGGGCCACATTTCCTCAGGGGTCAAGTTCTCAAGCTGGTTGTGAGTGGGGGGCCAAAACGAGTGGTATGGGGGGACACAGACCAAAGTGTGGCATGCAATCCACTGGGAGCAGTCAAATACAACATTCTTTGTTTTCCTAGAGTGGACATGCAAGGGGATGTTGGTCCAGCCAGTGGAACTTCCTGTTACACCTGGCTGGAGCATCCTTCCTTGCATGTGACTAGTGGGTGGGTGTAACCTTTCCAGACCAGGTAAAAGGACAAGGCATGCTGCCACTCCCTCTCTTCCTCCATCTTCCTTTCGTCCTGCGAACTTCCTGGACTAAACTGCTGACTGCCAGGCAAACAGTCCCCCAGGTCATCTCCCTTATGGGGTAAACCTTTTTGTATATGTTTGTAACTTTAAGCCTAAATCCTGCCTTCAGGGATCACACTGTGCTCTGCCTCATCGTGAGTCAACTTTCTTTTTATTGCTTATGAATAAGACTGTGGTGTCTTTATTCTTTTAGGAGGGATTCAAGGGGTCTTACCAGGAAATATTAGAACAGATTGAATTGCTTTTTGCCTGCAGACTGTCTTGCCAGAGTGGTGCATGCTCTAGTTATCTCTCGCTTGGACTACTGCAATGCACTCTACGTGGGGCTACCTTTGAAGGTGACCCGGAAACTACAACTAATCCAGAATGCAGCAGCTAGACTGGTGACTGGGAGCAGCTGCCGAGATCATATAACACCTGTCTTGAAAGACCTACATTGGCTCCAAGTACGTTCCAAGCACAATTCAAAGTGTTGGTGCTGACCTTTAAAGCCCTAAATGGCCTCGGTTCAGTATATCGTCTCCACCCCCATCGTTCTGCCCGGACACTGAGGACCAGCGCCGAGGGCCTTCTGGAGGTTCCCTTACTGCAAGAAGCCAAGTTACAGGGAACCAGGCACAGGGCCTTCTCGGTAGTGGCGCCCGCCCTGTGGAACGCCCTCCCACCAGATGTCAACGAGAAAAACAACTACCAGACTTTTAGAAGACATCTGAAGGCAGACCTGTTTAGGGAAGCTTTTGATGTTTAATAGACTACTGTATTTTAATATTTTGTTGGGAGCCGCCCAGAGTGGCTGGGGAAACCCAGCCAGATGGGCGGGGTATAAATAATAAATTGTTGTTGTTGTTGTTGTTGTTGTTATGAAACTCACACGAATTTGCAACCAGTTTTCTGCTGTGCAAAGGGGGAATGCACTCTGCTAAGTAAAGGAACTTGCTAGCACAAGTTAGGAAAGATATTAATAAACAATATATCCTCTCCTGCCACCCTCAACATTCCAACAAAAAGTGGTTGGGACACTGCCATCTCTTTTCTTCATTTTTTTTCCTTTCCTTGCCACTCACATGACATTAGGCCAGTTTCTTAAGCTGAATCATCCCCAGCCCAAATACCTACGGAGCTGTCTCGCAGCAGGAACGCAGAACACTGCAGCCCAGTCATAAGCATTTTGTGGGGATTCCAAGCCACAGAATCTGCCCTGTGTAGGGAAACAGAAGAACAACGTTATCACGGCTTGTTTTGACACGGAACGTATCCTATTCTAAGATGCAAGAAAATGCGAAGCGATGTTGTGGGAAGGGGGAGCGAACTGGGGGAGAAGAAAATGCAATATTGCAACGTAAACAAGGCTTTTCCAGAAGGAAACGTCTGTCAGTTTGACCTTCACATGTCAGGGCTTACAGCCCTGGGTGAATTTTGAGAATGCCCCAAATATATATTTTACTTATTCCGCCATTGTTTGGACAGACTCAGGCAAATGCTAACAGTATCAACATTCACCAATGGCTCTTTAGGCATTCACAGTTGTTTGGAATGATCAATACATATACTGTATGTGGCTGTTGACATCCACTGTAACCGTAAGGCGCTGGTGGAGGTCTTCAGGCAGGAGTGGTGCCACCAGCACTCTGGTCTCCCAGGCAAGACTCTGTCAGCTAAGAGTGCCCTCTGTGCTACAAAACTGGTGTGGGCACTGCCATCTGAGCCCATAGCATGAAGATGGTCAGTTGAGTTCACAAGCGAATGTAGATGCATAAAAACTTTCCATCAAAACCAACTTGTCGTGCTCAACAGCAATATACATTCGTTCACCCTAAGTGTCTGGCACCTATCTGTAACACACAGACACACACACAAACACACACAAATGAAAGTTAAAATAACAGGGGGAGGTGAGAGAACAATTGACAACCACTCGGTTAGGGAAACAATATGCTGTGGTCATAAATTAAAACTTTTCTCTTTTTTTGGTTTTGTTCATTTGCAGATTTCTTCAGGGGGTTAAGGAGCCCAAGTTTCATGCTTCATCACCATCGTTCATTGTTCAGATATCAAGCCTTCCAAATGCTGGCTTATCTTGCCAGCAGTCTGGATGTTATTGGCCTTTTAAATTAAAAAATGAAACTTTGCTAAATCTTTAAAACATATGCCTTTCTTGGTCTGTCCCCAACTCAACAGCTTTGTGTATGTTAATGTTTTCATAACCATTAGAAATCATGCCAGGCTGTACCAAGCCTCTTTCAATGAGACCAGCCCCATCTCTGACCTCCAGGCCATCTGTGACTGGATCTCCTGCTTTTGACCCCCCTCCCTGCCCAATGCATGTTTGCCAGATCTAGTGCCCGACTTCCAGCCTGCCTTGTTATTGGCACCGGTTCCTTTGACCCATCCTGGAATTGGACCCCAGCAGCAGCCTGTTGCAAAATGATGCCCTGGACTTGACAGTAATATTATGAATGAAATATACTCTTGAGTTGAGAGTGGATTTCATGCTCTTTATTCAGCTCATTGTGGTGAGGAGGAATGGAAGTTCCCCCAGAATGTCTGCTTTATATACATTATTTACACAATGGGCCCCATGTGATTGGCTAATTCTGGGATTCACCTGCAGGCCAATCAGGTTGCGGATTCACTTCCACCTGGAGCTGTATTGGGTGGCTCCTGTGGACCAATCAGACTGCTGCATTGTTCTAGGACCAATCAGACTGCTGCATTCTGGACCTTATTGTTCTAGGACCAATCAGACTGCTGCATTCTGAATCCTATTGTTCTAGGACAAATCAGACTGCTGCATTCTGAATCCTATTGTTCTAGAACCAATCAGACTGCTGCCTTTTGGATTCTATTCAACTCAGTACATAACAATGAAGGACATGAATCAGGCCAATGACAAGTAGTGGCTTACCAGGGCAGGTGTCTTATCTGAAAGCTATTGGGCTGCCGAGATATTTGGCCCTGAACCAGCAGCCTCACATACAACCTGTCACAGGGCACCAGGGACCTGTTATGGCAGGATCCAGGGCTCCTTGCTCTCTGTGCCAGCTTGCCAGGCAAGGGAACTGCCCGCCATTTTGTGGAACTCTTGTGGACTCCCCTTCCTTGGAGGTTTTTAAGCAGAGGTTGGATGGCCATCTGTCATGGATTGCTGTAGCTGAGATTCGTAGACGACCCTCTATGAGTCTATGATTCTAAATCAGCAGGGGATTAAGTATGTAGGGATTCCACCCGGCTGGTCCCATATAAAGTTGCTGACTCGAGACTGGCTGCTCGGGTATATGCTGAGCTGCTTCACCAGCCCATCCATCTGCATTTCCGATGTGGGGGTCAGGTGGGATTGCTATGAGGAATTATGAAAAATGGAACAAGCCATTGTGTCCGCAATGAAAGCATTGCGTTGACTGGGCTTGGGTCATTGACCATTGACAATAATTTCCGATCAAATCCCACAAGCCTCTGCATCTCTGCCATTTTCTCTGCTGCCCATTTCTCTATGCCTGACAAGCATGTATAAGCATTCTGAAACACAGACCAGGCATCCTCAGTACATAAAGATAGTAGGTTACTTTGATGTAGCTTTTGTTAATGTTTAGGTAGATCTTAGGGCCAGGAAACAGAGTTTCACATGGAGGTGATAAAGATGCCTAATCTTTCCTTGCCATCCTTCCTCTCATGTTTACTGCTTGTTTATGACCTCTGGGGTTGCTGAATGCATTCCTCCTTTAGTCCTGTTTTATTTACCCCAGAATGTATGCATGCTCAAATTAGCTCTTTGTAGTTTTAACTTTAACTTCGTCCCACGTGGGTGTTTTTTTAAATGCTCAGAGGAAACCTGATTGGTTCTTACGAACACTGTAAAAAGTTCTTTTGTGAATAAAACAACCTGGGCCAAGGGGTGGACAGATTATTATTGGCACTTCTTTCCAGAGTCTTGCTGGTCAAACCTCGTGTGTATTTTATTAATCAGAGTCCAATCCTTCCTTGCTTTTGGGACGCAACATTCCAGCCCTTGCATCACCGGTCTGTTGGTACACAGCTCAAAGCCCACTCAAGAGTAAATATTGCCTACCTCTCGACCCCATTCAGAAGGTGCCGGTGCCTCTGCGAGAGGAGGGCACTGCCACCCCATGCAGCCTACAAGAGAATGACAGAGGCGTATCGGTCATTAAGAACCCATCCGGGCAAAGTGTGTCAATGAGGTGCTCATGTAGTCAGAAATCCCAATCTGAAAATACCTGAAGAGCATAATTCCAGGGATAGCTGACCAGTGATGGAATGGGAGTCTGACATCCGTTTATGCATTTGATTTGTTTCATCGTGGCATATCTACTGAGCACGAGAGCTGGTTGTGGGACAGGCCCACAACTTGCCCCTATGCCACCAACAGTTAAGGCATTTCTAAGGGCCTGTCTAGGGGACGCAGGTGGCGCTGTGGGTTAAACCACAGAGCCTAGGGCTTGCTGATCAGAAGGTCGGCGGTTTGAATTCCCGCGACGGGGTGAGCTCCCGTTGCTCAGTCCCTGCTCCTGCCAACCTAGCAGTTCGAAAGCACGTCAAAGTGCAAGTAGATAAATAGGTACCAGTCCGGCAGGAAGGTAAACGGCGTTTCTGTGCGCTGCTCTGGTTCGCCAGAAGCGGCTTAGTCATGCTGGCCACATGACCCGGAAGCTGTATGCCAGCTCCCTGGGCCAGTAAAGCGAGATGAGTGCCGCAACCCCAGAGTCGGCCACGACTGGACCTAATGGTCAGGGGTCTCTTTACCTTTAAGGGCCTGCCTGTAAGGGCCAGAAACTTGAGGGCAATCACACGCTCCAGATGAAAGCATCTCAAGACACTGAATTCTGCCCCCAAACCAAAAAGCTGGACTTACTTGGAATGATCACAGATACGAAGAATACATCCAACCTTTCTTCCCGGTCTTTTCCTCCCTGCCTTGATTTTTGTCCCTCTTCCACCCTACTGCCTCTTGGATAATAATTAAACAGTAATCACCCTACAAAGCAGGTTGCCTGCTACATCTATGCACAACTGATTCACCGCTCTGGTCTGTCCTCAATAGGGGCAGGTTAATCTGTTGCGTCCCTGCATCTGCAGCACGCAATCGCTTCTAATGCAGAGACATGAAAGAACAATTCATCCTAGGAGGTTAGCTGTTGCACCTCTGCATGGGGCAAATCTTGCAACTACATCCTGAAAGGAACAGGATTGTGAGATCATCCTCGGACCAAAAAAATAAAATTGCATGGGGGAAATGATCGTGACATTACTTTTTGCACATGACACCAGAAAGCAATTCCGTGGACATGAATCACTGGTCAAGATCCAAAGAGACCTGTGTATGTACACAAAGGTCACTCTGTGCGTGCAGGAAGAAACAGCTGCTTTTACCTTTCGGCTGCAGCTCCTGTCGACTCCCTGAATGCTACTTCAGGAGAGGTTTTGGGGAGGGAGGAGCAAGGGACCGTGATAGGAAAGCCACCTCACCTGCCAATATGTCAGAAGTGGACCACCTGTCTCTAAGTACCATCTTCTATCCTTGGTCTGGGTGGCATTCAGGGTTTAAAAGACACAGAACACACACACCCCTCCCCATTTTCTCTCTCACACACACACTTATAACAAGCACCTCCTGCCATCCCCAAGGATCTGTAGGGCACCAATCCCTCAGCATGCCGCACTTACATCAACGTGAAGCCAGATCTTGTGCCTTGCGCACACGTCCGCAATCTCAGCCACGGGGTCGAAGGCTCCCAGGACGGTGGTGCCACAGGTGGCATTGACAAAGAAGGGGAATGCCCTCTGGAAAAGAAGAACATCAGGAGCAGGCATTGGCAGACGGGAAGTATAGCTGGCGCAGGTTTTGCCAATCTGGTGCCCTCTGGAAGTTTTGGACTATAACTCCCATCAGCCCCAGCCAGAGCAGTCTGGGTTGGCTAGAGCTGATTTTCTGTGAACATTACAAGGATGTTGTGTCTCCCAACAACACACATCCCCTCCCCCACTCTATGTCTCTCTCTGATCATGTTTGGTAACAGGTTAGACACCGCTGTTAACAACAACAACAACAATTTATCATTTATACCCCGCCCATCTGGCTGGGTTTCCCCAGCCACTCTGGGCGGCTCCCAACAGAATATTAAAAACACGATAAAACATCAGTCATTAAAAGCTTCCCTAAACAGGGCTGCCTTCAGATGTCTTCTAAAAGTCAGAGAGTTGTTTATTTCCTTGACATCTGACGGGAGGGCGCTCCACAGGGCGGGCGCCACTACCGAGAAGGCCCTGTAATCTCACTTCTTGCAGTGAGGGAACCACCAAAAGGCCCTTGGAGCTGGACCTCCATGTCTGGGCTAAACGATGGGGGTAGAGAAGCTCCTTCAGGTGTAAGTAGGCAAGTCCTCAGAAAAAGAGTGGAGCATTATGAAGGAAAATGTCCTGTGCTCTCAGTTCTGCCCTCTTCACCGTCCAGAGGAAACCTACCTCAGATTTGGCCTGGTTGATCTTTTTCTCCAGATCAGCAGGGATCATTTTTCCCCTGAAGGAGAAAGAAAGCAGTGGCAGAAGTGAGCCTTAAGACAATCCACCTCTAGAACCAACCTATGCAAGGAGCAGAATCGTGTGGTGCATGTTTGCCCCGGAATGTGCTACTACAGGCTGCAGCAGGTATAGAATCTCGTGGTCAAACGACTCCCTGTTTCAAAAGTCCCTGTGCACACAGAAAACTAGTGCCTTTGTGCCCAAGAAAGATGTTAAATTATTTTTGTTTGCCAGAACTGCTGCTCGTATTTTGTTAGCTAAAAAGTGGAAAACCCAAGAATTACCAACGATAGAAGAATGGCAGATGAAGATGATGGATTTTTCGGAGCTAGCCGACCTAACCGGAAGAGTCCGCAATCAGAAGGAGGAGGAGTATCAGGAAGAGTGGAATAAATTTAATGATTATTTAGTTAAATTTGCTATGTTAAACTAACTGAAAACAGCTTGCAGATACTTAATGGGCTCAGGATTTTATTTATGTTAAGTGATGAATTAATATGTTTAATTCCATAAGGTGAAGATCTAAGGATGTTAATGTTTAAGTTAAATTTCATAAAAATTGGGATTTGGAAAACCGTTAAAAGGACATGCAATGAAATTCAATCAAGGGGAAGCGAGGAAGTCACTTAACAAAGTTAATAACTGGAATTTTCAATAAGGCTATGATTTTTGTTTGTTTGTTTTGTGTGTTTGTTTGTTTATAATATTGTGAAAACTAATAAAATTTTTGAGAAAGAAAAAAAAAGTAAACTAGTGCCTTTGGGGGAAGGAGTTCTAGGCGGGCCCTCTCTATGAAGCATTGCTTTTCCACGTCCGGGAAGATATTTTTCCTAAGGGGAAGCACTGAGAAAAAGATCCCCTACCTGCAATCCGAAATGGCAAAATCCACATATACCTGTTCCACATTAGCTTGTGCAGATCAACCACTAAAGGATGATCCATTCAACCTCTTGGGAGGCCTGTTTTAAATCTCTGCCAACTTTGTTTCAAAGGCAAAGTGCAATTGATTGAGGTTGAATCCTGACAAGACAGAAGTACTGTTTCTGGGGGACAGGAGGCGGGCAGGTGTGGAGGATTCCCTGGTCCTGAATGGGGTAACTGTGCCCCTGAAGGACCAGGTGCGCAGCCTGGGAGTCATTTTGGACTCACAGCTGTCCATGGAGGCACAGGTCAAATCTGTGTCCAGGGCAGCTGTTTACCAGCTCCATCTGGTACGCAGGCTGAGACCCTATCTGCCTGCGGACTGCCTCGCCAGAGTGGTGCATGCTCTGGTTATCTCCCGCTTGGATTACTGCAATGTGCTCTACGTGGGGCTACCTTTGAAGGTGACCCGGAAACTACAACTAATCCAGAACGCGGCAGCTAGACTGGTGACTGGGAGCGGCCGCAGAGACCACATAACACCGGTCTTGAAAGACCTACATTGGCTCCCAGTACGTTTCCGAGCACAATTCAAAGTGTTGGTGCTGACCTTTAAAGCCCTAAACGGCCTTGGTCCAGTATATCTGAAGGAGCGTCTCCACCCCCATCGTTCTACCCGGACACTGAGGTCCAGCACTGAGGGCCTTCTGGCGGTTCCCTCACTGCGAGAAGCCAAGTTACAGGGAACCAGGCAGAGGGCCTTCTCGGTAGTGGCGCCTTCCCTGTGGAACACCCTCCCACCAGATGTCAAAGAGAACAACAACTACCAGGCTTTTAGAAGACATCTGAAGGCAGCCCTGTTTCGGGAAGCTTTTAATGTTTGATGTATTATAGTATTTTAATATTCTTTTGGAAGCCGCCCAGAGTGGCCGGGGAAGCCCAGCCAGATGGGCGGGGTATAAATAATAAATTATTATTATTATTATTATTATAAGTGACACACTGGCCTAAAGACTTCTTGATGCAACTCTAGTGTTAATGCAACTACCTTAACCTTTTCGGAACTTTTTGTCATTGGAAAGAATTTGAGGGAAACATCTTTTCCGTCTTGAGGACTAGAAGAGAAATAAAAATAAATCTTTGGTTTTCAGGGTGCTAAATTCTATCCTCCATTATCAGCTCCTATGTTAGCTGCGAAATCACTGTGTACCTTTCTATGGGGTTATACCGTATTTTTCGCTCTATAAGACGCACCAGACCACAAGACGCACCTAGTTTTTGGAGGAGGAAAACAAGAAAAAAAATATTCTGAATCTCAGAAGCCAGAACAGCAAGAGGGATCGCTGCGCAGCGAAAGCAGCAATCCCTCTTGCTGTTCTTGCTTCTGGGATAGCTGCGCAGCCTGCATTCGCTCCATAAGACGCACACACATTTCCCCTTACTTTTTAGGAGGGGAAAAGTGAGTCTTATAGAGCAAAAAATACGGTCATTTTCCATTAAGTATTGGGGAAGGGGGAGGGAATCTGGAAACAAAAGGAAAAAGAAAAACACAGATAAGCAATGGTGTCTCTGTCCTTGGGTATTTCCCAGGGGAGGCATCTGTTAAAGGTGCATTTGGTAGGTAGGTATCATGTGTCAGGGCAAATTATTTTATTAGATGGTCCACTGGCAGTGCCAGGAGGCCTGGGCCGGGTCAAGTCTCACAAGGGTTTCCGATGGAAGCTCTCACTTTTCATCAACAGCAACAAGGTAGATGTTGTCTGTGCCAATTCCCAGGAAAGCCGCTCCCTTCTGGATGGAGTAATGGCACTGGAAGAGAAGCCAGAAAAAGAGGGAATTAGAGGATGATGATGATGATAATAATAATAACAACAATAATTTATACCCCGCCCATCTGGCCGGGATTCCCCAGCCACTCTGGGCGGCTTCCAAAAAAATATTAAAATACTGTAAGACATCAAACATTAAAAGCTTCCCTAAACAGGGCTGCCTTCAGATGTCTTCTAAAAGTCTTTGACATCTGGTGGGAGGGCGTTCCACAGGGCGGGCGCCACTACCGAGAAGGCCCTCTGCCTGGTTCCCTGCAACTTGGCTTCTCGCAGTGAGGGAACCACCAGAAGGCCCTCGGCAATGGACCTCAGTGTCCAGGCTGAATGATGGGGGTGGAGACGCTCCTTCAGGTATACTGGACCGAGGCTGTTTAGGGCTTTAAAGGTCAACACCAACACTTTGAATTGTGCTCAGAAACGTACTGGGAGCCAATGTAGGTCTTTCAAGACTGGTGTTATGTGGTCTCGGCGGCTGCTCCCAGTCACCAGTCTAGCTGCCGCATTCTGGATTAGTTGTAGTTCTGGGTCACCTTCAAAGGTAGCCCCACGTAGAGCACATTGCAGTAGTCAAAGCAGGAGAGAACCAGAGCACGCACCACTCTGGCGAGACAGTCTGCGGGCAGGTAGGGTCTCAGCTTGCATACCAGATGGAGCTGGTAAACAGCTGCCCTGGACACAGAATTGACCTAGGATACTAGCAGAGGCTGGTCCATTTGGGGCTAATAAGACACTGGCCCACCAACCGTAGCCTATTCTCAGCAAACACCCATCTGTGGGTCTTCTAACAACCAGCCCAATGGGTGGCACTGCCTCTCAGCTTCCACCTCTGCAGTCTCAGTTTTGCCCTTATAGAACTTATCAGGGAATTAGTTGACTCTGCATGTCATCGGCTCTCTGGCGCCACCTCCTGTTGGCCTCTGGCTTCTGCCCTAGCAGCACCAATGGGCATCAGCCACCATGGACTGATACCTCTATTGGAAGCTGTCTAATACAGTGGTACCTCGGGTTACATACGCTTCAGGTTACATACGCTTCAGGTTACAGACTCTGCTAACCCAGAAATATTACCTCGGGTTAAGAACTTTGCTTCAGGATGAGAACAGAAATCGTGCAGCGGCAGCAAGAGGCCCCATTAGCTAAAGTGGTGCTTCAGGTTAAGAACAGTTTCAGGTTAAGAACAGACCTCCAGAACGAATTAAGTTCTTAACCCGAGGTACCACTGTACATGGATAGGCAAACTAAGGCCCGGGGGCAGGATCCGGCCCAATCGCCTTCTAAATTCGGCCCGTGGACGGTCCGGGAACCAGCTTGTTTTCACATGAGTAGAATGTTTCCTTTCATTTAAAATGCATCTCTGGATTATTTGCGGGGCATAGGAATTCGTTCATCCCCCCCCCCCAAAAAAAATATACTCCAGCCCCCCACAAGGTCTGAGGGACAGTGGACCGGCCCCCTGCTGAAAAAGTTTGCTGACCCCTGGTCTAATACAATTTGATCATTTGGGGTCCATTTGAAGTGATTTCCCTTAGCTCCATGCAGCTCCCCCCCCCCGAATAATTATTTAATGTTATTGATTAATAAATTCCTTTGAGAGTGATTTTTTTAAGAAAACTCAACAACAGGCAATCAATGAATTTTATAAACAAACACAAGCACAATTAAGCTAGGGTGGCACATCACCAGAAAACAGGGCACGCTATAGGACAAACGAGGACACCACATATTAGCATAAAGCTTGCATATGGTATAAATAGATACAAATATGGAAATGACTGCTAAGATACTCAAGGCAGCTAGAAATCCTTAAAATGCCACATGCGAGTATCAGCAAAATATTCAACAATACATTGTAAGTTCAAAATAGGCAAAATATTTAGACGTAGGGGAACAGCATGGGAAACGAGCGAGGTCCCAACTAAAGCAGAATGGCAACTTAAACTGTTGGAATATGCGCAGCTTGCAGACTTAGCATATTGAATAAGAGAACAAGAAGAACATACGTTTAAAGAAGATTGGAAAATGTTTATTGATTATATGGGGGGAAATTGTGCACACCTGAAAACGTGGGCAGCATTAAGATAAATCCAACAGTGTAAATAAATTTTGATGGATGTAATAATGGAATACAGTGGTACCTCGGGTTACATACGCTTCAGGTTACAGACTCCGCTAGCCCAGAAATAGTACCTCGGGTTAAGAACTTTGCTTCAGGATGAGAACAGAAATTGTGCTCCGGCAGCACGGTGGCAGTGGGAGGCCCCATTAGCTAAAGTGGTGCTTCAGGTTAAGAACAGTTTCAGGTTAAGAACAGACCTCCGGAACAAATTAAGTACTTAACCCGAGGTACCACTGTAAGGTGGTACCTTGGTTTACAACCATAATCCGTTCCGGAGGTCTGTTTGTAAACCAAAACAGGTTGTAACCCAAGGTGCACTTTCACCCATGGGGCCTCCAAAATTTCTTTGTTCATAATCAATCAATCAATAAATAAATAAATAAATGGGTTGTCATCCAAAAAAAGGTTGCAAACTGGGACACACACTTTTGGGTTTGACGTGTTTGTAATCCAAAGCGTATGCAAACCAAGGTACTGAATGGTTTAGTTTACCGTATTTTTCGCTCTATAAGACGCACCGGACCACAAGACGCACCTAGTCTTTGGAGGAGGAAAACAAGAAAAAAAATATTCTGAATCTCAGAAGCCAGAACAGCAAGAGGGATCGCTGCACAATGAAAGCAGCAATCCCTCTTGCTGTTCTGGCTTTTGGGATAGCTGCATGGCCTGCATTCGCTCCATAACACGCACACACATTTCCCCTTACTTTTTAGAAGGGAAAAAGTGAGTCTTATAGAGCAAAAAATACGGTATATAAAATATGCAGGGATTTTTGTTGTGCAAAATGAACCATGGAAAGAGAAGAAGGGAAGTCATGGATACTTTAAGGTTGTTTAAATGAATACTCTAAAATGTAAAACAGAAAATTTAATAAAAATTATAGGGCAGGGGAAAGAAGTAGGAGAACAGCTGGCTGCATTCCAAGGCTCCTTCTTGACAACTTTAGCCTGTCTCTGCTCTCCCAGTGTAGCCCCAGCAGCCAAAGCCATGTGTGAGGTTAAGCAGCCCTTGAGTGCGTGCAGATATTGGCCCGCCCCAGAAATCCAATTAAATAATTTATTCAAAAGAAGTATATGGTAAAGAGGAAGCAGCAGGGGAGAGCGAAACCACTAGTAAGCAGCTCAGAATTGAAATAAAACATTATACTAGAATATTGGTTTAATCCTTCACTAATCCAAACTTAACACTGGGATTTCTCAATCCTTCCGCTAGGCAGACTTAATCAGTAACTTGGCTTCTTCACTTATAGTGATGCAGAGCTGGGTAGTCTTAAAATAACAGCCTGAGGATGGCATAGCTGTAGCAAAGGCCCTCCAGCTGAGAACGTGTACAGCAGTCTTGCCCCTGCTCCACTTCCAAGGAGACCTCAGGTTTGAGGTCTGGGCAAGGCTGAAGCCACAGTCACAATACCCACACATATGCACCAGTGCTGGAACTGGTCATGTCTGGGATAATACAGAAGCCATCATAAAATTTGCTGTGTATACATTTGGAGAAGTGCTGGCCACCCATAACCAGTGCTAGAAACTCAGACACATAAACTAGGCATCAAATGGCACCTTAAACCTAGGTTGTGGTTGCCACAACGGAATGTCTATTTGTCAGGGGTTGGACTAGACCGTCGAGGGTTTCTTCCAATACTACAATTTTATGATTCTATGATCTCAACTACATTGCTTGACTCTAGCTTTCTCAAACAACAGTTCACTTGATCCAGTATGCAAGGAGAAACACACACAGTGGAAATGGGAATGGCATTAACTATGAACTAAGGCTGGGTTTTTGAAACTGTGGTCTGTGAGTTCCATCATCATCATCACCATCATCTTCATATATTTATAGAATCATAGAATCATAGAGTTGGAAGAGACCACAAGGGCCATCGAGTCCAACCCCCTGCCAAGCAGGAAACACCATCAGAGCACTCCTGACATATGGTTGTCAAGCCTCTGCTTAAAGACCTCCAAAGAAGGAGACTCCACCACACTCCTTGGCAGCAAATTCCACTGTCGAACAGCTCTTACTGTCAGGAAGTTCTTCCTAATGTTTAGGTGGAATCTTCTTTCTTGTAGTTTGGATCCATTGCTCCATGTCCGCTTCTCTGGAGCAGCAGAAAACAACCTTTCTCCCTCCTCTATGTGACATCCTTTTATATATTTGAACATGGCTATCATATCACCCCTTAACCTCCTCTTAAGGGGAGGTTATACCCCGCCCATCTGGCTGGGTTTCCCCAGCCACTCTGGGCGGCTCCCAATCGAATATTAAAAACACAATAGAACATTAAATATTAAAAATTTCCCTAAACAGGGCTGCCTTCAGATGTCTTTTAAAAGTAGAGTAGTTGTTTATCTCTTTGACATCTGGCTGGAGGGCGTTCCACAGGGCAGGTGCCACTACTGAGAAGGCCCTCTGCTTGGTTCCCTGTAACCTCACTTCTCACAGTGAGGGAACCGTCAGAAGGCCCTCAGCGCTGGATCTCAGTGTCTGGGCTGAATGATGGGGGTGGAGACGCTCCTTCAGGTATACTGGGCTGAGGCCGTTTAGGGCATTAAAGGTCAGCACCAACACTTTGAATTGGGCCCGGAAACATACTGGGAGCCAAGGCAGGTCTCTCAGGACCGGTGTTATATGGTCCTGGCAGCCGCTCCCAGGCAGAAGAAGAAGAAGAAGAGTTTGAATTTGATATCCCGCCTTTCACTCCCTTTTAAGGAGTCTCAAAGCGGCTAACATTCTCCTTTCCCTTCCTCCCCCACAACAAACACTCTGTGTGGTGAGTGGGGCTGAGAGACTTCAAAGAAGTGTGACTGGCCCAAGGTCACCCAGCAGCTGCATGTGGAGGAGCGGAGACGCGAACCCGGTTCCCCAGATTGCGAGACTACCGCTCTTAACCACTACACCACACTGGCTCTAGACAGTCACCAGTCTAGCTGCCGTATTCTGAATTAATTGCACTTTCTGAGTCACCTTCAAAGATAGCCCCACATTGCAGTGGTCCAAGCAGGAGATAACAAGAGCATGCACCACTCTGGCAAGAAAATCTACGGGCAGGTAGGTTCTCAGCCTGCGTACCAGATGGAGCTGGTAAACAGCTGCCCTGGACACAGAATTGACTTGCGCCTCCATGGAGAGCTGTGAGTCCAAAATGACTCCCAGGCTGCGTACCTGGTCCTTCAGGGGCACAGTTACCCCATTCAGGACCACTTGGGTGGCCTCTGGAAAGGCTGCAGCACAGTCAAATATCAGGCAGCAAACAGACAGACAGACAAACAACTCAGAAGAATAACATACCTCCTGCGAAGTGAACACTGCCAGCTTCGGTATTGCCCAGTTACCCTTCTGCTTGCAATCTGGGAAGCGGTGGTATCGTGCCACGTTCATAGCATACATGTTGGAGATTGAGCCCCCTGCAAAAAAAGAGCCCAGAGAGATCATGGTCTAAGGTTATTTATTTCTATGCTATTTAATGCACTCATAGCCAGGTATATGTGTATGCCGTAATTCTGTGGGAGCACAGCAAAGATTCAGAATGTATCATCGGGTGCAGATTTCAGCTTCCATTAAAACAAACCAACAAAAAAACCCAAGGGAGCAAGTTTCTAGGCTTGGTGGCTGTGAAGGTTAAAAATGGACAATGGCTGCTAAAATCTCAGAAGCCAGAGGAGGAATGAAAGAAGATTTCCAGTGGATAGGGAAGCGGTGAAACACTTGCTTAGCCATCCCCATTACTAGCAAAACCAGAATAAAATATGCAAGTAGTTAAGAATCCATGCAAAGTCAGAAGCAGCAGAGAAGAAAGAGCATGAAGATTGCCTGCTTTCACTTATAAATGGCAATTATAATGTCAAATATCAAGGTTAGTATGGGATTCCTAAAGCGAAACTCCAGGTTGTTTTCGGTGCAACAAGTTGCAGACCAGAGGCAGCCATAGCCATCGTGGTGGCCTCGAGATGTTATTTGACTACAATTCCCATCATTTCAGACCATTGTCCAGGTGGGCTTAAATCTGCTTCAGGTGGACAATATACAGCCCTCTGTAAAGGTACTGCTGCAGATTTGACCTAGAACACGCAGAAAGGAATATCACTCACCAGGACTAAAGAGCCCATCCCCTTCCTCCCAGCCAATCAGCTCCCGCAGCTTCTTCAGAACCACCTCCTCCATCAATACAAACACAGGGGCAATCTCATACGTGTACCTAGAACACAAGGCGAAATGATGTTTTGGTCCAAGTCATATACCTGCAATTGTATGTCACAAGTAGGTATCGGGGAGTTTCACCTAGGAAAGGTGCCTAGGAAGTAAAGAGTGGTTGGCGAATGGTTGGAGGGACGTTGGCAGGCCTATCAGGAATCCAAGGAATTATACTGTACTAATAGATGAGACCTTCATCCCTTAGCAGGGCGCACACAGCCGCTGAAAAAAATATTATTAAAATGGAAAAAAATAACAAAATAAAGTAAAACGGTTCACAAAATGACCTGGGCATAGTTCTATCACTGAACTATTCTGACAATCTCATTCCGCAGGGATAGACAATCACACTATGAACAGACATGCTCTCTGAGGTATGGAGGAAGCACTCTATTTCCCCGGATACAAAAACTCTGAATTTTGAGTGCTCTGAAAACGCCATGCCTCCACAACAGAGCCCAACAGTGCAATAGAAGAAGAAGAAGAGTTTGGATTTGATATCCCGCTTTATCACTCCCCTTCAGGAGTATCAAAGCGGCTAACATTCTCCTTTCCCTTCCTCCCCCACAACAAACACTCTGTGAGGTGAGTGGGGCTGAGAGACTTCAGAGAAGTGTGACTGGCCCAAGGTCACCCAGCAGCTGCATGTGGAGGAGCGGAGACGCGAACCCGGTTCCCCAGATTGCGAGACTACCGCTCTTAACCACTACACCACACTGGCTCCAATACCTGCTTGTAAGTCCTACTGATTCCCCCTGAGAAGTGTGTGGCGTTTAAGTAATGCAGCGTGCATAATATATGTAACAAACTACCAGATATGAGGAACTGCATGGGTGCTGACAGCCAACATCTATCTCTTTAGCTTGGCGGGGTGGGGGAGTGCAAGTATGATGTCCTGTCCTGTGACATCACCACCTTAGGGCTTACTTAGGGCTGCTCCTTGCCATGGATGCGAATATGTGAATACAACTGTGTCATGTTTCTACCCCACAACTTTGTATTATCAGAAATATGTAGTTTGCCTGCATCACAGGAGGTGGCTCACTTAGAAAACTGCTATGCGCACTTCCTTCCAGGATCAAGGATGGAATTAGTGAGGGGGGAAGAAGAAGAAGAAGAAGAGTTTGGATTTGATATCCCGCTTCATCACTACCCTAAGGAGTCTCAAAGCAGCTAACAATCTCCATTCTCTTCCTCCTCCACAGCAAACACTCTGTGAGATGAGTGAGGCTGAGAGACTTCAGAGAAGTGTGACTAGCACAGCAGCTGCACGTGGAGGAGTGGAGACGCGAACCCAGTTCCCCAGATTACAAGACTACCGCTCTTAACCACTACACCACACTGGGACATTGTAGGATCAAATCAGAAACTGGGACATCTTCTGCAAATCTGGGACTGTCCCTGGAAAATAGGGACACGTTGAGGGTCTGCAGTAGCAGCCACCACAGCCACATCATGAGAACCTAGCTACCTTAGCAGCAGTGGAGTCGCTGCCAGTTTAATCATCTGCCTTGGAGCGTGAGGTTCAACAAGATCTTCCTGTTGGCTGTTCCAGCTCTGCAGTTTAGCCAGCACTGTTCCCCAAGCTTGGCAGGTAACAAGGAGTCTCAAAGCGGCCAACATTCTCCAAGGTCACCCAGCAGCTGCATGTGGAGGAGTGGAGACGCGAACCCGGTTCCCCAGATTACAAGTCCACTGCTCTTAACCACTACACCACACTGGGGAGGGGCTTTTGTGATGGTACTCACCGCTACAGAGTACCACGAACCTCTTTTTTGCTGCCCATGGCAGCCATTTTGTGCAGATACTCATGGCCCTTCTAGTCATATATGAACAATGGCACCTCAATTTTTTTAACCCCCAAAAAGCACTAGATAGAGATACAGATACAGTGGTACCTCAGAAGTTGAACAGAATCCATTCCGGGAGTCCATTTGACTTCCAAAACATTTGGAAACCAAGACGCGGCTTCCGACTGGCTGCAGGAAGCTCCTGCAGCCAATTGGAAGCTGCAGAAGCCACGTCAGACGTTCAGGTTCCAAAGAACGTTCACGAACCAGAACACTCACTTCCGGGTTTGCGGTGTTTGGGAGCCAAAATGTTTGACTCGCAAGGTGTTCAGGATCCAAGGTACGACAGTATATAGAAAGGGATAAGGATAGAAATATATACATAAAAAGACATGTATTTCAGAGTTGAAAGCTCTTTGGGGAAAATGATTGTATGTACACTAAGACCACTTTTGCCTCTGGTAAAGAGTTCTGCAGTTCAAGAACCTGCAAACCCTGTTTGATCGCAGAGGACAAAATAAATATGAGGGTAGACCCTAGGAAGCAACGCCCTAATCTACTCAATCTAACCATTTCCAGCTCTTTTTAAAACAATAATCCGTACTGAGCCCAAGAGAGCCACTGCAACCTATTTTAACGCCATGGTTTCATCAGAAAAATGCAAACACATACTGGCTGGTGTTGAGCATCTCTGTGATCAGCCGTCCGGCCAAAGCATGGGGATCAAGTCCTGAAAACAACTGGTTGAAAAATCGCGGGTGACCTGAGAAAGAAAGAGTAAAAGAGTATGTAGCTATGCTGAACTGAAGCTACTTTGGATCAGTCTACAGCACAATCACATCATACCAAATATAATTCTCTTTTTGGAAGTGGTGTGTGGGGAACACACTCTTTTACACAGGGCATGAATGAAATGTACAGCAGGAAGGCATTTGGGCTGGGTAATAACTGCTTTTCAACATCGTGATATATCACCAGCTAAACATCGCGATATACTGATATATTGCAATGTCTGAAATAAGGGTGGAGCTATGTAGAGGCATTGGCTGGCTTCACATTTCCCCCCCGCATTGTGATTTTTGCATAGCGCGCACACACACGCACACGCACACACACACACACACACACACACACATCATGGTTCGCAATAAATTGCCAGGTCAAAAATTATGAAACTGATATCATGGACTTCAAACTGGTTTTGGACGATATATCACCCAACCCTAGAAAACGCTTGTTTTCTAAAGCACTAATTACAGTGGTACCTCGGGTTAAGAACTTAATTCGTTCTGGAGGTCTGTTCTTAACCTGAAACTGTTCTTAACCTGAGGTACCACTTTAGCTAATGGGGCCTCCTGCCGCAGCCGTGCAATTTCTGTTCTCATCCTGAGGTAAAGTTCTTAACCCGAGGTACTATTTCTGCGTTAGCGGAGTCTGTAACCTGAAGAGTCTGTAACCTGAAGCGTCTGTAACCCGAGTTACCACTGTACTTTGCCTCTGATCTTGGGAACGCTGCTGTCTCTGTTTGCTAAAAAGATGCCAGAACGTGCTGTTTCCTTTAGGACATATTGACATAACCAGAGATATTTGTCTTGAATTCTGACTTCATGTGTACAAGGACAGCGAATTCCAGGGTGTTTTAGCCACACCCCCTTGGCTCACAATTTTCATCGCCTTTGGGCTACTGTGCATATATAGGCTATTTTAAATCCATGTGTCTTTACACTGGAGGCGATAGTCAGCTTTGTCAGCAGGTCACTTAACATGAGAAGCATCCCGTTTTGCAGCTTGAGGCCATGGAAACAAGACCTAACTGGAGCAGGAACTACATATTACTCCACATGCAGGAACTATGCTATTTCACGAACGAGACGCTGGTGCCAGGCACTCACATGTCTTCACGCTGTATCTGATAACATCCCGGCAGCGGTCCAGCAATCTCTCCTGCGGCTCCCCTCCCTCTTTTAGATCCAGGTCTAGGATTTGCTGCAGCTCCTCAGGTTCCTTCCAATCACACACCTAACAAGGAAGGAAATAGGTTGGCCAGTTCGTATTGAAAAGTTCAGGCAGCATTCACATAAATGCTTGAAAGCCAAATAACATAGTCCCATCCTCACGTTATGCCAGTAATTAAGCCAGTAATTAAGCATTGGATAAATACACCATTATATAAGAACAACTCCCAAGATTATGTTGTGAGAATGAGCCCTGAAAGACTTAAATGGGCCATTGATTTTGGACATAATATTGAATTAGAAGCGTGGCAGGAATTATGGAATGTAAATATGAAATTTACGGCCTGTACGGCATTGAAGGAGAATCTATGGAAAATGATCTATAGATAGCATCTTACGCCGGTAAAACTGGCAAAGATGTACAGAATGAAAAACAAGAAATGCTGGAAATGTGGAGAGGTAGAGGGAGACCTTTACCACATGTGGTGGACCTGTGGTAAAGTGAAGGGCTTCTGGGAATCAATTTACAATGAACTTTAAAAAATCTTTAAATATACTTTTCCAAAAAAAGCCCGAAGCCTTTCTACTGGGATTGACAAGAAAGGATTTTTTCTAAAAAAAAAGATAAAAGTCTCTTTCTATATGCCACGACGACAGCAAGAATTATGCTGGCCAAGAACTGGAAAACGGATGTTATACCTACTATATTGGAATGGCAGGTTAAAATGATAAATTATACAGAACTGGCCAGAATATCAGGAAAACTAAGAGACTAGGATGAACAGAAGTTTCAAGAAAATTGGAGTAAATACTTGATGTATATATGAGACAACTGTAAAACTTTAAAGACACTGGCAGGGTTAGAATAACTCTAACAGCGTATGGTAGATAAAGTAAAACATACAAAATGCGCGATGTTACAAATTATATGATACTTACCAAAGGAATGGAGGGAAGTCCGAAGCTCGGCAGAACTTAAGATAAATATGTGATTTATTTGTATAAGGTATGTATGTATGTATGTTCAATGGAAAATTAATAAAAAAAAATATTAAAAAAGAAAAAGAAAGCCTTACCTTTTCAGAGGCATCCATCCCTTTCCTTACACCTTCCTCAAGCATGATCTGGAATGCTTTCTGCAGGAACTCCTCACCAGCCACCTTATCCAAGGCAGGACACAACAGGGCATTATGTTCTGCCATTGTCAGCCACACCTCCTATGCAGGTCTCTGCAGGTTTGGGCAACGTGAAGCAATAAGTCAGATCACCCTTAAAATCTTGTAAAACATTTCTAGATAGTTATGATTAACCAGTATACAATTTCTGTTACATGAATGAACGAACAAACAAATAAATAGAAGGTATATCATTTCATTGGTGTGTTATATACCCCAGAATACACTGCAGCGAGTTACTGCAATCTATACCACGTTCCTGATCTGAAACATCACTCTTTACATTTGCTTGGGGAAAGTTAAAGGTAAAGGTGAAGGACCCCTGACAGCTAAGTCCAGTCGCAAACGACTCTGAAAGTGACTCTGGGGTTGCAGTGCTCATCTCGCTTTACTGGCCAAGGGAGCCGACATTTGTCCGCAGTTTTTCCGGATCATGTGGCCACCATGACTAAGCTGCTTCTGGCGAAACCAGAGGAGCACACGGAAACGCTGTTTACCTTCCTGCCGGAGCAGTACCTATTTATCTACTTGCACTTTGACGTGCTTTCGAACTGCTAGGTTGGCAGGAGCAGGGACCGAACAACGGGAGCTCACCCCATCGCTGGGATTTGAACCGCCGACCTTCTGATCGGCAAGCCCAAGCAAATCGGCAAACTACTCAGTGGTTTAGACCACAGCGCCACCCGCGTCCCTTGGGGAAAGTTAGTACTTCTTTAAAAAGGAACTAGCTCCCTCAACCCTTGTCTATGCTAATTTACAATGCAATCATAGGCAAGTTCATTCGGAAGCAGGTCCCACTGAATTCAATGGGACTTACTTCCAGGTAACAGAATCGTAGGGTTAAAGGAATATCCCTCCCCTCCTTGCATTATTACAGTTCAGAAAAGTTCGCCTCACCCTATTGTCTAAAAATGGCAGACACCAGTAAGGTTTTATCCTGCTCCAAGTGCCCACACCACTTTAAAGCGTATATTTGCAGCCACAAAGGTTAAACACTTACTTTTTTAAAAAATGGAAATTGATATTTTCAGGATAATAAATTCTGTGCCAACCATCACATTCTATACCACCCTAATGATTACCAGAGCCACCTCCCTCGGGCCCTGGTTGTAGCTTGACGGTTTTATCACCCAAAGTGCCACTCATTTGACCGGACCTCTTTGCTGTTTCTCTCTGGTTTTTCTCTGTGGTGACTCTCCTTTGGCGTCCAGCAGCCCTCTGCTCTCCAAATAGTATTCAGGACGACTTCCTTGCTTTCCTCAGGGATCATTCCAGAAAGACCATTAAATCCACTCCTTCGGTCTCTTCTAAAACCAAGCTCTAGTTAGCTGTGAAAACTCTTACACAGATAGATCACCTTGCAGAGGTTATTTCCCCATGTCACTGGAATGTGGCGGGGGGTGGGGTGTGTGTGTGTTGAGGACAGCAGACATTACGCCCAATTGCTATGGTTACCTGCTCAATCCTGCACGGATCTCCACTGATTTCAGGGACAAAGTACAAAGGCAGTATAACCTGTGGTACACTGACAAGTATCATTATGTACACCAGGGGTAGTCAACCTTTTTATACCTGCCGCCCACTAATGCATCTTTCTTGATGGTAAAATTTCCTTACTGCCCACCAGTGCTCGATGGATTCAGCTTCTGCCGTAGAACCCTCTACAGCCCACCTGGAATCCTGAAACGCTCACTAGTGGGTTGACAACCCCTGGAGTACGCCATGGGAGTGGAGATTTACACGTACGAACCAGGCAGGTGTGCTTCTCGTGTCAGAAAAGCAATTTATTTCAGGTACTGAGCTGTTTTGTTTTGCTTAGCCCTAAAAGTACAGGATGAGTCCTGCTAAGGGCTTTTTGAGATGCCAAACAAAGCACTTGCAACCATATTTGCCAATAGAAGCATTAGCTGTGTGTGCCTACAATTGTTTTACATCTCCTATTCTCATCTAATAGGGGCAGTATGTGAGAATAGAGTGGCCAGCTCTGGACCTGAGATTTATCAGCAACTGAATCTCTATTTGTTTAGTTGTAAGTCACTTAGTATTGCCCTCTATTTGTTTGGTTGTAAGTCACTTAGTGTTGCCCTGAACAAGATAAAGTGACTAACAAATTTAACAAAAATAAAAAATAATAGCAATATGATGCTTCCCTCCATGCAGTGAAAAGCTTCATCAACGGACTTTGAGGAAGCCCTGGAGTAAGGAATATTGAAATTAACTGGAGGATTGTGCAATTCTTGTTAAGTTATTCAGTTTGTGTCCTGTAGCACAGGATGTCCTCAGCCTTATCTGACTTGCAGAGCCATAAAATAAATTGCTGTTACTGTTGTCCCGCACCTAGACTTGTGTAGTAGTTCTCCTTCCTCGCAGTTCACTTAAGGCAGGGATATTTCAACAGCAGAGTTTTAAAGTTGTGACAAAGTGGTGGGTTTTCTAGATTAGAACATGCGTCACTCTTCACTCTCACAATTAAAAAGATAAGAGTGCTATCTAGTTAAATAATACTGAATTTGAGCCCAATGATTTTGATGAGTCTATTCCAAGTATTATTTGATTGACTATCACCCTACGTGTATACCTATTTATTTTTAACAGTTCCCTGAACAAAGGGCGAACAATCCCTTCTTGCAACTGCAGGATAGCTCAGGTAAGAGTTGGGCATCAGGGATGCTTTCTGGGGCAATGAAGGTTGCACCCGATGCATCAGTACACTCAAGATGCCACCATTACCCTGTACAGTAGCAGACAAAGACCAAGTTGGTCATGTGCCAGCTTCTGATTGATTAGCTTGACTTTTTGAATAAGAAGCTATTTTTTCAGATGCGTCTGCTTCTCCTAACACATACTCAGTGCCAGATTTATGTATAGGCTGAAGCCTAGGGCCTCTAAATCTAGGGGGCCTCGCCAGCCCTCCCGCTCCCCAGCAGGCAGCCTCCCCTCTCCCAAAATTGCAAACCCAAGACTGCATGAGAGGGCAGGGCAACTCGGATCTCTAAGTCTAAGGGGCCTCGCCAGCCTGCCTGCTCCCCACTGCCGCAGTCTCCCCTCTCCCAAAATTGCAAACCCAAGACTTCATGCAAGGGCAGGGCAACTCAGGCCCAGCAACTATTAGACTCAGGGCTAGCCAGTGGGGCCCAATTTGAAGCAGTGGGGCGCAACTTGAATTTTGTCTTTTGTAGGGCCCCAGTTCACAGCCCAAGTCTGCAAAATCTTATAAATAAAATCCATCTAGATTGCGCTGGTGCAGGGGCCCTCTTAGGAGCGGCCCGCAGGGCCCAATTTAGCCCCATTGCTCCAATTGCCTTAAGGTCAGCCCTGATGAGACTGTGCAGGGGTTGGACTGACAAGCGCTGCACCTTCTAGATCCCTGGTGTCACCATTCAGAGTACAGACTCAAGGACTTGTTATGGAAATAAGGGGGGGGGCACTTATTGGAAATCAGTTTTGTCACCTCTTCCCCCCCAAACCCCGAGACAATGAGCCCAGCCACCTTTTATTCACAGCCTCTTAAGCACGACACTAAAGCATGGCCATAAACTTGTACGTTCAACTGCTGAAATATACACCCAATATGTAGCAATGGAGATTTATGTTACTGCTTTATGAATGAATACTGTGTTTTATGAATGGACTGTATTTTGTGAATTACCTAAGAGCCACCAATAGGGAGTTCTAGAATCTGACAGCTAACCAATTGGGTACTACCAAACAGTGACCCCTATTGCTGAAAGCAGGTAACCAGCAGGGGATGCTTCAGCTCAGCCTTTGCACTGTTGACTGAACACCCACTGCTGTGCAGATAATGGAGGAAGCTTGTAAATTGTATCCCTTCTGGCATCCTGGCCAACTCTATTACGCTGGTGTAAACCCTGGTGCACCAGAAGCACAGAATAGCAGCAAATAAAATCCGCTCATATGTCAGCAACTGATAAGACTTGTCAACCAGTTCTTCCAAAGTCTTCCTAAATTATAAAGCTCCAAAATACAGCCAGTAGAGAGCAGGTCTGGGAAGAGTGAGGCATACAATGGGCACTACCAGTGAAAAGGCCCTGCTCCGTATAACTCCTGTCATTTGATAGAGCACCCACTTGCCCTCCTTCTTGACATGGAATGCTCTCTATTAGAGTCTTCAGGTCCAGTACAAAGACCATAAGAAGGGAGAGCAGGGACCTTTAAGTTCCCAACAGCTGTTAATCAAGCAAGCAAGCAAGCAAGCACACAGGTCACCTTTGTCACAGTCAGGATGCCTATGTCCTGGCCAGGCCTGCACCCAACCTTGTTTTTGTACAATCTTGTTTGTCCTCAGTAACCAAAATTATATTACCAACATATACAAGCAGTAAAGTTGTATTCCTTCATTTGCAATGAATCTTACAAAACAAAGTGGCACTAATAAAGAAAAGTTCCAGGGTGGCAACAGAAAGCAAACTAAAAATGCTTTTGCAGTTCATCAAAACTATCCAGCAATATCAAGTTATAGGAAAACTGGTGCTATTAACAGTAATCCTTCTAGTTGGTTAATTGGTTCAGCAACTTCCATGCACATGACATCTGATGCTAATTATTTCCCCCAAGAGTTAAATGATAACTAATCAGAGACAGCTACAGGAGAGCTATGAGATTCAGGTGAGGGTCAGATGCCTTGCCAATCCCAGCAGCTATATAAGAGGTATATAAGAGGCCTGCGGCCTGCCCACAAAATGTTTACAAAGTTCAGTTATTGCAAAAGTTTTTCAGTGTTAATTTTATGAATTTTTAAAAATCACCATGGCATCTAACAATAATATCTTATGTCCTTTAGAGGAAAAATTGTGAATTGTAGAATTTTAAATACCTGTCATCATCCTTGGCTCCACTCAATTTTGTTTATAACAAACTTCCATTTTCTTCTAGTTGTGAGGGTGGGTGTGGGGAGGAGCCTCACAAGTGGAGTAGCCTAGGGCCTCTTTTCATCTAAATCCGGCTGTGCACATACCACACAAGGAACCAGACAAGTTGCATCTGAGCTGTCCCAAGGTGGAAGTAAATATCTAGGCATCAGTAAACATACCTAACTTGAGACAGATGAAAATACACAAAATGACACTCAATAAAGATCAATATGCAAGAAGTGCAGGTTCTGAGAGCAGATTGCGGAATGTGGAACCCGTGGACCACCAGATGTTGTTGGACTACAACTCCCATCATCCCTAGCTAGCAGGACCAGTGGCCAGGGATGATGGGAAATGTATTCCAAAAACAGCTGGAGACCCAAGTTTGGGAAACCCTGGACTACACCATCCCTGACCATTGGTCGTAGATTATGGGTTTTGTAGTCCATCAGCATCTGGAAGGCCACAGGTTCCTCATACTTGCTGATTAACGCAGGAGAGCATTTCAGGGATAGTCCCCTCCCCCCGAATCCTTCTGAAATAAAGTGTGGTAACTGATTGGATGGTGATAATAAAAAAGAATCATAGAGTTGTAGATTTTGGAAGGGTCCCCAACGGACAGTCCTACCCCGTGCAATGCAGGACTCTCAACACAGAATCATACAATTGTGGAAGCGGAAGGTACAAGGCAAAGCCTTCCTTCCTTTGCATCTGGTCATTGCAGGCCATGTCCATGGCCGACTGTGAATCGAAGCTCAGAATGCTGAAAGAACAGGGTGCTGCTAAGCATGCACAGAGTGCTTTCCTCTTGGTATAACCCAGCTTCTCCCAACAAATGGGGGGTTTAGGAGGCAGCGCTTCCTAAATCAGAGGATGAAGGAGCTTGAACAGAGGCGCCTCTCATTTGACAATCAGCGAAGGACCAAGGGGCTTCTGTCAGGCGACTATCTACCAGTGAATCGGGGATGGGGGGTAGTGACCCTCCAACGGACTACAACTCCCGTCAACCATCGCGGCTGATGGGAGCTGGAGTCCACAGGTTGTCCCATCCCCTGCGGCAGACACCTAAAGCAGACCTCCTCGGAAACACCTTAGAAAGCGAGGGGGAGCCGGGAATGTATACCTTAAACGAGCCTTTCCCTCATCACCTGCTTTTCTAGCCCCTCACCTTTGCCTCTCTTTCCTGCCCCTACCAAGATGGCGGCGGCAGGCGCACAAACACGGAGCGCCGGCAATGCGCGTGCGCGAAGCGATCAAACCCCCCAACACACACACACCGGAAGTGATTGCCCTGTGCGTCTGCACCGGGTTCCGACGCTTCCGCTTCCGGGGTGGCGGCGGCGGGCGGCTGTGGAGGCCGGGAGGGCTCGGCGGCGGAGGTGCCTGGGCGCGAACTTGCCTCCCCGGGGCAAGAAGCGGGAGCCGGAACGGCGGGAGTGGAGCTTCAGGTGCGGCCTTGGGGGGCTCCGTGAGGAGAGTTAGGGAGCGGGGGCGCGAGGCTGGCTCGGTGCGACGGAGCCGCTGGCGGGACCCCCTGCAAGGAGCCCGTTCGTGGCGAACCCTCGCGGGGAGCCGGTTCTCCCTCCTGTTCCTGGGCAGGCGCGACCCGCGTGCGCGGATGCTGTGGCGCTTGCACGGTTGTTTTTTTGTGTGTGTTTTGTTTGGCGCACGACCTTCTCGCTCGCTGGGTTCCCCGCTGCGCACCTGCAACCCGTTGGTGCCGGGAACTCCTCGTGCATTTATATTTATATTTTTTTGCAATAAGGAGAAGGGATTTTTTGGGGGGGTGCGGAGGCTGTTGTGCCTTAAAACTGATGGCCGAGCAACGGCTCAGGAGGCCGCTGCTTTTGGATTTTTGCATCAGCCACAAGAGCGCAGGACATCTCGTGCAGGAGGCGGGTAATAACGCTGACACACGTGCGCACACTCGCGCTTCTTAAGCACCTCATCAATAGGAAGCGATATTGTTCCCCGTGTTCATATCCCAGGCTTTATCCAAGCAACGGAGGGTTTTTTTTGCAGAGGTAGAATTCACCTCTACTTCCTTAATTCATATACCCTGGTGAGGCATCAGAGGTTGTCAAGGCTAGGGCTGCTTCAGCAATGTTAGATTTCTACATGGGAGTAGAGTTTCCATGCAGGAATTAATATGACGATTAGAACATGGGATGCCATGTGTTGGGTTTTGGTGGGTGTGTAAAGGAGTGGGGCTTGTCACAGAAAGAGCCATATGTGTGACAGGTTGCTCTCCTTTATGTTTGAAATGGCATCCTGGACTTATTTCCTCTCAAATTGCGATGCCCACTTTTGCCACAGAGTTCTTGTCTGATTCTGTAGTGTCAAATGCCAAACACAGCAACTTCTAAATATTTTTAATTATCTTTGCATATACTTGTTCCTTGTTCCTCCCTTTTCTCTCATTCTTCTTCATTCCCTTTCCCTCACCTCCTGAAATTTGCAACAGAATTTAGGTTGTGAGCTTGTTAGGGCAATTTTGCTTATGACACCAAACAGTATGCATGTTGGTGGTGATGTGTAAGTTAAAATTTTTGAACATTATAATCTTTATGCAGGTTTTATATTAATCCTTACACAGCAACAGAATTTAGCAAAACACTTAATGAGTTCTTGCACAGAACTATAAAGGGTGTTACTTAATGTTGTTTAAGGATCTCAACAACTTGCAGCTGAACATAAACACACAGCTGGTCTAATAAAATAAAAGCAATTGCCCTTTTACATAAAGATTTAAGAACCTTTCCAATAAAATAGTTTGCTGGTAGTATTAGCCTATACCTGGGCCATTGAGACCCTCAAACCTTTTATGTTGTTCCCACCCTGAACCAGTGCTAGAAACAGATATGAAATCTAGGAGCTAAATGACACCTTAAACAGAGGTTATGGGCGCAGCAACAGAATGTCTAGGTGTGCTTTTTAATAACAAGAATACAAAGCTGAAAACGAATAAACTGCAGCTTAAATATTACAGTATGTCCATTTTTCACATGGTCTAGTCCTTCCCCTGCCCGCCCGCCCCTTATATTCTTAAGAGGGTCTCTTCTCCAGTCTTCAGAGAGTAGCTGGAAGTGGGGAGGCAGAAAAAGGTCCTCCTTTCCTTCCACGCTACAGTTTTAATCTGAAATCTTAGGCTCAGTACTGTGCCCAGAGCTCAGAAACTGCCGGCCATAATGAAATTCCCTTCACAAAATGCACCTAGAACAAGGGGAGTTTTGAATACTGCCCCGAACAAATGCATAGGAAGACAAGCTACCATAAAGAATGCTGTCCAAACGAAGTGAGATTTTTCAGTTGAGGGCAGAGGGATTTCTGGACATGAGATGCTAGTCATCCACGCTATGGAAGAGCGAAGGAAGAGGTAGGTCTCAAGCTGGCACTACAAGGTAGTGATTTATTTTGTGAAGGTTGCTTAATACTTCACAACCATAGGTCCTCCTCAGGGAGAAAAGTGTCTTCAATCTATCCTGTTCCACAGTAAAAATATCCTCAATGTACACGGAAGTACCTTTGGTTGAAATGTGTTAGGCATTTTTCACAAAGCAAATTACTACCTTCTAGACCTAACTTGTGTTTCACCTTGCCCTTTGCTCCTTAGGTTATTGTGGTATCATTTTCTCTCTGCACACGATGTATATTTGCCATTTTGTGTGCTGCTAATATTTACTTCTCTGTGTAAAACATTGTAGATAGTTATTTGATTACTTAACGTAGGCATGCATAGCCATTCAGTGTCATAGGTGCACTACTACGGTAATGCTAACTTACACAGTTACAGTGGAACCTCGGTTTTCGAACATAATCCGTTCCAGAAGCCCGTTTGACTTACAAAACGTTCGAAAACCGAAGCCATTCAGTTTCTGAGGCGCGTTCGAAAATGGAAGCATTCACTTCTGTGTTTTCAGTGATCAGCTTCCGAATTGTTTGGCAGCCTAGACGTTTGAAAACCGAGGTTTGACTGTACTCTAGATTCACCCCTGTATGTCAAGCGTTAGATGTTTCAGCTGGCAATTTACTGTTTTGTTACGTTTAAGAGTAGCGCTTTGAAGGATTCAAAGTTATTTTAAAATTTTATTTCTTATGCTTTGATAATTATAATTCTGTGTGCACCAGTATTTAGGAGTTTTGAGACCACAGAGATTAGCTGGATTTGGATGCTACGGTGATTTCATAAGTTGGATGGCAGTGGACACTTGTCCTGTAAATAAACTGCTTCACTGTGAATCACTGAACATTGGAATTTGATCCAGGCATCCATTGCTTATAGGGGAATGTATATAATGTGCTCACACATGATTTCTGAAGATGTCCCTATATAAAGATTGCTCAGTCAAACAAGTGAACCCTTGACTGCAAAAAGTAGCATGTGGATCTGCCCTCGCTTTGCAAGCCTGGACAATTGCTTAACTGCTGTAGATCAGTATCTTGCTGTGCAAGGTTTTTTTTTTTTTATGTGAATAGGTTTAGGTGCAAAGGCTCTTATACTAGTGTTGTTTTGTGGATCAAGATGTTGCAGTAGTGTAGCAAATTTCCCCAGCTGTTGGCACCAGCACAACAGTTCAAGACACCACACAAGGTTTTTTTGCATGAATGAGATGTGAATTGAATGTGGTTACGTCGTTTGATAGTGGGGTTGGCAACAGGAAGTGGAAATTTATTCATACCATTTGTGGTACAGGAAAATGAAACACCATACACTATTGTAATCATATATTGTTTAACAACAACAACACCCCCCCCATCTGGGCGGCTTACAGCACATATAAAAACATAACAAATAGTCAAAAATTAAAACTTCCTGCCATGATATTGCAAGAGTTGCACCCAGTGCTAGTCCTACACAAAGTAGACACATTGACGTTAATAGCCATGACTAACTTAGTTGCATTAATTTTAGTGGGTCTACTCTGTGTAGGACTAGCATTGGCTACAACCCTAAATCCAAAACATGATTGCCAACCGAGGCCTGCAATTTGTGCAAGCCAGAGAATACTAGCAAGGAACATCATGTTTTTAATCAACCTTTTAAAACAGCAGTAGTTTACTCCAGCAGTAAAGTCTTTTGGTTCTGTACTGTTCGTGCTGTTCTTCTCCACTTTGTCCCCATGCTGAGAACTAAAGTAGTGTCACAGTCCTTTTAATGAGCAAAGGGTTGCGGGAAGAAGCGTTCTGGGGGACACTCTCCAACTGTTTCTACTCAAGAGAATAGAAGTGGTTAATTCACCCTAGTTCCCTTAAACCTTCCAAGGTCAAACAGTACTAAACCACTACTGGCCATGTGTGAATCGTCTGATGGTAGGAGTACACCCAGTAGTTAAACCAGTGGTGAACTGTCTGTGAACACACCCTATCAAGTTTTCCCTGCTACAAATGCTGATGCAGCAACAGCCATTTTTTGCAGGCATCCATAGAATGTGGCTGCCTGAAATTCTCGCTTAGGTGTAGGGAGGGTGCTTTACTTTTAACCTCCCTGCCTTCCCCAACAATCTCATGTCTTAAGGTATTCAGACGAGGCCTTGCTTTGCTTTAACTGATTGGTAGATGTTCAGAAGATGGCTGGTGGGCCTCCAGCCTTTTCCATAATGGCATCCCTGTCTCTGTGTCTCCCTGTCAAAAGAAGCCGCCTAGGAAACTCCCTCCTGATCATTAGATGATCAGCCATATCTTTGTTGCAGAGGAAGGCTGAAGGCTCTCTGAGAGCGAGGAAGACTGGTTTCTTGGGCATTTTTTGTGTGATGGATTTTACCTGTGCTTGCTTAATAGGTACTGTTTATCTTTTGTATCTTTTGTATTGTTTATCTTTTGTGTGTCTGTCGTTGCATGGTAATATTGAGTCATGCATATTTTTTTGCTTGTTTCAAAGCATCTTTGATCAATGTGTTTCTCTCTGTCTCTCTCTTCTGAAATAAATAAATGGTTCAATAAACCTATCTTCTGGATTAACCCACAGGTTGAAATTAGAGGAGGAGAAGCAGCAATACTGTGGCAGCTGTGCTAGGAGGACCTTGGCATCCTATCCCCATCCTGAAGGGAGATTTAGGTTTGGGGTGACTCATCCACAAGAGCAGCACAGCCTGTAGCTTTCATCAGCTTTTGACAGGGCTGGGGAAATTTTCTGTACGCAAATTCTGGGCACTCCCGACTCCAGAAAGATGTCGTCAAAGTGGAAGGTATTGGACGGGACCAACGCAGAAACAATTTACTGAAAAATCTTTGTAGTCGTAAAATTCTTTCCTGGGCAAGAGAGAGAGAGAAAAGCATAAGGACTTGGCGTAAATCTACGTATTGAGGACTGTCAGACTAACGCGATGGCTCAGGTAACAGGCCGGTTTTCCCATCCTGTCCCAACAGGAATTCATCATTACAGCAGGTGGCTGCAAAGTGCCCTCGGTGATAATCCGTTCTCCGAAACCTAAAAGCAGCTGAGCTCTCAGTGGTCTGCTCCAGTGACTAGCATGCATTCCCAAGCCTTCAGTGCTGGACCCTCCCTAGTCAAGGTGCTTAGTGGCCAGGCCATCCTGGTCCTTTCCTCTCAGCTGTGCTTGGGGTGTGGATCAGGAGAGAAGTGGCTTCCTCTTTTGTCCAGCTTCAGTGAGGGCTTTGAGCCTTATATAACATTTGAAGGGGGTGGGGAGAGGAGAGGATGTGGAGGCGATTCTGCAAAGGCTGCTTAGGAGTTCTTTTTGCCCTCACCTTGCCCTATCCAGTATTCCAAGCGTGGCGGGGCACTGGCATGGCACAGGGGGAGGCGTGGGAGCTGGTTGTCGTGCCACGTTACTGTGCAGAGGCTCCTGTAGGCCACCTGCAGTGGGTCCTCAGTTGTAAGAGTAACAGGAGATTACATGCATAGTCACCTGAACCGTGATGTTCAGAAGCAGTATCGGTGCTCACTGAAACTGCTTGGCCTCTGTCTTAGTTCATATGAAGGAAATTGCTACACATACACACACGCGCGCACACCAGCAAGCTGTCGAGCATTGTTTTTAAAAGGACCAAGTAAAGGCGAGCTCACAAGGAGCCTTGAAAGCATGCAGATACACATGTATGCTTTCTTTACTGTTTTTCAATCCCTCTCCATCCCTTGGGAGTTTGATTTCCAACAACCACCCGGTGTATAGCCTTGAGAGAGTGTCCGCCTTAAGGTCGCCCCTAGAGCTTCATGACTGTGCAGGGATTAGAAAATTGGAATGCCTGGTTCTTGTACAACACTCTGTTCACTATGCTACACTGTCTTGTTCTCTCATTTTGGGCTAGCTACCGTGAATTCTAATCTAGTGTCAACGGGTTTACTTCTGTAGCCACAAATTTGGTTGAATAATTTGATTTTCCCCTTTTCCCACACTCGCCCACCCCATCAACTATCACTATGTCCTAGAATCCCACAGCTCTAAGGAAGAGGGTGCTATAAAAGTCTTATCAGGGCGGCCCAACTTTTCATACTGAGTGGGGATGCAAGAGTACTTTGACACGGAACTTGCAGGCCTTATGCTACCATGTCATGTGTGCGGGGAGGGGGGGAGAGGAGCAAGCCCAAAATTTGACACCCATCCCCAGCCCTCACTCGGCCTTCCCAAAACTTGACTACTAAGCAAGGTGATGGACTTTGGGAAAGAGACCCAAGACTCTACCAGGAGCCCTTTCGCCTCCTTCTCAAAGCTGGGAAAGTGCTAACTGGGCTGGAGGAAGGAGGACTCTAGGACCCTGTCAGAGCCCTCATGTCTCTTTCCCAAAGCTCAGTACCTCATTTACTTGGCATGGGGAAGGCAGTGCAAGGGCTGGAGGTGGAATCAAATGTTACTGGGGGCCACCAAAAAAGGCATTGAGGGCCGCATGCAGTTTTGATGCAATACTGACTGATAAAATGTCCTTGGAAGTTTGTCAGGCTCGGGTCTCATCTTTGTGATATCATGGAGATGCAGTTTCCACCATTTCCGGCCACTTCCCTATGCACATTTTAAATATGAAATAAGGAAACGTGGGCAAGAAGCAGCACTCAGATCATGGATGGGGGACCTGTTGGACTCCAGCTCCCCTTAAGCCAGCCAGCATGGTCTGTAGTCATGGGTGGGAGCTGTAATCCAGCCACTTCTGGAGAACCACAAGTTCCCCATCCCTGCCCTGAGTCTCCCTCTTAGGCTTGGAAGCAAAACCAAAGTGCTTCAACCTGAGCTACCTGTCTTTAGCTTACTTCCCAACTCAGGAATGCAGACTGACATAAGTCTTTTTTAAATAAAAAACAACAACCAAGCAATTGTGGTCTAGATGTCAGACAGCGATAACCTTGCTGGCCTGCAGCTCTGTCCTTGTTAGTAACCCGCAAGACTCATCCCTACTTGGTACAGATTGTAAGCAGCCGCTTGACAGGTGTCCCAAGTTGAGCAAAAGTTGCCTCTAGTTCACCGGCCCTCAAAGGGTTTGGCAGGAGAAGATGGCAAGTGTGGTGGAAAGATTCAAGGACAATCAAACAAACATTTAAATATTTCAGTGTAGCATAGTATCAAAATAATACAGTAGTGGGGTAGGAGAGCTGAAAATAATGCCAATATATTTCGCATCTAGCAACCAATGCTTGATCCTGACCACACTAAGCCTTCTGATGTATATTGTACTCTCGGAGGCTTAGTTTGGTTAGAATCGAGTACAGTCGTACCTCCGTTTACGTAACCCTCCAGTTACGTAAACTTTGGGATGCGTACGCGGCAAACCCGGAAGTATTTTACCGGGTTTCGCTGTGCACACATGCGCAGAAGCGGTCTGCGCATGCACAGACTGGGTCCTCAGGTTGCAGAAACCTCAGGATCTGACCAGACCTCTGGAATGGATCCCGTCCGCAACCGGAGGTACCAGTGTATACACTTCCAGAGTTAATGCTAAATACTTTACTTCCAGTAAATGAGCCACCATAGCCACTAGAGGGCCGTGAAAATTTGTGTCCTGGGCTTTTTAGACACGTCTACCCATCTGAAACTGAAGGGGCTCATTGGTTGCCAGACATGAAAAATTTTCAGCTCTCCCTTTTGTTTTCCAGTGCACTTCTTATCAACTAAAATTTTTCTGTGGGGTGAGCAAATTTTGATTCTGAAAGTGTGGCCCACTGCTCTAGGTGGAAAAGCAAAGGGGGTTCTACAAAAGCCAGTCATTTTGGAGAGAGAGCGTTTGTGTTTGTCACTGGTCTCCTGGGGCATCTAATAGTCTCTGAGAGCCAGCAAAGACAATGAGCTGAGTTGCTTTAGGTTTTATGATTCAAGGAGCTCAGCAAAGTAACCTCGCTCTACTGTCTTAGCTGGAGACCTGCTATTCTTTCAGTGCCAGTAGAATCATAGAAATGTTTGCGTTGGAAAGGGACGCCCGAGGGTCACCTAGTCCAACCCCTGCAATGCAGGAAACACTGCTAAAGCATCCATGACAGATGGCCATTCCTCCATATCCTTTGCTGGTTAGCAGACACATACACCGCCAGTGCAGGGCATCATAGTCCCATGTCAAATTGTGGCCCACAGTTTAGAACAGGAGCGACATTTTTCAGCCCAAGGCCTGCATTCTTATCTGGACAGGGCCGAAGACCAAAGTGGGTGGAGCAACACATGCAGGTTTTTTTTTTACCATTGCACAGCAGGCTGGTGCGTGTACACACATCTGTTCCCCTGTATCTTACATCCAGGCAAGCAGGAGTCATTCACTGACACATTCCTGTGGTGCAAAAGCAAGGGGGTTGGGGAATGAAGTAAGGCTGATGAAGAGTGTGGCCTAGGGGGAAGGGTGTGTAGCCAAGGAGGAGATGCGGGCTGGGGAGAGTCCTGAGCGCCCGAAAGGCCAAGGGGGCTGTATTTGGGTCGGAGGTTTCCCACCCTTTGCTTAGAAGCTGCAACACGTTCTCGCTTTGGGCTGGCCCGCCTTGTCTGGTACTTAGCTCTCCGCTTTCGTTTCCCCGCAGGCGAGTCTCCTGGCCTGCGAGGGACTCTCTGGGGTTTGCCTGGTGCCGACGGTTGCCAGCAAGAAGATGATGCCGAAGCAAAGCCCTAAGCAGGTGGAGAATGGAGAAAGGGGTGCTCCAAACATGCTGGTACGGGGCCAGCCCACTTTCAGCTTGTCTGCGCAGCTGGTCCCTGTGTGCTCCCCTGTGCCCCTTTCCAGCCGTGTCAGTGGGTGACGAATAGAAAAAAGCTCGGATAGGGAACGTGGCATTTAGGGCCCTGGGTTGAGCTGCTGTTGTTTTGGTGACCTGTGTTGTCCCGCTTCCTCTCTGCCAGGGACATCACCGCAAGGAAAGTGAGAAGTCGCGCAGCCGAAAGGAAGAGGAAGCGACAGAAGGGTCTCAACCCAAAAAGTCTCATAAAAAGGCAGGTAATCTTAAGTCGTACGGGCTAGCAAAAGGTCTAGCCCTCCTCAGTAGGATCTCCCTGCTGCTGGCAAAGATGCGGAGCAGTATACTTGTCAGATTCTGGTGGAGGCTGGAGGGCCACCTCCCTCAGCTGAAAGTGGCTGGTTATTTTTAGAAATTCCTCCCCTGCCTTTCAGCCCCCAAGGTGGCTTCCGGATTAAAAACACTAACTATAGTAATAGAGAGAGAGAAAAAAACAATTCCATTGATCAAATCATTAAAAGTGTAGCAGGAAGGAGGCATAAAATAACTGGTGACTTTAAAAACGCAGTGACATAGCAGGCGGATAAATCACATTGAAACAGTGGAAAGAAGTGTTCGTCCTAGAAGCTAAGAAAGGGAATCATAGGAATGACTTTCAGGAGGGACCATATAACACCAGTCCTAAAAGATCTACATTGGCTGCTATTATGTTTCCAGGCACAATTCAAAGTGTTGGTGCTGACCTTTAAAGCCCTAAACAGCCTGGGCCCTGTACACCTGAAGGAGCCCATCATTCAGCCTGGAGGTCCAGCTCCAAGGGCCTTCTGGCAGTTCCCTCACAGCAAGCAGTGAAGTTAAGAGGGAACCAGGGAGAGGGCCTTTTCAGTAGTCACGCCTGCCCTGTGGAACACCCTCCCATCAGATTTCAAGGGGAAGAAATCGTTTTCAATACTTTGAACTCATTGGCAGTAATCTCAGTTCTGGGACTGGACAGCCAACATAAGTCACGAGAGTCTGTGTACTGATATATTGCTCAGCCCTAGTTATTAACTGGGAGCCTTCGGAGTTTAAACTGAGGCTGGGAGAGAAACCCTTGAGGTAAGGATTCCCCCCACCCGTGCATCTGGCTCTTGAGTGAAGGACGCACGTGCAGGAAGTGTGTCACTGAGACTGGACTGCCAGCAGACTCCATATGTAGCAGCAGAATTGTAGTAGCAGTACAAAGGGAGGGGAAGGAGGCTTGGCAGGCCGGTGAGACCGCCACGTGGTCTGCTTTAAAAATCTTTAAAAATAAAATTTTCTTAGAGCTTTTTCATAATACAATAAGAGAAACTAATCTAAATAAAAACAAAAATGAAGAAAGAAAAAAGAAAGCACCAAGGGAAAACAAACAAAAAAGAGAAAAAGGATTTTTGCTTTTCCTCCTGTCAATTACATAAAAGAAATTACATAAAAGAAATTATTCAAAATAATCACTCTAGAATGACACCCAACTGATCAGCTTTCTGTTAGGCAATATTTCCCCTTCCTTCTGACCCAAATGGATTAATTCGTTTTCCCTTTTTTACACAAAAAGTCCAGAAGGTTGTTTTTTATTATTATTATTATTATTAAATGTCAGCAATAGTTTTTCTCTTATTAAACGTATCAAGTTTGTTTCCAGTAAGTTCAACAACCATTCCTCCATATTAAACAATAATGTATTTCCATCTTTGTCCACTCAATAGTCTCTCTGCTGCCATCATATATTAAAATGATATTCTGTAGTTATTTACTTACTAGGTATTAATTAGTTCACACCCAGTTCCATATCTTCCGTTCCTGTTACCTCTTGTATTTGCTCTGGTTTTCCATCTTGATTTTGAAAAAGTCATGCCTTCCATTTTTGCTTCTTCCATTCTTTTTCCAGGAAAAGCCCCAGAAGTTTGATAGCTTTCCCCTCTAAATCCGCTCCAAGGCAGTTATTAAATGACAGGGGTAGGTAGGCAAATTACAGGTTAGCTGAGAAGGTAGCAGTAACTGTATGTGCCTTGGTTGCAGGTCATGGTGATTGAGCAGAACGGGTCGTTCCAGCTCCGAATCCCCAAGAACTTTATTTGCGAACACTGCTATGGTGCATTCCGGAGCAGCTACCATCTCAAGAGGCACATCCTCATCCATACAGGTAAGCGGTCCCAGAGTCCTCTGGTACGTGGTGATGCCTGAGAACATTGTGGGAAGCAAGTAACTTCCTTGCCAGCACTGGGCTCGCGAATTAAGCTTTTGCTTCTTGCAGCGAGACTGCCGGCTGGTAGCTTCCGCTAAGGAAGCTTGCTTATAAAGTTATCATTTCATTCATTTATTAGATATATTAGTTGCTTGCCAACCCAAGAGACTTACAGCAAAAAAAATGCACCTTTTTAATACAGTGGTACCTCGGTTTAAGAACAGTCCTGTTTATGAACAATTCTGTTTATGAACTCCGCAAAACCGGAAGTAGTGTCCTGGTTTGCGAACTTTACCTCAGTCTAAGAACGGAATCCAAACAGTGGAAGGGCACCAGCGGCGGGAGGCCTCATTAGGGAAAGTGTGCCTTGGTTTAAGAACAGTTTTGGTTTAAGAACGGACTTCTGGAACAGATTACGTTCGTAAACCGAGGTACCACCGCGGTACTGAGTACTCATATTACCATACTTAGATTACCATAGGTACTTATACTTATATTACCATAAGTGAAAAAGGGAGGGGAATCATAGCACATTAAAATTTTGTACAACAGAACATTCATACATTCATTCATTCACTCAATAAATAAATACACACACACACACAAATGATGATGATGGTGATGATGATAATGTTAATAATAATAACAATAACAAACAACAACAATAATAAACCATACTCAACAAAACAATACTCAGACCCATTAATTAACAAATTAACACAAATAAATAAAACCTCTATCTCCCCTTAGTCCAAAAATCGTTCACATCAAACCAACAATTTCCCCCCTTTAACCTCCCTACCCCACCCAGAAATCTGGTGTCAAGCGTAGTTATTGCAGATCAGCGGTGGGCGGTGTCAGGGTTTCAACTTTGCGATGTATTACCAGCCCAAACATCATGGTGTTGAAAGGGAGGGACAAACTGCATTGGCGCCAGAGTGAAACTGCTCCGTTCCCACTGAGGGAGCTGAGGCGGTTTCACCCTGGCACCCAACAGCAGGAACAAGCTGCCTCGTCCCTGGCGCCAGGAGGAAGAGGCATCCTGCCCACCCATGCAAAGGCAGCGGCAGGGGCAGAAAAAGCCCTGCGGACAGAGCCTGTCAGACTCCATCCACAGGGCTCCCTCTCGGCCTTCGCACAGGCAGGCAGCTTCTCTAAAGTGCTCCGCTGGGGAGTGCATGGCTGCCCAAACCTCAGCAGAGCAGTTTAATAAAGCCCCTACCCCACTTCTAGCTCCAGAGGAGGGCTCTGGGAGCATCCCAGGGACTGGTAAGTGAGGCGGAGGGTGTTGTGGTTCTGGAGAGTCAAGAGTTAACACTCCAGAAGCGTTCTGATTCACTGGGTGCATTGCCCACATGACCGGGGCATTTTCCTTTGATCTGTGCTCTGTGGGGGCTGAGCTGTTTCTGGAGAGCAGTCTGTCTGAGAATATGAGCAAGGTAGTTTCGTTTTTGTTACAGGCAGAAAGCTGCAAGCATGCAGCTAGATTCTGTAGGTTTTTCTTTCTGTTTGTTATGCTTCTAAATAAAGAGTGTTAGAATAGAAGCACTGGTGTTGAGCTGAGTTACTGAAGACACCACGTCGACACAGACAAGCCATTTTACACTGTGTGTGAACTCTGCTATTATCCGGCAACTGAGAAGAGCGGCAGTGTGTGAGTGGAAGCGTGTGGGCGCCGTTGAAGTTTGTCGGAGTGACAGTAAATCAGATTTATTGCAGAGCCGTTGCAGCAGACTCAGTGGGTCAAAGGATTTACGACCCACAAACTTTAACAGAGGGCAAGGCGCACTCCAGCTAGGTTGGGATGGCCATGGTGCTCCTTTAATCACTGGGGCTTAAAAGGTGTGGGAGCCATGAGAAAGGCGCCAAAGTTGCTTCCCACCCCAAAAGCACGTGTTTTCTCCTTTCTGCAGGTGAGAAGCCATTTGAGTGTGATGTGTGTGACATGCGCTTCATCCAGAAATACCACCTGGAGCGCCACAAGCGTGTGCACAGTGGGGAGAAGCCGTACCAGTGTGAGCGCTGCCTGCAGGTAATGTCTCCCTCGTCACTTTCTGTGTAGGGTGGGAAATGTTAGCACCCCCACCTGATGTTTGAGAGACCTCCTTGTACCAAGGGAAGGGAGGCATTGCTTCCTGCCGCCTCCTAAAAGATCTCTTGGGTGGGATTCTAGATTGAGAGGGTGCAAAAAAGTGCTAGGCTGTAACTGGCAGCTCTCCCCAGCAAGGGAGAGAATATCCAGATAATTATGGATCATCGTGGCAGCAGGAAGTTACTCTAAGCTGTTCAGAAGTCTCTTTTGATTGACAGTCCGTGCATTCCTGAGCTTTATGGTGCACAACTTAATTGCTTTTGGAGCTACGTGTATCCTGCATATCCATGGAATTCTTGAGTAAGCAGAAAATATCTAACCTGTCATAGAATTCTGAGAAGTTATCATTTTAGGACTTACTTTAAAACAATGTTCTAAGCCACAGAGTAAATGTATGGATAACAGTTTTTTCAGAAGCTTGGGGAGGGACTAAGTGGGGTTTCAAATAATTGGACAGAAGGGCATTAATCAGGCTATGTGCACTTTTTATATAATTTTTAAAAATCAGTTTTGCACCAAAAGTAGCTGTACTTTGCAAATTGCAAACCATTCCTGCCAATCAAAATGCGCCATATTCTGCTTATTTACATATTTTGTTCTGATAGTTATGGGGAGGATGTAAAGGGCTTCCCAAAGCATTGCACATACACATTTAAATCTTTCTTGATAATCACAGGGGCTAGAAACTTGCATTTCCCTGCTAAGGAAGCAGGATTCTGTGCTCAGTACATCATCCTATGGATTTTTGGTATTTGTGTGGAAGTGCAGAATACATGCAGTCTTGACTTTAGGACTCTAGATGGCGCCTTTTGCCCTTCCTGTGGCTGATTCTCTCTGTCTGTACAGCTCACCTCTGTTTTTGTGTGCACCAGTACATGGCCTTGCTGATACTGTATAATTGGAGTTTATGTCGCAGTACAGATACATTTAGCTGTGATTTGGTTTTTTTTAAAACTCTAGTTAAAGTTTCAAACATACAGTGAAACCATAGTTCAGCCAAGCTCTGCTCATAGAGGACGTACTTAGTTAGGAACTAGTAAAACTGGGCTATCACCTTTCCAGCAGTAAGAGATTTGGAAAAGACAGCAAATAACCATTGTTTACACTGTCCAAATGTAATGCTTTACACAAACCCTGGTTTGCAACCCATTTCAAACCGTGATTTCACATTCTAGTTTGCAGCTTAGTATATTACTATTTCTATACTGCCCTTCATCCAAACCTCACAGGGCAGTATAGAAAATGCCAAAATATATATCATAATAACAAATAAAAACAATAAACCCCCATGTATCTATACCGGATTGTGCTTTTGGCTGTGAAGCCTCTGGTTACACTTGCATGACATGGAATTTTCAGTACAGTACTGTGAAATGTTTGCAAACCTGCTTACAAGGGGGAAGGGAGAATAGTCATTGCAGCTGCAATCCAAATCTTTTGTAGGGCAGTCTGAGGACCCAGAAGAGGTCCCAGGGGAGAGAGAAACGAAGAGTCGGGGACTGAAGAGGCAAGGAGGAATGATACAGAGTAGGCAACAGGCTGAGAAAACAAGAACCCAGAGGGAGTGTAGGTAGGGAATGAGGCTTGAGGAGACAAGGAACTAAGGCAAGAAGTGGCTTTGAATCAGTGCTTACAATGATGAGGGGCTCTGTGGGAAGGGAGAGAGAAGGGCTGCAGAGCTGTTCCAAGAGATCTGAGTAGCTAAAGGAAGTGAGAGGCCGAAAAGCAGGGAACTGGAAGAAAGAATTGGTGTTGGAGACATAGTTAAAGGAAGGAAGACCCAAGAAGAAAGTGGCTCTGAGGCAAAGCTGCAGGTAGGATCTAGGGCAGCCTTTCTCAGCCTTGTTTCTGCATATGTTGTTGGACCTACAACTTCCATCATCCCTTACCACTGGTCCTGCCAGCTAGGAATGGTGGGAGTTGTAGTCTTAACATCTGGGGACGCAGGGTTGAGAAAGGAGGATCTAGGGGTGGGAGGAGAGCTGGGTGTGCCCTGGACAAGTAGGCAAAGAAGAGAGGAAGCCAGAATTGGAAGGAGTTCCCTTTTGCCTTTCTGGCTTTCTCTCTTTTGTTGGAGAAAGCCTGAAACGGTTAAAGGAGTTTCTCCCAACTCTGGCTTCTTCTGCTGCTGCTACAGAATTATGATCTGGCAACCTTAAGGCTGAGAAGCCGGAGGTGGGTGGCAAAATTTCACACCTTGGTTTGAATTAACCAGCCAGTTCTTGTGGTTTCAGGCTTATTCTCCAAATGCAACACTTTTTTCCATGCTTAAGTGTTTCCTCCCACTTAGTACTGAGCCTTTAACTTTCCCTCTGACCCTACATGAGCCTCTCCCTGCCTCACTTTCTTCCATGTGCCACTCGTGAGATGTTTCCTCTCTTCTCCTTTGTTCCTTTCAGAGCTTCTCCAGGACAGACCGGCTGCTGAGACACAAACGAATGTGTCAGGGTTGCCCGAGCAAAGCATCTGACTCACAGCTGCTGCTTTAGGGGTAGGCCAGGAGGAAGGGGAAACTAGGAGGAGCTGCAAAGCAAACAGGATTATCTGTGGGTTATTTTGTTCATTTGTTGGGGTGGGGTGGGGTTGTGCTTGTGTTTGCCTGCTGGGCCTCCCCCTATGGAAGGGGGCAGTGCTGAGTGGGGGCACAGACTTTCAGACAAGGTCTTGGCACTGTAAATAAGTTGAGGACAAACCAGGGCTGGCTTCCCAGCCCCTTGTGGTTGTGGATAAACTTTGTCTGAGTTCCTGTTTTTTGTTGGAGTTATCACCATTTGCCTCAGGAAAGGCTTTGTGAGAACGGCTGAACCCTCCTGCAAGACCTGATTATGATGTTCGATGCTCTCGATTGACAAATCTGCCAGCTCTTGCCCAGCCTATTGGGCCTGCCAAGATGGGAGAAGGACAGACTACTAATCATTTTTTAAAATTATTATTATTATTTTAAAAAGACAACAATCAAGTATCAAACTGTTTTCGCAGAGCTGAGAAGCAAAAGCTGTGGATTTAAGAGACAGGTTAGCAACAGAAGGGTTTTGATTCCAAGGGGTCGCATCAGAGCTTTGCCATAACAGGAGCCTGTCTCTTTGGAGCTTTTCCAGAAGGTCTACAGAGCTTTTTATTCTCCTGCGGGATCTGGATCCCTTTCTCAACCCTCAGGTTCCAAGAAACAAGGGCTGGTGGGGTGATGTGTGCTCCTGGGTACCATAAAGGCCCACCTTTCAGGTGTTCACTACCAGCGAGCTCCAAGAGGAGATGCTACTGACTGCTGGCTGGAGGGACATGACTGGCTACTTCCAGTGCTTCAGACCTTTTGCAGGAAACTTGGCTCTTGCTCCCCTTCCCTTGTATATATATATATCCTGTACGTGTTCAGGATCCACCCCATTGAACTCCGCTTCATGTACAATTCATATCTTTATCTGATGGGAATCCTTCCTCGCCCACCCCTCCAAAAAACCAACACCACCACAAGAGTCGGTGATAGTCCACGGTTTCAAAGTGTTCCTCTGGCAGGAGGGGACTATAATCCATCTTGGGTCGTGTGGAGGAAGATGACAAGCAGTGTACTCGAAGCTCACAACTAAACCAAGTCCAGGATGCCCTTATTCCTTCATACTGGTTTCTGCTGCCTCGGCCAAAGTACTGCTATCTGCTCTCTTAAGAAAGCCATTGTCCGAGAGAAGCAAAGTCTCCAGTTGCTCTTGGCTGTCCCAGTTTTTGCAGGCCTTAAGAGTCAGCCCGGTTCAGAAGATGTGATCCTGGCTGGTGCTGTTGTCGCTGCTGGGTTGCAACAAACAGCAGCAAGTCTGCAAGGAAAGCAGGTGCCTGCAAAATCGTGCCATCGGTTTTGGTTCTCACAGGGGGTTTGTGACTGCGTTGGGGTGTGGGGAGAGACAAAGAACAGCCAGTTCAGAACTCTTCCATTGGAACCCCTGTCTTCTGAATGGGCACCCATATCTGAAATCCTCCTGTGTCTTTTGTGCGATAAACTCTTGTCCTACCCTTCCCCCCATTCTAGAGTTAACCTCTCCCAGGCTTCTGCAGGCTTCCATTGGGTCCCACTTCCCACTCATCCCTCGCTGCAAGCCAGCTTCTGAGACATGCATCAGTAGAGGACTGGCTTCCTCCATGAGGTCATGTTGCAGAGAGAGAGAGCAAGCACTTTTGAAAGTTTAAATGACGTGCCGATGCAACTGGAAAGGTTTGTAAATAGAGGTGGAATACTTTAGATCAAGAAGGATTTCTCCAACAGTACAGCAATGCTCTAGTAGTAAGTGCTGCGTGCTAGAAGCTCAAAAACACTTGTAAACTTGGAGAAATCACCTGGTTGGTTTCTTTTTAAATGTTCTCTGTCATTTCCCAAGTGGCTGTCTAAAAGGCAGTGTATGTTCTTAGACTCCCTCATCCTCTAGCAGTCAGCCTGAACTGGAGCGCCCAATGGGAGAGTTTTGTGTGCTATGTAGTTTGTTAACGCTGTGCTTGAAGGCACTGCATTGCAGCACCTACCCAGGAGTAGGCTGTCTTTTAAGTAGTGGAACAAAAAGCACTGTTGGAAAGGACTTCCACCACCATTTGTTCTGTGCTTCTACAGAGCAGGTCATAAGTCCAGCTTTCCTGGTGCAAGATGAGGATTATGCCAAATCATAATGGTGCTTCCAAGACTTACTGGTTACTTCGGCTCTTGGAGCAGAGATGGAAAGGGAGCTTTCCCCCCTCTTGTGTGTATTAGGCGAACCAGTGTTTCATTCCCACTTCCTTTCATTAGGTAAATTGACACCCCACCCCCCAAAGCTATAATTAGTTCAGCCCCATTTTACTCTGCACTTCATTGTGCTGAATGATTTGTTAAGTGTAACTCTGGGTACTGTGGCCTGTTGTTTTGGTGGGGGCCAGCAAAAAGCATTGTACAAAAACGTTGACTCTCTTAGAAAAGAATAACAATTGAGTGAGTGCGTGGCTTTGTGATTTCACTTTCCACAGAAGCAGTTATGGGATTGTGCATTAGAAAATGCATGTGGAAATACAATAAGTTGGGATTCTCTCCTGGCGTCCTCCTCTCTTGTGCCACAATTCTAGGGCAAGAAGCACTAAATGTTTTTAAAAAGGAAAAATCTTGCTCTAGCAGGAAACGCCTTTTCGTTGAACACTAGGCATTGCTGTTCTGCTCTCTTCCGGTTAATCCTCTGGCATTAATCCTTCAGTAATTCAGTAATGCCATGGCATTGCAAAAGCGTACTCAGTGTTGCGGCTTATTTCCCCATTCAGCAGACTGAAAATCCTCTGGTTCTCTTGAACAGACTTGATGCCAGACCCCTTTGTGTGCCAAACAGGGCAATGACCCATCATTGCTTCGATCCCTCTGAAGCGCGTGTGGCTTTTTACAGCACAAAGCTATTTGAGGCTTGGCAGGCTAGCGTGCCACCAAATGAGCACTCTTCAGCCTGCTTGTTAACACTTGGCCAGTGCAGCCAGCCATTGGGTTAGCTATGAGTCCAGCTCTTCGTTGAGCTAGCTAACAAAGGGAAATGCTTGTTTCTGCTCAGGCAGATACATGGTGAAGTGCAGATTTGGAAATGGCTTGCGTGAGCCACTGAGTGGCACATGATCTTTGCTGTTGGGGTTTCTCTCAGAACCTGGCGAGAAAAAAGGAGGGTGCTGCTGGTGGTGTTAAAGGCAACATAGCTAGCTGAGTGAGTGGGAAGGAGGGTGTTTCTACTTCCCATTGCAGCCATCTTCCTTGTACAGTTGACGCATGGCTTAGCTTGTGGCTTATCCACTAGTGCAAGTCACACATCAGTGTACAGAAGTGCGGCCAGCTTGGCTCTGAAGATTAATTTGTTTGCAGGGCGAGCTTGCTTGTCTTTGTAAAAGTATCCGCTGTGTTCCTCAAGTATCCTCTAAGGACAACCCTTAGGGGAGAGATTTGCAGAACTTTCAGATGCCTTCGAGGAACAAAATGCTTTGGGAAGTCCTGGGAAATGGGCTGTCGTGTTTTTATGGGACTGTAGGCAATCTCTCCTGAGGGAGTCAGAATTATATGGTAAGGAAAACCACGGTTAAAGCTTTTTTCTGAGCTCTACGACTAAAGTGTGCAACAAGTGATGTGCTTGTATGTCCCGTCCCCAGTAAAAGACAGAATGCCTGCACACAGCAAGTTACCATGTCAAAGAGAAAAAGTATGAATGTGTAAAACATGCAGCTTTCTCCTACCCTGCCTGAAATGGTATTATCCAGGAAGTGTTGCATCGCATGGCTATGCTAGTGTGTGCAACAGGCTTGGTTGTCGTCTTCTTGGAAGCGATACTTAAATGACACAAGAACCCTTCTCAAGTGAATTGATAGCAACACCCAGGATGAGTGAAGTCTTGCATTTTTTGTTGACGGAGGTGAAATTGACTAGGAACAGAAGTGAAACTTGACTGGGAAATGTCTGACTTCCACTGTTTCAAAAATGAAATGGTTTCAAAACAAATCTTGTTTGTTCACCGAGTAGCACAAAGAGGTGGTTGTGTTGAAAGAAAGTTTTAAACTTGGCAAGTGGTTCGGGAAAGCGACACGAACAAACGCAGTTGGCAGGGGTTTGCGTTGGTGCGGCTATAGCAGAGAACAAAGCAGATTTCAAGCAGGAGGAGGAGTTGTAGTGTGGAAGCAGGGCTCTGCATAAACTCTGAAATTTGTACGTTACATGCAAACTTGTCTCTAAACACAACCTCTGTTGGTGCAACATCTCCCCCTTTTGGATGTGGGGAAAAATCCAGTGTTTTTTGAGTGTGTGCCATGTTGCAGTGAACCAGTGCCCACAGCTCCTCTCCACACCGCCTCAAGATGTTATTTGTACGCACAACTTCAGTTCACCGATTGAAGCCTCCTAGCATTAACGTGCATTCGGGAAAACTTTTAGGAGATGCTTTTGCCCCTAACCTCTACCCGATACCTCTTCTTCCGTAGAAGTTGAGAAACTAGCATACCATCAGTGGGTGCGGCTTGAAAACTGTTGAAATTCTGGTTGTCTCGCTGGTGGCTTGTGCACAAAACTCACCAGCACAAAACGTTCTGTGTCATTTTTAATGTACCGTATTTTTCGCACAATAGGACGCACTTTGTTTTAGAGGGGGGAGAACAAGAAAAAATAATTCTCCCCCTCTCTGCCCAGCGCCCCTTCAGCGAAGCGGCAGGAGGCGCTGCGCAGAGAGGGGGAGAACTTTCCCCCTCTTGTTTTCCCGCTCTAAAACAAGGTGCCGTTTAAGGTGCGTTCAGACGGCTACCTTGGAAGCCTGGAGAGCGAGAGGGGTCGGTGTGCACTGACCCTCTCGCTCTCCAGGCTTCAGGTTCTTCGACCTGCTCTTTGGGGCTGGCGGGGGGAAGCCCACCACCAGCCCCAAAGAGCAGGTCAGGGAGCAGCGGAAAGGCGCAGCGGAGAGGCTCCTGCCATAGCCGCGCGTCACCTCTCCAGCCGGGAGAGGGTCGCGGGGCTATGGCGTCTTCGCTCCATAGGACGCACACACATTTCCCCTTCATTTTTGAAGGGGGAAAAGTGCGTCCTATAGAGCGAAAAATACGGTACTTGACAGGCTGCCTTAGGGTGCTGTGATATTTGGTAGACATACTGCTGGCCTTGGGGTTTGGGGATTGAAGCTGCGGCCCTAACCCCGCCTACCTGGGAGTAAGCCCCGTTGAATTAAATAGGACTTACTTCTGAGTAGACACGGTTAGGATTGCCCTGTTCATTTGAAGTCAGAGAAGGGAGGAGGACATCTTCATACTGGCTTTTTACACACTCCTTCCATTCGCAGACAGAGGAAGGACGAATACTTAGCACTTCAGGCTGAACAGAGGATCTATGAATTTGTCCATATTGCTCTAGCCTAGTCCAGTGGCTTCTTTTTTTTTATTTCCCTTCTCTCCTCCCCTCCCTTTAATTCACTTATTTTGCTATAGGGGAGGGAATTGGGGCAGGGTGTGTGTTACCCATGGGCAGGATCACTTTTAAACTGTAGTTTTTATAAAATGTTATAAACTTGTATCTTTTTACCATTACAGTGTGGTGTCTGATCCTTTTTTGTGACCTATTTAGTTCTCCATCTGAACTCTGCCAAAGATTCAATTCATTATACCGTCAATGGCCAGTTACCCACAATCCACCAAACTATCGAGAGTGACCAAAGAGCTGAAATACACAAACTACTTCTCTATGAAGTTGCCTTGCCAACCAAGGTTGGTATTCTCTAAACACACTCTTTCCAGGGTTCCAAGCCGTAGCTGGAGAATGAATTTGGGACTGTTTTGCATGCAGAGCCTATGTTTGACTAGTGAGCTATAACCGTTGCCCACTGGGTTCCTCAGTGCCTTCCGCTGACTTCATTTATATATGGGCTATATAATTTGGGTCACTGGAGATGGGAAGAAGTGGCTCCTGCCACTGGGCCAACTAACCGTTCCTGAACCCAAATGGCTACTTGCATAAAAGACAGCTCGAAGAAAGATAACTGTAGCTCCTCCTTTCTGATTTGTTTTCCATTAGTGCTGCACCCATATGGGGGGAGGGAATGGCAGAACTAGGAATCTCTAAGTAAAGCACACCTTGCGAAAAGAATTCGTTAAACCAGTTTTATTATGAAATCACATCCAGTTCCCTTCCCTCCCGCCCCCTGGGAAAAAGGTTAAATTTTATTACTTGGGGTTATGCTGCGAGGTAGATAGACCCAAGCTAAGAGATGAATACATCCCTGTGTTTTTGAGTGAGGATTCGAACCCAGCTTCTCCATAGTCCAAATCCAGCAGCTGGCACAGTGCTCAAGGCTTTCGCCAATCCTCAGTCACCGTTGTACTTGGGATTGATGACTGTGGTAGTGGCACTCCGGTATAGTGGATTGTTCACCTACAAAAGAGGCAAGTAGACAAAGTTGTATGCCTCTTACTTCCTGTTACAGAATTTGCTATCCCCAAACCAGGTGTGTGTCTCACACGCCTTGGGGGCCCAGCCTCCCATAGTTTTATATGCCTTGAAATAACACTGGGGGGTGTGTGTGTGAAGCTGTGGGTAGTTGTGTCAACCTGACTAAAAGACTCCATTTAATAGTGGGGAATTGATTTGGGAAAAGGCCGTGGCTCAGGTGGTAGGTAGAGCATCTGTTTTGCATCCAAAAGGTCACAGGTTTGATCTGCAGGTAGGGCGGCCAGAGACTTTTCCCTGAAACCCTGGAGAGTCACTGCCAGTCAACACTGACTATTGGGCTGGATGAACCAACAGTACAAGCTAGCTTCCTATGGTGGGACACTTTCTGCAGTTGAAAGGGGTTTCCATCATTTTCTGTTAACATTTTTTGGAACAACAATAAAATGCATCTAGGTTCATTACATGATTGCCTGTAACCAGGTCCAGCTGCTGCTTTGGTCACAGCCTGAGCTAAGGTGGGTCTCAGCGACATGGATATACGCTGAATGAAGTTATGAACATGGTTGGGCGAAAAGGTGGGTCTCAACTTTGAAGAAGTTGAAGTCTGCTCATCTAAAAAGTATTTAAGGAAGCGGGGAGGTTAAAAATCGGACTCGTCACACGTGCCTAACTTGCCCCTTTATGCATAGAGCGTTTAGCCTTCCAGCTTTGGGCTTGCTGCAAACGCTCCACTGTTGTGGCCCCACCATCCCTTTTACAGAATGAATGTAGCTTTTGCTCCAAGAAACAGCAGCCCAGTCAGGGCTGAGAAATTCCCTGGCTGGGATAAGGAGCAGGTGAGAGTGAGGCTGACATGAACTAACTGCAGCCTGCAGGTAGGGAAGGAAGGAGCACTGACCTCGTTCCACTTGGCGTGCTTCCTCTCCTTTTCAAAACGCTTGAACTCCCTCCGGTCATAGATCTCCAAGACGATGCGGTAGACTATTATGAGGAAGAGCCCAAATAACACCAAGCCCAGCACTGAGCTCAGTACCAGCTTGAATGTCTTCTTGGTTGTGTTACCTGGCAGTTTAGACGAAAGGAGTTGTGAGGCTCTGCAGCTGAGTTCTGAGAAGCAAGTGCCCCTTCCTCATTTATTTATTGGACTTCCTCTCCTGCTACCGTTGTGCACACATACTCTGCTAACGGTTATTGTAACAATAATAATTTATTATTTATATGCCGCCCATCTGTCTGGATTGCCCCAGCCACCTTGGAAGGCTTCCAACAAATTATCAAGCATGAAACATAATAAAACATCAAACATTTAAAACTTCCCTATACAGGGCTGCCTTCAGATGTCTCCTAAAAGTCAGATACAGTATGTATCTCTGGTTACATTCTTAACCCGAGGTACTATTTCTGGGTTGGCGGAGTCTGTAACCTGAAGCATATGTAACCTGAGGTATCACTGTAGTTGTTTATTTCCTTGACACCTGGCAGGAGAGCGTTCCACAGGGCAGGCACCGCTACTAAGAAGGCCCTCTGCCTGGTTGCCTGTAATCTCACTTTTCACAATGAGGGAACCACCAGAAGACGCTCAGTGCTGGACCTCAGTGCCCGGGCTGAGCAACGGAGGTGGAGATGCTTCTTCAGGTATACAGGGCTGAAGCAATTTGGGGCTTTTAAGGTCAGCACCAACACTTTGAATTGTGCTCGGAAAAATACGGGGAGCCAATGTAGGTCTTTCAGGATCAGTGTTATATGGTCGCGGCGGCCACTCTCAGTCACCAGTCTGACAGCCTCATTCTGGATTAGTTGTAGTTTCCGAGTCACCTTCAAAGGTAGCCCCACGTGGAGCACATGGCAGTAGTCCAGTCAAGAGATAACCACAGCATGTACCACTCAGGTGGCAGAGGGCACAGGCCAGTAGGGTTTCAGCCAGCATACCAGATGCAGCTGGTAGACCGCTGCCTTGGGCACAGAAGAAACCTGTGCCTCCATGGACAGCTGTGAATCACCCCTGGAAGAGGATCAACGGATGACATCAAGTCACATACAGCCTGGGTTACAACTTAGGCTCCAGAAGAATCTGGTGCCACTGAAACTTCTGCCTGCTGTGGTTCAACGTGCTTTCTGTCACAGACATCAAAATAGTCTGGCCTTCAGAAGAGCCTTGTCGCATCAGGCCAGAAGCTCACCTAGTCCTGTTATCACAGGGACCAACCCAATGCCCCTACGAGCTGCCCAGCAACTTCCTGCAACAAAGGCTCTCCCGCCCTTCTTTCCTGTGCCCACTTACCTTCTTTGCCATTCACCGTCAGGGTGATGGCGCCTTCCTTGTCCCTCTCAATGAGGTAGATGAGGAGGCTGCCATCTTCTGCTTTGGTCTGGCACCATCTTTCGTCGGTGGCGGAGGCCGGCACCACATTCACCGTCTGGTTGCAGGATGCGCTACAAGTCTCCCACAACAGCCCAGTTCCAAAGGCCCTGCACTCTGCACAATTCCTGCCAACACACAAGAGCAGCTGTGAGCATTTTTTGCTCGTGCTTCTAACTAGAGCATAAGGACACCCTTTCTACAATGGTCAGGAAAAGCGGGAGGAAGACACACTGGCAGTTGCAAGCTGTGCTCCATGCTCTGTTTGGCCACAGTTGCAGAGATACCTGAGAAATGTACCATATTTTTCGCTCCATAGGACGCACTTTTTCCCCTCCAAAAATGAAGGGGAAATGTGTGTGCGTCCTATGGGGCGAATGCAGGCTTTCGCTGAAGCCTGGAGAGCGAGAGGCATCGGTGCGCACCGACCCCTCTCGCTCTCCAGGCTTCAGGAAGCTATCCGCAAGCCTTGCAAGCCCGGTGGGAGTTCCCGCGGGCTCACAAGGCTTGCAGGCAGCAGCCTGCAGCCCCGGCGAGTGTCCGCAAGCCTTGCGCGCCCGGCAGGAGGTCCCGCCGAGCGCGCGAGGCTTGGGGCGGCAGCCTGTCGCCCGAAGCATGGGGGCACCCTCCGGAGGGCTCCCCGTGCTTCTTGCAGGTGTGCACAAGGCTTGGGGCGGCAGCCGCGGCGGGGGGGGAATAATTTTTTTTATTCATTTCCCCCCCCAAAAAACGAGGTGCGTCCTATGGGCCGGTGCGCCCTATAGAACGAAAAATACGGTAGCTTGCTGTCCCTCCACCCCACCCACCCCCCTGTTAGAAAGTAGGCCAGGCCCTCTCCTAACACCACATCAGAATCTCACCTGTGCTCCTCACAGGGTGTCTGGCAGTCAGCACAGCGGCTGCAGTGACTGTCAAACCAGCCAGCGTCACAATGGCATCTGTTGCAGGCACAATGCCCGTGACCGCTGCATACAACGCCCTCCTGTGTGCATCCACTGGTCTCCAGGCTGCACTGGCACGCACTGCCAGTATAGTTCTCATGGCACTCACAATTGCCACATTTGCATTGCCCGTTGCCTACCGGTACAAAGAGAGACGTCTGTCGGCATTACAGAGTTCCTTCACAAAGCCATTCCACCCACATCTATATATTTCTTATTCAGCAACCTTTCTGCCTTTTGAGATGCCAGCGGACATTGGCTGCCCTCACACTTGGAGGCGCACCTTTGTAAGCATGCAGGCTAGAAAGTTGCTCTTCTTAAATGAAATCGCGAGAGAGTCTTCAGAAGCTGGATTCTGTGCTCAGTACTCTGCTCTTCCTGCATTGCAGTTTATAAACACACCCCTAGAAGTATTTGGACTCCTCCAGGGGACTGTTTGTTGAGCATTCACCCTGTTTGGCTTACACAAAACTTATTCTGAGGTTAGACTATGTCTGGTCTTAATTGAACATTCATTCTGTTCTTGCTTGCAGGGAGGTTATACTGCAATGAACATTTCATCCTGATTAGCTGGTGTGTTAATCATGTCCTTATCTGCAAAAAGCCTTGCTTGTTTTAAAAGGGGATTTGTTGCATGAAGTTGACAGAAGCACTTTAACCACCTTCAACTGCACAAATCTGAATTTTCAGTGTGGGCTGAAATACAGTTCCCCAAATACAGTGTGGGCTGAAATACAGCTCCCCAAATACAGTGGTACCTCGGGTTAAGTACTTAATTCGTTCCAGAGGTCCGTACTTAACCTGAAACTGTTCTTAACCTGAAGCACCACTTTAGCTAATGGGGCTCCTGCTGCTGCCGCGCTGCCGGAGCACGATTTCTGTTCTCATCCTGAGGCAAAGTTCTTAACCTGAAGCACTATTTCTGGGTTAGCGGAGTCTGTAACCTGAAGCGTATGTAACCCGAGGTACCACTGTACTGACAATTTGGAGGCAACATTAGCAGCCTTTCCTCCTTAAAACCTATGGAAATACCCACTCTGGCTACAGTAAAGCCACCAGCATCCCCATTGGTGCCACTAATGACTGCGTTGCCCAACATCTGCCAGGTTAAAAGAAAACGGCGGCAGCCCTACCATTAGAAGGTTTTTACCTCCGCAGAGCTGCCCGTTGTGCCTCTCGCAGCCAGCATCGTCACACTTGCAGAGGGGTCCGCTCGCCTGGGCATTGCACTGGCACTTCCCGCACACACACTGGCCCTTGCCACTGCACACTGGGCCCGTGTCGTTCGCATCCCGGCATGCGGCTTCTGCGTCCACCAGCTCCTCTGGCTTGCACTCGCACAGCCGGCCGGCATGGCCCTCCTGGCAGCTACAAGAGCAAAGACAGCACATGGGTCACAGTTGCTGAACCAGACTCATCAGGTCCACTGAGCCTGGTTTTTTCTCCTCCCAACCCAAGAAGCCCAGCAAATAGGCCTCTGCCCCACCAGCTTGCCTGCCCTCAGCCAGCCCCAACTGCCTGCCTTCTCTTTATTTTTCAACCAGTCCAGAAAGCTCTGTGGCTGCAATGTTGCCTCTCTCTGGCCCTGGCTTCCCCTACCATTTGGGATTCCCTGTACCAGTGCAACAAAGGGCATCAGCCGCAACTGAAACCTAGCTGCCTTCTCGCCCTAAAGCAGCAACCCAAACGATCATGGGGTTTAGAGGCCTTTTTTAATCCGGAGTGGAAAAGAAACAACTGATTTGGGGATAGTGGGGGAAATGGGACCGGGTCGGGTTTTCTAAAGTTATCAGTGGGGTAGATTGGAGACGGAGTAATCATTTCCCCCTTCAGTATATAATACTAGAATCCAGGGGCACAACTGGTAATAGATTCAGAAGAAAGGATTCATTTCCACAATATATAATTAAGGCTGCAATCTTAATCTCTGTTATCTAGGAGCATGTGTGTCTACACACATGCAGAGAAGGGGGTCACGTTTCCTCAAACTTTGAATTAATTAATAATACCTGCAGATGCCACAGGTGAGGTTGCCACGGCCGCCAGAACAGTGAGGCGCATAGGGCTGCGTATCTCCGCACTGGCAGTCGCAGAGTGTCGCCACTTCTATATGCACCTCCTCACCCACTCCTAGAACTCGGAGCACCACCTTCTGGGGACCAGGCAGGCAGGTGGTGGCCTTTATCCGTACTGAGAATTCCACCTGTGGGGGGAAAAACTGAGATAAGGAAAGAGCGACCGCCGCCATTGCCATCCATATTACTCTAAGCCAGGGGCGGAGAAGCTGTGGCCCTCCAGGTGCTGCTGAGCTTTCCCTGGCATCAGCCGCCAGTCAATAATGCAGCCAATGGTCGGAGGGGGGGTGGAACATCTGGAGGGCCTTGGCTTCCCCTGCCCTGCTCCATGTCAATTAGTGGAAACAGAAAAGGACCTATAACTATAAAACCTGTTCTACACATCTCTACTGTTCCCTTCCTGTTCTAGATGCCTCTACTGTTCCTTCCTCCCTGTTCTAAACATCTTTACTGTTCCTCCCTTCCTGTTCTAGATGTCTCTACTGTTCCTTCCTCCCTGTTCTACACATCTCTACTGTTCCCTTCCTGTTCTAGATGCCTCTACTGTTCCTTCCTCCCTGTTCTAAACATCTTTACTGTTCCTCCCTCCCTGTTCTAGATGTCTCTACTATTCCTCCCTCCCTGTTCTACACATCTCTACTGTTCCCTTCCTGTTCTAGATGCCTCTACTGTTCCTTCCTCCCTGTTCTACACATCTCTACTGTTCCCTTCCTGTTCTAGATGTCTCTACTGTTCCTTCCTCCCTGTTCTAAACATCTTTACTGTTCCTCCCTCCCTGTTCTACACATCTCTACTGTTCCCTTCCTGTTCTAGATGTCTCTACTGTTCCTCCCTGTTCTACACATCTCTACTGTTCCCTTCCTGTTCTAGATGCCTCTACTGTTCCTCCCTGTTCTACACATCTCTACTGTTCCCTTCCTGTTCTAGATGACCAATGTTCCTTCCTCCTGCTCCTAACACCCTACTGTTCCCTTCCTGTTCTAGATGTCTCTACTATTCCTCCCTCCCTGTTCTACTGTTCCTTCCTCCCTGTTCTAAACATCTTTACTGTTCCTCCCTTCCTGTTCTAGATGCCTCTACTATTCCTCCCTCCCTGTTCTAAACATCATTACTGTTCTCCCCCCCCCCCTTCTAGATGTCTCTGTTCCTCCCTCCCTGTTTTGCTCCAACTGAGCCAACCCTGATGCCTTGGAACAATTAGAAAGCACTGACTTAATAGGCCAGGAGTGGGGAGGGCTTTTCTGCCTGAGGGGCCACTCTCCCTTCTGGACAACCATCCAAGGACCACATGACAGTGGTGGCTAAAAATGGGCAGGTAACTATTACAAATTTTACCTTTCTACAGTAGGCTTGTTTCTCCACACACACACACACTATACTCCATACAGACAAGCAAGAGGCCTTGTCAGAGTTCAAGAACACTCAGGCTGTAAAGGGGGTGTGGCCTGTAAAGAGGAGGTGTGGCCTCGGGGGAGTTCCAAGGGACACGTAGGCTTAGATTGGGTTCGCCACCCCCGATCTAAGTGCTTACCTGCTGGTTGACGCGTACGCCTAGGCATTCCCCACCCTGCGTGCGTCCAGAAGTTTCCGAGTCGCCACAGTACGAGTCGTAAGCAATGGCTATGCCAGGAGCAAGGTCTGAAGAGTGCACCAAGTTCACGGTGGACGAGAGGCTCTGTGGGGAGACCGGCCATGAGAACGTGAGCCTAGACTTCGGGCGAGTGTCTGTGTCTGCCTTCTGACACTGTAGCACCAGTTGCTGAGCTGAAGATCCAAAGATCCAAAGCCCAACCCAGTAATTTGCTGAGACTCGGCACTCGGCGTGGGATAATGCTGGACAACTTTACAGGGTTGTTATAAATCATATTGGGGTATGTAATGCACTTTGAACTTATTAGTATTCTAGCTCACTATTACATTCATAGTCTCTTCCAGGGCTCATGAATCCCCAGACCTGATCAGTGGGTGATATCCAATACTAGTCATGGGAGTAGACCCATTGCAGACAACAGACTTTCATTCATTTATTCCAGTGTCTCCTCTATGCATAATTTAAGCATATGCAGTACACACCATACATTTGAAGAATTCTGGGAACTATAGCTCCGAGAGGCAAATTACAGTTCCCAGGATTCTTTGAGAGAGTATGTATGTTCCAAATGTGTCCACAGTCTTAGCTGGAAGTTACCTACTATCCACTGCCAGCAGAGGGCAGAATCAGCAAATCTGGTTCAGAACAGAAGTGCTTTCTTGTTCCATTCACTTGTAAAAAGGACCCCTGGATGATTAAGTCCAGTCAATGGTGACTATGGGGTTGTGGTGCTCATCTCACTTTCAGGCTGAGGGAGCCGCCGTTTGTCCAGACAGCTTTCCGGGTCATGTGGCACCCGCCCTGTCGAACACCCTCCCACCAGATGTCAAAGAGAAAAACAACTACCAGACTTTTAGAAGACATCTGAAGGCAGCCCTGTTTAGGGAAGCTTTTAATGTTTAACAGAATACAGTGGTACCTCAGGTTACATACGCTTCAGGTTATAGACTCTGCTAACCCAGAAATATTACCTCGGGTTAAGAACTTTGCTTCAGAATGAGAACAGAAATCGTGCGGCGGCGGCGCATCAGCAGCGGGAGGCCCCATTAGCTAAAGTGGTGCTTCAGGTTAAGAACAGTTTCAGGTTAAGAATGGACCTCCAGAACGAATTAAGTACGTAACAAGAGGTACCACTGTACTGTATTTTAATATTTTGTTGGAAGCCGCCCAGAGTGGCTGGGGAAACCCAGTCAGATGGGCGGGGTATAAATAAATTTATTATTATTATTATTATTATTAACCGCTTCTGGCACAATGGAACACTGTGACAGAAACACTGTTTACCTCCCCGCCACAGCAGTACCTATTTATCTACTTACACTGGCGTGCTTTATGAACTGCTAGGTTGGCAGGAGCTGGGACAGAGCAATGGGAGTTCACCCCGTCATGGGGATTCGAACCGCCAACCTTCTGATCGGCAAGCCCATGAGGCTCAGTGGTTTAGACCACAGCGCCACCCATGTCCCTTATTCACTTGTATCCTGTTCTTGGCCAGGGAAGCTCTGAGAGACACAGGTGGCTTCCCATCCAGGCAGTTCGCAGTGCCGCAGAAGCTGACTCACAAAACCTTTATCTGAGCAAAGTTCCAGCAGATCGCATGCGGTTCCCCAGCAGTCTTCATGCAGGCAGTCACCAGGTCCACCCTCGCTTAACTTCAGACATACTGTAGCATCAATGTGGACCCACAGGTGGCTCAAGGTAACTCAAGCATGCAAGCCAGGCCAGGAAGAATTGCGTTCAGGATCACTAGCTAATCTCCCCTAGATGAAAAGGTCTTCCTTGCCCTGTATACAGTGTGGTGTGTTGGACTAGGATCTGGGAAACCAGGAATCAAAACCCAACACTGCCATGAAGCTCACTGGGTGAATTTGGGACTCTGGCTGTGTTCACAGCTATGCCAAAATATGGCTTAGTATGAACTCCCTCCTGGCTTTGCTCCTCCCTGGTGAGTGTGATGTGGTAGCTAAGCCATGGCTTGGTTTTGCATGTTTCTCCTCCTCAGTCACGAGGGTGTGTCCTATTGGTTCAGGCCATGGGCTAAGGTTGGAGAGACCTTAACCATGACCCCAGGCTTGGATAATGCGCTAAGTCAAACATTGGCTTAGCTACTATCCTAACATTGAACTAAAAGGCCCAGTGAGGAGGAAAGTGGGTGCAAGTTCATCACTGGAAGCCAGAACGTTCAGGCAGTCACAGTAAGCCATACCTTGGCTTACCTTGAGGTGCAAGCCAAACCACTTTCTCTCAGCCTCCTACTTCACAGGGTTGTTGTGAGGATAACATTGGGGGTGGAGAGAACTACGGACACCACCTTATAATAAATAAATATAAATAAAATTCTAGATGGGACATGCTTTTCATATTGAAAATGTGAACCTTCGTTTGGTGCAATAGGCTAACATGGCTCCGGTGGTGGTGGTGTCCACCTTGAAAATATAATTACCGTATTTTTCACTCCATAAGACACACTTTTTTCTTCCTAAAAAGTAAGGGGAAATGTCTGTGCGTCTTATGGAGTGAATGCGTGGTCCCTGGAGCCGAATTGCCCAGGGGTGAAAAGCAGATCATGCTTTCTTTCTTTTTTGAAAGAGGGAAGTGGGTGTTGAAAGGAAGCAGCTGATCGGCAAGCGATCGGGGAGGGAGATAAGGGACACTAGAGATAAAGGAGGCTGCCTGGGAGGGGGGAGGTAAAAGCCCATGGATCCTCAGGATTTTTGCACTGGGTCACCCCAAATTCACCATCAGATCACATAGCATGTCCATGGCTACAGCCTGCTCCACAAAAATCATACATCCAGTGTTTCGTTCAGAATATTTTTTTTCCTTGTTTTCCTCCTCTAAAAACTAGGTGCGTCTAATGGGGCGAAAAATACGGTAAGGAGAAGAAGAGTTTGGATTTGATATCCCGCCTTTCACTCCCTTTAAGGAGTCTCAAAGTGGCGAACATTCTCCTTTCCCTTCCTCCCCCACAACAAACACTCTGTGAGGTGAGTGGGGCTGAGAGACTTCAAAGAAGTGTGACTGGCCCAAGGTCACCCAGCAGCTGCAAGTGGAGGAGCGGAGACGCGAACCCGGTTCCCCAGATTACGAGACTACCGCTCTTAACCACTACACCACACTGGCTCTCAATGGACACAGAATGTCCATTCCCCCTTCGGGCTTGGCTCTATTCCAGGGGGCTCCTGTGGGCCTTTTTTGCCCTCCCCAGGGGGCTCTGCCCCTTGCTACCCATACTCAGCCTTACACTGTAGGCATCTGCGATGAGCTGCACCACGTTGCTGGAATCCTCCATCAGTTCCCCAACCACAGACTTGGGAATGAGCCTGCTCAGTTCCTGAGGGGAAAGGGAAAAGTCAGAGTGAGCGACACACAAACACCCCTCAGGTTTCCCCTACTCCTCTGCCTTCCGGTTCAGCACTCACCTCATACATAGAAAGCCTGGGCCCAGTCACAGCAAATATGGCCTGGATGTTAGATTCAGACAGCACCTCAGCCAAGTGCGCAACTGAGGGGTAGTCCTGCAAAGAGACAAGAGAATGGGGTCACGTTCAAAGAAGTCTCCGCTTAGATTTTCCTCTCTTCCCCCACTCTACATTTACCTCTCTTGCCGGAGGTGGGGGTTAGAATCTGGAAGCCTTGACTCTCTGCACTTCAGATAAAAAAGATCTAAACCAAGAGTGGCTAACCTGTGCCCCATCAGATGTCAGGTGGACTACAACTCCTAGCTCCCAAGAGTGGTCATGCTGGCTGGGACCAATGGGAGTTGAGAGTTCAGTAACACCTGGAGGGCCACAGATTCCATAAACCTTGGTATTAATGCTGAAAAATACATTGTATGAATTTATGTCGTCAGCCACTTTGAATGTTTTAAGCCAAGATCTTGACTTTCAGGCTGTTGGGACACTGGATGAGATCTTGTACAGAGTCAGACTGTTTACTACTACTACTACTACTACTACTACTACTATTACTACTACTACTACTACTAATATAATTTATACCCCGCCCATCTGGCTGGGTTTCCCCAGCCACTCTGGGCGGCTTCCAACAAAACACTAAAATACAGTAACCTATTAAACATTAAAAGCTTCGCTAAACAGGGCTGCCTTCAGATGTCTTCTAAAAGTTTGGTAGTTATTTTTCTCTTTGACATCTGGTGGGAGGGCGTTCCACAGGGCGGGTGCCACTACCGAGAAGGCCCTCTGCCTGGTTCCCTGTAACTTGGCTTCTCGCAGCGAGGGAACCGCCAGAAGGCCCTCGGCACTGGACCTCAGTGTCCGGGCAGAACGATGGAGGTGGAGACGCTCCTTCAGGTATACTGGACCAAGGCTGTTTAGGGCTTTAAAGGTCAACACCAACACTTTGAATTGGGCCCGGAAACATACTGGGAGCCAGTGTAGGTCTTCAAGATCGGTGTTATATGGTCTCAGCGGCCGCTCCCAGTCACCAGTCTAGCTGCCGCATTCTGGATTAGTTGTAGTTTCTGGGTCACCTTCAAAGGTAGCCCCACGTAGAGCGCATTGCAGTAGTCCAAGTAAGAGATAACTAGAGCATGCACCACTCTGGCGAGACTGTGGGCAGGTAGGGTCTGTTGATCTGTCCAGCTCAGGAGTGTCTAAACTGACTGGCAGCAGCTCTCTGGGTTCAGATAAGCCCTACCTGGAGATGTCAGGGAGTGAGCCCGAGACCTTCTGCCACTGAATTTAGGCCCATTTCAGCTAAATTTTGGGTTTCCTGTGCTGCTAAGAACACCAGATTCTGTCTCTAATGGCTCCTTGCTCCTGGCTCCTGCTTTGCAGGCTGAAAGTCCCAGATCCAGCCCTTGGCACCTCCAGTTGAAAGGGCCTTTGATGGTAGGCCTTGGAGAGCCTGAGCCAAGCAATGGGGCTAACTAACCATGGGGCAGTTTCTATATGGGCTCGGCCCACTATACCTGAAGGAGTATCTACAGCCCCATTGTTCAGCCCGGACACTGAGGTCCAGCTCCGAGGGCCTTCTGGCAGTTCCCTCACTGCGAGAAGTGAGGTTACAGGGAATCAGGCAGAGGGCCTTCTTGGTGGTGGCACCCGCCCTGTGGAACGCCCTCCCATGAGATGTCAAGGAAATAAACAACTACAGTGGTACCTCGGGTTAAGTACTTAATTTGTTCTGGAGGTCCATTCTTAACCTGAAACTGTTCTTAACCTGAAGCACCACTTGAGCTAATGGGGCCTCCTGCTGCCACCGCGCCGCCGGAGCACAATTTCTGTTCTCATCCTGAAGCAAAGTTCTTAACCCGAGGTACTATTTCTGAGTTTGTGGAGTCTGTAACCTGAAGTGTCTGTAACCTGAAGCATATGTAACCCGAGGTACCACTGTACCTGACTTTTAGAAGACATCTGAAGGCGACCCTGTTTAGGGAAGTTCTTAATGTTTGATGTTTGGTAGCCACCCAGAGTGGTTGGGGAAACCCTGCCAGATAGGCGGGGTATAAATAATAAATTATTTATATAATAGTAGTAGTAGTAGTAGTAGTAGTAGTAGTAGGAACAGAAGCCATCCCTCCCTACTCTAAATCACTAGCTGCCAACTTTATTCAAAGCACACAAAACAGGGCATTCACAAGACTATTCTTCGTGCTGAATAAGCCATCTTGGAATTGTTCCACAGCATTCACTCCCAATGTCCACACGAGATGTGATGTTACATAACACACCTGCCACCAAAAATGGCTCTTAACGTCTAGCTCTCCTTCTGTAGTGGGAGTTAACTCTTCTGCAGCATCATGATTCTCTGCACTTCATTGGCTAGCACTGTTTGGGGAATGTGGGGCACCCCACAGGTAGCCAATCAGAAACAGGTTCACACACACCTCCTCCTTCCCCATTGGCCTCACAATCCCTTCCCTTCTCTCTTCCAGCTGGTCTCATTCAGAGCCAAGCCTGGTTATGATCACATGTAGTGGCAAAACCACTACAACCATCAGTAAAAGTGAGCACGCATAATACTGCGATTAGGGAGGTGCTGTTGCGCTTGCAATGCCAACCACAGTGTTAGGAGGGTGGGTGCTTGGGTGAGAAGAAGGGAGGAAGTGGAGAGGTGCACGCAAGATCAAGGGGGAAAGAAACAGAGGAGAAACCCACAAACCACCTAACCAACATTAAGTAGCCAGGAAAGTGATACAACTGCACTGAGTCATTATCTCAAATTTCGTTTTCAGTTCCAATACTGCTTGTGTGCATCTCAAAATCATAACCACCAGGACCTGGGTGCGGCCTGACCTTTCTGTTTCCCATAGACTCACAGAGTTGGAAGGGACCCGTACGGTCATCTAGTCCAACCCCCTGCAATGCAGCTGTCCCTTATGGGGCTCGAACCTGCAGCCTTGGTGTTATCAGCACCACGCTCTAACCAACTGAGCTATCCAGTTGACTTTCACTTGTGTAACTTCTTAACTGATGAAGAGTTCTACAGAACTCAAAAAACTGGCCACATTTTTTTGTGGTTTGGGGGTTGATCCTAATATAAACATCACCCAACTTGTTGTTTTCTTTTGTCTCCCGAGGCAATCTCTCTCCCTGCCTAACTTTGTTTTTCAAGAGGACCGTGAGAGACCTACGTATAGGTGGCTTTTCGTATATAGCCCTCTGGCATCCAAGTGGCAGCGGCCATCGTTGGGCATGTAGACCCCACCCAGCTTCCCATCTCCTGCCATGTGGAATGTGCCATCCGAAGTGAAGACCAAGAGCTTCGTCACATTACGCCAGCCAATCTGCTCCTGGAAGAAGAGAGGGAAGTTACACTGCAGTTCCAACATGCAAGCCTTCCTCCACAGTTAGCCCAGTATTTTCTGCTTTTGGTAATCTGTACATGGGCAAGAGACGCGGGTGGCGCTGTGGGTTAAACCACAGAGCCTAGGACTTGCCGATCAGAAGGTTGGCGGTTCGAATCCCCGCGCCGGGGTGAGCTCCCGTTGCTCGGTCCCAGCTCCGGCCAACCTAGCAGTTTGAAAGCACGTCAAAGTGCAAGTAGATAAATAGGTACCGCTCCAGCAGGAAGGTAAACGGCGTTTCCGTGCGCTGCTCTGGTTCGCCAGAAGTGGCTTAGTCATGTTGGCCACATGTCCCGGAAGCTGTATGCCGGCTCCCTTGGCCAATAAAACGAGATGAGTGCCGCAACCCCAGAGCCGGCCACGACTGGACCTAATGGTGGTTGTTGTTTAGTCGTGTCCGACTCTTTATGACCCCATGGACCAGAGCACGCCAGGTACTCCTATCTTCCACTGCCTCCCACAGTTTGATCAAACTCATGCTGGACCTATTGGTCCCTTTACCTTTACCTTACATGGGCGCAAAGGGTTACACGAGAACATAGCATCTTTAGGTACCAGGTTAGCAGAACCAAAACTTCAAGATCTACAGCATTTACAGATTTCAACATTCAGGATTTTGCCAGTGACATTTGTCTTCAGTTTTTGGATTTCAAATTTTGAAATTGGCTTCTTTTTATTGGCCAAACCAAAGTGGCTAAGCTTTGTTGCATTCCCTATGTTGCTAGACTCCCAACTTCCATCATCCCTGACAACTGACCATGCTGGCTGGGAAAGATGAGGGTTGGATTCTGACAACATTTAGAGATTTCCCGCCACTAAGCTGAACAATTTAGGATTAAATTCATGAAATTTAAATTATATGGCAATTGTCGGACACAACCACCTATTGCAAGTCAGCTGTCAAATACTGTTAAGTGCTGCTAATGACTGGAACAAAACCAGTAGAGCTTCCAGGTTAGGAAACCCAATAGTATTGATCAGTAGGTAATTCAGCATCCCCTGACCTGGAAGTTGAGCCTGAGATGAAATTTTCAGGTGGACCAACCCTGTATGAAATCTTCATTGCTATGGGCTGTTCCTTTGTACTGTTCTCATTTGCCCAGAGCAGACAGTGCACAATTTGAACATTCAGGCAGTTCCAGATGACCTGTTTCTTCAGCATTTATTCTGATTTGTTTACAGGGAGGCTAGAAGATGTTGCGTCAAAGCAAGTGTTGCCTCACACTTTCCACTGCATTTCTCCACGACTTTCCTTTTTGCAGAAAGTCTGAACTTTTTGTTGTGCAAGACCTCCTGGTCAGCTTTAGTTGGGAACTGTGAACTAATAATGAAAACAATGACTGTCTGGGAACGCCCTGAATGTATTATCCCGTACCTCACAACTATATACAGTGGTACCTCAGGTTACATACGCTTCAGGTTACAGACTCCGCTAACCCAGAAATAGTGGTTCAGGTTAAGAACTTTGCTTCAGGATGAGAACAGAAATCGTGCTCCAGCAGCGCGGCAGCAGTGGGAGGCCCCATTAGCTAAAGTGGTGCTTCAGGTTAAGAACAGTTCCAGGTTAAGTACGGATCTCCGGAACGAATTAAGTACTTAACCCGAGGTACCACTGTACAATAGGAAGATTAGCATAGTTTAGGGTTTGCACATGCTTGGGTTCACATATGTGTCTGCATGCGCACAAACACATGCTCCTGTGCCTGCCTTATTGTCGTCAGGGCCTACGTTCCCTTCTCAGCCACGCACCTCCTCTATCAGCCATGCACATAAAGCCATCTCACCTTGCAAGTGACTGCCTGCATGATAGCGTCAAAGCCCCCTTCAGCCGGGTCCATGTTCCCAGATATACGCTGCTGGCTGACCCTGCTTTCGAACTCGCTGGCGTTGTCTGTGAGCGTCAGCACGTGCTGGTAGCTGAACGCCGACTGACAGGTCTCGTTTAAGTGAGGGCAGGGGTGTTGCCATTTGGAGGGTGCTGTGTTCACATAGGGCAGCACCGTCTTGTCAACAAAGGAGCCAAACCCTGCAACAAAGAAATCCTGCTGTTTCCCGTCATCTAACAGTGTGTTTGAAAGCCCATGCGGTGTCAAAGAGGGTCGGAAATAGGACTTGGGAAGGTTCAGAGCCACCACTCGGGCCATGATGGGCCGATCGCCATATCTCTCTCTTTTAAAATTACGGTAGTTTTCCTTTATTACTCACAAGTACAGCTCTGCATCATAACTTTACATCTTACAATTATACATATTCGTGTTTTCAAAGTATGTTCATAATTATTATTATAGATCGGCAAGCATTACTGTACATAAAGAAGAAGAAAAAAGATGTAATTTTGAAATCATAATATTCCTCATAAATAAGTGACTTCCCGTCTCTTCCGTTTTGTACTAATAAACCTATTGCCTATATTTATCCATTATCTTTTTATTTATAATATTTTCTTACGTATCAATTTTCCTTCTAAAATTGTTATCCACAAAAACTACTGTATTTTCTGGCGTATAAGACTACTTTTTAACCCAGGAAAATCTTCTCAAAAGTTGGGGGTAGTCTTATACGCCGGCTACAGCAGCAGCTCCTGCAGCAACTCCCCAACAAAGGATAAAACGACAGCAAATTAAATGAGAGGACACCAAGCTCTCTAGATGAAGCAGAAATACGCTTGAAAATTGGCCCCAGAAGCCCCCGGCCACTGGGAAGTGGAGCGGATTTCTGAGCCGGACTGGAGACTGGTTTTTTTAATTTTTATTTGGTGTGTGTTGGAAGAGGGGTAGTCTTATACAGCGAGTATATCTCAAACTCTATATTTTAACTGGAAAAGTTGGGGGGTCGTCTTATACGCTCAGTCGTCTTATACGCCGGAAAATACGGTACTCAAAGGCCGTCACCGTTTTCAGACTGCAGCAATTACTCTTCAAGTGTTCCTTAAAACAGTTCCAATTTGAGACAAACTCCTTTTGGGGTTTATCTTTGATTCTTTCTGATAAGTAGTCTAACTCTGCTTACTCTGTTAGCTTTTGTATCCAATCAGATGTGGTGGGTATATATCTGCTTTTCCAATGTGTAGCTATTATAACCCTCGCAGCTGTGGTGGCATACAGAAAGATTTTCCTTGGGGTTTTTTAGGATATCCAAACTGATTGCTATCTCTCAGCCTAACCCACCTCCCAGCCCTGCAACTGCCACCATCACCACCATCACCACAGCATACCAATCTTCACTGAAGTGGTGACGTCACGTAGGGCAGCTAGCAGATGGTTCCCCAACCGCTTGATGTTCTCCAGGTCGTCCTTCATGGAGTACGACAGGTCCATGAGATAGTACAGGTCCACGGGGTAACCTTCAGCCCGTCTGAAGCGCACCGTGACCCTCTGTTCCTCTCCTGTATGCACAGAGTAGGAAGGAAGAGGGACTCAAATCCTCAGTGCTACCAAGATACCGTCCATATGCTTTCCAATGTTGTGAAGGAGTGCTGAGTCTCATTTTAGCCAGGGACTGGGAACCTGGGGAGTCCCCAGTGGTTGTTAGGTTACAACTCTTGACATCCATCATCATGGGCTGTCTGGGGCTGATGGGGGCAGGAGTCCAACAGCAACACCCAGAAGGCCACAGGGTCCCTCCGACCCTGTTTTCAGATCACCAGGCCAAGGCCGTTCTCAATGTACCTCTTCCGTCAGAGATGTACGCAAGCTATTAACAGAAGCAAGTGTCTCCCTCGTGCCAGCACCACAATCTTTTAGATACTAGGCAAAACATTTTTCTTCAGCCAGATTTTAAATGGATTTTTTTACCAATTTAATTGGAGAGGTTTTAGCCTATTATGAGCCATTTGCTTGCTTCCTCTCCCTCAGCGCCCTCTCCCCCTGGCAGTGTTTATTTTATGCTGTGTATCACCCTGATACACGAGGGACGTGGGTGGCGCTGTGGGTTAAACCACAGAGCCTAGGACTTGCTGATCAGAAGGTCGGCGGTTCGAATCCCCGCGACAGGGTGAGCTCCCGTTGCTTGGTCCCTGCTCCTGCCAACCTAGCAGTTCGAAAGCACGTCAAAGTGCAAGTAGATAAATAGGTACCGCTCTGGCGGGAAGGTAAACAGTGTTTCCGTGCGCTGCTCTGGTTCACCAGAAGCGGCTTAGTCATGCTGGCCACATGACCCGGAAGCTGTATGCCAGCTCCCTTGGCCAATAAAGCGAGATGAGCACCGCAACCCCAGAGTCGGTAACGACTGGACCTAATGGTCAGGGGTCCCTTTACCTTTATCACCCTGAAATCCAGTATGATTAAAGTCTTTTAAATAAATAGAAATGTAATTTACAATTCCCACATCAGATCATGGTTTGGACATGTCCAAACCATGAACTCACTTCCAAAAAAGTGGAAGGACTACAGTGTTCCAAGTAATTCCTAACAGCATGATCACCACCAGCAACATACATGCAATAATGAATGGGCATGTCCTTCTTATATCCAAAGCCCATTCAAAGCCCATTCTTTCCCTCAAAGGATTCTGGGCATTGTAGTTTGTAAAGGGTCACTTGCAATTGTAACTCTGTGACGTGTAAACTATAGTGCCCAGAATTCTCTGAGAGAAAGAATGTGTTTCAAATGTGCTTTAATGCTATGGTGCGTACGAAGCCGCAGATATGCAATGGACAGGAAAAAATAAACATCGTTTTGGGAGACTACAACTGCTATATTGTTTTAAACTGTTTTCAATATTGTGTTTGAATTGTTTTAACCTGTCCTGGGACCTTACGGTGAAGTGTGGGTAATTAATAATAATAAATGATGAGTGCCTCGCATAAAGATTATATCCAACTCACATCAATAACACAAATTGCTGAAGGTTTGCCTATTAACTGTTGTGCTGGTGGCCCTAATGCCATTTCGAGTCGCAGGAAACAACTGAGGGATACACAACCCGAACTGGCAAAAGGAAGGCTGGAGAAAGCTGTGTGGATTCACGATTCTTTATTTCTTCCACATACATCGTATCGGTGAAGGAGAGAGGTCAGGAGAAGTTTAATCGAAGCTGGCCATTGCTCTGCCTTTGGATGCTGACCCAAGACAGGGAGCAAGTGCAGATTTCACAGAAGGAGAGAGGAGGAAGACAGTGCTTCTCCCTGAAGCATCCCTGCCAAACAGCCATCTCTCCCAGAATATTATTGAGAATGAGAATATTCTCTGCTAGAAAATTATCCAGAGAACATTCTCTACAAACTGCAAATTCTAATGTAATAACTAGTTTTACAACCCACATTTTAAAAATTGAGTAAATTATAAGTCAAGCTGTGATGTTGCCAGTGTAAGTAATGAATAATTATTTTTTTGATCCAGTTACATTACTGGGCATTGTGTCATTCACCATCGGCAGTTCTGAAATGTAAGCTACAGAAAACATTCCCCCCCCCCCCAGGTTTTAAAAATGCTATTCATTTAATTTGATGAACATTTTTATATTCCTTTTTCTTTAAAAGCTACATTTCATACATACACAACATAATTCGAATTCAAAGTTGATGGTAAATATACGGATAGTGGCAGGCTCAGTGATTAAAGTGAGTCATTCACGTTGGATTTTCAATTTCAAGTTTGGTGCAAAAAAAAAAAATCTAAGAATGTGAATTCACTGCACTGCCCCATTGAGTAAAAGAATCTGTACAATTTTTGGTTGCCATCTGAACAAGTTAACCCATGAACAAACATGTATATTAACTAATTATATCATTTTCAATGCATTAAAATTATATCATTTTCAGTGCATTAAAATTATATCATTTTCAATGCATTAAAATTATATCATTTTCAATGCATTAAAATTATATCATTTTCAATGCATGAAAATGAATATTCTCCTATTTTAAATGAAAATTCTCTAATATTCTCATTGATTGAGAATATTCTCGAGAATATTATTCTCGAGAATTTGACATCACTATCTCCCACCCACCCCAACACAACCCAAACTGGCAAAAGGCAGGCTGGAGAGAGGACCTACCAGGCCGAAGCTGAAGAGCAATTCTCTGTGGGGCAAGCTGAGTGAAGCTCTGGCGCTGGGTGCTGTTGCTCAGGGGCCTGTCCTCCAGCACACGCTGCCCGCTGTGTGGATCCATTATTTCACTGGGGAGGCAGCCACGACGCTCCAGCTCCACCCGAGGGGCACAGCGCTCCATGTCCGACTCACCCGCTTGCACAAAATCCTGGAGGGAGGGGGGGGGAATGGGAAGCGGACAAGTTTCCAGCATTGCTTCCGTGAACATACATCCTCCTTTCGGAGGGGCAGGTGAGAAATAACATATGGGAACAGGCATTGGAGCAAAGATGACTTTCTCCAAATGGCTGCAAAAATGCATGGAACGCAGGGCAACTCATTCCTGACCATCGAACATGTTGACTGGGGCTGATGGGAGTTGGCAGTCCAGCACATACCGTATTTTTCGCTCTATAAGATGCACCTGACCATAAGATGCACCTAGTTTTTAGAGGAGGAAAACAAGAAACAAGAAAGCAATGCAAAGCCTCTTGAGCGAAGAGAAAGGAGCGCTCCCTCTTTGCTCAAGAGGCTTTGCATGGCTATTCCCGAAGCCAGAAGAGCAAGAGGGATCGGTGCGCACCGATCCCTCTTGCTCTTCTGGCTTCTGGGATAGCTGCGCAGCCTCTTCATGGCAGCGGGATGAAGGTTCCCCCTGCCCCGAAGAGGCTGCGCAGCTATCCCAGAAGCCAGAACAGCATTCGCTCCATAAGATGCACACACATTTCCCCTTACTTTTTAGGAGGGGAAAAGTGTGTTTTATAGAGCGAAAAATACAGTAATCTAAAAGAAGAATGGGGCAACTATGGCCCTCCAAAAAGTTGCCGAATCTCAGTCAACATAGCCAATGGTGAGGGGTGATGGGAACTGTAGTCTAGCAAGATCTGGAAGGTCACAGGTTCCTCATTCCCAAAACTTTCAAAAAAGTATGGTTTTCGTTTTTAAAATTCACTTATACATTCGTAGCAATGTCTCAGTAAATTGGTTTTTGTTCTATGGCTGTGAGTGGCATACTTACACCTTTGTCATGGCTGGACCATTTCCCGGGGAGGTTTGACCCGTAGGGGTGCTGGGGGACCAATCTGTTATCCCATTCCCTGGCAGACTTATGGTATCCGAGGGATTCCTGAATGCCATGGGGATTTTCTGGACAGCAAGACTGATGCTCCTGCCAAGGACCTAATCTTACTATGGAATAGCAAGAAAATCAATGGGATCACTCCTCTGACGCTGTAGAGCTCAGGGTTTTCCAGTGAACTTCAGACAATGAAGCAGGCTGGGCGACAGCTGGAGCATATCACAAATCTTTTAACGAAGCCAGCCAAACACAGGCTGGAGCACATGGCGGTGGCTAAAATGCGGTGGTGGCAAAGAAAAATGACTTCTCAGCCACCACTGCATCCAGCATGGCTCCTCAGAGTGATCAAGGAACTAGTGAAACCTGGGTCGGAATCTGTAACTTCTTAACCCTCCGAGACTTGCTGCAACTAGCTTGCAAGGGATTTGTTCATCTTCACTCTCCCTTTGAAACTGCTGTTAGTACCATTTCAGAAGATCCGTCCAGAACCAGTGGTACCAAATAGTATGGGAAACAGCCTTACTAGAAAAATTAACCAATAAACTGAAACTGACACGGGGACAAACAGAAGAAGACACCTTTACCCCGGTATGGCGCCCCTTTATCACATACACAGCCCAACAAGACAATGACAATTATCCACCAACAGCATACAAATCAATATGGCTAACCTGATCCAAAACACCCACCCACCCCACTCACACATGAAAACAAAGACCACCACAGCCAATCACAAACAACCACACCCTAGGCCAACCCCAACCTCTCTCACCACCAACGAAACACAAATGAACAGCAGAGAACCTACACGAGCAACGCTGACACCAAACCCCACATACATTAAGCAAAATAGAAACATCGCCCCCCACCCCACCCCATCTTCACCCCTCTCTCCCTTTTCTTCCTAATGTCTCAACAAATGAAACTGATTTGTAAAAATGTTACATGGAAAAAATACAAGAGAGACATTACACATACTTCTGTAAATCAAGAAAATCTTTAATAATAATTTAAAAAAGATGCATCCAGAAAACCATCTACTTCTGTTGTTCAGGATCAATGGCAGTTTTAACAGCCTGACAGCACTTGAAATCGAGTACTGCCAAATGCTTGCTCTTTCAGCCTTTGCCCAATGTAGCTTATTAGAGCTTGACGGCAGAGAAGAAAAGAAGAGTTTGGATTTGATATCCCGCTTTATCACTACCTGAAGAAGTCTCAAAGCGGCTAACATTCTCCTTTCCCTTCCTCCCCCACAACAAACACTCTGTGAGGTGAGTGAGGCTGAGAGACTTCAGAGAAGTGTGACTGGCCCAAGGTCACCCAGCAGCTGCATGTGGAGGAGCGGAGACGCGAACCCAGTTCACCAGATTACGAGTCTACTGCTCTTAACCACTACACGACACTGGCTATCAAAGTAACCTCTCTCAGAGGTTAGTTTGGTTGGTACAGGAATGGCAAATGCCTCATAGTGGATGGCCCCACCTGCTGTGAAAGCCGTGGTGGTGCCCCCCCCCCATTGGGGATCTCCCTATATTACTGTACTCGATATGCAAACTACAGAATCACACTTTTATCACAGTCGTCATCAGCCGTCGTCCACCTGCTTAGAAGCACATGGCAATGAAGGAACCACCATTGTCTCGTGTGGCACTGGAGGAGCTCCTCTGCAGTAAAAGCAACAACGCCTGGACCCCTTCCCCCCTCTACTCTTCTCCCAACCCACTACCAAAATTGACCAAACATGCAGAAAGGCAGCCGCCATCGCCTTATCAGTTGAGCGGCAGTGGTTTCCTGTTTTATAGGTGAAAAAACTGCAGGCCCGAATGCTGCTTTGTCTTTGAATTGCTGTTGCAGCCAGATAAACGATTTACCCCCCTACCTATCCTATGGGGTGCTGAGATCAGTCTCTTTTCCACACACACCATAAGACAGAAAGTGCAAAGCACGTCTCAGGCTATCAGGGTCACCATTCCGGCAGCTGCCCAGGCTCACGCCCCTTCTAGTGGGCGCAATGCCCACCCCTCAGAGCCTGCTGGTCCTGATAGTCGTCGTCCTCCTCCTTCCTGCAGTCATTGTTCTGCTCACCTGCCCTCTCTACTCATGCAAGCAGCGACAAGGAAGAAGATGGAACAGTGTGTACAGTACTGGCAGCCCCACTTCAAACAGGGAAAGCTTCAGAAAAGGGCAAGCAAAATGATCAGGTGGGTCTGGCATCTCCATGAGGAAAAGTTGTAGCATTTAGGGGTGTTTATTGGAGGTTTATGGGACGCGGGTGGCGCTGTGGGTTCAACCACAGAGCCTAGGACTTGCTGATCAGAAGGTCGGTGGTTCGAATCCCTGTGACGGGGTGAGCCCCGTTGCTCGGTCCCTGCTCCTGCCAACCTAGCAGTTCGAAAGCACTTCAAAGTGCAAGTAGATAAATAGGTACCACTCTGGTGGGAAGGTAAACAGCGTTTCCGTGCGCTGCTCTGGTTCGCCAGAAGCGACTTAGTCATGCTGGCCACATGACCATGAAGCTGTACGCCGGCTCCCTCGGCCAATAAAGCGAGATGAGCGCACACAACCCCAGAGTCGGCCACGACTGGACCTAATGGTCCCCTTTACCTGATTGGAGTAAGAGGTAACACAATAGAAGCTTACAAAGTTGTGGCCCAAGATAAAGATAAAGAACCGTAAGAAGAAAGAGGACAGGGAGGCCTTGAAGTTAGGCCATCAATAGTTAGCAGCACCCTAAACAGCAGCCTGGGCAGAAACAGGAGCCACCTTGTGGCAACACCCACCCAGTGAGATGTGGCATATTCCTTTTAAAATTACAGTAATTATTCCATAATTTGCATGAACTTAGTATATGCAAATGCTATGCAAATCTGCATCTTGTATGGGGTGGGCAGAGTGAGGCATTCTCTCCTTTTTTACTGATGCATACATGGCCAAATTCCCAGTAGTGATGTATGGAAGTGAAAGCTGGACCATAAAGAAGGCTGATCGCCGAAGAATTGATGCTTTTGAATTATGGTGCTGGAGGAGACTCTTGAGAGTCCCATGGACTGCAAGAAGATCAAACCTCTCCATTCTGGAGGAAATCAGCCCTGAGTGCTCACTGGAAGGACAGATCCTGAAGCTGAGGCTCCCATACTTTGGCCACCTCATGAGAAGAGAAGACTCCCTGGAAAAGACCCTGATGTTGGGAAAGATGGAGGGCACAAGGAGAAGGGGACGACAGAGGACGAGATGGTTGGACAGTGTTCTCGAAGCTACCAGCATGAGTTTGACCAAACTGCGGGAGGCAGTGGAGGACAGGAGTGCCTGGCGTGCTCTGGTCCATGGGGTCACGAAGAGTTGGACATGACTAAACAACAACAACACATGCCCAAATGTGCAGCATGTGCAGCAAAGTTAGTCCTATGCCTACCTTTCTTTTAGGAAACTGGTTCCTTTTAGAAACAAAACCGTTAAGATCAGAAAGGCCTGAGAGATCCAGGAGAGGGTTTATCATTAAACCAATTATAATGGTTTTAAATCTACGTCTGATCAAAGGATCTCTCTCTCTCTCACCACCCTCAGTGCGCCGCCGCTGTTAAAAACTCACAAGGCAATTTACAGTAACGAAAGTGGCAAGGCATGTGCGCACATGTACAATTCATAAAAATTAAGCCTCAGCCTGAACGCAAACATCTGGGCAGGATGTGGTGAGCGACTCTTTCCCTCATGGCTAGCAGGGCACCTGGTTGGCTTTCCGGCACTGGGAGGATGAACAGTGGGTAGTGAGAGTAATAGTTATTTTCAAGGAAGTGTGGTTTTGGTGTTTGGGTTTTTTTGAGGGGGTGGTACTGGGTGTGGGGGCCAGCTCTACAGGGTAGGAGGGTGGAAGGGCATTGGGCCTTTATCATTTCAGCAAAGAGGGTTCTGGGAAAGATTTCCTGAGACAAGGTGAGGTCTTTCCCCCTCCCCAGATGAGACTCACCAAGCCTGCCATGTTAAGAGAGAGCCAGGGCTACGGGTGATGTCAGCGGAGGGATATTATTACAGTTTTATGGCCTGCTGCCCTGTGGGCGGACAGGAAACGGTTGTCTTGCGGTGCTATGCTAAAATGCGTACACTGATCCTGTTAGGAAGTGATATGTTGGTCCTCATCAGCTGCCTCGTGAACGTGAGCTAGGACAGTCAGTTACAGAGAGTATCATCGTACAGTGGTCCCTTGGGTTAAGTACAGTGGTACCTCAGGTTACATACGCTTCAGGTTACAGACTCCGCTAACCCAGAAATAGTGCTTCAGGTTAAGAACTTTGCTTCAGGATAAGAACAGAAATCGTGCTCCTGCGGCGCAGCGGCAGCAGGAGGCCCCCGTTAGCTAAAGTGGTGCTTCAGGTTAAGAACAGTTTCAGGTTAAGTACGGACCTACGGAACGAATTAAGTACTTAACCCGAGGTACCACCATCTGTCCCAGAAGGAAGCTGTGCTCCCTAATTCTCTCCTCCTCAGTCTCTGTACACATACACACACACACAGCACTGTACGCGCTCAGAGGCACTCTTTATATCATTATATGGGATATATTCCTTCACATCTGCTTCTTTAAAGAAGGGGCTTCAAGAGCCTCAAATTTCCAGAGTGCTGCTGGTTTAGATTCTTGCTGACTCAGTACACGACCTCCTCTTGCACAGTTTAAGAGAAAGTCTGTGCGAGAGAAACCACAGTGAAAGGACAAGGGGTGAGTCAGAGGCCAGGCTGGTAGCTTGCCACCTCCGGATGCTGCCACCTTCAAGGAAATGTTTCGCCTCTTTTGCCAACGGGCACAACTGCTTGGACCAGGAGAATTATCCTGTGCAATCAGGAGTCCAAAATGTTTGCCTGTCAACCCACCAAGGCTTGCGGATCAAGCAAGGAGGAGGAGGTTGCAAGACAGGAAAGTGGCAACAGGCTTCAGTTGGCTCAAGTGAGCAGGTCAAGCTTGCTGCCACATATCAGGTGGTGGGGTGGTCCGAAATACAATTTTCCTCCACCAGCTGGCTGGAGAAAAGGGTGCCGCCGGGCATGCGCAGAGTACCTTTGTGTCAGTATTAAAGGAATAAAAGCCACATGTTTGGGCGTTTCAAGTCCTGAGTAGTCAGTCCACCCACCCAACGCTTTAAACAAAAACACATTAACAGCAAATTAAGCTCTGAGGTGCCAACCCTGGGAAAAATGATTCCTTGGTCCCCCAAAGGATATGCTAGAGTTAGGCTGAGGTAAAAGGAAAATGACACTCACCATTTGTTTGCACCAGGCACAGCTGGGATGGGAACGGATGCACTCGTGGCAGGAGGGATGAGGCTGGCATGAACCTGCAAAGGAAACACAGGTGGGCTAATGCCAGATTTCTGCCTGCAATCTCTCTCTCTCTCTCCCACTGTCCTCTGCTGAGACACCTGACAGTCCCCAGGCAGTCTGGTTGGCCAGTCTGGTTCTATCTCCTCTTCCAAACCCATTGTTGGGAAGCTGCTAAACCTCATGAACACGCAGTCAGACAATCCCTAAGCACAGGACAATAAGGCTGAAATCCCCTCCCTCACTTAAGCACTAGTAAGCTCCATTGAATACAATGGAGATTAATTCTGATTACTACTATTATTTAATTTATATACCACTTTTATGCCGAAATGACTTCTAACTATACAGTTAATTACCCACTCTGAGCCCGGCTTCGGCTGGGGAGGGCGGAATATAAATTTTAAAAAATTATTATTATTATTAATCCACAATTAAAATGCTCAACAACATTAGGGGGTTAGTCATACTTACCTTTCCTCTGCTCTTTCTATCGCACCCCCCTTTTCCCCTTTTTCTTTTTTCTTTGGAGCTTTCCCTGCAGAAACCCGTTCTTTAAAGCTCAATCAGAGCAAACAGCAATTAGCTGAAAACCCGAATTTATGTTTGCTTCATTTGAGCAGTAAAAAAACTGCTCAGACACAGAGCTTTTAAGCATGGACCAGTGCCTGGAATGAGCGGGCCAAATGGTAAGTGTAGTTAAGCCCTAAGACATCTCAAATTAAAATGTACAATAAAACAGTTAAAAAGCATAACAATCAAAGCAGTAAAAACAAGCCACAAGTTCAAATTAGGGGAACCCTTGCTTAAAATTTTTGCTAGAGCCTCTTGTATTTCAGCAGGGAAGGCATTCAACAACACTGGTGTCACCACTGAAAAGGCCCTGTCTCCATGTTACCACAAGTAGATTATAATCAGGCCATGGCAAAACCAACCAGATTCCATTAGCTGATTGCAGGCAGTGAATATGGTTTTTCAGGTAACCTGGTCCAGAGTTACTTAGTGTGCAAGTAGCAGTGCCTGAAAACTGGCTCGGTGGCTAACAGGCAGCTAGCACAGATCCCTCACACTAGTATGATATCTGCCTGAGAAGAAGCCCCACTCACCACTGGGGCTGCAACCAGCTGCAGTCTCTGGACCAAAGACACAGAGGATACCTTCCAACATTTCTCCAATGAAAATAGGGACGTCTTAAGGAAAAGTGGGACATTCTTGGATCAAATCAGAATCCAGGACGGCTTCTGAAAATCCAGGACCTTTCCTGGAAAACAGGGACACTCAGAGGGTCTGCTGCACTGCCAGCTAAAAGGTTGAAACTCTGACATTCTCCCCCTCTCCACATGTGCAAAACCCATCTCTCCCCTTTACCTGTATCCAGCATCTTCTCTGCATGTACCATTGTAAGGAGAATAAACAGAAGCCACAGTCTCACAGTCCATCCAGTGGGAAGCATAGCCTGGTAAGCAAGATTAAAAAGCAGAGTGGGGTTGTTAGGGGAACTGGAGAAGGAGATGCTGTTCTCTTCCTCCTGTACAGAAAAGGATAGCTGGATTACTGTTGGGCGAAGGGCGGGGGCAGTATTGTGGGCATGAGTGGAGCCTAAGTCCCGTGGTGGTTGAGCATATGCTATGCATGTTGTACAAGGTCCCAGGTTCAATCTGTAGATCTCTGGGAATCCAAAGGATCCGGGCACTACCAAGTGATATGGAAGACCTCTGCCTGGGGTCCCTGGAGAGATGCCACCAATCAGAGTAGACAATAAAAAGATAAAGGGGCCCCAGACCATTGGGTCCATTAGTGGCCGACTCTGGGGTTGAGGCGCTCATCTCGCTTTACTGGCCAAGGGAGCCAGCGTACAGCTTCCGGGTCATGTGGCCAGCATGACTAAGCCGCTTCTGGCGAACCAGAGCAGCGCACGGAAACGCCGTTTACCTTCCCAACGGAGCGGTACCTATTTATCTACTTGCATTTTGACATGCTTTCGAACTGCTAGGTTGGCAGGAGCAGGGACCGAGCAACGGGAGCTCACCCTGTCGCGGGGATTCGAACTGCTGACCTTCTGATCGGCAAGTCCTAGGCTCTGTGGTTTAACCGACAGCGCCACCCGCGTACCATGGAGTAGACAATACTGGATATTTTTATATATATGTATCCCACACTTCCTCCCAAAGGAGCCGAAGGCACCAAACACATCAGTAAGTAAAAAGGTGAAGGTACCCCTGCCCATTCGGGCCAGTCTTGCCAGACTCTAGGGTTGTGCGCTCATCTCACTCTATAGGCCAACGCTGTCCGCAGACACTTCTGGGTCACGTGGCCAGCGTGACAAGCTGCATCTGGCGAGCCAGCGCAGCACACGGAACGCCGTTTACCTTCCCGCTGGTAAGCGGTCCCTATTTATCTACTTGCACCCGGAGGTGCTTTTGAACTGCTAGGTTGGCAGGCACTGGGACCGAACGACGGGAGCGCACCCCGCCGCAGGGATTCGAACCGCCGACCTTTCGATCGGCAAGTCCTAGGCGCTGAGGCTTTTACCCACAGCGTCACCTGCGTCCCTTAAACACATCAGTAAGAAACATTTAAAAACAATCAATGTTTGGAAGTGTTGGGTGGCTGGACAGACAAATAAAGTGGCCACAAGATATAAGGAAGCTTCCAAGATTCCTATGAATGTTGGTTCTACAGCTGAGTCCAATGACCCTCTCACACATAAGGCTTATATCTGTGCCACCGTCACTTTTTAACGCAACAGTGGAACTGTAGCCTGCATTTATAACATTGGCACATGAGGTCTGCCACGTGAAAAGCTGGACTGTGACCACAGCTTCAGGATGGCTGGGCATATTAACCTGAAACAGAGGTGTATTCAGAGGCATACCTAAGGCTTGGTGAAACCAGCCCCCAGCAGGGGTGCAGACCCAGAGGGGTGTGCGTTCAAAAATCACCCCAGAAATCTGTCTCCGGTTATCTGTGAGAGTATTATAGACAAGAGCTCTATGGGAAAGCGCCCTGTTAGAAAAGTTGACCAACAAACAAGCTAGCACGGGGACAAGCAAAATTGGAAGCCTTCCCCTCAGTACGGTTCCCCTTTATCCAGTGCTTTTTTCGGGGGGGGGGGGCGTAGGGGTACACATACCCCCTAAACATTTTGTGAATCTTTGCGCTTTTACTGTAGTTATTTTTCCTGATCTGAACTATAAAATGGTAATTTTTCTGGAGTCAAAATGAGAGTACGTCCTAAACATTTTTTTTTAGAAAAAAAGCACTTTCTTTATCACCAGGCATAGGCAAACACGGGCCCCCAGATGTTTTAGGACTACAACTCCCATCATCCCTGACCACTGGTCCTGTTAGCTAGGGATGATGGCTAAAAACATCAAAAACATCTGGAGGGCCGAGTTTGCCTATGCCTGCTTTATCACATACATAGCCACAACCGATCCCCGCCCCCCCCCCCACCACCAGCATACAAATCAATATGGCTAACCTGACCCCACAACCTAGCCCCCCCCCCTTTACAAACAAGCCACACTGCAATCAACTGAACACAGCCAAGCAGGTTCGGGGGACCCCCCCCCCAAAAAAACCCCTACGCTAAGACTTTAGGCAAGAGAATGAAAGAACAATAACCTCCCAATCTCCCTTCCTTTCTTTTTCCGCAACTGCAAGACGTCTGTGACAAAAAAAGTGTCTCTCGCTAAATGTAAATGAGCTGTGAAAAAGACTCTATGAATTGGAAGTGGAGACAATAAATGTACCTTTCTCTGCATCTGTTTTGTAACACAAAAAAATCCTTAATAAAAACTACCGTATTTTTCGCTGTATAAGACGCACCAGACCACAAGACGCACCTAGTTTTTGGAGGAGGAAAACAAGAAAAAAATATTCTGAATCTCAGAAACCAGAACAGTAAGAGGGATCACTGCGCAGTGAAAGCAGCAATCCCTCTTGCTGTTCTGACTTCTGTGATAGCTGCGCAGCCTGCATTCGCTCCATAAGACGCACACACATTTCCCCTTACTTTTTAGGAGGGGAAAAGTGAGTCTTATAGAGCAAAAAATACGGTATTTTAAAAAGAAAAGAAAAAGCTGAGTAGGAAAGCTGAGCAGTAGGAGAAATGGCAAGAAGGTTTGAGACTGGCGTGCATGACGCAAATATGTGCATATACAACGTTGCTGTCGTGGTGAGATCAAATGTGGGAGAATCTTCCTGTGCTTCTTGCACGCTGTACAAAGACGTGCAATTTTTTTCCACCCTTCCATCTTGCATCACCCTCAATGCAGACACTTCAAATACCTGGGTTGCCTAAAATTTTGTAATTTCTAATGTGGCTATTGCAGCAAAGTGGGGGGGGGGGTTTAAGGGGGGGCACCAATACAGCTACTTGCCGAGAGCACAAGGGATCCTAGGTTTGCCTCTGGGTATGCTGTGTCTTTAAAATTTCTCATTATGAAGCAAGATTTGGGGATCCCTTGCTCGTAAAAGCACTATCCCAAGACAGGTTATGTGTGCAAACCATTCGAGCAAAATACATGCTGGTAAGACACATGTTTGCAATCTAAATCTGATCTAAATTCTGGAAAGTTCTGCAAAGCTATGAAAAACAATGGCACTTCAAAACTTAATTGCCTTTCTGAGCAACACACTGTTTACAACTTGTGAGTAAAAACACACATTTCTACAGAAGACACTGTTTATGAGTAAAACCATGCCTTCAAAACAAGCGATGACTCCATCTATTACACGGATTAGTCATTCTGTGCTGCCTGCTCAGAGATAAAGAAAGTTCGTGAAATCTTATTCTTTCACAATTTGACTCGGAGGTGGCGAAAGATAAAGAAACGGCAACCTGAACTATTCTAGCCGAAGCGTTCCTGGAGCATAAAGTGTTTGATTTCCACAGATACTTGAGGAAAAGATCTCAAACCTACCTTGAAGCTGACTTGGCTGCCGGTCACAACTGTCCGTGGCAAAGTTCTGCAGCAAGGGAGCTATGCACTCTGAGGCAGTGGAAGCAGGTCTTAGGCCAACTCCAGAGGCTGTGCTTCCCCTTAGAGGTAACCAAGGAACACTGAACCCTGCAAGATTATCTCAAGACAACCCCTCCCTTCCTGTGAAGAAAGGGCAAGCCCAACAGCATGCAGCTAGCTTGTTTCTGCCTCAGCTACAAAAATATATTGGGGGAAATACTGTAATCAACTACCTGCACTTTCAGAGAGGGTGCACAGAGGCAGCGTACTAATCTATCTCATGCACACCCCTGTGTGTCTCCACCCTCTGGAACTCAAGGCACGGGTTTCCCCAAGTGAATTGCCTTGATTCAAAGAATTGACCAGCCCCAGACCTGCTTAGTTTCAGCAAAGTGCCTTTGGACCAGAACTGAGGAACCTGTGCTACCCCCTCCAGATATTGTTAGGACTCCATCTCCCATCATCCCTGGTCATCATTGGCTGTGATAGATGGAGATGGTAGGAGTTGGAGTCAAGCAAGGTTCTGGAAAAAAAAATTAAGGATATATATATATATATATATTCATAAATGTGCTTGCCAGGCGCACACATGGATATGTGGACCACATGTCTGGAGCAGCCCAGGAAGACTGCCCTGAAACCATTTTGACTCCCAAACTGACCAAATGTTTTCTCTGCAAGGAGGGAGGGGGTGAGGGAACCTTCCCATTGTCTCAGGAATTGGGTAAGCACCATCTCAGGAAAGGCAATCAGATAAGACATTATCAGATAACCTGGCAGACAGGAAAAACAACAACATTCAAATTTCTGTTGTAGACCGCCTTTTCTGTGATGTAGGTATGATGTTTGTGGGGGGTGGTCTTGGGTTACACCCCTTCTGTGATGTATGTATGATGTATGGAGGGGTGGTCTTGAGCTCCAGGGCAGGGAATTTAAAATGTCTATATAAGGGCAGGCACACCTTGGTTCTGGGTCCTCCTCCTTTCCTGCGTGTGAGGGGAGCGCCCTGTTGCAACAGCGTTAATAAAGATCAGGCTTACTAGCGGCTTCGCTTCTCAATATCCTCTGGTTGGCCTCTGTTATTTTCTCCGATCGATGGAGAACCTACAAAGGACTCTATAAGGGCTCTTGTGTCCCCCATAAGGGAATAAGGGCAGATTTTTGTTTATTACAGTTCAGACCATGTCCTTAGATGTTCTTGAGCTGGGGAGATGGATGCTTTGGCATCCAAAGGAGCACATGGCTGAGAGCTTTTCTAACCTCTGTTGGCTGCCTGACAATGCATCCCATGTACCCATGGGGATGCATTGAATCCACTTCACATTGTTATGTGGACGTGAGGGTATTTTGGGAAATGATGTATAATGAGATTAAAGAAAGGTGTTTGAAGTGATAACACATTCCAATGGTGGGTGGGGCCACAGGTAAAAGTGGGTGGAGCAACGAATGCAAATTTTCACCTCTGTACAGTAAGCCGGTTTCTACAAGTAGCCCTTTCTGTGTGCAAGGAAGAAACACCATCAGATTTCAAGGACGCATTCTAGCCAAGCAAAAACACCCAACAAGGGTGAAATGCAGGGCTGGTGATGGGGTGTGTCTAGGGGGAAGGGGGAGTCCAATAGGCCAGATGGAGAGGACCGCATGGCCCCATTTCTCCCCCCAGGCCTGAGATTTCCACATTGTTATGTAGCTCAGCATATCATGAGGCTCAAAGCGAGGGTGTGGGTGTTTCATTCATCTAGGGTGGTGGTGGTGGAACAGTTCGGCTGGCTCAGTTTTGAGAAAAGCCCAACACCACCTCATGTCTCCATATAAACCAAATCAAACAAAAAGTTGCATAAATTTCCACTGTGTTGCTCTCCTTATAAGGACTTCTTTTGCCTGAGATCGACGCGTGGTTACAAGATGCACCGCAATCAGTTCACATCTGCTGTTGCTGTGTTGCATCAGGCCCAACAAACAAAAGAACGAAACAAAAGAAGCTCCCATGCAAGGAAGCCCAGAGTACAATAGAGTCCAAGGTTGCTTATCTCATGCATCTAATTTGCCCAATGTCAAAGAGGCTTTGCAGGTTTTCAGCGCTTCAAAAACCTGCAAAACGTGTTTGGCCGGATAACTGTGCTGTTCCTTGCACGAGTGAAGAAAGCTGGGAAATAGTGTGAGCTAACAACCAATCTTTTCTTCAATTTTAACACAGAAGGCTTTCATCATGATCAACCTTCCAGCTTCTGCTAGTTCCCTCTCACATCTCCCACTTTCCGATACTCAAAATAGCATTAAATAACCCCTACGCCCACCATATAAAACTGTAGCTTACAAGAGAACAAAAACAAGACGACAGAACAGCATGTACTGCATCTATAAGAAAAACAACAACAAAATGACACACACACACACACACACACACCAAATGACATCCAAGTCTATTCAGAATTGTTCTTCCTGTCTCTGTGGTGCCTTGTAGATCTTCTGATAACTTGTACCCTTCACCCCGTATGTGATTTACTGGCTGCAGCTCCAGGTCCCCATCACATTGCTGAGGTTGCCAAAAATCAGCTTGTTACTGTGCCCAGGGTTCAAGTTCTTCGATGTCACCTGTCCCTCCTCGATGGCTGGCCATTTGATGCTGACACAGTGCAGGGCTTCTACTTTAATTGCCCTTGTGGTCTTGCTGAGCAATCATAAATATGCACCTGGTCATTTGACTGCAATTGCTCTATGTTCTTTTGAGCCTCTGCCATTATATGCCTTTTGTTTTCCTTTCAGTCTATCCAAATAAATAAAATAGATAAAAATAAAATAAACCTTTATTGTCACTACACCACCTGTGTGCAGTGAAATTAAACGAGCCCCCCCCCCCCCATACACTCAAGTCTTGTTCGCGCTCTGTGTGCTTGTCGGAAGTCAATTGCACCACTACAGTGGTGCCTCGCAAGACGAAATTAATCCGTTCTGCGAATCTCTTCGTCTTGCGGTTTTTTCGTCTTGCGAAGCACGGCTATTAGCGGCTTAGCGGCTATTAACGGCTTAGCGGCTTAGCGGCTATTAATGGCTTAGCGGCTTTAAGAAAAAGGAAACAAACTCGCAAGAACTCGCAAGACGTTTCGTCTTGCGAAGCAAGCCCATAGGGAAATTCGTCTTGCGGAACGACTCAAAAAACGCAAAACCCTTTCATCTAGCGAGTTTTTCGTCTTGCGAGGCATTCGTCTTGCGGGGCACCACTGTATTTTTTTTGCATTCAGCAGCCCACGGATAAAAACTGTTCTTTAACCTGTTGGTGCGGCTGACTATACTTCTGTATCTCCTGCCCCCCTCGTTAGGAGATTAACGAGGTGCTAGCCAGGGTGTGAGTCGTCCCTAAGAATTTTCCTCACTCTCCTGAGGCAGCGGTCTCCAACGATGTCATCTAGCGAACTCCGGGAACAGCCCATGATATCATGTGCTGTATTCACCGCCCTCTGTAGGGAGGCCCTGTCTGTGGCTGTCAAACCAGCGTACCACTTTCTATTGTGGCCCGGTAGAAGGAGATCGTCAATTTTTGTTTGAAATTGTTCTTTTGAAAGACCCTGAGGAAATGGAGTCTCTGTTGGGCCTTCCTAACCACCTGGGTTGTATTGATTTTCCAAGTGAGGTCCTCACTAAGGTAAACACCCAGGAAATTAAAGGAAGAGACTCTCTCCACACAGCCCCCCCCCCGATATACAATGGGGCTGGTTCCCCTCTCTTCCTCCGAAAGTCCAACACCATCTCCTTTGTCTTGCTGATATTTAGGTGCAAGTTGTTCTCTAGGCACCATGTGGAGACTTTTTGAACCTCCTCCCTATAGGCTGATTCATCTCCACCTGTAATGAGACCCATTATGGTGGTATCATCTGCAAACTTAAGACTTGCAGTGGATGGATCAGATGAAATACAGTCATATGTATACGAGTACAGGTAGGGACTCAGCACGCTTCCCTGTGGGGTGCCAGTGCTGAGCTTCAGAGAGGTAGATGTAACAGGCCCAATCCTCACTATTTGTGTACGATCCCTCAGAAAGTCTTTAATCCAATCACAGATGGTAGGGGAAAGGTCCGGGCCCGTCAGTTTTTTAATAAGAATGTCCGGAAGGATGGTATTAAAAGCCAAGCTATAATCAATAAACAGCATTTTGATATAATTCCCCGGTCTCGCCAGATGACTCATTGCAAGGTGAAAGGCTGTAGCTATGGCATCATCTGTTGATCTATTTCTCCTCTAAGTGAACTGGTGTTCATCAAAATCCGGTGGAAAACATGTCCTGGTAGTTTATTGTTGTACATTGTTTTAATTGTTTGTTTTCCTTCTGTGACTGTGCCCCCAAGTGTGTTTTATAAGCTGGTCTCTGACCGTAATAAATGATCTATCTAAAACATGTCCTGAGGTGCTGAACATGTTTCCAGAAGCGTACTGCGTTATTCCTTCAGCCTCTGATAATTGGGCAACTCTGTTCACATAACCCTTTCAAACAGAAGCTCAGCTTTTCATGTTCCAGAGGAGATGCTCCATAATCCAGCAAAGCCGGTGATGGGCCAGTACCTGAATCCTGTTATTTCTTTACAACTTGTACTTCCATTTTCAACGAGACCATTCAACTGAGAATATTTGTGGCTTGATGTGATCTGAAGAAATCCCATAAACTTTGGAGAAGTTCTGAAACTCACAACAAGCCAAACTGAGGGCCATTATCTGTCCAAACCCCCTCAGAAATGCCATGCCAAGCAAAATAAATAACTAAATAAATAAATGACTATTTTCCCAATTCCCTGGGAATGGACACTAGTGGTGTCCATTAGTAAAGCAACCTCTGGATATTAAGAAAATTAGTCCACAATCAGGGCATAGTGAGGATTTTTGCACATGCAAGCCAATATATTGGTCCAACTTTTGGTCCACGTCAAAATAGGTTATTAGATCACCAGCATGGGCTGTTTGGGCTGACAAGCAATGCATCCTTTCACAAGTGCTTCAATGTCACGATTAATTTGAGACCAGAACAAAACATCAAATAAAACTTTTTAAACATTGTCTTCCCATTTAACTTCCAGTTCAGAGGCATTTGAGTCGCACCTGATATTGCTCTCAGTTCAAATGCTCTTAATTTCACTTTCCTATTATCCCTGTAGCTTGGTTTCCTTTGTAGCAGGTATAGGCAAACTCCGGCCCGCCAGATGTTTGGGACTACAATTCCCACCATCCCTGACCATTGGTCCTGTTAGCTAGGGATGATGGGAATTGTAGTCCCAAACATCTGGAGGGCCAGAGTTTGCCTATGCCTGCTTTGTAGCATTGCTTTGCTTTCAGGAATCACATTTGTGCTCCAGTGTTTTGTTTAAAGTTCACTTTGCTGCCATTTATCTCTAACTTAATATTCCAACCTTCTGGTGATATAGATCGTTGCAGAACTGCTTTCTTCCTGTGACACTGTTGTAATAAAAAATTAAGGTCTTATGTATATAATAAATGTTCATAAATGTACCAACCAAGCACGTACAGAGATATGTGGACCACATGTCTGGAGCAGCACAGGAAGACTGCCCTGAAACCATTTTGACTCCCAAACTGACCAAATGTTTTCTCTGCAAGGAGGGAGGGGGTGAGGGAACCTTCCCATTGTCTCAGGAATTGGGTAGGCACCATTTCAAAGGAATGAGCAAACTACCAGGAAAGGCAATCAGATAAGGCATTATCAGATAATCTGACAGACAGGAAAAACAACAACGTTCAAATTTCTGTTGTAGACCGCCTTTTCTGTGATGTAGGTATGATGTTTGTGGGGGGTGGTCTTGGGTTACACCCCTTCTGTGATGTATGTATGATGTATGGAGGGGTGGTCTTGAGCTCCAGGGCAGGGAATTTAAAATGTCTATATAAGGGCAGGCACACCTTGGTTCTGGGTCCTCCTCCTTTCCTGCGTGTGAGGGGAGCGCCCTGTTGAGAGCCAATGTGGTGTAGTGGTTAAGAGCGGTAGTCTCGTAATCTGGGGAACCGGGTTCGCGTCTCCGCTCCTCCACATGCAGCTGCTGGGTGACCTTGGGCCAGTCACACTTCTCTGAAGTCTCTCAGCCCCACTCACCTCACAGAGTGTTTGTTGTGGGGGAGGAAGGGAAAGGAGAATGTTAGCCGCCTTGAGACTCCTGAAGGGGAGTGAAAGGCGGGATATCAAATCCAAACTCTTCTTCTTCCTCTTCTTGCAAGAGCATTAATAAAGATCAGGCTTACTAGCTGCTTTGCTTCTCAATATTCTCTGGTTGGCCTCTGTTATTTTCTCCTACTGATAGAGAACCCACTTAAGGACTCTATAAGGGCTCTTGTGTCCCCCATAAGGGAATAAGGGCAGGTTTTGTTTACAACACTGTGCACAGGTTGCAGTTTCTTCTTGCCACTAATTTTGTTTGCAGGCTCTAGCAAACCTTCAGCCATCTGCTGCGTGTTTTTCCACCAGCCCTGCGCTGCTGTGGGTGCATTCACACGGCCACATTTCCTGCAAACTTCGGCTTGCTGTTCCAAATAAGTCAAAACTAGGTTTTGAGTGAGGCTCACAGCCACCCTCCACCATGTCTGCTAGAAGTCACAATCCACAAACTCAACAAAACTCTTTCCTTCAAACAAATAAACTGTACTCTCTTTTGTATGTGATTTCTTGCAACTCAGCAGATTTCAATTGCTTTTTGCTAAAGTAAAGAAATTTCTAGCAATTTCCCAGTCAGTTTGCATATCTGTTTCTTAGGCCAATCTGATCCCTTATTAGTCAGAAGTTTCATTATTATTTTCAGTACTTTTTTCGGGGGGGGGCACGCAGGGGTATGGATATCCCTAAACATTTTGTGAATCTTTGTACTTTTGTCCATTTACTGTATTAATTTTTCCTGATTAAAACTATAAAATGGTGATTTTCTTGAGTCAAAATGAGAGTACCCCTAAACATATTTTTTTTAGAAAAAAAGCACTGATTATTATTATTTCATTATCTCCCATCAATCGAGGATCACAGAGATTTACAGTATGTTTATGATCTGGCTCAGCCTTCGCAGAAAGCTCTAAGAATTCTGTCTCACTTTTTTTATTGTATGAAGAAACCTCTCTTTCAAACATCTTGCTTTTTTTGCTTTGTGTGCAAACGTTCCTCAGACTTGTTAACCACACTATCACATTTAGGCTTTTTTTTCTGCAGCTAGTGAAAAGGTGTTAAACAAATCAGCATCTTTGGGGCCCTGCAAAATTCACCAGCAGAGCTGCCTTCCTTTTATCCGTTGTCGTCTCGGCAGCTCCACTGGCTTCTATGAGCAGGTCAAAGTGCTGCTTAAATCTTCTCCAATTTTCTGGAGCACAGCGGAAGAGATCTAACACATCTAGGGCTTCTTTCTCAAGCTTTCTGGCTTCAAAATCAACGTATAAATCACTATCCCACTTCTGGTACTGCCTGTTGTTCCCTGTATTAGCGAAGAAAGCAGGGAGCTGTCCTAGACTAAGATCAAATGTTGTATTTAGTTTCAACTCAAAATACCTTCAGTCATGATCCTGCCGTTCCCCTCATGTGTTCTGGCGACACTCCTTGTTCATTCCAGCCCAGCTCTTTAAAGGAGCCAACTTTCAATTAGGGGCTTTCTTTATCAAACCCACAATACTTTTACTTAAAGAAATTTAGCATTGTTGGAGAGATATACAGTGGTACCTTGGTACTCAAATGGCTTGGCTCCTGAACAAATCGGCTCCTGAATGCCGCAAACCCGGAAGTAAGTGTTCCAGTTTGTGAATGTTTTTCGGAAACCAAACATCCGACACGGCTTCCGTTTGAGTGCAGGAAGCTCCTGCAGCCAATCGAAAGCCAGGCCTTGGTTTTCGAACAGTTTCGGGAGTCGGAACAGACTCCTGGAACAGATTAAGTTCGACAGCAGCAGCAAGTGGTGCTGGAGGAGACTCTTGAGAGTCCCATGGACTGCAAGAAGATGAAACCGATCCATTCTGAAGGAAATCAGCCCTGAGTGCTCACTGGAAGGACAGATCCTGAAGCTGAGGCTCCAATACTTTGGCCACCTCATGAGAAGAGAAGTCTCCCTGGAAAAGACCCTGATGTTGGGAAAGATGGAGGGCACAAGAAGAAGGGGACGACAGAGGACGAGGTGGTTGGACAGTGTTCTCGAAGCTACCAGAATGAGTTTGACCAAACTGCGGGAGGCAGTGGAAGACAGGAGTGCCTGGCGTGCTCTGGTCCAAGGAGTCACGAAAAGTCGGACACGACTAAACGACTAAACAACAACAACAAAGCAGCAGCAGCAAAAATTTTATTAGCACAAGTATGGAAAACAGAGAAAACGCCAACAAAGGAAGAATGGCAACTTAAGTTTACGGACTACGTGGAACTGGCTAAGCTGACAGAGGATACATGAGAGAGACAACATCAATTTCAAAAAGGACTGGGAACCATTTACAAATTATATAAAAAGACACTATAAAGATTTGGACCCATTGGCAGGTTTTGACTAAACTTTCACAACTATATAAGAGGTAAAACCAGCGGGGTATAGAATTTGTTTAATAAATCAATACAATAAATTAATAAATCAATACAGAAATACGGGGGAAGCCAAAGAAATATGGATATATATGAAGAGAAATATGGATATATAAATTGTTGATTTAATGTACCGGTATATGTGTTTTAAATTGTATTTATTGCTGTTTCTGGGAACTCACTGGGTGTTTATTGGGTGTAGGAATCCCACCCTGTTTTGCACATGAGCACTCTAGATATAACCTAGAGCTGAAACTAAAGAGAACTGTATTTGCCTGTTCTTTTCCGCAAGAGTCAGATGTCTCTCTCTTGCATTCTGTGGCCATTAACAACACTGCAAAGCTGCTCCGTCTCACGTAAACAGACTAACAGCTTCCACGTGAGTAACGTTCAGCAGCTGTTGGGCTTTTCAGTTGGCTGCTTGCAAAACGCTGGCTTTCAGAATGACTCCAGGATGAACTTTTAGAAAGAGGTCGTGACTAGCTGTACGGCTCTTTTACGATGTGGTATTTAATTCTGGTCTACGGGTCTCTTAAGAGGGTGGCCTGGTCCAAAAAGAGGACAGAGATCCTGACCCTTTAATTGCTGTGCAGAAGCGGGCAATTCAGCAGGTGTAGCCCACACCTGCTGAAACTCACCTCCCCTCTTTTTGCAGCTGGATACCCATAACCACCCATTGGGCCTCGCAAGTAAATAACACGAGGATATTTCTGAAGAGCTGGGGATTTCTCTGAAGTTTTCACCACACCACAACGAAGCAGTCTATTCAGTTTAAAATTCAAAACTTAAAAATAGAATGGCAGTTTTGAAGTTTCCGCTGCAATAGTTGGTAAGGCTATGCACACACCCCTCCAGGTGCGTGCAGAATAGAGCGTCCTCTCCCCACAGCCAGCCATGCATGCATAGAGCTGTGTTGGATCATGGTCCCAATGGGGGAAAAGCAGTGAGTCTGGAAAGAACGAGCAAATCAGGGCTATGGGAGCCAGTGTGGTGTAGTGGTTAAGAGCGGTGGACTTGTAATCTGGCGAACCGGGTTCGCTTCCCTGCTCCTCCACATGCAGCTGCTGGGTGACCTTGGGCCAGTCACACTTCTCTGAAGTCTCTCAGCCCCACTCACCTCACAGAGTGTTTGTTGTGGGGGAGGAAGGGAAAGGAGAATGTTAGCCGCTTTGAGACTCCTTAGGGTAGTGATAAAGCAGAATATCAAATCCAAACTCCTCCTCCTCCTCCTTCTTTGTACATGCCATTACCTTTAAAGCACATTTGAAATGCAGTCTTCCCTTCAAATAATTCTGGAAACTGTAACATACCCCTCACAGATCTAAAATTCCCAGCAACCTTAACAAACTTAACAAACCATTATTCTTTGGGAGAGAAAAAAAAATGATTCAAATGTGTTTTAAAGGTATGGACCAGAACAGCAGTCCCCTTGTGCAATCAAGCTGAAGAACCACGGATGTTAAGCTTCCTAAAACTGGCAGCAGATTGGAGTAATTGCCGTTGCTTGTATTTGTGGAAATGAAGAATCAGCCATTGGACTTTTGTTCCAGCATCCCTAGGTGTAACTCAAAATCTTTCACAGCTTCTAGAAGAACTGAAAGTTGTGTACACACTCCTGTGTTCCCACCGCTGGTTTTGGAGTCTACACACAAGGTTAGCCAACATCGTTATCTACCTTGCATTTATCCTGTTATTTTCCCCACCCCAACTAAGCTTTGATTCAAATTGAGGAAAATAATGACCTAGCTGTGTTTTAAGCTGGTAATGGGCACATAGCCCAAGCCTCACACTTCTTCCTAGGCACCATCTTAAGGCTATGAAGTATGCAGACCTCATGGCTTCAACATAAGCCAGTTTTCTTTCTTTCTCTGCTTCCCACCCTGTTTCTTAACATTCAGCTTGATATTAGAGAATTTTGAATGCTTGCTCACACTTTTGTGACAGTTTGACTGGTCCTAATAAAGTAGGGGTATCTAATCCGTGGCCCTCCAGATCTTGCAGAACTCCTATAATTCACGACCACTGGCCTGGCTGATGGGAGATGGGAGTCTAACATCTAGAGAGCACTATGTTGGCTACTCTATAAGAAAGGTGGCTGTGTCTGATGTGAATTTTGGATTCCCCATCACCATCTTACAGATTAATACAGCTGCCTTTTTTTAGATGAAAGCCATGACATTCAAATTGCAAAATGTGGAGCAATAAACACCTGATTTCATTATGAAAAATGATCTTCACAACACACCTTCGTAAAACTACAGGAAAATATGTACAAAAGAACTTTAGAAAGGGGGTAGAGCCAAGAAACAGAAAGAAGAAAGAGCTTAAGCCGTAAGTTAATTGAGCATTGTGCAGAATTTACCAAAAATATATCAGACAATGGAAGCAATTATACTGAACGTGGAGCAACACAAGAGAGCTTTGAATCCCAGATACTTGGATCATGTTGTGTTGCCGAAAGCAATTTGCTCAATCTTGGACTAAAAACGGAGATTTAAAGGGACATAACTTGAGGAGCAGTTGGGAAGATGAAGTAATTGATTAAAAAAATTAAGAACTATAAGGCGTTCCACACATCAAAAGTGCTATTTGCATGTTAAACGGAAAGTGGTCTCACAGGGAGGTTTTGTCACAGATAAACATAGACAATGTCAGTTTATCTGCATACCACATTTTCCACAAATGAGTTTGTGCTGAAAATACACAGCAAATAAACATTCTGATTACAATAACCTTAAGGTATAATTTAAAAAAAGGATCACTGGAGGTTAAGCAATTCATCAGTTCATGTAAAATAGGACAAACACTCACCAAATATGTCTTGCATGAACTTAATTCTGAATCAGTTAAGGTAGGGTAGGTTACCTTTTTTTTTAACTCTAAAAAAAGAAGACCTCTGCTGCTTTGTTCCTCCAGCATTCACAGGGGCTAACCAGATGCTTCGTGCAGGGATGCATGCAAGCAGGGCATAAAGAAAACCTCCTCCATTGTTTGCCATCAGCATGTCTTAGAGATCTACTGCTGAATGTGCCTAATTCTTAATTAAAAAACAACAACCCATTTTCATCAGGGTTGGCTAACCTGTGGCCCTCCAGATGTTGTGGAACTCCCATCAGCTAGCATGCATGGTCAATAGTCAGAGATGATGGGAGATGGAAGTGAGAGCTGGACCATAAAGAAGGCTGATCGCTGAAGAATTGATGCTTTTGAATTATGGTGCTGGAGCAGACTCTTGAGAGTCCCGTGGACTGCAAGAAGATCAAACCTAACAATTCTTATGGAAATCAGCCCTGAGTGCTCACTGGAAGGACAGATCCTGAAGCTGAGGCTCCAATACTTTGGCTGCCTCATGAGAAGAGAAGACTCCCTGGAAAAGACCCTGATGTTGGGAAAGATGGAGGGCACAAGGAGAAGGGGACGACAGAGGACGAGATGGTTGGACAGTGTTCTCGAAGCTACCAACACGAGTTTGACCCAACTGCGGGAGGCAGTGGAAGACAGGAGTGCCTAGCGTGCTCTGGTCCATGGGGTCACGAAGAGTCGGACACGACTAAACAACAACATCTGGAGGGCTACGGCCATGTTTTACCTAATGCCAGAAAACTTCACAAGGTTATACCATCCCGAAGACCAGAGGGAAAGGGTGTGGCACCAAAACAAAGAAGGAAAGTGGGGGGAGATATTTACGAGCTAGGTGCCTGGATAAGCAGATATGTCTTTAACTGCTCTTTACAGATAGCAAAAGCCTCCCCTCCCTCACCCTCATTATTAGGACCTCTGTAAGATTGCCAGCTTGTTCAAGGTTGCTGCAGCTCAATACGCAAACCTTAGCCAATGGTCATTGCCAAGTCGGATTTCTGCACACAAGAACAGACCAGCGCAGTTTTCAGGTTGCTGGGTTTTTGCCTGGTCACCTGGCAGCCCTACCCATTTGTCGCTGTATCCACGGTTGCAAGACTCAATGCTTTTGTCCCTTCTCAAAACAAGCAAGCCAAAAACCTTGCAGGCAACCAAGACAAACTCACGCTTTGATGTTGATACATGCTGGTTCCAAAAGCAGGCACTCTGGTCTGATCACTTGGTCACTGAAACTGGAGTAGCAGATGCACGGTGGTTTGGAAGAACAGCAAAGCCTTCTTGGGTTCCCTGCCTTCTTGGGGCTGTTTTCCCAAGCTTGAAGGAACAGCAAGAGGGCTGGCCAGAGGCACTTCCTCCCGTCGCCTTCAGCTCTACTGCTCGCAAGTGACAACTTGATTTGCGTGCGTCTTTTCTTTTCTTCTGAAGGCTGTTGAGAGGAAGCCTCGAAGCTCATGCAGTGGAAGAACAGGCGGCTTGGAAGGCGGGAGGAGACCGAGAGCTGAGGCAGAGAAAGAGAAGCTGGGCAAGGACAAAACGGCTGATAAGGGAGAAAAGAGGCCCAGATTGAGGTGTGTTTCTTAAGGAGCATAGACAGCAGTGTTAGAAACTCAGATAGATATAAGCTAGGCACCAAATGGTCCCTTAAACTAAAGTCGTGCAGTGGAACCTCAGGTTACAGATGCTTCAGGGTACAGACTCCGCTAACCCAGAAATAGTACCTCAGGTTAAAAACTTTGCTTCAGGATGAGAACAGAAATCGCGGGGCGGTGGGAGGCCCCATTAGCTAAAGTGGTACCTCAGGTTAAGAACAGTTTCAGGTTAAGAACAGACCTCCAGAACGAATTAAGTTCTTAACCCGAGGTACCACTGTAGTTGCCAAAAAGGAATGTCTAGTTGCCATTTTGGGGCAAGATGGCTGTAAAGAGGTTTTTCAAATGATGGACTGATTGTGATTGATTCTCAGCTAAACATCTGGCTTGTTCAGATGACAACCTTGAGCTAGATTAAGAACTTTGAGAACTTAAAGGAAAAAAAGTAACTTGATCCAGGGACAGTCCACATATATATATTGGCCTAGGTAAAGATAAAGGGACCCCTGACCATTAGGTCCAGTCGTGGCCGACTCTGGGGTTGCAGCGCTCATCTCGCTTTATTGGCCGAGGGAGTACAGCTTCCGGGTCATGTGGCCAGCATGACTAAGCCGCTTCTGGCGAACCAGAGCAGCGCACAGAAACGCCATTTACTTTCCCGCTGGAGCGATACCTATTGATCTACTTGCACTTTGATGTGCTTTTGAACTGCTAGGTTGGCAGGAGCAGGGACTGAGCAACAGGAGCTCACCCCGTCGCGGGGATTCGAACTGCCAACCTTCTGATCGGCAAGTCCTAGGCTCTGTGGTTTAACCCACAGCACCACTATTTTTTCTTAATGGTGACTGCTCCTGCTCAGGCTGCACAGAAAAAACATTTTGGTTCCAGAAATTGATTCCAATTGTGCTGCTAAAATGTAACTGATAGAATTCTACAGGACCGGGTATTAGTGTGTGAAAACAGCCTAGATCCAATTATCCCCAGGGATGCACCTCCAGATATTGAAGATGTCAGGCGCCATCCTGGTGCCCAGACATCTTTACTTGGTCGCAAGTGTTCGAAAAGCCTGGTGCAAAATGCACCTGGCTAATTTCAAACACTAATAGACAGGGAAGTGCTTTATGCTGGTTTTATCATTTTGCATGCTTGCTGCAAAGTGGCGGGAGAAGGGGAAGAACCTTTTTCAACAGGAAATATATTTCTGGCCAACCATATGCTTCACCTTCCAATAGCTGTGCCTGTAGTAATGGACCTCTCTGTGGAGTAAGGACACGCCATTCACTTTCTAGTCTGTTTCTAGGCCTGTCATACTTCTCGCAGAATGGAGGAGTGAGTTCTAGAATGCAGAGGTTCACTTCTGTTCTTCAGAATAGAAACCACAAAAAAATTCCCTCACCCACACACGAAAATCTACCTCACGACATGCAAACATACAGAGAACTCAGTACGCCACAGCATTCTTCCTTTGTAGCTCACAAGAACCACAAGCTAAAAGGCAGAATTGTCTGAGGGTATATACACTGAATACGACCATCGTTCACTGTGGACACAGAGTCACTGGAATTGAGATACAAGCCGGAGGAACAAGTTCTTGAGCTGTTCTGTGACACAACCTTAGAAATGAAATTTCAGCAACTAGTATTACCGAGGCGTTTTGGATTTCAGTTAGTGAAGAATACCTAGAATTGGCAGGTGAAGCAATCGGCCACCTGCCGATGGCTGCTGCTTCCCCAGAATAGTTGTCCTCCCAAAACCTCTCCCGACTCACTCAGTTCCACCCACTCAAAAGCCCACACAGGCTCAAACTGAAAGGTGTTTTTTTTTCAAAATTTGTATTCATTTTATAACACAATATATAGAACACAAACAGAAAAAAACACACAATACAAACAAATTCTTGTCATATCCTTATTTTTCTAAACATTCTTAAGTGGGCTTCCCCAAGTTCCACCTAACTGATTTTCATTTTACTTCATCTTTAGCAGTTTACATATATCATAATTTCTAACCATCTTTTTTTTCTATCACACTTTAACCATAAAAAACTTCACATTTTATCCTTACAAATAATACTATTTTAAAATACAGTATCTTCTACTTCTAACCCTACAGCGTATATCCACTTCCAAAGCTATTCTAAGATTTAAATATTAACATATTTTTTTCAAATATTCCTTAAACTTCTTCCAATCCAAACTGAAAGTTTTGAAACCACTGGCTCTTTTAAATTATCCTGTGGGAAGTCTTCCTGTATAACCTGCAATGATTATGGAAATGGCAGGATGGTTGCTTACATTTTATTTTTTTTAAAAGGGATGGTTTCTTTCCCCACCCCATACCCCCTACACATTCTTTCAGCATCCATCTTAAGTAAGAAGCTAAATGTATGAGGTTTGGGCTGGGAAGTCCCCAGATGGAAGGCAGCCGATGGAGAGGACATTTTTTTGCAACCCGGGGACAGGGGGGACACCTTTCCTCAGCCTGGGGGCAGCATACCCTCCGGGGCCAGAAATGGGCAAGGCATAGGTCTCTTACCTTTGTAAATGAAATATACTCAGAGTCGAGACTGGATTTCATGCTCTTTATTCAGCTCATAGTGGTGAGGAGGAATGGAAGTTCCCCTAGAATGTCTGCTTTATATACATTATTTACACAATGAGCCCCACGTGATTGGCTAATTCCGGGATTCTCCTGTAGGCCAATCAGGTTGCGGATTCACTTCCACCTGGAGCTGGATCGGGTCGCTCCTGTGGACCAATCAGACTGCTGCATTCTGGATCCTATTGTTCTAGGACCAATCAGGCTGCTGCATTCTGAACCCTACTGTTCTAGGACCAATCAGACTGCTGCATTCCGGATCCTATTGTTCTAAAACCAATCAGACTGCTGCATTTTGGATCCTATTCAACTCAGTACATAACAGTAAAAGAGTCTCTGTTCCCGCCATGCAAAAAGCCAGAGGTTCCTACGCCCCTCCACCCGCATCTCCTCCTTGCAGGAAAGCAGGGATTGTGGCCACGGTGCAAGGACACAGGCCAGACATGCAAAGGCACTCAAGGATGGGGGGGCAGCGTTTTCCACACACCCCTCATGGCGCCTGGGAACTGTAGCTTGCCCCAACCAGAGCTGCATTTCCCAGCATCCTTCACAAACTCCCAGGGTTCTTTGAGGCGAGGGCCCCCGGTTATTTAAAGGTATGCAGCCAACGAGAGTATGAAGTAAACCCAAGCAAGGGTGTGGCTTGAGAAGTGGCTGTGGCTCTTAATTTTTTCTAATTTCCCTCCAAAATGTATGATAAGAGGCTTTTTGTGCAATTACTGCGACATGGGCAGGCTTCTCACGGACGTGCCCTCAGCATTGAAAACAATGAATTCTGAAATAATTTGGGATTTCTTGACCTGTGTGGTTTGTGTGTGTGTGTTTTTAGTGGCATGTAACAGAGGTTTAAAACTGAATGTTAGAGGAAATAAGCTGCAGCTGTTTTTTCACTTCCTAGTTACAGCGTGCCCTTTTTTCCCTTTCTTTTTTAAACCTGCCGGTAACTTTTATTCATTGTGTGCTAATAATATCCTGAATTCTTCTGATACTAGTACACATGCGGGTCATTTAGTTCAAGGAGTTTGTGATTGGTTTTCCATTGCACTTTATGTTCCTATAGTCTGCATCAACTCGCCCCTTAAACGCAAAACTCCACAAATGTACAATGGAAAAGAAGAAAAGATCTCCATTATCTCCCCACAAACTCACAATGCCTGAGAGCAATGTCTCACACCCAATGTTACTCTCTGAACTGAAACCAGAGGTGCTATTTGTACCTTTGTTATCCATGAAATTCTTTCAATAAAAATCCTTTTTTACATGGGATGTTAAAGAATGAACTGGTTATAAGTCTGGAAAAAGCTTCAGGATTTAATCATAGTTGTTCATATTCAGCTCCTGTGTTTCTGCTCCATAGGCACAAAAACATATATTGATTCTTAGATTTTTCTGTAGGTTATGAGGAAACGACAAAATTCCAAATGAATTTCCTTTTGGAGCCTCACTTTGTAGGGAAAATTAGTTTGTTGCTACAGCCCTGGAGGAGGGTAAGTCCCTCTGGTAGCATTAACTCTCAGTAAGATGAGGTTGATTCTAATATAGCAATTTTGTAATTCATTTCTGCATCAGATTTATTGGCATAATCAAAGAGTGAATCACAGGTTGAGGCACCTCTGTGAAAGCAATGAAAGGGCACCTGACACACTTCCTTTCGTTCCATCCTTGCATCAGGATTTGTGTGCAGTGAGATCTGCTGCATCAACCAAACGTAAACTTCCCCTTTCCATTACTGATTTTGGCTGGTGACTAACCAGACCCTGCTTGCCGTTCATCACAACTGTATTCAGACCTTCCAAGTGTCCCTATTTTCCAGGATCAGTCCTGGATTTAAAGAAGCCGTCCTGGTTTCTGATTTGATCCCTGAATATCCCACTTTTGCTTATGAATCCCTATTTTCATCAGAGAAATGTTGGAGGGTGTGGAATTATGCAACCCCTGAGCCAAGGAGATAAGTAACTATACAACCTTTAGAAGACACCTGAAGGCAGCACTGTACCTCGGGTTAAGAACTTAATTCGTTCTGGAGGTCCATTCTTAACCTGAGGTACCACTTTAGCTAATGGGCCCTCCTGTTGCCGCCTCACGAATTCTGTTCTCATCCTGAAGCAAAGTTCTTAACCCGAGGTACTATTTCTGGGTTAGCGGAGTCTGTAACCTGAAGTGTCTGTAACCCGAGGTACCACTGTATAGGGAAGTGGCTTTTTAAAAATGTTTAATGTTTTATTGTTTTTATA